AATTAAATTAATAAAATGAGACGAAAAATGAAGAATAAAAATTCTACCAGATATGGAAGATGTCGTTTTGAGGCGTTTTGGAGGAGGGGCAATATCCTCATCCTCAGCCTCATCTTCAGACTCAACTTCATTGGAAGTTGAGCCCTCGTCAGTGACAACGATTTGTCGCGCTTTTCCTTTTGAGGCAATCGAAGTATTTTTCCTCGAACGAGGAGGGAGTCGAATCCTTTTGTAAGCCATACCAGCAGGAAGGGGACGATCAGCCTTAGAATCTTCAACTACCTTGACGGTAGTTTTGGATTTAGGCTCCCCTTTACCTATGGAAACCTTTGTAGACGAAGAGGCTATGGGAGCTGAGCCTGCGGAAGGGAACCCACTCAAGAGTTCGTTATCCGAGCCTTTTGAACGGGCGGAACGGGGAGAAGCAACTGAGTGAAAAGAATGGATAAATAAAACAAAAATCTATGAATTAAAGTTATAACTCACGAAACGAGGAGGCATCGGCCTTGAGGTTCTCTAACTCCCGATTCCTTCTAATTAATCGTGGAGGAGCCACGAGCGCTTTGGAAACAGAGGTTGAAGATTGGATCTCCAAGGGTGGTGAGGAAGTAGTGGCCTTCAGTGCAACCGCCGATGATTCTTTGCCACGTAATGAGGCAAAAACATCCAAATCCTTAGACGAAACCATACGCATCATTGCGCTTCCCTCACGAAAGCGTAAACAAAACGGAATTGGAATAGCAGGGAATCGTTCGAATTTGTGAACACCCTGTAAATTAAATTAAATGAGAATGAAGAGAATGTAATAGAAAAGGAACACTTACTTCAGCTGAAGAACGGTGCTCCAGTGGAACCCCCCATTGTTGCGTCAGGTTGTCACGAAGAAAAATTGGAAGATCAGGAGATAGGGATTCTGCCGACAATAAAACTTGCTCCGCGAATAAAGGGCAATTAGCCCGACCGATCCAGAAGTCCCGAATATAAACCTAGTGAAAACCATTAATATAAACGATGTAGGAGGAGTTTTCAGTTACGCACCAGAAATGGTGCAACCTCCTCAAAAACATTGTAAATCTCCGACTCTGTTGGAGGTAAATCATCTACCAAATCCTGCAAAGTTCGAACTGCCATTTGGGCAGAACAATACAGATCCAAGCCTGATGCTACTGACAAGGGGCGCAAAGTCTCGGAAGGAAAGCAAAATGGAAGTAAAGGGCGAGGATATGAAAAGGCCGGAAAGGAACCAGATCCATCGTAATCCGGGGAATGTTGAGAATCAAGCAAAGGAGGAGAATAATCTCCCGCCTGAAGGCGTTGGAAAACTGCGCTTTCGAAAAATAGAGGAAGTGTTGATTTAGATTGAATACCCGCCAGCATCACTTGGGCCTCCATTAGAGAGCATGGTAGACGCGTGGAAGAGGCCGAAGCTCGAGTTTGACTCGAGGTCGAAGCCATTTTGACGAACGAGATGAAAGGAAGGAATAAAGAGGGAAAACGGACTTCAACGAAAAATTTCATTGAACCCCGTGCCCCGAACCAAATAAGCGTACACACTGAATCAGTGCGTACGTCAGAGCAGTTTTCCGTGAAATGGAAGCTCGTTCTGTGACTAGATGATGAAAAGATTGTGAATTAAATTTTCGAAATGTGATACGAATACCGAAAAAGTATTCAATTCAAATTGAGCGCTAAACTGTTACGATTCGTAGCAGGCGTGTGAATAAATTGATAAAATGAGCGCTAGAAACCCATTTGAGGGCATCCAAATTGATTGGAGAGCACGGAGAAGTAGAGATCCAAACCCAGTAATTTACATTAAAAGGAGATATAGTCTTGTCGAATCAATCTAATAACAGATTGGGTATCCTTTCCCTATACAAAACTACGGATGACCGAGGACGGTCAAATTCTTTAGTTTGGGGGGGATGACACGCCTAAATTTTGGCTAGACGTCTATGTTGTGAATTGTGACATTTTCACGTATAGATTCGTATCAAGAGGACTGTAATTGAGACCCAGATTGACAGTCAAATTCAATACTGAATCAGTCTAATAAGTTGAAGGGACCATATACCCATACTACCACAAGTTGGTTAGTTTACCCATCCCTGATACTACCTACGGATAGCAGTCTACCTGTTTGTCAAGCAGGATTATACCAGACTCGGACTACATCCGAAGGATGACCATTCACGTATGACATACCAAGGGTATTCTTATTGGACCTTACACTGGCAGGAGTTTGGAAGAACTTACTCAAGTGACCATGAACCGAGGATTGACTTGAAATGACTTTCTAGAACTCAGGAATTATCAAATACTCCTTCTAGAATGAGATCATGCATTAATCTAAAAGACTGCGGTTTAGTCTAATAGACCAATCGAGTTGCATGGTTGAGGAAAATGACTAGAAGAACGATCGAAGTACTGCGAGGCTCCGAAGGCATATCAAATGAATGTCAAAGAGTCCTGACGTAGAAAATATTGAAGAATGCAATTAAATGAATACTATGTGTAACTCCCTTGATTGAGTGTAGGCACAATGGGTGTCTATTGAAAGAGAGAAGCAATTAGTTTAATCCAGATGAATCAGATTGATAGGATTAGAATCGAGGAGAGCTGATTTGCCTCCGGACAAGGTGACAAACGATCGAAGTAAGTGTTGAACAGCAATGACAGTTGAACACCATTCGAGTCATCCTCCAAAAACAATTAAATTAAATAAATATTGAAGTACCTACCTATGTTTGGAGGTATACTAGAATCTTGGAACCAATATGGACCAAATAAGGACATGTAGATTCAAATTAAATGGTATCTGACTGAGTGTAGAAGTTTCCTTGCGGTTCCAAACGTTTATTGTATTAAATTAATTGTACTATGCGACTCTATATTCTGTATGTATAAATAGCGATCCGATGTATCTGGAATACAAGTGATTTTGGGACGACGTTGCAGTGCTAATCCGTAAAAAGGAAAGACACACTCCCGCCAGACTGAAACCTCTTCACTAGCAGCCATTCGGGCCCGGCACTTGTGAGTATAGGAACGTCGTGTTCTGCTCCTTGTGACTGCGAGAAGTCTATCCAGTTGTTGGGTATTCTTCGAACTTAGGATCAGTCGTTGGTCTTAAGGGCAAATCACGCTGTGTGGTTGTGCCAGCACATAGTTCTAGCCCTCCGTAGGGGTCTGTGTGTTTCGGTTTTAATTTACTTTGATTCAAACCCCCAATTCTTGATATACCCAAATCAATACAAACCAAAGCACAAATCGTGCTGAATCTACCTTGATCAAAGGAATATATCGAATCCTTAGAACGATTCAAATTGATTGATCAAAGCTTCGTACTTAGCTCTCAAAGCTTTGCGGAACCTTTGCCAACGCTACCCCTTGCTATTAAATAAATTTGATAGCAGTGAACTCGCATATTGTGTATTAGATTGGTTGGTTGGAGTGCCCATTAGATTCCTTCCTTTCTCTTTCACACAAAAACGAGGCAAGCTCATTACCGCTATCAAGGATGTCACTATTTAGACCCAATCTCTGCCGGATTCTGGACTCTACCCCTCCCTCAAATTTAACATTCGGAAGAATGAGAAGTTTGGAAGGGCTGGTACTCGTGAGATAGTACGGTTGAGACCTTTGAATATAGAAGGAAATAGGTGCGAAACATTACTTCATGTATATCCATTTACTCAAGCTCTTCATCATAGCGTCAGCGTCACTTATCTTCAGGGCTCGGTAAATATGTCCGTGAATCTCAACCTTCGGCTTAACCTCGTCGTTAGTGAGCTTGTTCTCAGACTCATTTCATCAGTTTTGAACATTTGCTCAAGTGTCATTCTTCATTAGCTCCTTCTGAGAGAGAGGAAGGTACCAATGAAGTTACTTAGTAGTATTGCTTATCAAAAGCTTCAACAATTGTCAAGAAACCCCATACGTAAAGCGTGAGGAGAAGCGAACACCGGGCTTGAGCCCATGCTCTCAACATTGAATCGTTTGTTTACTTGTTGGCAGTCATTCTATAGACACAGAATGAGAGTGCTATCAGTCATTTTTATGTGAGAAACGTGCGTTGTTGACTATTCAATGATCATCCGTTGCATTCTAACTTCCATATCAAGGATTCACTCAAAACGAAAATTTCCTAGAAGTAATACTGTCATATGGTTTCCTTTTTAAGCTGGGAGAGGTTGCTTTGACTTCTTTTAACTTTATGTATTCGCAATCTATGTCTCTTTTCTGCTCCCTCATGAACATGATGTTCATTCTTACTCCAATCTGACCCGTGCCCATAATGAGTATTCAGACGTCTTATGAGACGCAAATTCATTCAAAGGACAATCACCCTCGTCCTTCACGAGATCGTTGGTGATGTTGTCGAAAGTCTGCCTCTATCTGATCCCATCAGCATAGCACTGCTTTAGAATAGGTCCCAATTTCCCCCACTTGCTGAACCTCATCCTTATCGTCACTGGCTGCTCACACACAATTTTTCATACTTCCTGATTTGCATAACAAACCTGTGTCCTGCCAGAGCATCCATTATCACTGCACACGCCGTCATTGCCTGTTCACGCGCTTCCGCTTGTCTACAGGGTATCACAACGAGGGAACTTCCAGTTACAAACTGTTTGTTAGTGGCGGCGCTTTTTCTTCACGCCCGACGCTAGGATCTCTTCAATCCGTCTCCGATAGTCCTCGCTTTCCGCCTCGTTCTAACGCGTCTGCTTGCGGCGCTCACCAAGATCTCTCACTACCACTCAGATATCAACATTGACGCCTCCCATTCCTCCTTTCCAACCGGTACTCATGCGTCGATCTTCCGAAGATCTACGGCGGCGCTATGATATGCGAGCGATGCGGGGGTTTTCAGATGCAGATGGGCAGGGTTATCTTTATGCTTATGTCGATGATGATGAATGGAAGGTGGGCTTGACGAACAACTTCGTTCGTCATCAGGAGGAGTGGAATAGGAGTTGTCCTTGCCCATGGAGAACATGGCTTTTGCCTATCCGGGTCGCGAACAGACGGAGAGCCGGTGAGTTTCTTGCCTTTTGTTTTTTATATCTCTCATTCGGGCTGTAGAGGCACTGGCACATCTTTTACTCGAAATGGAGTGTCTTGACTGCCCGCAAACCTATTGCTGATGTTGTACGTATCCGAATTTTGTCCTCAGTTCACAACGCTACATGTACAACATACAGGCCAACGTACGCATATCGAGAAGTTTGTTTTCTCCGGCGACTGGCATGTCGTCTGGAGCACAATTGTTTATCCTATCCTTTTGAGGGCCGCTGTCTCGTGAAGGTACGCGATTGTTCACTTTTTCATAATGTTAGCTGACATTCCAATAGTTAAAGTAGATCATAACACATCAATACTTCTGTCTTATAGTTGTCAATCTTGAAATTGGAAGCAGTCTCTGAACTCCTAGGCTTTGTATACAATATACAGACTAAAAGATGCGTGTTTGTGTCCTTTGGTGCTAATGAGTGAATACTCAATAGTTACTCAATAATCATGTAGACGTGAAGAATCGGTGAAACAAGTCCTCAACATAATGGACACAAAAATACTCAAGCCACTCGAAGGTCCTCAAGGTCTTCAAGCACTTCAAGATCCTCAAGCCCTATGCTTGTACATTCTTAAATAGATAATATATCATGTTCTTCGCTGTCTCCAGACGACGCCCGACACGTCATGTATACCAACATCCCCGACATCATCGTTGCCACGCGTTCCGACCTCTCGACATCAGCGACGTACCGACATTTTGACGTTCCGACCTCGGCGACTTCTGGACGTTTAGACGTTCCGACATCGGGTACGCATAACCTCTCTGAGGTTATGATGAAGATCCTCACCATTTTCACGAGGCAGTAACTTATATGATATTTTGATTTTCCCTGGTGAAAGTATTAGGCAAATATTGAAAATAGCATCTGGATTTCGTCACGATTCACTCTGATAGGATAGTTTTAATAAAGTCTCAATATTTAGCGCGATACGAATAAGAATGTTCTACACGAGGATAATAAGAAAAAACCCGTTAATGTGAAGTGGATGTGATTCACAATATTCTCCCAATATTAGCTCTATAGAATGCTTCCGTTTATGGAAGGATTGTTTGAAAATTTCTCTGTTCGGAAATTGTGGTGTTTATGTACCAAACCTCCCTTTAAACCCAGCCTTTTCTCGACGAGGAAACGGATCGATCCCCGCAGTGGGAGCCTCACGATAATTTAAAGAAACTCTCGAGTATCCATCCAGACCGACGTTATCTACCGAACGATCAATACTTGATGTGTATATGAGTGGTCTGGAGTCTTCCCCCCGACGAAAAGAGACTGATCATTTTTGTAAGGTTCGGCAATAAGTTACTCAGTAAGGAGCTGAAGTTTTGGCCAGTTTCTTTCGAAGTGGGTGATCAGGACGTACTCCTATCTTCCTTAACATCTTCGCGAGTTCAGATGCTAGTTTCGCTTGCTCTTCCACCTCAATCTCCGAAGACTCCAATAAGTTCTTCAATGCACGGGCTAACCGACCCCTCGGAGCGGGAGAAGGTCCCGCTCCGTTTGATTTTGGTATCTTTTTCTTGACCTTTGTTCCTTTTTTGAGTTTAGGTACTGCGAGTAAAGGTTCGATGAATTCCACACGAAATCGGCGATGAGCAAGGGCAGATATGTGAACGATGCGGTCAACTGGGCTTGCCGCCTCTGCACATCCTTCCGCTTCCACCAGCGCCTCAGGACCAGCGTCGATATCTCCCCATTTTCTCAGCTCATCTGTACGCTTTTCTCGCAATTTCTTCCCTAATTGCTCGCGTGTGTCCGTAGCTTTGGCAGTCTTTGCAACGTGTTCGAGAACGTCGCTGACCGTGAGCCACCCCTTGTCTTCATCGACAGCGCGTTTAACATAATGTCGATTGACGTAGTTGAGTAAGCGGTTTGCTGACTGTGCGCCTAGAGAATATCGGTTGAAGCAAGGGATAATGTAATGGATCAAGTCGGAATCTTCCTGGGGAGCGCCAAGTAATAGTTCTCGCGAAGCATCCGCAAAGTATTTATCAAGTTGGTCATAGAGATCAGTCCCACTCATGGGTACATCATGACGAGATGAAGCATTGTATGTTTCTGTCTGAGAAGTGATACTAGCAGCGATGAGTCTCCGTTCATTGAGGTAGAAATATAGGTACTCACTAGTTGTAACAGGCCGAATGAACTCCAGCATAGAAATCTACTTCAATCGCAGGTGCTTTGGTTGTATTATTCGTACTACTCTTCACAATGTGATCCAATGCTGGAGTAATATACGCCCATAAAGAGGACAAAGACGCGGCAGGGTTGGCGCTTCCTGTCGCTGGGTTTGGAAGAGGAGCGATGGGAGTTCGTGCGGGTTCCTTTCCTTTGGACGACATGAGTGAGAGAGGCCAAGTCACCGGAGTTTGCCATGGAATTCCCGACTTTTTGCGTCGCCGCCATGTCTCAGTTTCGGCTCTGCTCTTCCATGTCTTGTCTTCGCTAGCTCTCATTCGCTTTTCATGTCACGTCGCTCGAGTAATGCATCCTCATTTATGTAAATGTAATGGACGACTCATTCTAACGTTGATTCCTAACCATTCCTTCGGACGACCCAAACGACCGCCGACACTACGCAACTGCAAGACAGCGCTCATGAGACCGAGCCTTTCTGAGTGAAGACTCACGAAGACTCATTCCAGACCTGCAACCGTGACAAGTCAGAGCTCGATGTTGACGTAGCAGTAATGAGGTTCATAGCAGGCAAATGAAACCATGCGCCGGATGGAGATGGGTGCTGACGCTTTGTACAAAGCCAAAATGATTCGAGGGTTTTGTCACTTGGCTATTGGACAGGTGAGCTACTTTGCTTTCCATAACAAAGTCTTGTACTTGATTTTTCTGTCATAGGGAGCAGTCTCTGTCGGTCTTGAGCACGGTATCAACAAAAACGACAAAGTCATTACTTCAATAACGTTGTCACCCTCTGGCTGTTCTTCGTGGGGGAACGATTCGGGACGTTATCGGAGAGCTCATCGGTCGCCAAATAGGAACGTTTCGCGGCAAGGGTCGTCTCATGCACATCTACACTCCTTTTTTCGGATGAAACGCAATTGTTGGCGCTCAGGTTCCGCTCGGCACAGGTATCGCCTTTGCTCACAAAAGTACACCGAAGAGGCGACCTGTACTTTTGCTATGTATGGTGACGGTGCTGCTAACCAGGTTTTTGAAGCTTTCAATATCGTACGTTCATACACTCAATAGGTCGCTGGGAATGAGTAGACGATATCGTTGTAGGCAAGGCTTTGGGATCTCCCTTGCGTCTTTGTTTGCGAAAATGGGTACGTCTGCTGAGCGCAGTTCATCCAGCACGCAATACTTCACCCATGGCGACAAAACTCCCGGCTTTCAGGCTCGACGTCTAGTTCTCATCTTTTCGTCTGGTCAATGGAAAGGATATTATTGTATTCAAACAGAGTGTCGAATATGCTAGGAAATGGATTCTCGAAAGTTGCTTGAATTTGTCACCGTTGTGGCCACTCGTGCGTACCGTACGCCTTCACTCTCTTATTCAAACCCTGAACCTTTTCAGAATGTCGGACCCTGGTTCTATCTACCGTACTCGCGAGGAAGTTCAGAGGATGCGAAGTGTGCAAGACATTCATGGCCTCCAATGTCATATTCAGGAGTGGGAACTTGCTTGATCTCAAGGTGTGTCCTTAGAGAATACGCGAACACGATGGATCAGATAACGGCATGTTTCGGTTGAACGGCTGTGCGGCACTGGAAGGTAATGCCAAACATACCCCAAAAACCGTGCATTTGCTTGGTAGCGATATGTACGTGACCCGTTATTTCTTCATGGCAGAACGTTCATACCTTGCTTTTACTGTCAGGGACTCCCTCTTCAGATGAGTATAACTCTCGCGCTACAGCGTCGTTGCTGCCTATTTCGGAGGACAATTTCGGTTTAGACTTTCTTTGATGCTCTTCGGAACTGCTAAATAGTCATTTTAGATCGAAAAGTCATCATACGCGCCGCCCAAAGTAGACCGCCGCCCTCAACAGGAGCCAAAAGCACTGAACTCATATCTACCCAGACTGAGCAACGTCCAGATGCCGCTTATAATTATCGCCCCCCTGAACTCGCTCCTCCTCCGCTCGCCATTTATCACCCTGTTTTTGCTCGGTTCCGACATAGCATGGCTGCTCCGACGGAGACCCTTGAATTTACAAGCCAGGAGCTTGACCAAGCGTCAACGTTTATTGATGTATCCCTTCGACATTACCCGGATAAAACCTCCCGGCTGAATACACTGCAAGCGGTGATCACCTGCAGCGGACAAAAATTTTGGGGCGAGCGAATCATTCTTGTCGACAATGGAATGAAAATACAGCCAGACGGAGGTCTCGCAATCAGTATCCGAGACCTTCCTGTATTGTATTCAACCTTGGGAGAATTGAAGAATGGAGGAGGTGACGGAGGTTGTGACCCATCCGACCAAGCCCAGTGTGCGTATATGAAGGTTGTGTCTTCACCTCAAGTATGTGTCGTTAAATTAATCCAAATCTCTGCTGATTTTTGCCCTAGTATACTCGTGTGCGAGAAGTCTCATGCTGCCCGGCTCTCCTCGTAGGCCTCTCAGGTCATGTTATGGCAGTCTGGGGGGCTGCTTTTGCAGACCGTTTCTTCTTTGAACGTCTGTCCTTAGTTTTTGTCGGTCCGCAGCCGGATTCTTGTGCTCGTTCCCCTACTTCTGGTCGGAGTGACCTTGAAGTGGGCATCAGAATGGTCGCAAAGCTACTCCGAACCCTTGAGGTTTGCAATGAAGAACTTGAAACCCATTATCAAAATCTTAACTTGCCCCGTTTGTCTTCGCTCAGTGCTTTCACATCAGCCCGTATCTCCCGGTCCTCAGGTCGCGCATATCGTCCATATTCTTCAAACCGGCTCCAATCTGGGGATCCTTCTCGATTTGTCCACTGGAAATCGTTGTCATGTGGGGGAAAAGAATATAACCTCGAGTTTCATCGGCGTCTCACCACATACATGGACAAAACTGTCTTTCTGGCTGTCATGACTCACGCTTCTGACTCTAAAATCCCCCCTACCAATTTAGTTGTCAAGTTTGCGTACCGTTACGGTGAGACTGGTCATCGTCTCCTTGCGGAAGCTGGTCTCGCTCCCCGCATTTACTATTGTGCCTTTGATGAAACTATTGGTCTATGGGTTATTGTTATGGACTATGTCGAAGGTGTACTTTGCAAGGGCAAGCTCGTTGGGGGTGAAGCCAAATCACTCACTCGCGCGATCAAACTACTCCATGATAACGATTTGGTATTTGGTGACCTTCGGGAGCCAAATATCATCATTAGCAAGCCAAGAGAAAGTGTGTGTGTGGTAGACTTTGAATGGTGTGGTCCGTGTAAAGATATCAAGGAAGGCGGGAATGTTGTCCAAAGACGCGCGCGATATCCTACCAATATTGCGCTCAGTGCCGAATACAACTGGGCTCCCGGTGTTGAAGCAGATGGAGTGATTGCGAAGGAACACGACAACCATCGACTTCAAATGATGGTTTGATTATTACCCTCATGACGCCAAATTTTCGAGCACGAAACGATGCCCATGATTCCTAACTCATTTTCTCACTGAATAATCACAAAATTGGTGTAGGATCTCTTCTGAGTAATGCTGATTTCGAGGAATGTCGTTATGTAAGGAGAATAAGAGGCAAAGCTTCTGTGTGAATGGCATTTGTTTAGGGCTGTTGCAGTACTTCAAAGAAAGCTTGGTATCCCAGACCTCTTTGCAGCACTTCATTACCCTCGCCGATATGGATCCATATCGACTTGGCCCTTTTTCTCATACCAACCGTTACAAAATATATTTCGACGTACTTTGAAATACATTGATGCTTCTACATTCAATTACTAATCATACTTTCAGTGTTCCCTGCTTTCTTTTTTTCAATGCCACCCTTACTTACAATGCTTTGTGAAAAGGTTTGCTTGTATGGATTTTTTACCAAGTGTTTATTGCTGTTTAATTGTCCAATACATTTTTGGGCTGAGGCTCGAGAGGCAATCGAGAGGGCTTTCTTCGAGGACCACCAGGGACGTTGGGCTTTGAAAAGCTATTGCTGAAATCCTTTTTGGGGGTAAAAATTGGAGAATTATGTAAATAAACACAAATAGATGAGAAAAAGTCGAGCAATCAAGTAGAAAATTGAGCTCCTATTACTACGTCGTGACCCTGGGAACCCCATTTGCAGACCGCCAACGACGACGAAGAGCAAGGCTTATAGGGCGGTGTTATTTCATGGACGGCGGTGCCCAAAAGCTTTTGGAATCTGTGACGATTAGGACCCTTCATGCACAAAACTTTTCTCGTTCTTCAACTCAAGCTTCACTAGTTCTCACCGACCTCCTCGCTCGGTACTTAACATTGTTGACCTCAGCCTGTGCAAAATATGCGGAACATGCTGGCAGAACGCGTATTACAGCGAAGGACGCGGTGACAGCTCTGGAAGAGTTGGGTGTGAGCGTCGAAGAGCTACATGAGTTCGGCAGTACTGAAGGCGTCGAACTCAATCGTTACGCGCTTTTCAAATCCTTGCGCAGGGTTGAAGATCTGAAGGAGTTCCAAGGTCAGTTCCTGTTTTGATAGAGCCTCTCATATGGCCAACGCTTCTCAGCCCAACTTTCGGATGGTTTAAGGGCTGACCTCGACGATGCCATTCCCTTGCACTATGCATATGTGTCACCAGAACTTGCACAAGTTCTTGAAGAAGAGGGGGAGGGAGGGGATGATGAAGACTCCCTTTTTGCAGCTGATGATTCATCTATGGCTATGGATGGGTCCGAATCTTTCCCGAGTGTATCCAGACTCGATCTCTCCTTAGCAGATCCCCTGTCTCCCTCGCGAAAACGACAGAGGACTTGGGACTGGAATCCTCCCGATCATGTTCCATCATTCTTGCCACCCTTTCCTTCTACGTCGGAAACATCTTCTACTCCACATCCTCTTCGAATACCTCCTACCGAGCTGCCGCCTAACCCAACAGAAGGCGCAGGGATCAATCAACCACCATCTCCTCCTCCAATAACTTCAACGCAGCCGCCGCAGCCTCCGGCTCTTACCTCCACCTCAGCCGCGGCTTCAGACTACCTTGTCCAAGTTCCCTACACCCAATCCACTATTTCAAATGTTTCTGAATGGCATCTACCCTCTGCTCCTCCAGACTCCACTTCTTCATCACGCCCTGAACCACGTTGGGCCACTCCGGCAATAGAGCCGTCATTGATTGCTGCCTATCATCACATTCTCACTCACCCACCGCCTCCCAATGCTACTCATATAGCCAATCCTCAGAGGCACAAGGTTGCGATGGCGTTGTTGGCTCTCACGCAGAGTGCCTCGCGTTGGGAACTTCCTGATACCCTCTTTTCGACGCTCGCAACCAATCAACCTCGAGTGGCCTCCATCGGCCCTACATATCCAGTGTTGATTGCTGATCACCTTCCGGCAGAAGGGGTGAAGAAAGGCGAAAAAGAGTTCAAGTTTCCTGCCACAGCGCCCCGTTCTGTCGCTACAACTGAACGTATATCTCAGTCAGTTATTCAGCAAGGATCAAGGATCCCCGAACTCGCCCGCCATGTCCTACCGGTTCGTAAACACCTCACTAATCCTTTTGAGCATGAGTCTATTGATGTACCTTTTCTTTTTCAGCCAACTATTTTATCTCGCACAAATCGCCTCACTCACCCACCACCACTCACCCGTAACAACAAAACTCTTACTTACGGTGCGGGCATTCCCGCACCGTGGAATGTCAATACCATACCCCCCGACAACGCTGCTGCTAATTCTACGAAAGACTCTCAAACTAACGGGAAAAATGTGCCGCCTCCTGTCCTACCCGATGCTCGACTCTTCGCTACATGGGACCACGAACACAAGGACTTTCGAACACCCCTAACCCCTGCCAAACAACGAACTCGAATGGGCAATGTTCAGTCGGGCTCAAATTCGTCAGTCAATGACCTTGAGCGGAAACCTAGTGCTGGCACAATATCATTAGGTGCCAGAAGTAGAGCTTCCAGTCGGGTCGGATAACTACGATTCTATTTGTTCTCCTTCAATTGTCGTCGCACACGTTATTCGCTGTTATCATGATCATTTCAGGTGGACTTTTTCGTTGTACTGTAACTTGTCATTTTCCATATGTAGATTGTCTACATCTAGCTCCTTCCTTACGCTGAATATAGTATCATATGGTCGACTATAAGCTAAATGATTGACTAGCTACAATTATCACAGTATCAATTGCAAGAGCACTAGGATACATAGAAGGGAATTGATGAGAACTGTTGGCTCTCAAATCTTTTCATTCTATCATGTTCGATATCTTTCAAGCAGATAGCGATGCGGAGATCCACACAACTTGCACAAAAAAAAGATCATTTCAGAACTTGACATGTGTATGGATATGTAGATGTGTCTAGAATGAGAAAAATATAAAGACACGAGCTCTTCGGAGGAATACTGAGCGAACGAATACCTCAAATCTCCATCTTGGCATCATCTTCTTCCACGTCCATCTTTTCTGCATCTGCCATCTCATGCGACGCGATTTTAACCAAGGATCCTTTCATTCCAATCTTCGGTCTTTCCCTTTCCTCAATCAACAACTTCATCCGGTCCCAAACCTCCCGTGCTGCGCTCCGAGCGACATCGCGTGCACGAACCAAGTCGTCTTCGTCAACGGCCTTCGCAGACCCTGAATACGACGAATGCCAATTTGTCCAAATGCAAGATGATGCATATGTACTTGACGAAACAGAATCCGAAAACAAGAAAGCAAAGCATCCTGTTGCTTCTAATCGAGATATTGGTTCTTCTGTTGATTGGACTTTGTAGATGGGTATTCCTCCTTTGACTGGAGGAGAGAAACGGGCAACAGATACAGCACAGATTACACCGCGCATCGGGACTGAACCTGCGTTCAACAGTGACAAAGTACAACAGTTGATCATGGCCGCGACAAGTTCATCTGTGACATTCGGTGTTGGGACTAGCGCCTGCACGACAAACTGAATGAGTGTCCTTGGGTTCGCCTCCACAATGACTTCCATCTGTAAAATTTCCTTCAATATCACTGCAGCTTTTTTGGATTCGGTACCCGGGACATTGGTTAATGGTCGGACATGTACTTCAATGGTACTCTGTGAAGGCTGTTCAGAAGCAAGGCGCACTTCAATTGGGCCGGATATGCTGGTCAAGTATTGAGGATACAATCCGAATCCAAATCGCGCTGAACCATCCACACGAGAGAGAGAATCGAAAGATAGAATGAGGTCCAGGGTCATGGCGGATAGGAGGGAAGGGTGATTAGATTAGATCATATCCTACATCAAATTTTAACTAATTCGATAAGAGCTCAAAAGCGTTGACACCCTCCTTTCCCAATAGTGTTGCCACTCCCACTACTGAAGCACCGGCTTTGCGCATGCGCGTCAAAGCAGCTGGTGATGTAACCCCTCCTACTCCAATGATAGAGATACTACGTAGTCCATCTCCACTACGGTGAGTCTCCTCGTGTAAGAGTCGATGAAACGTATACACGTTTCCTAACGATAAAGCATGTATGGCATCACCTGCAAGTCCACCAACAGCAGTAGGAACAGCGAACTCTGTATCTTTCAATTCCTTTGTAGTCGCAAGGGTTTCGATAACTTGTTCAGGGAACAGAAGTGAATTCCCCAAAGTATTTGTACATGTCAAAAACGCGAACGAATTTTGTTGCCCTCCATCAGCATCCTCATAGTTGAACTCTTTCAACATTGAAATCACAGCGTCGAATTGATCTCGGTATGTGTACGGTGGTAGCTTGAGCCCAATAGTCAAAGACTTATCCTGCGTATGAGTTTCAGACAAAACTCCCAACAAAGGATAGATGGAAGATGGGATGTAACCAGAGGGGGAAGCAGAAGATACGTTTGGACAGGACGTGTTGAGTTCAATGGCTACAAGAGGTGCGAATTTAGGGGTCGAGCGCAAATCTTGAACAAGAGCAATCATCGAGCTCAACTCTTCGGCAGAGCAGGCAGTAATGCTGAGTATGAATGGTTTTATGGGCTTGACATTGGATGAGGCTACCGCATCGGACAAAATCTCCTTCACCCATCCAATATAGGAAGATAGGGGAAGTGGAGAATATCCATACGAGTTGAGTGACGACGTTGAGGAGTTGGCGAATACGACCTACACACGATGATCAGGCTTTGGCATCATATACTTGTGTAGCAAAATTTACAATGACTTACCCCACACGAAGAGATCTCGTTATATCCTTTAAGGGTGCTTGTTCGCGTGGTGACTGCACCGGTGAAGGGCGACGAATGTAGATCCTTAAGTTGATCCAAATTAGAAGCCCATGCACAAGCCGTATTGATCAATGCAGGGCTGATAGTTATACTTCCAATTTGTGCCATTGAGTACCTATGTATATGGTTATGGAAGAAGAATTTAGGGAAAGATAAGCTGGGAAATTTCCAATCTGGTGCGAATTTCACCTATCTTATTAGTATTGGCTTTACAAGGAAGTACATGTAGATTCTACAACTAATCGTCGTCATCCCAGTTGCCCGATTGTTGAGGGATTTTTGGACCACCCGCGGGTTTGCTCATGATGATACTATCTACGCTCAACACCGACACAGCAGCCTCCGTCGCCAGACGTATCGCCCAGGATTTTGCAGCCAGAGAATCATAAATTTTATGTTCAGATGCCTTCAGTGTGCCATCTGTGTCCGCCTTTACCACAAAACAGAGAGAGAGAGTTGAAGACAAGAAGATTGAATCAAAAAAAGAACTAACCTCGACATCAACACCCCACTGTGCGCCACCTTTTTCTTCGTGTTTGGCCCAAAGTCTGCTTACTACTTCGTTGGCTATTGCACCACCGAGCGCGTTTTCTGCGAGCTGCCTCGGAACGACTTCTAGAGCACTTGAATACTTCTTCACCGCATGCTGCACTAATCCCTTCAATCCACTTCCATAAGACTCGATCTTTTTCGCAAGCTCGATCTCAGTCGCGCCCGCACCAGGTACCATTCGAGGATCCTTGAGCAATGCCTTGATGACATTGACACCATCGTCGATCGCTCGTTCCAAATCATCTAAATGGTTAGCTGTAGCACCGCGCAACACGATAGTTGCCGTGCGAGTTTTTTCGCCCCCCGAAGTCGGATCGAAACCTGGTTCACCCGGGGAAAGTTGTCGTAGGACAGTCACTCTGTCTCCGCCAATCTCGACAGTTTCAAAGACATCAACAAAGCCAGCCTCTTCAGGTGTTGGGGCGCCGATTCGTGCAAGAGGAGTCGCGTTGACTACCCGACATAATCTCCTCAAGTCAAATTTGGAAAGGACCTTCAGAACGGCGATATTGAATCGATTGAGATAATGTAGCGCGAGTTCTCCAACTGATGAGCCAGCTATGATGACTTTGACGCCAGAATCTGCGATTTCTTTGAAGATCTGAAAGACATCAGCCGGTGTCCAAATAGACAGAAATAACAAATGGTTACTTTCTCCAAATGCTGTTCTTCTCCTTTCGTGAAATTGAGCATCTCATCCGCATTTTTTATAAGAACTGTTCCCTTCGTCTCTGTCTGAGCAATGTCGAGCGCCGATGTGAAGACCGCCACTTTGGCTCTCGTCACTTTTTTGATCATTGCTGTGGAACAACCAAAATCAGCGACTGACTTCGACACGTAACTTTCAAACACACTCTCTGGTTCCCGACCGAACACCATACCCTGCACTACCCGACTAGCACTTAGCCCACCACCCATTATTTTGACGACCCGTACGTTATCAACGTTGAAATTTTTGGGGTTGGGCGGCATCACAGCTAATGCGGCTTCTGCCACAAGAGCGGATAAGGTATCTTCAAATCCATATTGTTTTGAGGCAATCGCGGGCTTTAGTGCTGATGCAAGAGAAGAAGATGTCAGGGGAGAGGGAAGGGAGAATGTAGATAGTTCTGAAAAAGAGGGGTAAGCCAATGAACCTAATTGCAGATGCAAACATAGCTCACTATCGAGTTCCTCTAGGGCTTTCGTACATGCAAGCTCGTAGCCTTTAATCACTTCGGAAGGATGTAAACCCAAGACCAACAGCTGCTCGGACTTCTTTAGTAATTCTCCGGCAAGAATGAGGACTGTGTTGGTAGCGTCTCCCATCTGTAATGTAATAGTCAGTTATGGTCATGGTTATTGCTGAAATTTGAGTCACACCTCGGCCTCCTGCGCCTGTGAAGCCATAACAAGAAGTTTAGCGGCAGGATGCACGACTTCGACCTCACGAATGATCGTTGCTGCATCGGATGTAACAAATAATCGCCCGAGATGGTTAATCAGAAGTTTGTTCCTGCCTGAGTTCGAGGAAGAGAAAAGACTTCAGGGAACGCAAAGAGACATGAAGACATGGAAAGACGCGCCATTGGGCCCGAAACTGGTTCTAACGAGATCAGAAAGTTCATTCACGGCTTGGATATTGCGGAGGACTGCTTCGTCAATTCCCTGAAGATACTAAAAAGGAAAACGCGAAGAGATCACATTCTTGCAGTGATGAAGAACGAATGAGGGATGTACTTTGTATCCATCTTTGAAGAGTTGGATATTATTCGCCTTGGGAACTTTGAGAGACATTCTGATGTCAGAGTGTCGTTTTTAATTCTGTGACTGGCACGGTGACAGATCGTAAATGAGAGATGGATGATAAGTACAAATTTCAAGGCGAGGACTATAGACGGGGGTCCTATTTTGCTAAGGTTAGGGTCATTACTGATCACCAACGCGTGGCGTGTCACGCGTCGAGTGTTACGTCGTTCCAAAACAAAATTTGACTCGAATTTAGGAAAGATCGATAGCGCAAATATCCGTCAAAATTTCGGTTCTTTACCGTCTTCCACGACTTTTGTCGGCCCCTTGTACATCCATTCGCAGATTCTCAAAGAAGATGGCGCAACCTGCTGAAGCGTCGCAAACCATTGAACTGGCACAGGTCTGTCGTATGCTCCGCTAATGCGCTGGCCTTTCCTGACTCTATAAATTCAGACTGGCAAACGTGATTATTTGAAGGCTCTTGAAACAAAGTATCAAGAGCAATGGGCTTCCCAGCATCTCTTTGAAGTAAACGCGCCTTCTCCGTCAGAACTCCAGGGTTTGTCCAAGGCAGAGGCAATGCAAAAATATCCTAAATGGTTTGGGAACTTTCCCTATCCTTACATGAATGGCAGCCTCCACTTGGGGCATGCGTTTACGATTTCCAAAATTGAATTCGCAGCAGGATATCAGAGAATGTTGGGCAAGCGGGTATTGTTTCCTCATGGCTTCCATGTAACAGGTCTGCCTATCAAAGTCTGTATCATTCGCACAACATACCCCAATCAACTAATGCTGTTATAGGCTTCAGCCGATAAGCTCGTCAGGGAAATTGAAATGTTCGGAGAGGACTTTGAAGACTTCGAACGCGTCCAGGCCGATATTATGCGTCAAGCAGAGGCGGAAGAACCTTCCTCGTCTGAAGTTGGTGATTCAGCCACAATAGACAAATCTAAGGGAAAGAAGGGAAAAATTGTAGCCAAGTCGTCTGGTCACAAATATCAGTTCCAGATCTTGTTGTCAATTGGCGTGCCTCGTTCAGATATCAAAAAATTCGCAGACCCTATGCACTGGCTAGTTCACTTTCCTCCAATCGCCATAGTGGGTCTAAATATAATTATCTTGAAGGCGACTCTTGACTTGTATCACCGTCATAGGAAGATCATACAGCATTTGGTAGCCGGATCGACTGGAGACGAAAGTTTTTGACGACGAAAGCGAATCCTTACTACGATGCTTTTGTTCGCTGGCAAGTAAACAAGCTGTACAAATTAGGCAAAATCAAGTTTGGAGAACGGTACACCATCTACAGTCCCAAGGACGGCCAGCCGTGTATGGACCACGATCGGCAGGATGGAGAAGGTATTGGGCCACAAGAGTATACCGCTATCAAATCGGAGGTCATCGAATGGAGTTCGGCTGCCAAAAACTTAATTGAAGGAAAAGTTGGTGGCCGGAAGGTGTACATGGTCGCTGCAACATTGCGACCAGAAACTATGTCAGGAGCTCATATAAGGATTCGTTTGTATCTGGTTCTGAACCCCTTACAGGTATGGTCAGACCAATTGCTTCGTCGGTACTTCTATCAAATACGGCATCTTCGCCGTCAATGATAAAGTGGCTTACCTATGCACATATCGCGCTGCTCGAAACATGGCCTTCCAGGGGGTGACCGAAATACGTGGAACTATTGACCAGCTCCTCGAGATTGATGGTTCAAAACTTGTCGGTACCAAGATTCGAGCACCTTTCTCCATTAATCCCGAGGTGTATGTACTACCTATGGACAACGTGCTGGCGACAAAGGTTCTCATCCATCCTTTCTGACAAGCAGATGAACTAACTTCGATTTCGAACAGGGTACTGGTGTCGTCACATCCGTCCCCTCCGACTCACCAGACGACTTCCAAACTCTAACTGACCTCCGCAAAAAAGCTGATTTTTACAAGATTGACCCATCGTGGGCAGCGATCGACCCTGTTCCCGTCATTTCTACTCCGACTTATGGCGATCTCACTGCTCCTGCAATTGTAAAGCAATTGAAGATTCAATCTCAAAAAGATACAAAGCAGCTTGCCGAAGCAAAAGAGATCGCGTACAAGGAGGGTTTCTATAGTGGTACGATGTTGGTCGGGGAGTTCAAAGGCCAGTCTGTTCAAGAAGCGAAGCCGAAAGTACGAGAGAGTATGATTCAAGCAGGGTTAGCATTCGCATATGCGGAACCCGAGGGTATGGTCACCTCCCGGAGCGGGGACGAGTGCATCGTCGCCTTGATGGATCAATGGTACTTGGATTATGGCGAACCAATGTGGAGATCACAGGTGGAAAAGTGAATCGGTTTCTGCCCTTAGAATTCTCATAAACTAAAAAACCTCTTTCTATAGGCACGTCGCATCAATGGAACTCTATGGGCCTGAAACTCGAAATGCATTCGCAAAAACCCTTGCTTGGCTAAATCAATGGGCTTGTGCACGAACATATGGACTGGGGTCGGATATGCCCTGGGATCCTCAATACTTAGTCGAGTCTTTGAGCGACTCTACAATCTATATGGCATATTATACTGTGTCGCAGCTCTTGCATGGTATGCAACTAGCATGTCAGCCCTCTTTCCTTGTTGATGTTTATCTACAGAAAACAGTATCGATGGCTCTAAACCTGGACCGCTTGGTATAACTGCGGACCAAATGATAGATGAAGTCTGGGAATACGTGTTTTGCGATGGACCGTGGCCTTCCTCTGCCTCACTACCGCAGGAAAAAGCTGATGCTTTAAAACACGAATTCAACTACTTTTACCCATTCGATATTCGCTCGTCTGGAAAGGATTTGATCAACAATCACTTATCATTCGCCTTGTACAACCATGTCGCCATTTTCCCTCAAGACAAGTGGCCCATAAGCATTCGTACGAATGGGCATCTAATGTTAAATGGTGCGAAGATGTCCAAAAGCACAGGCAATTTCCTAACCCTTCGGGACGCCGTGAACAAGTTTGGCGCTGATGCATGTCGTCTTGCCTTGGCTGATGCTGGTGATGGTATTGAAGATGCTAATTTTGATGAGAAGAACGGAAACGCCAACATTTTGCGTGTCCACACCTTGTTGAGTTGGTGTGAAGTGAGTCAATCCTTAACTTTTCACTCGCACATTTATTCATGTGTTTTTTTAGGAAATGATCAAAGACGAGGCCAACCTACGACATGGACCACGTAACTATCACGACGAAGTCTTCGAGAATGAGATCAACGACCTCATCAATACCACTCAAACTCATTACGATGCGTGAGTCGCTTTTACTTCTCATATCTGCAAAGTACTGGAAGGTCATACGAAATAAAATTAGACTCAACTTCAAAGACGCTCTCAAGTTTGGTTTCTATGAACTCCAGAGTGCACGCGATTGGTACCGAGAAGTCACTTCTGATGTAGGTATGCATGTCGACCTAGTCCGATACTGGATCGAAATTTCTGCTCTTTTGGCTGCACCTATCGCCCCTCACTTCGCCGAACACATTTATATCGAGATACTCAAGAAGCCTACATCTATCCAGCTCGCCCGCTGGCCAACACCCCAAAAGCCTGTGGACAGAACTCGCATCGAGATTGGACAATACATGCGCGGGACGGTCAAGATGATTAGAGATGCTGAAACAGCCCTGGTGAAGATGCTCAACAAGAATAAAGGCAAAGGGAAGGGTGCTACAGCTTCATTTGATCCCAAGAAGCCAAAAAGTGTGAGGGTCTACGTGGCGACGAGCTTCCCAGCATGGCAGGAGAGTTGCGTGCAAGCTGTGAAGGCTGCGTATGACTCCGAGGCAGACAAGGTCGACGACGCAAAAGTGCGCGCCTTACTGACGGAAAGCGGGTTGATCAAGAACAAGCTAGCAATGCCTTTCATACAAGCGTTCAAGGTAGACCGTTTTTTTCTATTTCTACCAATTGTCTCACTATATTTAACCTCGAATAGAAACGAATGGCTCAACTTGGCGCTCAGACTGCTTTTAGACGGACCTTGCCCTTCTCTGAAAAGGTTGTTCTTACTGAGCTTTTGCCATACTTGAAGAAGACGCTGAGCTTGGTGGACGCCGAAATTTTGTCCGTGGACGAGGCACATGCTAAAGAAAACGAGGCAGGATACAGCAAGTCTATCATCGATAGCTCAGAACCAGGCAGCCCTGCATTCGAATATCGAAATGTGTAGGAGTGTTTCGGTATCTAGATTAGAGTTGATTGCCAAAGAGAAGAGCATTTTGAAATCACCCTCTGTATTGGATCTATGTAAGCAACTGGGACAAGGGGGAATAGTGAGAATACTACAGTACATACAGATACTATTGCTACAACAAGAATTCAAGAATTCGTAAAAAGGTTAATGTAGCAAGAAAATAGTCTCAATGACAGCGAAGTGTATACCAAAATCATACAAACGTCCGTAACGCAGGTATCGATTGCATAAAAACACTCTTGAACTGCTCCTCGTTCATCAGTCTGGGATATGAACCACTGGACAGATCCAGATAACGAAGCTTCCAGTCTGAATAATGACGATGCTTCATTTCCTCGATGAACCTCCTAACTTGCCCTTCATCCTGATCGCGATCGCTATTGGACCGACCACAGAATAGTGGCACGTCACCTTCAGAAGGAACGATGGATTTTACGAGCAGCTCAAGTTTGTCCATTTCTGGGAACCTTTCCGCGAAGAGGTCAATAAGCTGGGGACTGAGGGTAACTGGGCCTATTCGTGCATGGTGGAGAGCTTGTTTCTGACAAGATGGAGGGAAAGCGGCTGTTAGAAGGTCGAGGTCCTCATAGGCCAGATGCGAGCCGGTGAAGACGAGTGATGTCAAAGTGTTCGAGAAGGTTCTGACACAAATAAGGGCAGATTCAAAAGGGACTAGGTAGAGGCTGATTTCGAGTTTGGTAATGCAAGCTAAATGAACCTTAGAGAAGGTCTGGTCCATCCATGCACCGAGCTGAAGCTCATTATGCATCATTAAGCTGCGACCTCCTAGCTCGGACGCACGAATAGACAATGTTCGCAACGTGTTCGAGTGGGCGTTCAAAAAACCAATTAGACCGTCAGGATTACCCAGGTTGGGAAAACTCATCGGAATCGAGAGGGATAATTTGTCGAGTAGAGGAAGATAAGAAATGGCGGCAAACAGAAGTGAGAGATCAAACGGCTCCCAAAGTTGAACTGTGAGTTTGCGAAGGGATGAATGTAGTGAGCTGATCATATGAGCAAGCATGAGGAGAATGTTATCGTAACGGTCAGCATTGAGGTGTTCAACGCGGATGAAAAGATCTAGCTCTTGAAGCTCTGGAAGGGACTGGTTATGAAATGACGATAACACGTATTGAAGCTTTTCGAGAGAGATCTCGAGACGAAGACAACGCAAATTCAATCGTAAAGGTGACGAGAGAACGAGTGCAGGATCACTTCCAACCGACGGCAAACCGCACCATAGAATATGATAGTCAGTGAGATTGGGGAGCCCGCTGAAGATTTCCATCATGACTTGCATGAGGTCGCGGCATGTTTTGAATTTGAGTGGAAGACGCGGTTTTTGCTTCAAGATCAGCTTTTTCTGGTCGCGTATAAGGCCAGCGAGTTCGCCGAATTTGGAAAGCAAAGATTGAGATGAAGATAGATCCATCGTATCTAGAGCATCCTTGACGAAATGTGGATATAGATGCAATATTCGAACACGTTTCGCGACCGGTGGGTCTCTATTATGTGCGGTCAGTGACAACGCTGAGACTTCACTGTTGTAATTACTCACTTAAGACGTGCCAATGTCCATATCATCTTTCTACTGAGATAGGAAAAGCTGATTTGTTGATAGCGCTGATCCATAGCGACATTGAAAAAGGCACTGTTGACACTGTAAAGCTCCTGTATGGCCAGAGGGGAGATATAATCGATGATTTGTAACCAGACATCGTTTGGGAGAGACATCCAGCAAGACTGGTTCGTCGAGGGGAATGATGGGGCATGAACAGCGCAGTAAGAAATAAACTGACTTCTATAAGGGCTTCGGTGACAGCTCTGACAAGTGCAAGTTAAGGCCTGTTAAAATCTGTCGAGCCTCAGTTGATGGCCGCCATCCGGAATTACACTTCGCATACGTCGTTAACGATCGTTCCTTTTTTTTGTTCTTGCATCTTTTTTGTCTTCGTATATATGTATATGTGCTACCATATCTCATAGTAACAATTGCATAGTGCTGTCCAGGTAAAAAACACAAGAAGAAAAACAAAAATCTGATTGAATATTGAATCTAGCCTAATAGGTGGTTAGGTCACGCTACATCAGCTTTTTTCCGAAATCCGACTGACACTGACATCCAGTCAATCCGCTTCACCCTATACCCATCCACACCTTTTCTTAGGTTATATTGAACCTTCTCTGAGTCAATTCATTATTCGTCGGCCTTGAATATTCCTAATTGCTGTATCTCCCTTCTGGAAGCCCGACGAAGTTTGTCCGTAAGTATACCAATTCGATTCCGACCGCCGTTCTTATTTTCAAAGTTTACAACAATTCGGCACGTTTGAACTTTGAGCTGCAAGACTTCGAGTCGAGAGTGACATTTTTACACAATCTTCGCTGCCAGTGCCTCGAGGTTGAAGGGTTCGACGTTCGCGGCAGACAGCTGACTGCTCGATGGAAGAGTAGATAAGCGGCATTTTTGCACGTCCCGCGTTTACAAGCCACGGAGCTCATATCATCTTATATACTCAACATGTAATTAATCCCTGTATAATCCTCTTTTCTTTACGGTGAGTGCAACAATTACAATTTACCGCCGGCTTGTTTAGGCTTTAACATTCCACGGAATGGACAGTGAATGGACTTGATCAAGGGCCAGGTCCAGACAAGTCCAGGCCGATACTCCCTGCGACGCTACCTGACGTCACAATTTTCGTGTAAATCATTGTACTTACACTAAACTGGATTTCTATTCACGGTCCTAAAGGCTAAAGCACTCCACTATAAGTTGTATCCAGGTTGTAACAGATATTATATATATGTATATACCTCTCCCCATGGTATTTACACAACCCTAGTATCATGGTTCCTCCGACGTCCGACATTGTACAAACAACGTCCCTATACTTACTAGGTCGCACTCGCCTGCTCATTGAGATTCCCACTAGCTCAAAATAGGCAAGCATGAGTGAATCTTGGGTTCGGCCACTCCAAAGATATCATTCTCCGCGAGAGAAATAAATATATAGTCGATATTCCTTCCGGATCCCATAGTTAAAAATGTGAAGTGCAAAAGCATGTTCCCATGAATACATCCTGGTAACACTCTGTAACACTATCTTTCTCTCAAATCCTTCCCTTGAGTTACTTGAGATGTAAAATTTAATCAATCTTTGCGTCCGACAAGCGCAGATTCAAACCACATAGTGAATCTGGCAACAGAGGGGGTTGAGGCTGGTTGAGGAAGGGTGAAAATCAAGTGAGTTTGACTCACTCCAAAATCACCGAGATTACTTGGATCAGCACATTGAGCAGCCTCTTATTCCTCAACACAAGGTATTGTATCTGTACAGCATAGAATTATCATATGTATATATCGAGATATAAGCGTATACTAATTACAATGTCTGGGTATTGATAATAATTAGCAAAGCACAGGTCCATACGCAACAGCGACCAATTGGTAAAACTAATAAATACCCCTGGGACTCCTCGTTGGTGGATAGCCAACCTGAGTTGACGCAGCCTCGAATGCAGCTTGTGAAGAAGACGCAGATAGATCAGACCCCATCCTTACTTCATTCGGAGGGCGTTTATGCTCAGAACCCAACAACGACTGCATCATTTCATCTTGTTCAGGCTTGCTCGACATCCTCTTCGAATCCCTAGATGACGACGACACACTAGCAGCAGTAGCAACAATTGCTCCTGTCCTCTTATCAATACTAAACCGCAAACCGCTCAACTTGCGTTCCAGTGTCTCTTCGTCGTCGGTCGGCATGAGAAGTTCACCGAATCCAGAATGGGCAGACAAAGCAATGGTGGCGGCGATTGTACCGGGAGGTGTGGAAAGGTATAGCCCTCTGCGTTGTCGTCGGCTGATAATGTGTACCAAGACCCCCACGAGTCCGATGAAAAAGAGGAAAAAGGCCAAAGCGTGACCAGGTAGAGGACTGAGAATTATGAATACCACTGCGACGGAAGAAAAAGGTTCAACATACTTGATAGTCAGTCTTGGGGCTATCGACGACAATTGAGCATCCATCGTACTGTCTTGTGGTACAAAATAGATGGATTGTGCAACTACTGCCAAATAAAGCGTCTGTCATGCTTCGTAAGTGGCTCATGTTGAGCAATTGCTTTTAAAAAAACAATACGAACATAGACCGTGTTTGTGATATCCAGAAAGGAATTGTCGGCGCTGAAGACGGCATCGGCACCACCAGGAGATTGGGCCGCAAACCTAAACATTGCACCAGGGACACCGTTTGTGGTCGCAGTCGCTCGAGCCTGAATGAAAGGATCCGTTTGATTCTCGAATATGACACTAGCAAATGGAGTACTTGTAAAAAATCACTCGAAGGGAAAAAGAACGTAACTAACCCATTGAATGGACTATTCGCAAAGGGGCCAGTGACGTTGTTAGACGGTACATTGCTATCCAGTTCCAGCACACCAACCACAGACTGGTTGTTCAAGTTCGCCGTCGCCTCCACATTAAATAGCTGCAAAGTAGGTTTGCAAAAGACCGTCCTGGCCTCTGGGGTACCGTCTGCCGCATGATGAAAGAACCTACGAAGTTTATAGAGAACGTTAATATCACATCTTACGACCGTGGAAGCAAGATGACAACCGTACCAGAACATGACAGGTCTTTGTGTAATGTTGAGTTGGCTGCAGGTATCAGGGACGTTCACAACACCATACTGTTGCGAGGAAACCTGTTGAGTTCCATTCAAGTTAGATACGACCGCTTATTGTCAATACCGCAGCGACAACGAACAGCTGTATTAGATGCCTCTGCCGTCTGTGTGCACCCGTCTGCCGATGTGGAGTTGATGATAAAGCCGTCATCAGTTGCTGTAAGAGAAGGAGTGCCTTCTGGGCCCAGGCAATTGGTCGTCGTTTGAATGGCTGTTGTGTTGACTGTCATGGTACCATTCAGGTAATCTTTACTAGGGAACTACAAAGAAGGAATGATATGTTTGAGAACTGTTCTTCGATTGAAAGAAAGATTGGTCCAATACCTCAAACTGAGCAATGGTCCAGCTGTTGCGAATGAACGGTGGATCAGGCAGACTGTTGAAGACAGCGGCCTCGGCAAACTTTGATAAGAAAAGAATCAGGGATCATCTATATTTTGGATATAGAATGACGCACTCCCGCGGAAGAAACGAAAGCAGTCAAATCGGAGAAATCCGCCAATCCAATAGCTCGCGTGCTGTTGACCGTTGTATCTTGAGATTGAGGACGTTCATACACAATTCTCATTTTCATAACATTAGAATTCACCTGTCGGTGTATTCAGGTTCTGAAGCTGGAACATGGATCCAGCTGCAAACCAAATGAGCAACATAGAAAAGGCTATATGATATAGCAGAAGTGTCTCACCAAGTGGTTGCAGGATGTACGTCGCAAGTGCAGTCAGAGTGGACCAAGTTATGACGCGATGTTTGAACTTGGCAGAATTTATGATACTCAAAACCGGGCTGGAGTAGACAAGCATCAAATGTCTTGTATTCACAGTTCATAGCAATGATACTGACCCAAGGGTGACCTGAGATGTAGAATGAGCATTACTGAGAGGTTGCTGATAGAAGACACAGGACTCACATAATCCAACAGTACTGACTCCTGCGGCTTCGCATTACCACGAGACATGACAACGTATGGCTATACATGCGTGACAGTCAGAAGACACATCGGAGTCTCGAGATGTAGAGAACAACGTACTTGATACCATCTGATATGCCAATCCAACACGCGGTAAAACCAAGCTGGGGGGATGACGATCCTAATGTGAACGATTTAATAAGAATAAATTCAGAGTCTCTACACTACTTGCATCGTAGGAACGAATGACTGGAAGAAAGTCAGCTTGTGTATTATGCACCTTATTTTGTAAGACAGAACACACCAATAAGAATTGTGCTGAAGCAAAGCTGATCACATTCTTCTCCGGTACGCTGAATCCTGAAAATAAACTCCTTAGTTATCCACATTTGAAAGACAGAGATAAATATGAACCGTTGTGTCTCTGTGAAAAGAGAATTGCCGCCTCTAGTCCCACAGCCAGCAGAAGCAAGGATAATGGCACGCCGATCAGTATGGGCAAGCGCAAAGCCACAGGAATCTGGATGAAGATTACTCATTTTGAATACGTCGATGTAAAGCCCAAGGTCCATACATATTGATTTTTCTTCCTATCCGTAGTCGGAAGGAGATGCGTTAAGTCTTGCGCTTCACCCGTGGCAAGGCTTGGACCTGCCTGACTTCCAGCGACACCTGAATAAGCGGTTTCGGAATTGTGGTACGCATACGATTGTGCTTTGGTGGGGGTCCGCGAGCCATCGGTAAATGGATAGTCATACTCCGATGCAAGGTGTGGTTGGTGTGGCGCAGCCGCGGTGAGTGTTGCTGAACTGGGGGATAACGCCATAGTAGAGAAAGACGAAAAGTGTGAGGACTAGTTTGAAATCCAGCAGGGATCAAGACAAAAGCCGTACAGTCAAATTGGATTCAACCAGTGTTGGCATGATGGTTGATCGAAGAACTGCCCGCCGGCCCAAACCGAAACAAGGAATGGGTTCCACACTGGTTCCACATTTATTTATTCAACGCATCCATCGTCGTTGCTTGTTGAGAACAGATTTACTGAGCCCTGACTGAGCCAGTGACTTTATAACAATTGATATATGGTGTCGAGTGTTATTGACGATAATCTGTATTTTCTCGATACATACGTACATATGTATGTATGTAAATAAACTTATGAGGACAGATAGGGACAGATTGAGGATAAACAAATTATCTCTGCTGTAGCTGTGTCACCGACATCGCCGACATCGACCCAGGTTCTCCGATGAAATTACCCTGAAAGAAAAGATGCTGCACAAGACGGACAGTACGCCGAAGAACGTGTCCAAATCACCGTCTCGTGAGGCGCAAAAGCGCTACCATAAAGACAAATGTAATTGTCACTGCAACGACAGCAAAAATAACAAGACAAGTGGTGGATCCACTCTTTCCCTTGTGATCCCTAAGTCTCACTCTCTCTTTCTGCATGACACCAAAGTTGCTGTCCAATTTCATCTGCGTTTCTTCAACAATGGATTTGTCCTCCACAAGCTTTTCCGAAAAATTCTGTGCATTCTTTCTCAACTGAAGAGCCATTTGCACTAGCTGCTCCGACATGGCTTCGTGTCTCGCTTTGGAATTTTCTAGGAAAGCTCCACTGGCTATCGCGGTGGACTTGGTAGCAGTCGGTAAAAGCGGTGATGCAAGTGTTGGGATAGGCCACGCAATACTTGCTGACGGTGAGTCGAACGGCGATGTGAGCAGACTGTCAGTGGATATAATTGACGTATTTTGTGGAGGTTCTCCTTGCATTTCCGATAGAGGATCTGGATTCGGGATATCGAGCGCAGGCTGTGGTATACTTGGAAGTATAGGCTTGGGTTTGGTACTTTGGGGCATAGAGCGCTAGACATAATGAGCAACTTGATGAAATACGTTGGTTTAATGGTGACACCTTTTGCACAGATTCGAGAAACGTCTCAAACCGCTCGAGGCTTAATCGAATATTCTCATAACGTTGTGAATCCTCGCTTGAAGTAAGTTGAGCACCGATCTAAGCCGTAGAACGAAATACACATACGCAGATATGCCAGACAACTCGACATTCACCAATAATCTCTTTGCAAACTTGACATTCTAGACAAAGATTATTAGAATGGGCTGAAGAAGTATATTGATTGACGAAGCACCTGCAAGGTCTCCAGCGACTTTAACCACAACTCACTCACAGCGGGTTGTTCCCAGTCCTGTCCATTAACGGCCTTCTCAAGCCTTCGTATCAGTCTTGTCAGGTTGATGTCGTCGCGACGAGCTGAATGCATATTGGAAAATGACATAATAGTAATACTCAGAAATACATGACTTAACTGCGGTGCCGCCGAAGAATTACGCCATCAAATTCCGACATAAACTTTCCTCTATAGTCCTTTCCCTGCTTTCCTTTGTTGTATATTTTCATCTTCCAACCGGATATCCTTCACGATGTCAACACAATCCCGCGATATCTCTTCTCGCTCTAAGAGCTCTTGCGATTCGTGTCGAGTTCGAAAGTTCGCGCTTTAACTTCAAAACTATGATAAGTCTTACTAAATTTACCCTCTCCTTAGAGTCAAATGTAAGAATCTTCTCTCTCTGTTTCGACGCTGTATCCCGAAACTATGACATAGGCGATAGCGCTGAACGGGGAGGAAGGCCATGCTCTAAATGCGAGGCTTCAGAGATCGAATGCAAGTTCACATATACACGCAAGGTACTTATTCAAAAAGCCTTCTCCAAGCCGAAACTCACGTCTAGCAGAAACGAAGACCCAATCTGGCACCACGATCGCGAAAATATGGTGTAGACGCAGTCCAAGTCCTCGTCGAAAACATTGTCTCTTCCTTGGACGACTATTCCATCCCTCAAGATCCTGAAAGTGTTCGTGAAATGCTCATATCTATGGCGAAATACGCCCGTTCTCTCGAGCTGCGAATAAATCATTCTACTCAAGCAACATCCTCTACGACTTCGAACTCGACCCTGGTTGTCAGTGCAGATTCTGTTTCTCCCGAGAGCAGTACCAAAATTTCCTCCGAATCTGGATTGGTATCTGGAAGTTCAGATAAGGAAGATAGCGAAGGCGAGCAATTGATGGAGAACTTCAAAACCCTTTCCATTGGTCCACAGCAGCGCCATTTTGGAAGATCAAGCACCTACATGTTTCTCTATGGTTCAATGGAAATCAATGGGAAAGTAAAATCACATATGCCGCTCGAGTATGATTTGAAACCAGAGCTTTGGGCTACAGATATCGTGAGTTTACCCACTTTCTGTGCCGAAAACCTGTTTCAAACACCTCAATAAAACTGCTCTGCTAGTGGAAATGGGTGCCAGAACCCGAAGAACCACACTATACTTTCCCGGACGATGATCTGCTTTGGGATCTCATCAAAATTTACTTTGAGCAAATTTCTCCGTACTCTTTCCCTCTTTTGCATAAACCTACTTTTGAACGCGCGGTCACTTCGGGTCATCACCTCAGTGATCACAATTTCGGAGCTACGGTGCTTGCGGTGTGTTCACTAGCTTCAAGGCATTCTGACGACCCACGAAATTATATCAACGCGATGGACTATGAACAGCTAATAGGATGGAAATGGTTCCGTCAAATACGACTTGTCAGACCAAGTTTTGTCGATACGGTATCGCTTTACGAACTTCAGCTGTACTGTGTATGTATAGAAGTTCTTTGTCGAGTCTACGAATCATCGACTTATTGTCGTGCTCTAGCTTGCTTTTTCATACTTATCGTCCACAACTATCGCAGATGCCTTGTGGCCTTTGATCGGGTTAGGCATACGCTTTTCCCAAGAGAGAGGTGTTCATCGTGCCAAACCAGGGCCTCGAACTCCAGAGAACGAATTGTGGGTTCGAGCATTTTGGTGCTTGATAGGTCTTGATATCATACAAGGTATTACTTTCGGACGGCCACCTGCCACAACACCGAACGAGTACGTTACCGACCTCACTTGCAAAATAATATAAGCTCACTCCGGTGCTTTATGCCTTCCAGTTTCGACGTAGATCAACCTGCGGAGTGCGATGACGAATATTGGGAATGCTCTTCTGGAGAACAGTTCATCCAACCACCGGGAAAACCTTCCATGCTATCCTTTGGTGTACACTACAACAAATTATTGCAGATCGCCGGGTCTATTCAAAGAACCATTGTCAGTTAACTAATGTTGCTCTTGCTGTCCTGTCATACTAATAAGGCTTATATAGTACGCTGTCAAGCGTCCTGACTCGAACCAGTTTGCGTGTAAGCACCCACACGAACAGTCGAGTATTGAATGGAATCAACGACAAGTCATTAAGCACGACTCCGCCTTGAACCAATGGTTGGATTCACTACCTGAGCATCGTATGTTTCGCTCCTTTTCTTCTTTCTCATGCCTTATTTGACGTATTCGGCACAGTACGCTGGGATCCTCATCGCGTGAACCCAGTCTTCTTCTCTCAAACAGTAATCCTCCATCACACCTTCTATTTTGTGCAGATGACACTGCATAAAAAGTTTGTTATGCGAATCACACAACCTTTGAACTATTCTTCAGATTCTGGATCCAGTCCCGAATCAAATACCACATCGAACACTAGCTCGACGCACAAATCATCGGCATATTTGGAGATGAGAATGAGCTTTCCATCCTTGGCTGTATGCGCCAACGCCGCACGATGTACGGTCAATATCTCACAAGCTCACCACCAACGGGGGTTGCATCCTTTGCCGTGGACATTGATGACTCTGCCTCATGCCGCTTCGGTCCTTCTCGTCGCGCTCTGGAGAAGCAAACATTCAACCGGATCAGGCTCAGCGGCATCTAGGAAGGAGTTGGCTGATTTACAGAGATGTTTTGCACTGCTAATAAGTTACGAGAAAAGACATCAGGCCGCCGGACGAATCGTGTAAGTGCATACTTCAAGTGTAAGTGTTTATCATGATGCCCATAATTTCTTCTTAGGGACAAGTTCGCTGCATTACTTAGAGCTGAAGGACTTGATTCAATACCTGATCCCCCTCATCCATCTGGCATGAAACGCTCCAGGCCGGACGACTTAGAACCGGATCTGGATTGGCCTACTGCCGCTCAATCTCATGATATCGTCCCGCAAAATGGTTTTACTAATCGAGACCTCAGAACGTTGGGGAATAGAGTAGGAGTACCTGCTCCCAGTTGGAATTCGATTCCCCTAAACCATGAACCAGGCGTATCTAATCTAATTACAACGCTTCATGATATTCCCTCAACGGAACCACCGTCTACTCTCGCCGGATTGGAGATATGGGCAGATCCGCCTCAGTCTTCTGGCTCTAACGCTTCCACGACTGGATCACCGAATGGAAATTTGACAATCAATGCCATGGCCAGCAGTGGAATTTATGGAGTTGGGGTAACGCCATCCGCTAATGCGCTGGCTCCCCATGTTGTTCAGAACCAAACACGACCGCTGGACGCTAGTGAAGTGAAAAATGGCCTCTATGACGGTGGGACTTCCCTGGTCTCATTTATAAACTGATCTTTGAGCTGACAATCGCGAAGGATTCTACCAATATATAGATAATGGGGGTCTGCCAACCACTTTCAATGTTGCTGGGATTGACCCAAATAGTGAAACCGGGATTGAACAATTGATGAACACACCCGACCTGGAGGATTGGAATACGTTCATGCGAAATGTAGATGAGGCTTTGTTTGAAGTAGGACTTGGACGTTGACACTCTTTAACTTAGTACCTATGGTTGATAGTATATACTATATATGTAACTTGATGTTGATCATAAATAATCGAGGATTGTACTTCATCCCACCCAGTGGGCTTTCGAACTTTCGTTCTGGTGTTAACTCTCGCAGTTATGGGTCTTGCCAAGATGTGCATTTTCGATAGCCAAACCGATCTGGATGATGCTAGACGTACAGATAGAGTGGAGAAGAGGTAAGAGTATGTATGGTACTATACGAGACAATTGCAATAATGAGCATGGAGATATGGACAAAGACAGATAGGAGGAAGAAAAAGTAAACATTAACAAAGAAAACACCAAGACGGCACATGCAGACAACTCAGGGAATGTTTTTCACTGCCAATACTGCCTCTGCTGGTAATAATATCCTGCATCGTTCTGGCCCTGAGGATATAGCGGAGCACCATGTGCGCTTTGTTGAGGAGCACCAACTCCTGCGCCAACACTGCTACCACTACCAAAACGGTTCCCACCATAAAAGCCTTGACCTTGTGGACCACCTTGACCACCTTGACCTTGTCCCTGGCCTTGCGATTGTGCCTGACCTTGACCTTGACTTTGTTGAACATTCGGTCGCCCAACCCCAACATCCTTGGGAGCATAAGGCTTATACGCTGTTTCAGGAGATGCCCCACTTCTGGGACCTGCGCCAGAACCGGATACGACCCCAGCAGAAACACCACTCCCAGCGCCACTCATATAACCTTGTAATGCGCCTTGACCGCCATACAGCTGCTTAGAATAATCCTGGCCTAAACCGAGACCGTGCGAGTTGTGATGTTGATGGCCTTGTTGCTGGTGGTGTTGTTGCTGCTGCTGGGTGTGTTGCTGGTAGTCATCGTATCCCTGCTGCTGCCCATACAAACCCCCACCGTAACTCTGTGGCTGGACGCCGATACCACTATGACTGATCACGCCGCCGGGGCCATGCACGCCCATTCCGGGAGAAGGTTTGCCTGCGGGGCTCGGGGCGCTTCCTGGTGGAACAGGGTATATCGTAGGATATTTGCCTAAACCATAAGGCTGTGGAACGCCCATTCCCCCAACACCATATCCATAATTCGAGGGAGCGGCACCATAATAAGAGTTTTGAGGAGGGAAAGGTTGATAATAGAATGTGGGGAGGGGGGCAGCAGGATGATATCCGGCAGGGGCAGACCCTTGGCCTAGTTGAGGTTGCCCTTGGGACGAGACAGACGTAGCGGGAGATTGTTGAGATTGTGGTACAGACGACTGGGATGACACAGAAGGTGGAAGGCTAGTAGAAGTACCTGTGGAGACGGTTGAGGGTGCCTGCTGCCCTTGTTGTTGGGAAGGAAGGCTACCCTTGAGATCGTCGTGTCCGAGTACACCACGTCCGAAGGTATTAGGCTGATAAGAGTCATAAAAGTTCTAAAGACCGATATATTTAGATAAGCACAGGTGAAGCAGAAATTAGGCGACTCACCCTCTGTCCACCTTCATAACCATAATTGTCAAATGCACTTAGACTTTGCTGCTGTTGATGGCCCAATCCTTGACCACCAAGTCCACTCATTCCTCCCAAGCCACCCATGCCCCCTAAAGTTCCCTGGCCCATGCCACTTAAGCCTTGTCCTAAACCTTGACCACCAAGACTTTGAGAACTCAACGCACTTCCGAACGCTCCGTAGCCATTGTTGTCCTGCATAGGTGGGGTAGGTGAATGATGGAAACCACTGCTAACACCTGCTGAGATGTTATTGCCATATGAAGACTGTTCATTCTGCCGAAGGTAGCTTTGTTGTTGCTGAACTTGTTGAGGTGAACTTTGGGCTTGCACTTGAGCTTGAGAAGATTGGTCGATATGTGTAGGTAAGCCAAGCTGTGAGTAATGGTGGTGAGAAGGGAGGTTTTGCGACTGAGTTTGGGCAGCCTGTTGCTGAAGCTGCTGCGGCAGCTGCGCAAGAGAGGGCGTCTGAGGGAGAGGCTGGGACGAAGCAGCAGCCTGCTGGAACGATTGCGCTGGAGAGTTAGAAATGCTGGTGGCTACTGAAGAGGACACGGTAGGTTGAGAAAGACTGGTCTGAATGGGCTGTGACTGCGACTGATACAGGCCACTGTTCAGAGAAGTAGAAGGCGGAGGAGGTGCTACAGATATTGGTTCGGGGGCTGACATCGAAGCCTGGGCAGCAGGAGTACTAGATGCTTCCACGGTTTCAATTTCAGGCTCAGGTTCAGGTTCACTGGTGCCACCCAAACTGAGGCTCCCAAATTGCATACCAACTTTTTCTACGCCAGCAGATTTGAGCTCTCCAAACGAACCGAAAGATGAGATACCAGACAGGTTGGCGCCAATGGAGGAAGGCGTGGGAGGCATCACAACGCCCCCTTGATCGCTAGCAATCTTGGCGTAATTAGAGTAACGCGCGCTGTTACGCTGGGAAATAGGTGCAGGACGCGTAGCGACCTTTGATGGGGTAGAGGGAGCAGGGGTAGGGGGAGCGGATGGTGCTGCTGCTTGTTCGTGAACAGTAATTTCAGGGGGTTTCGATGCAGTGATTTCTCTCAGAGCTGGGACAGTTTCAGGCTCTGATTTCTGTTCGGGTTCTTTTACTGGCTCCGGAGCAGCTGCAGGTGCCGAGGGTTCTTCGTCGAAAGAAGGATTCTCTACTGTGGTAGGATCCTCCCAACCAGTGCTAATCGTGGGTTCGGCTTCAGATGGAGCGGGTACAGGAGTAGATGCAGAAGTGAGATGATTGACTGTCGTAGATTCGAGGGGAGCAGGAGGGTGAATAGTAGTCACGGGAGGTTGTGGAGAGGGATGTTGAACCACAGGAGCAGGTGGTGCAGCAGGCTTTTCTTGGGGCCGAGCAATCTGGGCCCAAGAAAGTTTTGACGTGGCAGGACTTTTTGAAATCTGTTTCGCTGAGAGGGGTGAGGCAGCTTGAATGGAAGTGCCGAAGGTAGATCCATTAACATGTGCGGGAAGAGCGTTGTCAGGATCAGCATCTGTGTTACCCCATGCAGACGAACCTCCCCAAGCAGAAGAAGCGGAAGATTCCTCGGGCTTGGCCGCATCTGTCCAGCTAGCAGGAGTTTGCGAGGTTGAAAGTGTGGCCTCACTTGCAGCGTTAACTGAAGGTTTGAGCGCGTCGCCACCCTTGTCGTCGACATGTTGACTGACTGCAGGAGAAGAAGTGCGAGGAACATGACCATTCGCATGCCCCCCACGACCGCCACGAAAATCGCCCCTGGGACGGACAGCACCACCTCTTGCAGAACCACCTCGATTCCCTCTGGCACCGCCTCGACCGCCTCTAAAGTCACCTCTGGGAGAAGGTGCCGAATCCTTGGGTGTATTTCCTCCTTTCTTGTCTTTCTTGCGCGAGACAGAGCCCCATTGTTCAGCTTTGCCTGTAAGATATTGAACCATATGAAAAAAGCAACAGAAAAAGACAAGTAAGGCTCGAACCATCGCTGATCCGTGTTGCAGCCAGCTCTACATCTCCATTTACTTCAGCAAGTAGAGATTGCAGGTCTAAAAAATGATATTTGAGGACGCGCAGAAAAATCGAAGAAAATGAGGAGAAAGTCACCTTCATGTGACCAAGAAGGGAAGAATTCTTGAAGTTGCTGAGCCTTGTCTTTGAGTTTTGGCTCTGACTGGCCGTTCGTTGTGGTCGAGCGGATGGCAGACTTGTAAGAGGCCATACTAAGATGAGTGTAAAAAGTAAGGCGTGTAGAGAGGCGGAACAGCCTTCTGTGGCTAAGGTGTGAAAATCCTGCCAAATTTGGAACGCGTACTCTTGAGCCTCCGTTAAACTTATAATTAACGTGGCTTATTTCTTACTTCCAGGCGCGCCGAATCGATTATTTTCGCAGGCTAGATCCTCTCTTTGATTGACCAAGTATATAGGCAGTCCCCCCGTATATTATTGTACATAGACACTGTTAACCTATGATATTCCTGCCATTCCAAAAGCTCCCCTTCGCGTCGTCATATGGCTAGTATCCCAAAATGAAAGCTCCCAGTCCCCGGCGACGTTTACCAGGAGCAACACCACCAGCAGTCGGTGTGCAATCAATAGCAAGATTCTGGCCGGCAAAGAGCATACCGATCATGTCTAACTGTGCGCTATCAAGTGCCGAAATGACAGAAGAATCCGTCCTGTAATTTTAAGTAAATCAACGTTGAGGGGAATAAACAATGTGCATAAATCTTGCACTCACGAATTTATGAGGTTCAAAAGATCCTGGGCGACAACAATGCTTTGACCAACTATGTTCGCCGCAGAAGCAACGTCCTGTACATTTGTCACAACTCCACCTGCAGAAGTGAGAGCTGCTATCGCAGCTTGAGCGGCAGTTTGGGTGGAATTATCACTGAGCCGTAGTCAGATATGTCAAACCAGGGTATTACAATGTGAAATATATACCTTTTGGCAGATTTTGCAAGTAGTTGTATGTCCTTCGTGGTCTGTTCAATGGCAGAAACAGCCTCAGTAGTCGTAAGATCACACTGAGAGTTTGAGGCCCGTCGTCCAAAACTTGACCTTAACGCCCGAGAAATTTTTGTCTGAACACACGGATGAATGATAGTATAAAATTCCAGATACACACCTAGCCGCCCCACGAATGGTCCTAGTAGCAGTGACGGTGACAACCTTCTAATTTGCATTAGCAGAGTTCATGTACAATACTGGAGGCAAGTCCAACTTACACTTGAATTAGAGTTAGAATCAGAGGATGTAGAATTAGAGACGGAAGAATTAGACGAGCTTTGTGACAGCTTCGCGCATTCAGCTATCGCATTGTCGCCGTTAGTTTTGATGCCGTTGACTTGCGTCAAGATCGTTGCAAGTTGTGATTGCACGTTAGAATCGTTAGTACTTCGGAAAAAATCAATAGACGCAGACCAATATTGTGGAATTACTCACGAGTTAATCGAACTCAATGCCTGCGCTACTGTAGCTAACCCACTGGCAATTGCTGGAACACCAGTATCGTCCGGCGTGACTCCTGCAAGGACACCTTTCACTATAGTTGCGACTCCTCCTTGCGAGGTATGCAATCCGGAAAGCGCCTGATTAGAAGCAGATATCACAGCGGAATCATTGCTAGAAATGTAATCTAGTACGATACTTATGATAGTTGCGAATGACTCGGATATTTTACCTTGAGTTCAACAAAGCCTCGATGGATCTCGAGGAAGAATTGAGACTAGAGATCACACCCAAACGCGCAGTGTTGCACGTTGAGAGCACCGATTCGCGACGTTCCACAGGGACTAATGTGACATGATCATCATATTTCGTGATTCAAGTTGACAGTATCAAGTGATGAAAGCTTACCAGCTAGTGCGTTCAACGCGCCAAGAACAACGACAACAACAGAAAAAATTGAACGAATCATGATACAAGTCACAACAAAAAAATGTGTAGGAAGATCAAGTCAAAGGGAAGGAAATAAAAGACACCAGGTCAAACACCAGGTCAAAGTGAATAAATTGCAGGAGAGTCGAAGAATTAAAAGATTGAAAAAGAAGGAGAAGAAAGGAAAAGCTGGTGAAGGTCAAGTTTCGGAAACATAAAGAATTTATAGCTCAGTGATTTTGGGGCAGTCCTCTAACGACCAGATCTTTGGAAAATGTGTGCAATAACTGTTGAGATATTGTTGAGATATCTCTTTTTGTGATAACGCGTCGAGAGACAATATTAAAGGATGAGTATTCACATTTGTATTTGCATTTTGATCATTCCCGAATCCATTGAATCGTTGAATGCCGGGAAGTAATCACAGTCCTTGTCCGGGTTCTGCCAATAGAAAGGTGAGCCTTGAGCGTTGATGAGGATTCCAGTCATGTATTAACGCATGAGCCATTTATCCGCGTTCGACATAGCAGTTGACCATGAATGGCTCTCCGATACTACCACCGCCTCCTATTAGTATGTATAAGAAAGCCATTCCTCACACCCAGTTTACGCGTATTCCCAACTCGACAGATCGACGAAGACCACCGATAACCTGAGCGTTCCGATTTGGTCCCGATATCCTTGAATAGATTGTGCAATGGCAAAATTCGAGCCTGCGCTTAAATCTAATAGTGGCTACCAGAGCTTAGAGGTTCCCGACGCTTCTCGGGATTGTGGTTTATTGCAGGTTCATGGTGCAAAATGAATCACATCTACGCGTGATTGTTTCAACCCGCGGAAAAGTGGACTTCGGAATGTGGGATCAGATAAGATCAACCTATTTAGCCATATTTCACCTCTTTTCGACCGACTTTCAAGTTTATTCTCGTGCACTCTACAAATCCATCCCCTTATATTCTTCGAGACGGGTAGCTTCAGCTCAGCCACTTCCTCATTTTTTATGTCGCTCCCGTTGGGCTGTGCCCTAGGCAAAATTGTTGTCACTAGGTGCTGGTTTTAGTTTTTACAGCTCATTGTTTCAAGTTCAGCTTCAAGCAACGAAATATTTCAGGTATGTATACTGTTTGAAGGTAAGAGTGATACTCAGTGATTGCGAATGGACATGTCTTTGATCAGATTTATGCTCTCGTTCAGACTCGTTGGAGGTTGAGGAAGAAACGAGACGAGTAAAGAGCCTTCAAAATATGGACTACTACCGTTATGGAAACCTAGAGATTATTTGGTCCGTACAACGACACTCCGAGAGGTGTACGGGCGGTTCATCATGATCCAATACATCCCGCACGCTTTCCTCGGGCGAATTTGACGCTCAATTCGACACCGACAAAAGATGCCTTTGCGGCGCGTATACAAACTCGGGACTACATCATCTAACCATGCGAAGGCTGTCGGGAGTTACTAGGAGTTACTATGGGATGTGTCGCATGAACACGATATCAGGAACAGAAGAGGGAAATGCGGAATTCAAAATGCCGTGCATTTAGGACAAGCAGGAACCCGGACGGAAGATCTGAGGCCAGACGACACAATTGTACAGGGTCACTGTAATAGGAGGCTATAGGAGGATCGTTGGATTGCGGAGCCGCCTTCGAAGAGGCAAGCAACACTGCGCTAACGCGACACAATCAATTGCAAGACCATCGCAAGACCACAAACTCACCAGTTCATGATCACGTATTAAGTCCTATGTTTATCTCTCTTCTCTACTCAAGTAGACTTAGATATGCCTGTGTGATTGCCTCGCTACATTACAGCTGTTGCTTGAGACTCATTGAAGATTTTTGAAAACCATCTTTCAACTAACTTCAGCGAGTCAGAGTATGAAAAGGTGAAAGCCGGAATAATGAATCCAAAGAGGTTAGGAAAGGCAACCACTGGGTAAGCATTCAGTATACCAAGAGCGCTCATGCTGCGTCCGGATCCAACACAGAGGAGCAGATGATGTTGGTCGAACTTGAATGCGATTATAGAAAGGGCGTTCGCTGGTTATCGTAACAGTTGTAGCATTACGCAATCAGTATATAAGTGACTTGAAGTCTTGAATCGCCATGGATATTTCTATTCGTGCCTTCTGTAGCCAATTTCGCAATCGTCTTCTTGATTTAAGAACGCAGTCGATATAGGTCGAAATTCAAAGTTGAGTAAAGTAACGTCGGCATTGGGCGTACGTCGGAGCGTGACCCGTGGGAACCTGGCGGAGGGGTTAATGGATGGCAGCTATTCGGTCTGGTCAAACCATACATTATATTGGTGTTCATAACGTCCATAGCTGTTACGCTGTGTCGCCGTCATTCCTCTGGCTGGCCATACGGTACTCAACCACCACAATAAAGCTCTATATCAATACATCACACATTCGGTCAACCACAAACCCTACTGAACGGATTTTTGTCGGCAACCCTTTCCACATTCTGAAAGACCCGATAATTCAACTGATTTCTGCCGAAGGCGATGATAATTACCTGTTCTTGAAGTTGAACTGAGAAGAGTTTATCCTACCTGGACAACAACTTGGACTAAATAGACAGGGGACAGGGCAGCAGGTTATCATACATAGCGGTTAAAAGGTTTGCTATCGGATCCACCGGCAGTTTTGGAGGGGTGGGCAGCGCCCCAGTAACAACACAGCAAGCTTGGCCATATATTTCCTTCTGCGCATCATGATTTCCGCCTCTACTGAGCTATCAGAGACGATGGCAACAGGGAAAGAAATTCAGTTAGATAAAGTCGGTCTTATGTTCATTCTGTTTTATTCTGTGCCTGATTCTCTCAGAATAAACGTCTTCCTCCTTCACTGAACCTTGCCAAAGCAAAACAAGCAACCGATGCCGTATATGCCAATGCCATTCAACTTCAAGACGACGGCGAGGATGATGAAAGTGGGAGCACTTCGGGTGAAGAACAAGATGTTGATTCGGAGGTCCAGGTAGCTCGTCCACGTCCCAAATCGCTCGGAGTTGGTTCTGTCGAATCCTTGCGCAGTGACTCGTCCGACTCCTCGGTTGACCTGGAGGAGGATCTTGCCCGTCTTGACAAACTCCGGAAAAATGTCAAGCAAAATCTCAAATTACGACCCATAAAGTCTACGAGCACGTTGCGAACTTCCACCCGATCACAGGAAGTAAACGTGCAGAGCCCAATCTCACCAAGCAGTACGACATCTGCCTATTTCACACCTATGGATGAACAGCCGTTTGGAGGAAACCCTTTCATTTCCAAACCCAAACGGGTATCACTTTCAGAGCCAAAATCTTCTTCTCTCCTTGCCGCGCCCAGTCCACCAATCGTTTCTGCACTTCATCCCAACACTCTCAATCCACCTCGGACGCCTTTTACACCTCGGACACCTTTTACACCAGGCACTGCTGGACCGGGTAGCACGCCGCATACTCCTTACACACCGCCAATTTATACTTCCGTGATGCACACACCACAGGCAATTCCCGCGGGCGAACTGTACTCTATTCTCTTTGCCTCTTCTGTGTTTAATCCAGAATCGCATAGCCCCAATTCCATACCCCTTCTCATAGATACCCGACCCCTTGCCATCCATACAACCTTCCACATCCGCCATTCTGTTCCTATTGCTATCCCTTCCTTGATTCTCAAGCGGTCGCGGAAACCTGGGTTTGGACCTGGCGGAAAGAGCTCCCAATTTACAAGCATGCATTCGCTGAGGCAGTTCGTCACCACTGATCATGGCAGGAAAGTGTTCGATGCACTCTTGGGTATAGATGAGCAACAGTCAGTGCGTAAAAGCAGCGATGAACGGTTGTGGAACGGCGACGTCGTGGTGTACGACGAGGACATGGACGTGAAGGATAGGACCAACCCGAGCTCAACACCATGGTCGTTAATTGGAGTAATACAAAGTCTGTTGGACGCAGCTGCTTCTGCTCGACCTTCCATCCCTACAGCCATGTCAGCAATCCAAGAAGATCTCAGTTCAGCACCCGAAGAAGTCAGAATTGGAAAGGCGGATTATTTGGAAGGGGGCATAGGTCTTGCGGGCCATGATCCGCAATTACAGACCCTGATTGTGGGTAACGGAGATGATGGCGAGTTTCCCGCTCCCTCTTCCCCAAGTACCACATTTCCTCAATCCAGTGAACCCAAACAATCATCTACCCCTGCAAAAACAGTACCTACTGCAGCTCTTAAGCAACGCAAAGGTCCTCCTCCGTCACTTGGTCTAAGTGGCATTGGGGGTTTATTTCAACTGGATACCCACCAGGCTAGTTACAAGACTCGAGGCGAGGTTCAAATCGATCAGAGTCTTAGTAGCGCAGCCCCGAGTGCGGCCCTAGACAGTGTTCAAAGTGACCGTACAGAAAGACCCTTGAATACGACAAGACCCTTACTGTCAAGTTCTTTGTCAGGCCTGTCAGACTCTGACAACCATATACTATCTTCTGTTCCCGCGGATGCAGAGTCTATCAATCCATCCCCATTACCAATGATGCCCACCTTTTCTGCATCCTCGCTGGCCCATCCTTCTGTACCACCTTCAAACATTCACCTCTTTCCACCCATTCACCCATCCCTTAATAGCCCCTCTCCGGAACCGAGCTCGGGTTTCTTCTCTGATTCAGCGTTCAAGACTCCGTTCACCTCTCTTGCTGACCCCACGCCATCTCCTCCGCCGAGTAAGATAAACTTTTCGTTAGGAGGTGGGTCAGGACATTCCGCGCATGTGGGTGGTTTCAAGCGGCCACCACCGCCAGGGCAAGTTAACAAAAGGCCATCAGCGCCCAATCTCCGCATAGGTAGTTCAGGTTCGTGTATTGTTTTCCAATAGGTTTGCGACCATTCATTTTTTACTAGTTCCTGCAACACCAGCCCCTCCTGTTCCACAATCAGGACCTCCAGGGTCTACAGGCAAGCGTTTACCAAAATTGAGTTTGAATACGGGTGGGGTGGGTGGTCTTGGAGTTGGCGGGGAGAGAGGTACAGGCTTTGGTGGCGGGGCGGGTGGAAGCCTTGGAAGGCGAGCAGGAACTAAACTCAGAAGTGCCACTGTTGGTGGCGGGCCAGGACCTGGTGGACACTGGGGAGGTGAGTAATTTCCGTGTTTCAGCTTTCTTCCAGTCCATCACACAATTCACATGGTCACCACTGTTCATTTCTAAGACCGGGAGTCTCAATTTCAAATTTCAAATAACCTTCCCAACTTTGGTCCTTCAGCAAGATTTACGGTTGAGCCGGAATCATTGGCTTTTTCGCCTACATCCAACAAGAAAAATATCTTCCAATCTCTAACACTTCCCCTTCCATTATCCATCAATGGCAATGCTGCTACTACCCTGCACCCTCCTTCACCCTCACATCTGAACCTTACCCACTCTAATCATCGTGTGACCCCAAGTCCCCCGGGTTCCGCTCGGCTTTATGGGTCATTTTCTGGTGATCTCAAGCCTCCTCCTAGCCCCGGCTTCGGGAGGACTAGCTTTTCTGGTTCAGGATTTCCTACGGGATTAGGCAGCAGGAATATCATAGGTACAAAACCCTCGCTCGCTAGGAAAGACTCTACGCAGAACTCTCAATCGGAACGCTCCGTCTCATTGAAGGTCCTACCCCCAGGTCTAGACAATCATACCGAAGAATACGAGCCGTCTTCTCCATCGTCTAGTGACAGAAGCGAAAGGAGTAGTGCTGCAAGCGAAGACGAAAGTCAAACATCTCTCATCTCTCTGACATCATGTTCCTCTTCGTCAACAAACTCGCAGAAAATCGATGAGCCATCAACATCGATTGACAGGCATGCAAGGAGCGACAGTGTTAGCAGCGTCAATAGCAATAACTCTAGCGGGCCAAAGACAGCCTACTTTACACCTCCTCATACACCTACACAAATGGAGCCAATCCCTCCTTCCGCGCGCCCAACACGGGCGCGAAAGTCACATTCAACTTTCTTTGGGTATGACGAAGGAACTGGTGCTGGAGGTGTTCACGGGAGTGGTCATCCACCAAATTTGAATTTAATCGAGCATGAAGACGAGTACGAACACCCACCTACTCCACGTACTGCACGACCCGAGGATGAAAGTGGGTCAGAAACTGGATTCCCCAAGACCGCTGATGGATCTGGACCCGTGCTCCCGCCTCAGCTTTCTGCAATCGGGTTCTATGGGCAGGACTTTGACGAAGACACAAACTTTTCTCAGCGGTATTCATATTCAGCCTATCCTGCGTCCCACGAAGATGAATCTTTTGGTGGTTCCTTTGGCTATCCTCCGCACGCACCTCATCCATATGGTGACCGAGAACGTTCGTCCTCGTTCTCGTCTCTATACCCTCCGCCGTCCACAGAGTCAGTCGATTCTGAAGGTGAAGGAGAAGATCCGATGAGTTTTACTGTCTCTACGATCTTGCCCGGCTTCTTATTTCTAGGTCCGGAGCCAACAAATTGGGATCATGTGAAGCAGCTGAAAGAGTTGGGTGTGAGACGGATCGTCAATCTGGCAGCGGAATGTGGACCTGACGATTGGGGACTTGGATTAGACAAGCCAGGCAATAAAGAGAAAGAGGGAAGTCCATCATCGGACGACAGTTCAAAGGAGAGCGGCTTCGAAAAGTACTACAAAATCCCAATGAGGGATACTGTGGAAGAAGATGGTATTGGCCGTGGGGTCAGAGTTGCTTGTGAAATGTTAGGTATGAGTTGCCCGTTTTCTACTTCCTTTGTTCGAGCTAACCGGGTTACTGCTTATGAAGACCATGCGCGCCTGCTTTCTGCCCCGGTCTATGTTCACTGCAAAGCCGGAAAATCTCGTTCAGTAACAGCAGTCATAGCATACCTCATTCACGCAAATCATTGGCCCTTGTCCAAAGCTTACTCCTTTGTCCTTGAGCGAAGAAAAGGCATCTCTCCCAACATTGGTTTTGTTTCCGAGCTCATGGGCTTTGAGGAGGAAGAGCTCGGTGGGAAAAGTGGGGGTGTCAGTGGAGCCGCATGGGGGGCCGGTAAGGGATACGCTAAACACCATCATCGTCAAGGAGGAGCTGGTGGAGCAGGGGCTCTCCCGCAACCAAGTGCCCCCGCGGCAACGCGAGAAGATCATGGTGGAAATGCTGCCAGAGGATCGAGCAGTAACAATCAGCACGGGTATGGGATGGTAGCTTCGACGAGGAAATCCGGTAACGCGAGAGAGAGCATGCCTCCGCCCGCCACATATGCCCATCACGGATACTCATACTCGGTTAACGAACCTAGCATAACCTCACGTCTTCTCTCTGATGATAATGAATCTGGAAGCGGGAGTAGTAGTGGGAGCAATAGTGCTTCTTCATCTACAACGGCGAGTCCAGAAATCAATGGAGAGTACCGAACAGAAGCTTTGTATGGGAACAGTCTCGGAGGAGGAGGAACTGGAATTGGTCAGGGCCCATCCTTCCCTCCTCTGTCAGCTGGTGGGATATTGGCGCTGGGGGATGCTGCTCAGGAGCTGGAGGTGAGGGATGCAAGTGGGAGATATAGGCATGCGCGAAGGGCACCCGTGAATGAAATGACTTTGCAGCCAATGAGAAGAGTAAGTAAAGCTGGATTAGAAAGTGGAGAGTTCTATCGAGGAGATGGAAGGACTACTTGGGGTGAGGAGGAGGAGGAGGCTGTTGTCATTGAAAGCGATACACAAATGGAAAAAGAGGAGTAGCATGGTGATGGGTTGAAATCCTCAACCTGCGTCTACTCTTGATTGAATTATACCAAGGTATGTATCGTTTCAACTCAATCGTAACACACTGACGCCAAATATCAGATCATAGGATACCAGCACGGATCGCGCGCGCTTAATTTGATTGTCTACTCCATTGCGCGAAGCTAGTCAGGCCCGTTGTATGACGTGTAGATTTGTGTCGCTATCACCATTTATTTGACGGTGATAGCTCCCTCTGTACATAGCACTCTCGACCTCTTTGCTCTCATATTTTTATCGCCTCTCATTTGGTCTTCAATTGCATTTCTGGGTTTCTGTTATCATCGGATCACTTTCATTCCATCTCTTCTTTAACCTATCAATAACATTTACTCTATCAACTCATCATCGCCAGTATTAAATATGTTACAATCATACCGGACTTCTTTTTACAAGTGTGTCCAAGCGAGTTATATCGGGCGTCTAAAGTATATGTAACGCAGTTGCGAACGTGATTTATCTTTTGTATCAGTGACATAGTGACGAGTAATTTCTTGGAGTGAGCATCAATCATGGATCCCCCAGCTTCCATAGACCACAAAGAGCCTGCTCGAAAGACACTACCAAGAAAGCGATCCTTTGGAAAATATCCCTCCTCCAAAGTTACCGACTCTCCTGCTTACGACGCGTCTGAAGAGGATAATGATCCAACCGATGTCGACGATGCTGCCAGTTCTGTTAGCGTCTCTGCCCCCTCTTCCTCCGCTAGAGCAAGAACACTGGTCGCTGCTGGGCTTCTCAAGCCTTCCAGTAACTCGAATGCACATAGGAAACATCATCTTGCCTCCTCGTTCCTTTCCGATTCAGACGGCGTAGATTCGCCCACGTACGATGGGGACATAGAAAGCTCTACGACAGCAGGTCCAGAAAGTCCACACCCACACTCCTCTTTGAGACTTGGTCATCATCATTCAATGAGTTCGCACTCGACTTTGAATACACCAGCTCTTCCAGGAAGCGATACGACCACTGACTACATTGAGACACCTATCACAGAAGGGCCAAGCTCGGCATTTCCTTCTACTGGCCAGTACCATCCAGTATTCATCACGCCACCATCAGATCCTTTTCCGCATCCGCAAAATACTATCTCTGAACCAGTAGTTCCTTCCGCAATCCCAACTGCATTATCATTCAATCCAGCTGCGTTGAGAGCAGAGGATATACAGATGTTTGTTCAGAGGGCGATTGATGGTGCACCTATGGAGGGTTCTGGCACTCAGAGAGCATATAAGGTCAACAGGCCACCAGAAGATAGGCCCGTACGAATTTATGCTGACGGTAAGTTCATGCTTCCTCATATTTCGGTTTTGTTCTACCTAAAAAACCTTTTTGCTGTTTCTTTGCCTCTTTATCACATGTAAATATCTCGACTGACGAACGTGCTTCCATCCCTCTTACCCTGACCTGCGCCGGTATCACCTCATTTGACGCTATCATTACCCAAGAATAGGCGTCTACGACCTTTTTCACTTCGGGTCAGCGACTCTCATTCTGGTAGTGGAAATAATAAGGAGCTTACATTTTGTCTACCGATAGACACGCGCTCCAATTGCGTCAAGCGAAGCTTTCCTTTCCTTCCGTGTATCTCCTCGTTGGGGTGTGCTCAGATGAACTCGTGATCGCACACAAAGCAAAAAGTATCATGACCCATGCCGAAAGGTTCGCTATGTTGCCCTGTATCCGGTCGATGTAATCGTCTCAAATGTCTCCAGACTAGAAGCTCTTCGACACTGTCGTTGGGTCGACCAGGTTGTTCCTGACGCACCATGGGTAGTTTCACCCGAATTCCTTGAAACATATCAGATTGATTATGTCGCTCACGACGAGGATCCGTATAAAGCTGAGGGACTAGGTCACGACGATGTTTACGAAGAAGTGAAAAGGGCCGGTAAGTCTGGATCCACCCTATCGGATATCCATGAAGATTACTGAAAGATATTGGCAGGAAAATTTCTTCCTACAAGGCGCACACCCGGAATCTCAACGTCTGCATTATTGGAGCGCATCGTGGACATGTACAAAGACGGCATCATGGATCGCAAATTGGAGGGAATGGGAAGAGGCGACCTTAAAAGGGGTAAATCGTGAAAAGGTGCTTAAACTCAACGCGTTCTCGTTCGTGGCCAAAAGTCGAATCGCAAAGCTCATTGTATACGATAGGATATTTTGAGTTATCTTAGAAGTATCATACATAGTTTCTGGTCTAGGGTTTACTTTGTTCATTCAAGAGAAAATAGAGGACAGTGGGTACCACACTCGAAAATCCAGTGAAATTATGTCTCCCAATCATTAACTATCTTTCTTCCACAAACCGTATAGCTGACTTCATGAAAGCTCTAGGCCACCCTGCTCACGGAAGGAAGTAGTACATTGCTATATAGATGACAGGGTTCGAGGCAATATGGCTGGGGAATTTGGAGAGCAAACGCCAAAAGCTTTCTATATTCACCAACCAGCGTAATGCGTATGAATCCGCTCTTACTTCCAACTCTGCAGACCGTCCCCCGTTCGCTGCATCCCCCTTCTAATTGACCAACGAGCGTCATTTATGGCTTCCATTCTCGTCCATATTATCACAGGCAATTCTCCGCTCCTGAACACATGTGATGAAATGTGTCCCGTTGAATTTGGTTATCATCGATTTATCTGCCTGGCTTTGTTATAGCTCTTCTCCTATATAAAGTACAAGGTGCAGGTCTCACAAGATTCAAACAATCCTCAGTGCCATCGCCATGCCTTTTCTTCCTACCGACTCAGTCGCACTTTCCTCCGGCATCCAGATGCCTGTGATTGGCAAGTTGAGATCTCGGTATTACATTAGATTACTATTCACTTCTTATTCAGCCAATGGCTCATGGGCCCCTCCTACTGGTAACGCAAGAGCCGAGGTGAAAGATTGGACTTTGACTGCTCTAAAGGTAAGCACAGGAGTCCAGCGAATTTGATACCAGGCAATGTCTAAACACATTCACCCTCTTGTAGGCAGGTTATCGGCACATTGATACAGCTCTGGGCTATGGTAAGGCTACAGAGCCTAGCTTGTGATGAGCTAGACATTAAAGAAGAATCTATGTATAGGAACTGAGAAATCAGTCGGGCTTGCGGTCAAGGAATCCGGATTGAAGCGAGAAGATGTTTTTATCACTACCAAGCTACCGTGCGTAAGCTTTCTATATACCCTATTTATAATAATCTTCCTTTTTACCGCTACTACACAGCTATACCGACCATAGCCGTGTCCAAGACTCCTTCAACGAGAGCTTGACCAACCTTGGAGTTGATTATATCGACTTGGTAATCACTATTTCCTTCAACTTAATTGCGTCAAGTTCATGACTACGACTTACAACTGAACGACTTCAAAGTATTTAGTACATTGGCCTCAATGTGTTGACTTAGAAGCTGACGGAACGATCAAAGTTACTTCTGGACTGACTTTTGTAGAAGTGTGGGCTGAGATCGAAAAGATTTATGAAGGTAAAAAGGCAAAGGCCGTTGGGGTCAGTAATTTCTCTATAAAGAAGTGAGTCGATCGCCTGAAGATTTTAATTTTTACATCTAATGTTGTATAGCTTAGAGATCTTGCTCAAGTCGGCGAAAGTTGTCCCAGCAGTCAATCAAGTGGAGTAAGTACAGTCGTACCTCCATTGTGGAATACCATTTAGAACCTAGTGCCATTGAAATGATAGGTTACACCCTTATCTCGCACAAAACGAACTAAGGCAGTACTGCAAAGACAAGGGAATAGTCATTGAGGCGTATACACCCAGTGGTATCTTTCTGTTTCGTTTCCTATCTTCACTTTTGTGATCTGATCGTCCAATCTTTAGGTTATAGCAAAGTCAGGAACGACCCGGTTATTGACAAAATTGCACAGAAACACAAGGTGACACCCAATCAAATTATCCTTGCCTGGCATCTTTTCAGAGAGACGGTGATCGTCCCTAAGAGTGCTAATGAAGAACGTCAACGGGAAAATCTCAATGTACGTCGCCAACTCAATTTACAACTCTGCGTTTATCCGTCGTTTCTGCCAGCTTCTTGTTCTCAGCGATGAGGAAGTCGAACAGATCGATGCTCTTGATCGAGGAGAGCGTATCTGTAACAAGCCAAATGAACATGGCTTGGTATGGGGCTGGACAATGGAGCAATTAGGATGGTAGACCAACCGAATTTGAGCTCCTTTGCTTGGCAAGAGCTCTAACGATCCTTTATTTCATGGTCTTTTCTTCCTAAGCAAAGTAGTATAGAATCTAAAGTAAAGCAAACCCTAGGCCTCAGGTTCTCACAGACTGTGATTACACATCCACTGTTTTTCATTCAAGTTTAAGTATCACCATTTGTGATGATGAAATCTTTTATTTCATGTACTTACTTTGGGCTAGGCTACTACTGAAGAAAGGTTTCTACCAGCTTCTCTTGTTATTCAAGGAAGGTGCTTCAATGCCAGGCTCTAATCAGTACTGAAAGGTTGTTGTCAGTCAAAAATCGCCATTTGAGATGTGACACAACTCGCTGATGAGACCCTCCAATAATCCATTCTGAGTAAATCATCAGACCTTATCAATGTTATCATTTCCACTTTTGGGATGGGTGATGTGACAGCTCTTGTCAGCATTCTTTTCCGCTGGCAGTGTCCACTGTCTTCTACCTTCTTCTACTGGTCTCAAACTTAGTTTCCTTTGTACATACATTTAAAGCCCTTGAATAACCATATCCATGTAAGAGGTGGACAAAGTTCCAGAGAATCTCATTTGTCACTCTTGGCACTGTAGGGCACTGGTAGGGCATAGTAGCTCAAATACTAGTTATCCCAAACGAGCCCAAACGTTAACTCCTCTCAGGTCCTCTGACTCGTGGGATGTCTTGTTTGATAACTTTCTCTTCTCGAAGTCAAGAACGGTATGCAGCTGCCAGCATGAATTCTTCAACTTATGATGTAGCCAGGGCCCAGAAGTTTGTGTATAATACTGGATCAAGTAAAAATCCAATTTGTCCCATTTGATGATCCAAATGGTGATTCATGACAGTATTTGTATTTTGCCTATCTATGTAATTCTGGAGCCCAGCATTTGTAAATGGGTATTGGTGCATTAATGTTGAAAAATGCTTGCCAGGTTTGGACTTTTACAGCGGGACTCAAATAAGCTGTTAGTTTGGACTTCTACAGTATTCGAGGCACATGCCAATGAAAGAAAACGGGCTCACAGCAACAAAAAAGCATGAATAAAACCTACAGCCCATGAAAGAACGGGTCAGCCCGAGGTCAAACGACACCGAACTGGTGACACTTGACACGGGAAGAAAATGGTGTCGGAATCCAAGATGAGAGGGACGATTCTGAAAGTAAGAAGTCGAGAAAATGGTTGTACAATTTATCACGAGTTGTTCCCTTCGAAGGAATGATATCCATTAAATTGTGTGATATAATATATACAAGAAGGGATGAGGTGCTTGGAAGCGCGTTCAGAGGTATTCGCTATGGTTTTATAGGCACATAATCCTTCGACAAATCTATATCTCCTTTCAGATGTGTATTCGTGATGCGGACTTGACGAGTGCGCGTGGCAGTGCCTTTCTTGCCCTTCTTCTTCGTTGCAGGGCCTTTCGGAGCTGGGCCGGCAGCAGCAGTTGTCGCCTGCAAGCCCTCTATAACGGCAATCAATTGATACAGGACGATATTTTGGGAGAAGGATTTGGCTTACCAGAACTCAATTGCTTCAATAGGTCCACATCATTCGGCACCTTGAGCTCATGCCAAAGGTCCAGAAACTCTGATGAATGGCCGCTTGATGTTCGGCCCCGGAAGGAATTGAGGGGCGGGAGGATATTCACTCACCTTGCTCGACGAGCATACCCCCACTTTCTTCAGTGGGCTTGACTTCGTTCCAAAAGACCATCTTCAATTGCCCGTCTTTCGTCGTCCGTGTGACTAAGACCTCTCCCTCCGCCTCGAGCTCTTCGATGGCGGCAGGTGCTTCTTTCCATGATTCCTTTAAGGCTCTGACAGGAATGCCACCACCTCTACGAGTTTGCCGTTGGATTTCAGTCAAGAGGGCGGCTTTGTTCCGGAAATTAAACTCATGCTAACCAAAGTCCAGGTAAGTGAGCGCACGAGCTCTGACAAAGTATAAAAGTGCACCTTATAGGAATAAAGGTCGGTCTTTGGGTCCCATACGACACGATCGTGTGTTTTGAATTTCTCCAGTAATACATGATCGGTATCCAATGGTGTGCTAGTCAAAATGGCCAGGTCTTGCAAACGCATTGGATTGTGCGTCGACTTGTGCGGAGCTCAGCATTAGATAGAGGGGAAGGTAGCACGATGATGTGACTTACTTTCAGATGGTTGACGGCGTATACCAGTTGTGTATTCACATTGGTACCTGTTCCTGTATCTGCAGGCTGAGAATACACAATGTCTATTGAGTGGTTTTGGGAAAAAGGACGGCCTGCGGTGGAGAACAAAACCAAACACACTGGATTTTGGTCGTTTCTTCTTTGAACCCGGAGGAGCGATCTCATCTGACGCTTTCTCTATCGGTGGAGGTTGAGAGTGCCATGATGTGTAATCCTGTCGTTGAAGGACAGATTTAAAGGCTGCAGCATCTTGGGCGAGTTTCGACATGTAACGAGCAAAGGAGATGGTGGTTAAGGACTAAGAGAACAAAAGAACAAAAGGTATCAGCGTCACTCGAAAGTATTGCGGTCCGGACCGATGGGAGCCGCACTTTGTCAACAAACTCAGTACACTTAGACTAACTTTGCACTGACTTGCATGTCCTCTGATTCCTCTCATATTGAACGGTACATCAGCGACAATTGCATTGAGGTAACTCTGTCAGCTGCCTGTATGACTGTAAATATTTAAGTAACACTCCTTTTCAAGCTGTTTGGACTAGCGGATCGAAGTATCATCGACTATGTACTAGCGTCAGGTATGTGCAACAATTCCATCAGGTCTTGAAATTCGAATCTGACATATTCCTATCAGCTTCCTCCTCCAAAACACCTGATGCCCTCTTCACTGCCCTCAATTCTTCCGGTCTGCCAGATACTGCATCTGCACACGCATTTGTGAACGAAGTATTCCAACGAGCGCCTCGGAAGCACAAACACAAGAAGGATAGTACACATCGTCAGGCTGAAAAAGAAGCAAAGGGTCTAAGAACTCAAAAATTCACATATCTCCTCGACGACGATGGCGGTACAAGTTCGAACCAGAAGCAGGAGAAAAAGGAGAAGCGTAAATCGGACAAACGGGAGAAGCAGATTCGAAAACGGGATTACGACGAGAGGGATTGGGAAAGCGACGAGGAAGAGAAGGCTAGGAAAAAGCTTAGGGCAGAAGGAGATTACAAGCAGGAAGATGTGGACTTGGAGGCGTATGAGCCTGAGGAGGATGAAGAAGTCAGGAAAGAAAGAGAACGTTTAGAGGATTTAAAGGATCGTGATGCCTTTGCAGAACGGGTTCGGGAACGTGATAAAAACCGTACGAAGAAAGTAGTAGAAGACAGGTCGTCGAAACTCTCAGGCGCCGCCGCAGATGCTGCAAGACGACGACAACTGGCTGACGACTCGGAAGCTCGTGGAGCTGCCATGCCCTCTCTTCGAATACATTCTCGGCAGGAATATCTCACTAAACGTGAGCTGCAGCAGATCGAACTTCTACGGAAGGAAATTGCGGACGACGAGGCTTTGTTCAGCGGTATGAAGATCTCGAAACGCGAGCGGGCAGAACTAGATCGAAAGAAGGAGTTGTTGAAACTTGTAGAGGAGAGAATGAAGATTAACGACAAGTACGATGGATACCAGTTGCCCGAAGATTATATCACAGAACAAGGGAAGATCGACAAAAAGAAGAAGGAGAACGCATTGTATCAACGGTACGAGGATGCCAAACCTAAAGACGACCAGTTCGTCACGGACGTGGATCAATGGGAGGCGAGTCAAACTCAACACAGTACATTCAAAGTTGGAGCCATGGACAAGCGTGAACTGGTTGACGACTACGACTACGTATTTGACGAGAGTCAGACAATACAGTTCATCATGGAAAAGGCACCGGAGAAGAAGTTGTCGCCTGCCGAAAAGTTGTTACAAGAACAAATTGAAGCTGCTGAGAAACACGGTGAAGCTCTCTCTCTCGTTCACTTTGAAACTCATTTTTACTAACATATAAATTTACATCCAGCAAAAACCATTGAAGAAACTCGAAAGTCCCTTCCGATCTACGCCTGGAAAGAGAAGCTCATTGAGGCCGTTAGGGAACATCAAGTTCTCATAGTCGTTGCCGAAACGGGCTCTGGCAAGACTACTCAGATTCCGCAGTATCTTCACGAAGCGGGTTTCACAGACGGGGGTATGAAAGTTGGTTGTACTCAACCGCGTCGAGTTGCTGCGATGTCTGTCGCTGCTCGTGTCGCCGACGAGATGGGCACAAAAGTTGGATACGAAGTTGGGTACTCGATCCGATTCGAAGACTGCACCAGCGATAAGACAGTACTCAAATACATGACGGACGGGATGCTTCTTAGAGAATTTCTCACAGAACCCGACCTTGCCAGCTACTCTTGCTTGGTTATTGACGAAGCCCACGAAAGGACGCTAAATACAGATATCCTGTTCGCTCTAGTCAAGGTATACACTTTCAGTTATTCCGCTTTTAGCTGGTCTCAAATTTTGTGAAGGATATCGTCCGTTTCCGCCCAGAACTTCGACTATTAATTTCTAGTGCAACGCTCAACGCGGAAAAATTCAGCGAATACTTTGACGATGCGCCTAAATTTTACGGTGAGTTTATTTCTTGATGCACGATTCGAGAGAGAATTGAGCGAATGCCTAGTGCCTGGTCGTACCTATCCTGTTGACATTCACTACACTCCCCAGCCGGAGGCCAATTATCTTCATGCTGCCATCACAACCGTTTTCCAGATCCATACCACGCAACCCAAAGGTGATATACTGGTCTTCCTCACAGTATGTTTCTCAGCGATGGACCTCCAAGTGAGCTGACTGAGTTTTTTCCCTTAGGGTCAGGAAGAGATCGAAGCCTGTCATGAAAATCTTCAAGAAACAGCACGGACGTTGGGAAACAAAATTGCGGAGCTCATCATCTGTCCTATATACGCTAATCTCCCTAGCGACATGCAAGCCAAAATATTTGAACCTACTCCAGAGGGCGCTCGTAAGGTTGTTCTGGCGACGAATATTGCCGAAACTTCGATCACAATCGATGGCGTAGTCTTTGTTATCGACCCAGGATTCGTCAAGCAGAACTCTTACAACCCCAGGACAGGCATGTCCTCTCTCGTTGTTGTCCCTGTAAGTCTGTTCATTGATGATTTTCTTTTCCTTTGTCTTACCTGTTGCTTTAGTGCTCTCGTGCCTCTGTAAATCAAAGAGCTGGTCGTGCTGGTCGCGTCGGACCAGGGAAAGCGTTTCGATTATTCACAAAGTGGGCATTCAATAACGAGTTGCAAGAAGACACTGTGCCTGAGATACAACGAACAAATCTCGCTATGGTTGTTTTACTCTTGAAGTCCCTGGGTATCAATGATCTCATTGGGTTCGAATTCATTGACCCACCTCCGGGGGAGACATTGATGCGTGCTTTGGAGCTTCTGTATGCTTTGGGTGCGCTCAACGATCGTGGAGAGATGACCAAACTTGGACGAAGAATGGCCGAATTCCCTGTTGATCCCATGTTATCGAAGGCCATAATTTCGAGTGAACAATATCAGTGCACCGAGGAGGCATGTATACATCGCATTTCTCAAAACCGTGCATGAGACTAATGACATTCCCTCTGTCAGGTTCTCACCATTATTTCGATGCTTTCAGAGTCAGGGTCCTTGTTTTATCGGCCAAAAGACAAGAAACTTCATGCAGATCAGGCCCGTCAAAACTTTGTCCGTGCTGGCGGCGATCACTTCACCCTCCTCAACGTCTGGGAGCAATGGGCGGAAACCAACTACTCTCAGCAATTCTGCTATGAACAATTTCTGCAGTTCAAGAGCATCAGTCGAGCGCGAGATATTCGTGACCAACTCGCTGGTCTCTGTGAACGAGTCGAAATCGTTCCAGAGTCTAATCCCAACTCCAACGATATCACACCCATACAAAAGGCACTGACTGCTGGATATTTCTACAATACGGTACTCCCATTGCACTCTTGATTTTTTACCTGCTTGCTGAACCCATTCCTAGGCACAACTACAGAAAAGCGGTGATTCATATCGTACACTCAAAACCAATCACACCGTCTATATCCATCCTTCCTCAAGTCTATTTCAGCATCAACCCCCAGTGAAGACAGTCCTCTACTACGAGCTGGTAATGACAACAAAATCTTATATGAGGTTTGTGTTCACAGTCTCGATATTTCTCGATATTGACTCGTTTGTCAGGCAAGTGATGGAAATCAAACCAACTTGGCTACTGGAAGGTCCGCCCTGCAATCATTTTCGTATATTGCAATTGACTAATTTTCTGAACTAGTTGCTCCTCATTATTTCCAGCCTGCCGATCTGGAGCAACTAGCGTCTGGCGACAAGAAGATGCCTAAGACAGTTGGTGCATCCACCCAGAATCCTTAGGTGTAATCAGGGTTTCGAACTTGTATTTGTACGGATGCACTTATTAATTGTCTTCGCATCACTTCATCAACCGAAATGTGTTCTCATCCTTTCGCGACCCCTTTAGAACGTTAGCTCCCAAAGAAGAAAAGTGACAGTGACAGGTTCTAAGCTTAAGTAGAGCGCAAACAGGAGCAAGTTGCTACATCCGCGTCCGAATCACGTTCTGAGGAAGATTCCAGCGTTGCAGGTCACTCATCGCTTTCTGACATACCTACCCGCCGGTTATTCTGCGGCACATGGCCCGTACGTTGACCTGTTGTACATCGCCGGCCAGGACAGAATCGTCGGCGACAAACTACGCCAGGCTCAAGGCCCCCACATGACCTTTGACCTCGGGCATCGCATGTGCTATTCCCGCTACCTCTAGGTACATCCTTAATTACAAGGAACTAGTAACCGACAAGTGGCCTCGAATGATATCCTGGACTTTCAAGGTGGCAGGTCCTGCCACTGGTTGGCGTTGTTTGAAATATTCATGAAGTACTAATGCACGGCTGAGGTATATCTATCGCACATCGAAAGATTGAAAATATTTTTTCTTCATTATCCAAGTCTTTTTCTGATTCTACCTATTTTACGACGTGATAATTGGACACATAGAAGGAACAGTGTGGTTGACCATCCAGATCCTCACTATAACAACCCTGATATTATCTTGAGGAAGAGGCACGAGACAAATCACTGTAAAAAAGCTGAGTATACGGATCTAGTGATTCATAAAGATGAAATTGAACCTGAATGCGGCTTCCACACAAGCTTTGATATCCTTGTAACTGACGACAAGGCAACTTTGTTCATCTCGTGCTACTAACATGATCTTTTCTTCAGTGCCAGCATCAAGCTATTAGATGTTGTTCAAATACACTGAGGGCGTATATTAGAGCGAATACGCACTTTGTTGAGGCATGTAAGGACGTGTGACATATTGGTGACCGGATTTCCGCGTTCATCAATCTGGTGGAAAACGTAGTCCCGGAAAAGTTTGATGATGTAGCGGTCACCCGTTTCTGACCAACGAGAATCTCGGGCAAACCTAAGGGAGGAGTGAGGATGAGCGGGAATCGACTGGAACGCAACACATACTCGGGTCTCTCGTTGATGAAGCCAAATTTACAGAGAAGACGAACCAATCGTGCGTTCTCGAGCTCGCTCAACATCTCATTCTCTAGGCGATCCATACCCCTGTCACAATGAGAATAAGAATCAAAGGGGAACACTGGAAATAACTTGTGAACGCACTCGAAAGCGTCGTCCAATTCTGTCAAAAGTCTGCCACTGATCATCTCAAAGACAGTGCTTATGTTCTACACAACAGACGCTCAGTTGCTCTCTTGATACAACAATAACCAACTCACCTTGTGCGGATGATTCTTGCTGATCAAGAATAGCGCTATGTTCTTCACATCATGGCTGTAAGTCTTACTGATGATCTCTAAGCTCTTCTGAAAGTTGCCATTCGTAGTAGCCTGCGGATTATTGCAACAGAGTGCAAATATCAACCTTCCGAATTGCTGAAGATCATCGTGTTGCAGTGCGACCATATCGAGATGTTGGTCATACGTAAGCACATCCCAAACTGCACACGATCCAATTCGCACTCGATTTTTACCCGTCAGCAAGATCTTCGTAGCATCAATGGTCCTGACCGCCAATCCAGCTTCGTGTACTCGTTTGATAGCAGAAGCTATCTGAACGATGTACGACCAGAGAACACGCTCTGGGATGCCACCTGCTTGTAGTTGATGCAAAGATAGAGATGAAGCAAAATGCGAAGGAAGCATTTGGCCGTACTGTGAAAGCTGAGGTAAAGAGTGAGATTGCCCAAGAAGAACTCGGCCCCCTCCATTGAGTATATGTTGCGGTAAAGCAGACGGGGTTGTGGATTTCATGTGAGCATCAAACAATGTTTGAGCATTGGGATAGTAAGAATATACGACAACCAGAGCTGGATGACGAGGATGAGATGACAATCAATGATTCACTTGCGAAAACGTACAACTGTCGTTAAACGTCCGTGTAGTGAATGCTTCGTGAACAGTAACAATGTTGGGATGACGAATTTGAGACCAAGCTTCGATGGCATTGAAAGCAGCTTGCTGCATCAGACGAAAGTCTATGAAATCAAGTCAGTACGGTCAGAATGTGAAGAACTCCGAACCTACTTTCGATTCTTCGTAGGACATAAGGAATTCCGTCGGTAGAATTGATCGCCCGATATACCACAGAATCTAAGTTGAAGAACTTTTTCCGCTCCGAAGAGCTAACAGTATCGATGGGAACGAATGTGTGGTACCCTTGAAGCTCTTCTGGGAGATTAGATCCTGCAGAGTCGTCATTTGAGTTTGCTATATGGAGTGTTGCGAAGATGGATATGCACCTAAAATTGGAGCACTGCGACTGGTGTGGCTACGTTCTAGTAGTACTTGCCGAAGTTCGGAAGATGGATGTATAAAGTGACTATCGGTCGAAGAGGTAACGAATGCCGAAGGAATAGCGGGAGTGTAGAGATGATGGTCGAGCTGATGAGAACGATGAGCTACGTAACATTATCAGGATATATCTTCTTACTGGCTCGCTCATATACCCTTGTGACGGACCCGTGTAAAAAGGAACCTCCATGTTCTGAGCATATCCGGCCGAGTAGCCGTCGAAGTGGGCTTGAGAGTCATCGTAGAATTGCGTATCGAGCTGGGTCGACCTGATAAGAATGACTTATTGAGAACGGCCAGAGTATGCTCACTTCGGCCACTTGTTCACTATCCGAGTAGGCATAGTTTTCACGATAGTCCGGAGGGGCAGGAGAAGAAGGAGATGATCTTAGAGGGAAGGGTTGCGGTCAATCAACAATGTGTGAAGAGTAATCATTACTTACGAAGCCAAAGATTGACGAGTGACAGGAGCCGAAGGAGTAGGAAGAGACAATGAAGAGGCTTTAGGAACGAATACAGGTGCATTGACAGCATGTGCAGATATCGGCGAAGTAGCAGTTGTGACAGCTGCTGGAGAGGCCGATCGCGCCCTGCTGTGGTTTCTCGAAAGAGGACTTGACAATGAGCAACTACACGTACGGAGTGGGAATGACTTCTTCAGCCTATATGACAACAATTAATCACATCACCCTCAAATAGAGAGAGGCGCACCGGAGGATGATAGTATACACAACCCTTGTCCTCGAATTTACAATAACTTGGGGTGGACAGTCAGTGCAAATCAATATACCATCTACAACAGAAATGCCCACAGACCCATAAATCATTACATTTCTGCATCGACGCTGAGAAGAGTCTGTGTAACGGTTCAGCGAAGAACTATCCCGAGTGTGGATCTCTGACCTTTCCGTGGAGGTTGTACTGGTTCATTCTGGGTATTTGGATTTACTATCCGTACAGCGGCCGATGCAGAAGCAGGTCTTGCGAAAAAGGCCATGACAGAAATCCCAAGATATGAAACAATAAGAGACTGGACACCTCGTTGTCCAGCAGAGGCAGACTGAAGAACAGTCGAGTCCGGTCAGGTACAACGACAGGAAGAGCGGTTAATGCTTACATATGCGAATATTGAGTAAGAACATCACTGAAGACGGAAGGGATAATTTCTTTTTTATTTTCGCAGCCAAACTCCAAGCCAAGTTCCAACTATGTACTGTAGTAGTTACTCTTGTATCACTGGTATAAGTGTATTTGGTACGAATTCAGTTTGAACAATCATCATCATCCCCGACCATGCTCACAGTCTCCGGTCGATGAAGCTCTCGATTGCACCTGCACTCGTCAATGGGTATTCTTTGAGCTGAACTTCACCATCAACGATCGCTGTTGTCGGCTGAACGAAGATTTTTCGTGGCTACAATGGGATCTCAGTACGCAGCGACTGGGTAATATTGAATACAACTGACAAGTTTTTTCTTCAGCACGAGATCCCTGAGTTCTCCGTCCCAGCCTGACATGGGCGTTGTTAATTCCGTGTAGAATTTCCGTGCCCCTGCACCATCTGCAGTACTCTTGTATACTTGCAATGATACCAGAAGTTTTCCGGCAACGTCTTTACCGCGTGCAAGTACTTGATCCCTGTCAACCTAGATAGACAGTCACAAAGCATGATGAGCACAGGCAGAAGCATTCATACAATATCGAATGCACTCACACGTACAAACACATTCTCCAACATATCGTCTGAATCGCGAACTTTCTCCAATCGAGCTATACCATTCCTCATTAAAAATTGAGTAATACCAAGTCTGTCGATCCAAATCATCAGGCTTCCCTGCGATCGATATGTGTTCAAAGCTTACCGAGCTTGCATATGAGCTTGACCATGCTTCTGGGTTGCAGGATCGAAGAATTCTAATGCACGGAGACCCGCACGAGCCATGAGAAGGAACGTTATATATTGAATATCCTCGATTTCTTGCTCGTCGACGTACTGATGTAGGTTTGATTAGGAAAACGCCATGGATACTGCATTTACTCACATTGAAAATCTTCAAGATATCTCTGTTTCCGACCACTAAACGTAGAATATATGACTGATTTAGGTTTGGTGCACAGCGAGGACGAGTACTCACAGAAAAGAGCAACAGTCTCAGCCCTACATTCCTCCATCGATGAAGAAACCTCCCCAAGGACCGCGTCTGGGGTCTGACCGGGCTTGTACCATGATGTTCTGAACATGTATCGTTAAGTGGACAGATACGACAGCACTAATTATTATACTTACACTGGCTCACCAGTTAAAGGATTGATGACCTGCATACATGAATATCCATGGTTGTCCTGAACGTTTCAACAGTTAACCACTCACGCTCGGGTCAAAATTCCTCGACCCATCCCCATTCTCCTTCAATAGCTTACCGGAACCATGTCCCAGGAGTTCATGATTGGCCACCTGGAGTTCAAACGCCCGATGATCCCATTCATTGTAAAGCTTCGCGTCGTCAGGATGAATGAAAGTCAATTCTTCGTCTAGAGAATTTCAGCAATGAGGCATTAATGAGCTTTATTTCAAACATTCAGAACGACGATGAAAGTAGATACGAACTAGGTGCTTTTGCAGCAAGAATGTTCTGAACGGTATTCAGTGGAAACGTGAACAGAGAAAGTTTATGGACGCACGGCCAATGAAACGTTCTTGAAACCAACGGTTTCACGGATATCATAATAATTCTGCGATGCAAGAGATCGCTCAATCCCGTTACCTCAGTACGATATCCAAGTGCACATACTGGAATCTTTATTTTTGCAAGCGCACAATCAGTGGGTGACCAACACAGAATGTTTGAAGGTACATTACATTGATACCCGCGGGGATGCCTGACAACCCATTCTGAGAAACCAAACGTATTGATAATGAAGAAACAAACTCACCGCCCGTGGCGAATGAAACCACCTCAAGGGCAGTAAAATCCGGTTTTCTGAAAGTTTCAACCTCAAAGTCTTTACCCCACGGTAAAACTTCGATGAGCTTGGGAGCTTGTGCCACCAGAGTGTCATATTTAGCACTAAGCGCTTTATTTACTACTGCAGTGAAGCCTGAATGGTGACATTGATCAAAACGAATTCGAAAAATTGATAGATGAACTTACCCTCCCATTCGGCTCTACCACCGTAAGGATCGACATAAGTTTCTATAAACTGATTGTTATGTGTTAGTAGAGCCAGGTTCAGAGATATAAGTCCTGAGCTTCGCACCCCAAGATAAGACTCGATTATAGGACCAGTATCTTTCACCCACTCTGTGGATCCATCCTTGTGGTCCTGAATCGATCCAGTATTGTATCTGTCGGTGGTAATTTAGTCTGGGCTTATTGGCCTCGGGTCAAGGGCAACCCAAACGTACGAGTCAATGTATTTCTCAACCATCTTGGCCTGATGCGAGTTAGCCGTGTATTTCTTGGCCTAAACATATACCCAATGACAGTCGATTCTCGAGATTTGGATATTTTAGAGCAAAGCCACTCACCTCTTGAAGTGAAACGACGACCTTTTTCAGTGCCGCTGCGTGATCACCGTACTCGACAGTAAGCTTGAAGCTTCCAGATTTGGCAGAGATATAGTGTACAGCAGATTGCTTGGATTGCGCAGAGGCCACAAGAAGCGTGAAATCTTTTTGTCCATTTTTCCTCAAACTAAAGATATTTGTCTGTCAGTACGTGACAAAACGAGCCAAGTCCCAAAGTTACCGAGTGTTGAGAACGTCAACTCCAAGATTCTCTGCAGCAGTTTGCACATCACCAACTTCTTCATCGGATATAACTTCTCCTAAGTAATAATTTGAAACATGCCCTTGACTGCGCTTGCCAATGAAAAGAGAAGTGCTAGGTTCTGTGGCGTAGATGTGTTCTTTCAGCTGTAAGCCAAGCGTATGAGCGCGCGGTTCCACAAACGATGGCTGCCATACCTTGTACCACAGATCAAGAGCTTTGTTCGAGTTTGCAGACTGCTGCACAACAGCTTCGAATTTGATGTCAGAAATCCGGGGAATGATTTTCGTAAATCCAAACGAGCGATAATTGACCAGATTGCTCAGCACTCTGATATGCAAGCTGTCAGTTTTGAGTTACGGTAGTGAAATAGAAGGCGGACGTACTGAACAGTATATTGCATGATATCCTCCCATTCCTCAGCAGTCAGTCTGGATGCAGATTGTAGTTTTTGCAGATCGGCGAGCTTTCCATCGTCACTGAATGTTAAGATCAAAAGATCATACAGATCTAAATTCCAGCATGAATTCTCTTATATATGATTGATTCACAACGGCTTACCATTCGCCTGAGGGGTCCATTGAGCTTGTATGATTCGCGCACCGGCCCAAGCAGCTTCAGATACATGATGAGTGTACTTCTTTTCCTGGGAACTGTTGACTTTTCAGTCGAAATCAATATATAGTTGGAAGTATAGTGCAAGACCTTAATTGCGCGAAAGTCTTGGAGATATCGAGACTGCATAAAGGAGCAGCACGATCGGCTAAGAATCGTTCAGAATGAACATTCGCGGAAGCCATAAAGTTCCTGCGTAAGTTCGGTTTTTGAGATGATGATAGTGGATAATGCAAGCCGTTATAGATGGCACGAGGTCTGAGGCCCCTTAGGCTCCACATTGACGTTGTTAAGAAAAAAAATGAATTATGCTAACACGTAGTAACAATAAGGGGGTATAGCTCAGCTGGGAGAGCAGCAGACTGAAGTTCTGAAGGTCCCGCGTTCGATCCGCGGTACCCCCAAGAACGCTTGCTCGAGTTTTTATTCTTTCCTTGGATATTGGATTGTACACACATTACTATTATTACAAATGGCATTGGCATTGACACCGAAGTTCCGAGAGGGTTGGAAGATATCTATGCTTTTGACTCACGAGTAGAAATGTGAATCCTCCAAATCTCCAAATTTATCCCATATGTATAACCTCAATACTTTCAACTCCAGATAGAACATGATTTCTCTTCAGATATGTCAGATAGATATCTTCTGCTATTTCAAATCAGGTGCAACTGACCTTGATACCTATGATTCGTTCATCATCCATCAATACACCATGAAACTCGTACGTTTGCACCGACTTGACAGCAACATAGGGTAAATATCCCCCGACATCCTCAGCGAATACCTTCATCTTCTCGTACGTATCCTTTGTCTCGTCAATCCATGTCCTTTTCCACAATGAACTCACATCGGTCGTTATCATTTCGTTTGGAAAGACACCATGATACGGAGGAACATGATTCTTCATGTTAGCTATAACTTTTCTAACATGATTTTGATTGAAGTCCAGGACTACTACGGGCTGGGGCAGGGCGGGCGCGTGCATAGATACATATGCGTACCGTTGCCCAGACGTGGTGGTAATCCATTCTGTGGGTATAGACCGGGCACGAAGCCATCGTGTTTTGGGAGGGCCCCAACCCGACCATGGGATGGGTGTCGTTCGAGGCTCAGGATCAAGTTTAGCTTTGGCGAGAATTTCCAGAAAGGTTCGTCGATGGGCGAAAAATACGAACGGGATAGGTATACGGGGATCAAGCGGGGATATAGTTAAGTGGAAAACCATTATCGACTCGATGGGCGAGGAATGAAAAGGGCGGGATGTGTCGCAGCTAGACAGAATAGGGTTCGGAGCACCTCTGCAGGCGAACTCGGATACCATGAAACCAGGATGTATTGCAGGGAGGCCCAAAGATAGCGCGGGCTGTTTACATATGATGGGTGACACCGCTTCGCCAGAATCGGGAGGGATTCGCCATATCTCGAGGCATCTTTCTTGTGCGTTGGTAACGAGCAGTAATTCTGGAGTTAGAAATATGGCGCTTTGATATCGACGGGATTCAATGTACAGCTCCTAAACGTGATTCAGGCTCATAAAAAATTAAAAGCAAGAATGAGCCAGTACGTACGGCTCTGACTATTCCACGTTTCCAATCTAAGATTAATACCTTGTCACGATTGTGATGACCAAAGCTAACATCCCGAATAACCAGCGCAGCTATATTTCCAACGATCTCTATTCCAACACCTAGGTTGTCCATAAGAATGTGTTGGGTAAATCGCATAGGTGACCTAGAGAGCGGGTGGGGCAAGCCAGTAGAAAGCTGAAGGAAGCGTATTTGGAGAGTTGAATCAACACCCTTTGAGCTTCTGTAAAGAATAAGGATTCGGAAAAACGATCATATGCTAGACTGAATCTTTACTAACGTCGTCAACACACCAATCAAATCGTGCTCCGTCACGGCCAAGCCAAAGTCCAGCAACTCGTCGGTGACTGGGATATGATCCCAGCATGGCGTGGGGTCACTGGGAGTGGAAGGAAGCCGGAGATGATTGATCGAGTCCCTAGATATGCCCGAGAGAAGGTAAGTTCCACCTGAGAGCTCATAAATAACCACTGCGGTGTTCTTGACGGGTACTGTTTGTATGAAATTCGGCTGAAATAAGGTCCATGCTGCTTCTCTGCGTTGCAATAGCTGAAGTCGGTCCGGAATGCTGAGTTCATGCTGTGGATTATCCTCTAATCCAGATATTTCCAATGCGATACGGTATTGGATAGAGGAGGAAGTTGTAATAATTTCGTAAAAGAGTCGGCAGGTCGCCTGGAAGGATAGGATGTCCTTAAAAGTACAAAAGAGGAAAATATGAGCCACAAGCTCGTTTGGAAGATGATACAAAATGCCCATTCCAAGAACAGGATAGGTTGAAGGATATTATCTATATCATTTTGAAGTTCATGATCGGACCGCGCGCGGTATTATGATTTCACACAGATCAAAGCTGGATTACCCTAACGGGGCTCGCCTGCTTGGCTTGTTCAATGCGTCTTCGTCTACAAACCTCCAACACCGACGGTTCAAAGCTTCCCCAGCTCAAAGTCTGGTTCGCATTCTCAGCTGCTGGTGAAGAAATTCCACAAAAGTCCATCACTGATCTCAAAAAATCAATATGCACTACCATAAAATCCTTTTCTAATGCTAACATTACCTTTCGTGATATTGCTTTGGGGTTAGATGGCTTTGAGCTATTGGATGAGCTTCTTGCGGAAGAGGTTCTCAGAGATGGAGACTTGCTTGTCATTAAAACGAGGGAGGCATACACTGTTCTGGGGAAAAAACGCAAAGCAGAAGATGATGGATCGAGTGAGTTTATATTCCATGCAAATTGTGTGTTGAACCTGAACATTCTTATGCAGCAACTGCAGGGAAGCGGCACCGACCTCTGCAGTCAAAGACTCGACCTCGAGATGTTTCATCAGTTTCATCTTCATGTTCCTCTTCGGAATCAGACTCTTCTAGCTCAGACTCAGACTCTACTACTACTGACGACTCTGACTCTAGTGCCGATTCTTCTTCCTCCTCTGACTCAGACTCTTCGACCCACCCTTCGAAAATATCCTCTAAACCAAACCCACCAAAATCAGCAAATATCGAGTCAGTTCACACTTTTTTCTGCGAACTTGTACTTACCCGTGTTCAGACCTGCTCCTCCCGTACAACAGACTCATGTACCTCCTGGCTTAGGCTCAATCAAAACGCGCAAGCGCAACATTAGACGGAGATCAAAGAAAAAGCACGACGCTTTGAGCGGGCAAGGAGCTGAAGCATCTACGCTCGTACCGTCGCCTCCGAAACGAATATCAGGTGTCAATGTCGCTCCGCTTGGTTCCAGGGCAAATAAATCAGTGTCTGCTAGAGCGACAACAGCACAGCAGAGCGCAGACAACGTTCTAATTCATGACCCTCTCAATCTTACAATGTTCTCACTTGGAAACAAAAACAAGAAAAAAGGATACAAATACGCCCTTGCTCCGCCAACAAGTCAGAAGAAGGTTTTCAGTGTCCCCGATTCTTCTGATGTCCTCCAGGAAGTAGAAGGAGAGTCAGATGTCCTGAATGGGCCACTTCCTTCCTCTACCACTATCTTTACTTCCGCCCCAGAAAATCCATTGGCTCGTCAGGCGCGTGTCATTCCTCCTTCGGAACTTCAGTCTCTTGGCAAGCTACCGAAGAACATGTTTGTTACGAGTGTGGATGTAGAGGAAGATTTGTGGAATAACTCTTCCTCCAAGAAGAAAAAGAACAAAAAGCAGCAGCTCGAGCATTGGGAAGAAGATTATACAGGTACGGTCAGAGAAAAACCGCGTGATGATGAAATGCAATCCACTTTGGATTACGGTCTCGCGGAAGAACATCTGTCATACTCCAATTCTGAAACCGTTCTTGCCGTGAACGATCTTGACGCGGAGGATTCCAAGTCCATGCTGATCTGGTCTGTGGTCGAACAAAACTTTGAAGCGTTCCCCCAAGTTTCCCTCGATTCTCTTCAGAATGGCAAACTGGTAGCTTGGAAGGCACTCGCTCTCAACCTAGAAACATATTCACCCGAAGTTTTACTTCACATCGCCACTGTGACCGCTGTCTCCAACGACTCTTCAGGTGGAAACTCTTCGTTTTCAATTCGCCGTCTGATTCGTCCGGGCTGGGAGGAACTGGATGTTGAAAATATCCAAGGGGATTATACATGGGAAAATGTGGAGCAGATGGGATGGAGGGCTGTAAATGAAATTCAACGTTTGTGATGCCTACCTGTGTCGAGTATGGAAGGCTTGCTCGAGATCTTTGAACGAGGCCAACTCACAATTGATTGTTGATTGGCTGGGACGCCATCATTCACTCGTTGCTGCGTTGTGGGTTGTCCTGTACTCATAACCCTTCATAACCTTGTCACTTGTAACTATCAATATACACATGTGATATACAGTTTGCGAAATCTGAATCTGATTCAATATCGGTGGTTGCCCTTCTCAACTTGCCGTTTCCTTCTTCCTTTCTCCCTTCTACTTTCCTTTTTTTCGTTCTCTGTCTTTCTTTGTTCACGTCGTTCTTGAAAAATTCTTTTGGCTCTCTTTCTTTCAAGCGTGCTGCCAGTCCAGCTTCAGCTCAGCTGGTCTCTTTTTCCTATCTTTCCATCATCGAGTTTGGGAACTTGGAGTTTCCGACTCTAGTAGTTTTTTAGTTGGAACAACTTGAAGTTGTTTGAGAGATACATAAGATATTTCGGGGAAATACAGAAATGAGTGCGTACTGTTTTCTTATGTCTCTGGATAAGGAATCTGAGGTAGCATTGATTGAATTATGTACAGGTACAAGTTCAAACTCCTCAGCTACTTCAGTAGATACTGCAAACGCCAGTGCCACGGCCACAGGCGCGGGATCGTTGCAAGCTGGAATTATACAAGCGGCCGCAACTCAAGAAACGACGACCGCGAGTACTGACGCGGATGCCAAAACCTTGTCCGCCATAAGCTCAATTAGTAGTGCATTTGAAACAAGCTCTAGTAGCGTGTCTCAAACGACCATCACAACCTCCACCAAGGCCACCAGTACAACGTCGAGCTCCACTTCATCGTCTACGTCCGCAAAAGTTTCATCTGTGTCGACGACCAGTGCTTCCTCGGGAACGTCCACCAGTACTAGCTCGATTTCAGTATCGCAAAGTAAAGCCAGCTCCACGACTTCTGCATCTGTATCTTCGTCCGCATCACCTATCGCTCAATCAGTCCAAGCTATTCAAACACCCAGTTCAACAGCCACCGGCTCCGCTGCAGTTGAAATTGTTAGCACGGGTACCGTTGACGGGCATCTAACAACTCTTACAACCCAAGTCTTTGCCGCCACGTCCTCTTCGGGCCAGCCAACACCAACTCAATTGGACTCAACCGAAACGTAAGTTCCACTTTTTTCTCTCTCTCTCAGGTTCTCCATAACTGGAAAATCGCATTCATTTGCTGCGCGGTGGTCGCACCTTCTCGTCGATGACTACATTGCATTAGTTATGTTCTACCGATAGGACAAATACACATAGGCGGGTTGCTATGATGTGTTGACATCGGACAGTGGGATTACGAGCTGTCCATCAGCTTTGCCCTTCCCTCAGCGCTTCGGATGTCCCAACTTATCGCTAACGTATCGGCTGTATATAGATTCTTCAAGAATAAAGCAGCTGTAGGCGGAGTCTTCGGCGCTGCTGGCCTTATATTCCTCGTTGTTCTCCTTGCTGTCGTACTCAAGATCGTCCGGTACCGTTCGAGGCGCAAGTTTGAGAAGGATCTCGATGAGCAGGTTCAACAAGAGGTGAGATCTGGGACACCGATGTTTGGTCTTGGGAAGGAGGATGATGGCTTGAGTATCATGGGCGGGAGAGCTGGTGTGATTAGTGATCCGGAGAAGGCAGCGTACGCAGACTCTGGATACGGATATCCCAATACGGCTGCGTCATACCCTACATATGGTGGTTCGGCCCCACCACAGGCCGCTCAACCAGCCTATTATTCACCTAACGCCTACTCCAGTCGTCGAAATCCCTCTCGTGGTCAATCGCAGGATTTTAATTATCGCGACGGCGGACTCTCCCGCGTAGATTCTCGTGGATCGGCCAGGTCGTATGGTACACTGAACCAACCTCCTATGAATGCTTTTGGTCCCTCCCAGTCAATATCCGCAGGAGCTAATGCGCCGGCCTTTGCTCCCGCTACTTTCGCTGCGCACTATGGTGAATATCGTCATGCTTCGCCCGCACCTTCAACCCAATCCTGGCAGAGTCACAATCAGGCTTTCGGCGCCAGACCCGGGACTCCCTCGGCGTTGACACCTGGAGGCAGAGGTAATTCGATTCCTGCTCCCCCAAGGAATGTATATACCCCTCAGGATGTACGATCGGATTCACCTGCTGTTCTTTCACGCTACAGCCCTTCGCATTCTTCTCGAACTTCCGGGGATGGGTATGGCGCTGATGCGTATATTGTTGGTCGGATAACGCAGATTCAAACCCAAAACGTAGGTGGCCTTGCTGTTGGTCCTGCTTACGGGAAGGAACCTCCTAGTCCTAATGTTCCATTGCCTAACCCCTTTGACCAGAGGGATCGTTGAAGTCAGCGATTTGTAGTGTCTTAGATTTTTGCTTTATTTTGCGCGCTGGGACTTGCTCTTTCTGGTTTTCCTACTTCATTTACTTGATTATACATTGAAAATGTGGTGCGTCTGCTATACATAGGGCTTTCGAAGGTTCGCCATAGGATATATACTCGTCAAGAAACATATAAAATATGTGCACAATAAGGCCTTTACAAGCTGAGAGGAAGTTGTCCAACAGTTCACACTGATAGCAAGAGTTCAAGGGGTGCAACAATATCGACGAAATTTCACCTATTGTTGACAGCGAAAGCAATCGAAAATGCACTAAAAATCCGAGGCAATAAATGCTGTTGAAAAGAATGAGGATTGAAACAGATAAAGGATACAGTTTGAGATCGGATGAATCGTACGTGGTAATTGAGCGTGGGCAACAGAACCAAGAAAAAAAAACAAGGAAACTGCCGTGAAATGCGTAGAACATCGTGGACAGAGCAGCGAGCAGGCCGCCTTCTATTACATGCAATTCATAACTATAATTTGCCTCCTTTAGAGCGCGATCGTTAGGGAAAAAAAAACTAGAACGGTATATTATGTTGCATGCGAGTACGTCAGAAAAGGAAGAAAGGCAGACTGAGTAGTAAAGAGAAGGAAGAAAATGAGAGTCTATTGCGTCGCTTGCTTGACCATCTGTACATGTCGCGAAAAACGATTGTTTAGCGGCAATCCTACCTAGTAAATACCAGAAACTCACATCTCGAGCCCAACGCATGGTCTTCTTTACGTCTTGGTTCATGCGGTGTCTGGCTTTGAGTTCGGAGGCGATCCACGGCTGCAACAGCAATTGCTTCAATTGACCTCCGGGGAACGAATCGGCAAGATCTCCGAGTAGTCCATAACACAATTTTACCAGTGACTCAGTCTTCTCATCGTCAGTGAGACAACGTTGAATCAATTCTAATACGCTGGGGGCATGCTGTAGAAGTAGATTGACTGATGGCAATGGGTTAGAAATTTGCTCAAGGACACATATAGAGGATATATTACCTTTGTTTGTGTTCTTCAACCCAGTGACAATGCCGGTGTATGCCTCGAGTATACCTTCGCGCAATTGAGAAACATAGTCCATAAGGTCGTAGTCCAGCTGCAGCAAAGCACATCAGTGATTATTCTGGAAAGATTGATGTAAAATCATACAGGGTTTGGTTGAACGGCGCCAGCTTGTCGCAAAACGTTCATCGTCGTCTCAAGGTAGGGCTCAAATGAAGGACCGATGGCGAGAGCGATATCCCCGAAGCACGACAAAATAACGATCTTGACATTCCGGTTAAGAACATCACTTTGAAGGTTTTCCAGAAGCACAGTCATGAATGGTCCGGCATATTGTGCGCTTTGGTCACCCAAAGCACGAGAAATATCACCAATAATTCCAACAGCTACTGTGCACAGCTGAGTATCTTCATGGGCTTTCAAGGCAGGATACAGGAACGGCAGGAACGCAGAGATGTATGGGGAGAATTGGGTTTCCAACGCTGAGATTTGTAGATAATGAGCATGTGGTATAGTCACTGAAGTAGAAGCCACATACCTGACGCCAAGGATCCTACAACTAGGAAAGCATCTTCGAGGACGGTCGATGTTTTGCCTGCAGATTGAATCAATTGTAAAACGGCCGTCATGATTCGGTCTGCTAATGGTTGTATGCCATTTCCAAGTTTCCGAATGACACACTATCAGAAGCAATCAACGGGCAGATATAATGTTTATGAAAGTAGGACCCACAATGATAACCGAGCAGAAGTTGCTTTGAAGCTCATTCCAGTTGTTGCGGTCATCCACACCAAGTATTTGATTCTATATGAACCCTTAGTACAAGGATGATCGAAAGAAAGCATCTACAGTTTTCACCTGCACGCTAAGTAAATGCTCCATTCTCTGAAGGATAGTCACCGTTGTGGTTTCCACTACACCAAGAACGTCATTTGCAGCATGCGTAAGGAACGAAGTGATAGCCTCGTATGCTGCTGTTCGATAGTTGGACTCGTTGCTAGAGCTAGACAGAGTTTTAAAATACATGATATGTGCGAATCGATGTAAAAATACCTTTCGGTAACGTGGAGAAGAGCTTGAACTATTCCTTCGTAGTACGGAGAAAGTGGTCCGGTGGCCGGTGTATCGGCTTCATCCTCGCCACCATAGAACATACCAAGTTGATCGGACAAATTCATCAAGGCCCAACAGCAATTCACAACGATTCTGGGATTGTCCTGGAGACCACCTACCAGCGCGGAAATTAATGGGTGCAAATGGACGTCTGGTTTGATGACGGTGATCAGGATATCACAGATGCGACCCAAAGTCCACGCCGTGGTGTCTTTGACGTGTATGTTGGTATCAGCCATCATATTAATCAGAAGTGGAAGTGCTTGCTCGGCCAGAGGCGTCAGGACACTGGGGTCAGGGCCTTCGAGAATTGAGCCAAAGGTCATGACTGCTGCTTCACGATGGTGCCAGTCCTCAGCCTTGATGTGAGCTTCAATGAATGGGATAACAGCTGGTACAATTGCGTCGGCAACAGCACCCGCGAGAAGAGTGAGGCAAGTTCCCGCGGCCATAGAGACATTCCATTCGTCTTCATCAGCGTCTTCTTCTTGCTTGGTGAGCAACATAAGCAGGACAGGAACAATTTCGGGGAGCGCAATCTTGGAAAAGTATTTGGATTCACGTTCAGGTAGTTCGCCATACTCCTGGGCCTGACACAAGCTATAAATGAAAGGTGATGACCATGTCAAAAAAGCCGCATACCTCCTGAGCTTCGAGTGCAAGTTCGACTTCTTCCTCGCAGACAGTCGACCAAAATTCAACAGCTTGCAGTGCAACGCGCTCTTCAGAGTGCTTCATCCCAACCACGGTCAACTGATAAAGGATGAGTATCGGAGCGACAAGCGAGGTGCACCGGAAAATAACTTACGCCGAACAGGGCTTGCTCCATGTATAGTGCCATCTTATCATAATACAGGTCCATGATCCTCACCAGGCATTCGAAAGCACCAATTTGGACATTCACAGACTGATTCTGGGTAGCTTCACAGACGACTTGCATGATGTAATTTCTTTCTCCCTTATAATTTTTTTGAGATGTGGATTGTAGATTGTAGGATGAAACCAACACACACCTCTCTATCGAAATTATCGCGAATGAATTCGAGTGAGTTGAAGAGAGCGTGAATCGCAGCAAGTTGAACATCAGGCGACGTTTCCTCCTTTCGTGCGCCATGTATGACGGCGGTGAGGATCTCATTCGAGCGTAGGGCCAGGATATCTGGTTTCTGGAAATATGTATTGAGTACTCGTATGCAGTCGATTCATGGAAAAAAGACGAACTATCGATTCACAGATAAATCCAATTGCTTGGAGGGTAGCGATCTTGAGATTCGCACTGGGCTGGTTGTTGACAAAACCCAATAGCACTTCGATCAATTCGTTCCACTGGCCCTGAGGAAGTTCCACAGCAGCGATAGCTGCGACCACTTGGGCAGCAAACGTTCCAGCTTTTGAGCTGCTTGAGCCGAGAGTCATCAAAGACTCTTGCTTGATCTTTGCCTTTGCATCAGAACTCAAATTCAACCATCTATTGGAATATTCCGTTTGCCGTGCACTTTCCTAGGTAGTCCAAAACATTGAGTGAGTGATGGTAGAAGAAAGATGAGATAATGACGCACTCGAGCACTTAATGCGTTCTTCAGCGCAAGACCAGCAGCATTTCGGACGTGTAATTGAGAATTCTCGTCGGCCAAAACAGACGATAGCATGAGCATGTACTCGGGCTAAAGTAGAAAAGAATGGTCATTGGTACCGATACGAAGATGAATGGGCAGAAGAAAAGATAACGCACGTAATTCTCTCTCGACGCATTTTCAAGTTTTTCAGTGGCATTCTGACGCGTAGTTGCGTCTAATGGGGTACAGTATCGATGGAAATAGACCAGGCTTAGTGTCCGAAAGTATGATAGAATAGAACAGTGGCGTACCAGGAGACAACGTATTGGCAAGTAGTTCAGTCGCATTCATCGTTGGGTAAGATACGGTAAAAGGTTCTATTGACGAGTTTTGAGGCGAAAGAGTAATCAGATATCTATGTGAGAATCTGTAGGGAACGCTGAACAGACGTTGAGAAAAAAAGGGAGCGGGTTGAAGGATGGATGAGAGTAATTGTAAAAAACAGGCGCTTTGACAACCCTTGACTAGTGACTGGCCGCTGCCCATTGTCAATGTGACTTGTTCTTTCTTGCTCACTGCCACAGCAAACAAAGTGCAAGCCATTATCCTCCCCTCTACAGGGCCTTTTGTTTTAGGGTCTATTTCATACGCGTAAAAATGGCAGATCGAGTCTGTATCTTTGTTTCAAGATTTCTGCTAGCAATATCGACTCAATCTCTAGGGACGTGGTGCAGCTCGTGGAAGCCGCGGCGGGCCCGGTGGTAACTCAAGAGGTCGTGGCCATGGCCCTTCATCGTCTCAAGCATCAGGAGACAAACCACGGCGGGAGGCCATCCTTGACCTTTCCAAGTACGTGAATGAACGTATTAGGGTAAAATTCACTGGTGGACGGGAAGGTAAATATCGCTTAATCATTTTTCACAATAATTGACCAGGTTCTGGATTCAGTCACCGGTGTGCTCAAGGGCTACGACCAATTGCTGAATCTCGTGTTAGATGATGTCGAGGAGGACGTGGAACGTGAGGACTATTTCACTCACGAATTTATCGATCTACAAACTGAAACTTTAAATTCTTTCTAGTGCCTCAGCCCCGAAAACGCTCATTGGGACTTGCCGTTCTTCGTGGACCTACAATAATTCTCCTAAGTCCCGTGGATGGTTCAGAAGAGATTGCTAATCCATTTTTGACACAAGAATAACGGACAATTAGAACTAATTTCATGGAAAGGTTGTTGCAGTTACTGAGGTATATATAGTCAGTCTAACATGTGCATTATATTCAGTAAAATGGACATCTGTTCCTTCAATGTTATCATGAATCTACCTCATCGCGATCAATAGAACACAGGTGGCATAAAACAAGTACATTGAAGACCGCCATCTGTCTGCACAGAATATGGATAGTATGCCACTACAGTATCAATCGGATAAGTGATCCGGTCGGGCAACGGGGATATGCTAGAGGTACATGTGCCATAGGAATCCTCAGGAAAACAAAGCAAAGCAGAGACCGATGAAGTCAGTAAGATTGGAGTAGGAAAGAACAATGAACACTGGCAGGATTCTAAAGTGTAGCAGTAAGTAGGTAATTGCAATTTTGAGGGTGGGCAAGCACGATAAAGGAAGTAGATGGGTGTTGAGATAAAGACAAACAGCAAAACACAGAATGACACACGAATGGATAGAATGGAGGTAGCTCATACAAAATGCCTTTTTGATGATACAATGACCCCCCACCACGCTGTTTCTTCAATTAATATGAATCCCAAGAAATACTGGATGAATGTTCGCACGAGATGTCGGATGCCTGCCGATGCGTGCCACGAGACTTAAAGGCATTCTGGTTACTGGACCGAACGACTGCTATCGGAGTTGATTTACATTGTCCCTAACCTCGACAAGAGCATCAAGGTTGTTTGATGTACGAAAGTCTTCCGAGCGAGTGGTGTTTTCCTGCTTGGCCATTCTTGCCTCAGAAAGCGTGGATGGGGGAAGAGATGAACGAGGGGGAGATATTGACCTGGGGGATGGAGATCTGGATATGGAAGCCGTTGAGTGATCCGTGGACGATGAGGCCGGCGAACTACTTTGATAAGTTGCGGTCCAAACGTGAGTCGGGTGTGTACCAGGCGGAGGCAATTTCCTGGAAGGTGGAGGATCGTAGGGTGATAGAGGATGAGAGCGTGCCGAGGGCGCTGGATGAAACTGTGTTGATGTTACAGAAGGACTAGAGAGTACATTTTGGTTGGAGGAAGATATTCGAGACACAGTTGGTGGAGGCGTAGACGCAGTAATAGTGGAAGCAGAATGTGAATGATTATGTGCCGAAACCGAAGTAGGTGTAGGTGTCATTTGCCCCGTCGTACAGGAGGGCAATCCTATGTAGGAGACTTCTACCGCACTATCGCGGATATTATTCGAAGATAATGTAGGGAGGCTGGCGGGGAATATGTCGTGGGGGGTGGTATAATAGCGTTGTTGTTGAGAGAGATATGAGTATGGGGACAAAGGTGAGTGAGATCCAATAGGGCTTGGGTATGAAAACGTCGAATGCGGGGACCTTGTTTGGTAAAATACAGTACCAGGTTCTTCCTGAGACCCTGTGGTAAGGTCAGGGGAAGGAGGAAGAGGAATAGACACGGCTAGAGGGGAATGGATTTTTAATATAGGTCGTCCAGGACCCGACGAGTACTTCTTCGTAAATTCGGATTTTGGAGGTTCATTCGGACGCGAGGAAGGGATATCAACAGGTTTGTCGAACAGATTGAACCTACTTCTCGCAGCCGCAGCATTAGAAAACCGAGAAGGTGGGTCATTTGTGAGATCAATTTGTGCGTGAGCTAATCGCACATTGGTACTTGCTTGGGTAAGCCATCCCGAGGACGGTCGACGAAAAGAAGGACCAGCGGAGATTGTTGAAGTACCTTCAGTGAAGGAACGTATCGACGTCACATCGTCAGATTCCGCTGCATCTGAGCGGCGGTCTTCATCATCCAAAATCTCACTACTACTCGAAGACGAATTATACGCCTCCTCTTTCTCTCGAGCTTCAGTAGCTGCTGTCGCTAACTCCAACCCCATCCCCAGTTGACTCTCATATAATGTATGGTCTGAGGAAGGTGCTTCAGGAGGTGGCGGACTAGTCCACTGACTTCGTTTTGGAGCCATATGTTCCGGCGGCGGGCGAATAGGTACTTGTTGACTCGGTAGTGAGGGTCCTGGTTCATGTAGCTTTATCGTAGGAGACGGTATGATCGGGGTACTATTCAACTGCATTGACCGACTTCCCACGGAGTAAGGCGTTTGTGGTGGAACCTGGCGAGAAGGTGCGTAAAAAAGTGGTGCAGTGACTAGATCTTCATCTTTCCGCTCATCGCAAAGGTCGGCCAAAGCGAGAATGGCTCGTTCCGGGCGAGTGGCCAATACCCGCGATGCACGCATGAATTCTCCGCGGATCTATGAAATGATACCTCAGGTAAGCTCTGGACCAACTTTAGTATTTGCCATGGATCACTAACAGTGTAGAGACCGTCCTTCGTGACACATCTGGCGACATTGTAGTCCGTCTCGAAAGGGTCCTTTTCAAGGAAAAAAGAGTAATGAGCATCCAGTAGACAGACACAGGAACTAGATAAACAATACCGACCTCGATACACAATCGGTTCCGTTCTCGAGCATCGTAACGGGATGCAGATACCTATATGCAGCCGACATCAAATTGAAACCGGTTGGGGTTTGATAGCCCTCACCTCATTCTGCCAACCCTTACTCTCCTTCTTGAGCAGTCCTGCACGTATGGAAGCAACGCCGCCGTTATATACAAAATCACGCGAAAAGTATCGGAAAAAATCGATCAATCTACACCCATACGGTATTGGATCAGCACTTTCAATGAAAGAGAAGCATGATGGAGCGACACCCACAATTCTGCAACGGTCTCTGAGTTTTCAGAATGCCATCGTTGGCGAAGGAGGTCAATGTCATCAAAAAACCATGTATTGTGGCCTCCCATATGTGTTTCTTCTTTGGGAATAGGTCGCAAAGGTGGCATTTGTTGTAGATTAGGCAAAACCGGAGGATTTTTGACGTGGACCAGGAAGTATATCACAAGCAGCACGTAGCCGTATGAAGACAGTGTGCCCTTGTATGGAGAGTTGATTTTCCTAGAAATGATTTAGAGATTGCAAAAAAAAAAGAATAATCCCTATGAATCACCTCCGTTTACTCCATACCTTCACTATTAATCGCGATAAGGGGCTTGGATTTACAACCATTACACAAATACTCACAGAATAAGACCATAGTCCGTACTCTTGTGGGATCAATCATAGCGTAACACATGAGAAGACGAGTGTTCTCTAAAGCAAGTCTATTCTCAAACCCGATATCACAGGCTATGCCAAGTGGGAGTCCTGGTGAAGGGTCCAAAGACAATTTAACGATAGGTATTCGTGCATGAGGTAGCGGTTTGACATGGAATTTCGTTTCTAATTGCACGGAACGTGAGTAGGCCATCAGGGAAGGAGCGCAGTAACCGCACCTCGCTCAAGTAGATCTCCTAACATCGTTACAAGGTCCGAGGCAGCTAACCGCTCTTCGGAGTCGATGAGGCAACATAGGTCCATATCTCCATGAGCGTCAGTTTTGTAATGCGCAGGCCATGATAAGTAAACGACCTTGTCTAGACACACCTGAATTTCTCAAACTGAAACCATTCGCAGTACTCCCAAAGGATAACAACCGGCTGTCCGGTTCAATCGTTCTAATGAGCCGTTCGAGCAACTTTCTGACATCTTCTTTTACTGCCAGCTCTTCTTGGGTAGGCAATAATTGGATTACGAAGTCGAATAGACATTGAGAGAGCTCAGCAACAAAATGTTGTTTGGTAAGTTGCCTGAGCCGCTGGCTTGTCGGTGATGAAGAAGCGGAGTTCACGTCGCGATAGTGTTGATGAGTGGTCTGAGGGCTCATTGTCTGAGGATAAGCCATCTGAACTTAGGATTTCCGGCCAGCTGGACTTGCGATGGTAAGATGAGAGTTGATGGGGAGTGACCGAAGGGAAGGCTTCCAAAGCGGGCCGCGGCTCAAAAGAACAAGAGGCTATTTACAACGTCGTTGTCTACATATGTACATTGTGCATGTGTTCGTTCTCGCCAGTACTCTCGCCAGTACTGCCAGGCATAGTGCTGCCAACAGCCGTTTACAAATAAGGCGCAAGGGTACATATTTACACAAAATATTCCGGACCCCGGAGGAATGTGTTCGCAACGACCTCAGCATAGCACGCTTGAACCGCCACTGAAACGCCTTAGCTGATTGGCACGAGAAATGGGTTAATAGCAAGAAAATAGATTAACCCAATTCACAACAACTTTAGCCATGATTAGGGGGCTGTTGTGGGACCAAAATATCGGAAAAGTAGAAACCTGAGGCTCATGCTGGCTCATGATTTCCCACTCTGTACCAGATCTCAGAGCCTTTGCAAGTACTCTTAAGGGGAAGAAATACTAGAAGCCAGACATATGCCTTAAGCTAATGATAGGTCATAGGTTACTTATACAATATTAATTTATTCCAGAATCCATTGAGGCGTGAATGTAGCCTGCCGATTGGTGATACAGTGCTTTGCGTAAGTCTTTGCTTGCTCGACTTTTTCACATCTATTTGTGCTTATTTATTTGTCCAATATATTTTTACCCCAAAAAGGATTCATCAATCACTTTTTGAAGCCCGACGGCCCTGGTGGGAAAAACGAGCCTGCCCAAAGTTTAGATAAGCATTACTAATATTAGTAATCGCTAACCTCTTATCCGCGCGCGCTAGCGCGCGTTGCCCCCGGCAGTTAGCGGCAGTTCCATAAATCCATTGTTATCATATCCGGCGGTTGAATCAATACTGCTGTCGAAAGCATGCCTAAAAAGTTAGAATAACATATGGTGTACATAATGACCAACGGATACAAAAATTGCATGTATAGTGGATGTTGATACAAGGCAGATAGCCCCATGAGCATGCCCACTATAACCTGTGTTGTGTAGTGGTTTAATGAGCTTGGAGTCATGTGAAATAATTGCATTTGTATGAAAGCTAAGTTCAAATCTCCAATGGGTCATTTTACCTGCTCTAGCTTGCACTGTATTTTTTTTACTCGGTTTTGGCCCTCGAAAAATGGGCTTGTTCACCTGTAATTCATGATGAGTGTATGATCAAAAGGAAATGTATCTAGGACTTCAATTTTTTTTTGGCTGAGTGAAATGCTAAGTATAGTGAACTTTGCCCGATCGAAGCATGGCTCATTTATTTATCAACAATAAATAATTACTCGGATGAATTTTACAGTCGAAGCTTACAAATACTTACAAATGCTTATCTAAACTTTGGGCATGCTCGGTTCGCCCCTGGTGGTCCTCAAAGAGAGCCCTCTCGAGCCTCGGCCCAAAAATGTATTGGACAAATAACTAGAAATAAACAGCAATAAACACTTGGTAAAAAATCCATACAAGCAAACCATTTCGCAAAGCACTGTAACAGATGATAACCTACGAAATTTATCAGCCGTCTTCTGATCCCGTCACGAAAGGCAGATCAGGCAGAGGTAAGTAGCTCTCTACAGACAGAAAAACACCTCGTGAGCAAAAACAAGTAGTAGTGTACATCCTACAATAGTCCTCACCATCTCTACCATTTCCACACTGCATCTATCTCCTTTGTGCTCATCCATGCTGCATTTCGAGTTTGTGTATAGCGTTTGCTTGTAAAGTATCCCTGAAAATGTAAGTTCTACGCGTATGCATAAGTCATGGAGAGAAAAGAAAGCATTACTCGCACCAATCTTAATTCTGATCAACAAGCCTAATCCCAATCATCGTACACAATGATATAATTCGTTGCCTTAGAGCTTGTACATCCTCCAATGTGGATTTCTTATATTGATCTGCAGGATCCGTGTCAACCCCTCCCGAGTTAAGTCGTTTTAGCATGTCTTCTAGACCCTCCATTTGGCGCTTCTCAGCCAATTCCTTGCTCTCTTCCATCCCCGCGTCCTCTTCGTTCATTTCAAAATGTTCCCTGGCATGAGCTTCTGCCTCGAGATCTCGGGGAGCTATTTCAGAGAAACGAATTTTAGACAGCTGGGAAGCAATGGATCGGGCTTCGGTGAGCATAGATTCACCCCTAGGCAACTTTTCGCTGCCGTTGATAGAGGCAAGGAGTGCAGAGACCATTCCGCGGAGCATCCCAACTTCGCGACCTATCGGAGTACCAATGGTAGCAAAACCAGTATCAAACCCTTCTTGTAACGCTGATTCTTTCCCAGCAGTTATACCTTCACGGTAGCCAGTCTGTTCATTTATAATACCAAAAAAAAGTCCAAATTCCGCGTGAAAGATATAGTTCGTTGCATACGCACTGTCGTGAATTCAGAAGACATCTTTGACCATTCTGTATCTCTAAGAGTATCTGGCCCTGCTTCTTCATCCCAAGGAGAATCCATCTCAAAGCGTTCCTAAGCGTCCGCGCTAAATAAAATCAATTGGTAAGTTGGATTTGCGGACAAGCGCCCAATTTTTTGTTATCTAATCCCTCCCAATGTTGAAAGAGGAATTACAGGACTTGAAGAAACCCAGTCCTTCGCCATCCCGTATACCTCGAAAAACATTTTTCACTGAATTTATTATCATTTTCGTTTTTTTGTCCACCTTATGGATCTCCAATTATATCCCTCTCCCTATCTATCATCATGAATACTCCGTATGCTCAGAATCAGGCAACATCTATACCGTCGATGAAGTGACACCTCAAGTCGAATGTATTTCAATCGTAGGATCGCGCATTTCCTACACCGGAAGCTCGAAGGAATTACAGGGACGCCTGTATCGAAGAACTCAGGCTGTGTCATGGTTACAAAGCTGGCTGGTATCACGTCTGTTCGGCAGGGTCTCGCACAAAATCTCGTATGTGAGTTCGGATGCTATCATCGTGCCAGGCTTAGCTGGTATGTACTCTGCCCGATATCCCGCCAGCAACATGTGCTACTTTGATACTCACTGCAGATGCTCACGCCCACATTATGATCAATGGCTTCAAGATGCAATTGGAATTAGATAGCTGTAAATCCTTGGCAGGTAGGTAAACTCGACAGTGTATACTTCTCTCAGTCTTCTATTTCTATGTACTAATTACTTCCATGCAAATCACAAGAGGTTCTGGAACACATCAAGGCTTATATATACACCCATCCTGACGTCTATAACAACAAATCACAATGGATTGAAGGAGGGGGCTGGGATCAAACAAAATGGCCGGAAACAGGATTCCCTCGCGCAGTAAGTTTGTGATCGAGCTTTCTTGCATGTTTTTTTCAAGATCTGTGGTAGGCAGACTTTGATACAGATCCGCTGCTCAGAGGCAGACCTATAGCACTACACCGAGTGGACGCACACGCATCGTGGGTTTCCACTCGCGTTCTCGAAATCATGGGCGACCTCCCAACAAAGGTCAAAGGAGGATCAATCGTGCGTGATCCAAGCGGTAATCCCACAGGTACGTGTCCTCCCGCTCCCTCTGCTGCAACTGCAGGGCTCAGTGCGTATTGTTCATTGGTTTCTGTAAAGGTATATTCCTCGATAACGCCATGTCATTGATCCCGGTCCCAGAATGGACTGATGAGCAGATGACTACGTTTTTCGATACAACCATGAACCTCGCTCTATCCCATGGTCTCACCTCCATTCATGACGCAGGCTCCTCTCCAAAAATAATCCAATTCATGAAAAAGTGAGTTTCTTCCCCATTCTCACCGCTCCCCAAAGTCTACGTTCAAATTTAAGACTAATCTACTACCTTCAGACAGGCTGAAGCAGGTAACATTCCTGTAATGCTCCCTTTCTCCACTTTGTAGTATGAGAGGGACCTCACTCAGCTCATATCATAGATGCGGCTCTATGTAATGGGCCACGTATCTTCCGACGAATACTGGGGTTCCCAGATTCCTCGATTGATTGATTACGGAAAACACGGTCATTTGACGATTCGCAGCGTGAAGCTAGTCACCGATGGTGAATGACTCTCCACCGCTACACCAGCTCAATCCTATTGATACACTTTTGATTAAAAATTTACATAAAACAGGCGCACTAGGGTCTTGGGGTGCTGCCCTCCTCGAACCGTACTCCGACAAACCAAATACCTCAGGAATCATGCGAAGTACTCCCAAGACTCTATTCAATCTCGTGAAGCAATTCTGGAAGGATGGATGGCAAGTCGTACGTCGGTTTCAATTCGCACGCAAACTGTATATTTAGGGATAATCATCATATGTGTTGTATTATTTTAGAATATCCATTGCATTGGGGATCGTGCAAACCACGTCGTATTAGACATTTATCAAGAACTCATCGAAATGGGCGACAACGAAACTACTACTATGATCACGAACACAACTAGTGAAAGCGAATTAATGAAAGCGAACATCACGGAATGGAGGCCACGGATTGAACATGCCCAAATAATGACGATGAAAGATCTTAGGCGGACGAGCGAACTTGGAAGTAAGTATCAATATGCTTGTCTGCGAACAGCTAATCTTGTTGCAGTTATCGCCAGCGTCCAACCAACACATGCGTACGTATGGCTTCCTGGAGGATATTTATTATGAATCTCATCTCCGATCATCCCTCTTGCGAAATCTAGGACCAGCGATATGTGGTATGCAGAAACTAGGTTGGTTAGTTATCGTTTCTGTACACCATGGATAATTGGTGAGTCCTAACTTTGAATAATCACCTTAGGGTCCAAATCGAATCAAGGGCGCTTATGCATATCGGACTTTGTTGAAGTGAGTGGTTATTAGTCGTCTTGCAGCTTGTTTTCAATTTGGGTCTTCATGCCAGTGGATCGCCAAAACATGTTATCCCTTTAGGTTCCGACTTCCCTGTAGAAAGCGTCAATCCGCTGCTGGGTTTCTATGCTGCGGTTTCCCGACTTTCAGTCGACGGTACGTCCCCGCACGGGGATGGAGGATGGTAAGCGTAACATTTGCAGCCTTGGCATTAGTGCTTTTGTGTCGAATTTGACGATTATCGTTTAATAGGTATGCTTCCGAGGCCCTCACTCGTGCCCAAGCTCTCAAAGGAATGACACTTGACGCTGCTTACGCATCATTCACTGAACATGAACTTGGGTCCTTAACCCCGGGAAAGAAAGCGGATTTCGTGGTCCTCGATAGGAACATCATGCAAGTGCCCTTCAAGGATATTTTAAAGACGAAGGTGGTGGCGACAGTGGTGGATGGAAAGGTTGCTTATGGAGCCTTGTGAGACTTGTTAAATGCTTGTAGATAAGATAAAATGAAAAAAGATATATCGGGGTTGTTCTTTAATGCCTCTACTATGATCTATTTTGCAGATATACATAAGCTGGACAGTGTTGAGCCAGTACCCAATTACCTATAAACCTTGTCCCCTTGTGGCGCTGGGTTCTCATATGTTCTCATGTATGATGATGTCCATACCTCATTTTCGCCATTTTGGGGCCCATCTGTGTCCAAATTTGGAGCCGATATCCCGGCCCAATCATCATCTAGCCCAAGTTGTCCAAGCTTTGAGTTTAAGTTTGAGAACATGAGAGGGGATCAGGCGGCAGGCCGAGGAGGCAGGTCAGATGAGTTTCCAACACGGCGGCCCGATCCGCAGGTCGGATCGCTTCCCCATTCTGCGAGCACTACCAATCGCGATGGATTAGAATGCATAACAAGTGAATTTTCTTCCTGTTCTCAAGATCCTCCTCCTGCTCCACCTTCGTGATTTAATATGTCGTTCACGATTCCTCTGCGTCAAAAATTGTCTGGTGGAGAGCAAGCTGCAGGGGCCTGGCTTACACTTCCCAGGTTAGTCCTGAATTTTGGAGCTCAGCCTTCCTCAGCAACGTCAATATACTGATTTCTCTCTCTCAAGTACGGCTATAGCGGGTACCATTGCAAGAACACAAAATGTTTCTTGGGTTCTCATTGATGCTGGTCAGCTTCTCCCTCTATGCACTTTGTCTGAGGGACTTCATATGCCTGTGATGCAGAGCACGGTCTAATCAACGGTGTGTGAATTGTTGTCCTTCATATCATAGTGACCTTATGCCACTTGAATCAATAGACACACATCTCTACGACCTTGCCAATGTCATCGCCGCAAATGGGGCTTCTCCCATAATTCGTGTCCCTTCTGAGGAAACTTGGTTAATCAAGGAACGTCCAAGTTGGCACACTTGATCTTACTAATCCGTATATTGACGTCGAATCATTGCATTATAGAGAGCCCTCGACTCCGGCGCCCATGGATTAATGGTACCCATGGCCAACAGTGTGGTATGTGAATAAAACAACTCTTTGATTTGTATCTTCTACGTATTTCTCATCAAGGAAATCGTCCGAGGAATCGTTCGCGCGACAAAATACCCTCCAGTCGGGATTAGAGGATTCGGACCAATGTTCACCGGCGCAACCGGCGCTTTGGGTGGTGCATACGCGGCTGCTGCTAACAGTGAACTGGTCATCTCTGTTCAGATAGAACATCCTCAAGCTGTCGCGGAGATCGAAGAGATTTGTCAAGAGGGTATTGATGTTGTTTTTGTAAGTTCGATCCATTCATCGCGGTGCGACCCTGCATCACGCAAGAGGTGAGGGAGATTCAGATCGGGTACACGATTCTCACGACCCCCCCCCCCCCCCCCCCAATGAATAGAGAGTCCAGGCAGGGTCTATTTGTAGAACTGTCTCAAACGCCCTTCAAGCTCACATATACCTTCCAGACTGTACCTAAGTAGTTGGATATCATCAATAAGTGACACAAACACAGGTATTCGAAGATTTCGAACAAGTTTTATGGCCTCTCGAACCGTCATAGGATGCCGTGCAGCTCGGCTTGGGCTTGGTCAGGGCCTTTCGCGTGGCAACATAAGTACCCCCGATCTGAATCTCCCTCACCTCTTGGCATCACGCATACTGATTCCTGATCCCAAGATCGGCCCGTTCGACCTAGCACTTTCCATGGGGGTGCAATTTGGCAGCGAAGCACACGAAGCCGCCATTTCAAAGATTCTTGCTTCAGCGAAAAAACACGGGAAAGTCGCAGCCATCTTCTGTAAGGTTCAACTTCAAGTCCGTGGCTTTCTAACCAATTTTTACCCTCTGTGTGTGGCCGTAGGTCTCAACGGCGAACAAGCAGCCAAACGATTCGCGCAAGGTTTCCAAATGGTCAGCGTCACCACGGACATAGACACTCTCACCACTGCGTTTGCTAACGAGTTGACTGCGGCTACTGGGAAAAATACAGATGCGGTCAAAGGGTATAGTGCGTAATTCATGTATATCTAATAACCCTCAACAAACCAATTAGTATCATTGTATATCATTGTCAAATCTTGGGTCGATACGACCAAGAATCGAGATCACTGGTGACCATGAGGATGGCGGTAAAGTCATCTGTAGTCGTTGCAGGCAAAGTACGTTGAGTACGTTGAAGAAAACTTATATCCCACTGCCGCCGAACACAAATTGTCCTCCGGCCTCCCCGACATCCATATATATCCGGACTGTGCTAGAGACAAAAATCGACGCACCTCCAATTCATGATGCAAAGGCCCTACGCATAGGGCCAGCAAATATTCATTTATTCCATACCGAGTCATTTCGAGTCATTTCAAGGCGGGAAGTACTATAAAATGGTTCCTGTCGATAAGGAATACACATGCAACCCATGAATCCATCCATTCCCATACAAATCATACCATTGGCATACGAGTCTAATGGTCATGAACACATCATGCAGACAGTAATTCCCGGCTGCACGGCTCTGCTCTCGTTGATTTCACTTTTGGTCCAGCTTACCAGACATCTTCGACTTGAATATACTAGACGTTCCGGAAGCGAGGATGCGATCGGACCAGCTAGCTGGGCTTCTTCTCTAAATTACAGAATTCCACCGTCCCAAGCCCTGCGCTTCATAACATGTTTTTCTCTGATGGTGCTCACTGCTTTGCCGGCATCCCACAAACAATGTGGGAACGATCAGCGAATTGTCGCAGGATTCAGCGACACTAGTACGGTTTCACTGGCTTTGGTCTATGTCAGTTCATGAAGCTTTCTTCCTCTGCGCTCTTTGCGTGATGTTGTTCTCTAATTAGAACAACTAACATTCTGCAGATGTACACAACAACACTTTCCCTACTATCGATGCTCACCAGTTTTCCTCGTTGGCGTGTGATCTTCAGGCGTCACCTCAATATCGTCTTATGTGTTACTTGTGTCGTATACGGCTACATCGACCTATTCCCGCTGGCCACCACCATCAAAATGCCTCCTGCTTTATGCAAAGGATGGCTTCTGTGGCTGGAACTCGCACTTCTCGGTGTCGCAGGTATCTTGATACCTCTGTTGACCCCGAGGGAGTATGTTCCCGTTGATCCCAAGGTAAGGGTTGTTTAGATCTAACATTCACATATCCTCATGAACCTCATGAACCGTTCTCACTTCTTCACACACACTCTCTGTCCAGCATCCAATGCCCAAACCGAACCCGGAACAAACGGCTTCAATTTTCTCTCTGGGAATGTTTTTCTTTCTCGATCCGGTTGTCTTCGAGGCATATGGCGTCCCTCACCTCCCGTATGAACGGTTACCTCCACTGGCGGATATTGATTCAATTAAACATCTCAAAGGAATACACTTTCGAGTCTGTATATTTCGAAAGTGAGACATGGCATATTCTCAAACCATACTGTAGCATCTCGATCCGTTTTCTGGAGCCAAACCGCAAAACATACTGGTGAATCTGGTTAGAAGTTTTCGATATGAAATCATCATCCTCTGGACACTAGCTGCCTCTTCTGCTGTTGTTTTATTCGGAGAACCTGCTGCCGTAAATCAATTGCTTAGGTATGTCTCTGTACGGTGGGATGATTGTGACGAGCCTCGGGAAAAGATAACTAATTTGAAAGTGTACACTTTGTATGACTTATTCCGCCTTATCTTCGGAGACGGCCGGACTAGTTGACAAATATAGGCAAGCGGCTATATTTGGGCTATATACAGATAGACGGACACAGAAGTCCACCTGGCTTACGTCAGGTGGCCATGGACCGGCCTCTCATCAGAGCTGTGCGGCAGGCACTCTGATATTGGCTTAATGGGGAGGGTGCCCCCCAGATCCATCACCCACACCAAAAACACCTACACATATGCCGTGGTCCCCGATGCTATGCCGATGTTGCAAATCGGATCGGGTAACCATGTGGACGGCACCACATGGCATACTCCACCCCGTGAATAGGGAGTCATGATCTATCATTGCAAAGTAGAACCGGCGGGTTAGGGCAGCGGTTAAGCCCTCTGATGAGCCCCTTCGCAAGGGCGAAACCCGCACAAAGTCCCTACCTTTCGGGTTCGAACCCCAAAGCTGCCTATCTTCTTTCTTGAAGATACGTTGAACAAAGAGAGCTTCTTGAAGGGGCTTCTAGTAGTATGATGCGTGTTTGGTTCTGGATCTTGATCCTTTTTCTCGTCACATTTGTGGATTCGCTCCTTACCGAGTGGTATTTGCGTCTATCAGTAAGTATATGCCTCAGATCTTGTTTATTGAACGCCTTGTTGATTGGCAGAAAAACTTTTTGATCAACGTGGTACGCTGTAGCTGCAGACTGTCGTGAACCTGGAAGCACTCTTAACCCAGCTGGTCTTTGAACACGCTCTCCGTATTCGTGTCAAAGCCGAACCATCATCATCATCAATCGATCTGGACTCGGAGGCAGAGAAGGGACACAAAAAGAACAACTTGAATCTGGTCGGGAAAATCAATAATCTAGTTACTACCGACCTCACTGTCATCAGCGATGCGAGAAACTGCATTGCGCTTATTTCTGAGATTCCCGTTTTACTTTCTCTATATGCGGTGTTCCTCCATAATATCTTGGGATGGAGGTGTGTGTTTTCGACGTTTTGGTGTAGTCATGTTCCTAATTGATCTATCAAATTTCAAGTGCCTTTGTAGGAATTTGTTTAACGATAATGTTAGCTCCGATCCCAGCTTATATTTCAAGGATCACTCGGAAATACCAAGCATTGCGCATGAAGAAATCAGATGCTAGAGTTCATGTGCTCACCGATAGTACGTCCCCTTTATTGATTATTAGTATCTCCTTGAACCAGCTGTTCAATAGTCATGAATATCCTTCGAATGGTCAAACTCTTCGGCTGGGAAAAGCGTATGTTTTGGAAAATCTCTGAAGCTAGAGAAGAAGAACTTTCATTGCTCAGGAAACGGCAGTACACCAACTTGTGGGGCTCTGTTTCGAAGTAAGTAGAGTTGATCCTGGCATTTTCTTTGTGAAATGACTCGGATGTTACTGACCTTCATTGCTCACATAGTTTCTCAATACCAATTGTGGCCATGGCAGGGACTTACGCAGCCTAGTGAGTATATAATGATTCAGTTTTCTCAACTCCAGACACTGATTCAGACTGCAGCGTAAGTGGAATCCTGATCCTTTCATTCTCTGGATCTGAAAATGACTTTTCAAAAGACATTGATAATGAAACAAAACCTCACTGCTTCCGCCGTTTTTTCTTCCCTAGTTGTATTTGAGAACCTTCAGAGGTATATCAATGCGATATTCATGTATTGGACAAGAGCACTTGCTGCAAAGGTCTCTTTAGATCGTTTCACAGACTTTCTACTTGATGTACGTCTTTGCGTCGCCTTCGGTTCGATGTCGAGCCGCAACTAAGGAGCATAATACCAGACCGAACTACTGGATAATCATAATCCGTCTTCCTCTTCGACTCAAGCTCTTAACGTTGGCCACAGCAACATCGTGGAAAGTTCTCCAGACGAAATAGGATTTTGCAACGCGTCGTTTTCTTGGTCCAGTAACACTAATGGGACTGATACTCCCTCTGGTAGAAAGTTCATTCTTAAGATCAATGACAAGCTCTCTTTTAAGAGGGGCTGTCTGAACTTGATCACTGGACCGACTGGGTCAGGAAAGACTTCGATGTTGCATGCACTCTTGGGTAAGTGTCTGCCAAGGGTAAGTTATGTACCTCGGGACTGCACGTTGATTATTATCTGTTTCTAGGTGAGATGCACTTCATCCGCTCAGGACCCGATTCGTTCTTTCATCTCCCACGACATGGAGGTGTAGCGTATGCTGCGCAGGAATCTTGGGTGCAGAATGAAACTATTAAGGTGACTTTATCCCACGCGGGCTTCTCTGATTTGATTATTTAATGCATCTTTGCATTGCAGAACAACATTCTATTCGCTTCGGAATACAATGAGACGCGGTACAAGGAAGTAATTTACGCATGTGGTTTAGAACGAGATCTTGAACTATTCGACGCTGGTGATGATACTGAAGTTGGAGAGAAGGGTATAACACTCAGCGGGGGACAGAAGGCTCGTTTGACACTAGCACGGGCTGTCTACTCCTCGGCAAATACATTGTTATTGGACGATGTGCTGGCCGCTCTCGAGTGAGTCTCGATTCTCCCGAAGGTTCTCTGTCTTTCTCATAATGCTCAGTGTTCATACTTCGAAATGGATTGTTGAGAAGTGTTTCGCGGGCGAACTTTTGAAGGATCGGACAATCATCATTGTGGTATGTGGTTGCTCTCTGGATAGCCGTGAATGGCTGAGTGAATTATCTGATCGTAAATTTTACTCTCCTTCAGACACACAATGTCCGACTGGTCGAACCCCTCGCAAGTTCTATTATTACAATGAAGGATGGTCAAGTGTATGAATCACGCTTCTATTCTCCTGCTCCGATCGAGGATTTGCACGAAACTCTGCACAACAATGTAGACGGTAAAGATCTAGTAAATGCCTCTCCGAAAGGCGAGTCGAAGTCAAATGGCAAACTCGTTGTCCCCGAAGAAATTCAGGAAGGTCACATAAGCAGGAATTCAAGTGTGTTTGTTTTGATATCATGTAGTCCAATGCCTGAATCTTAGGACGTAGTAAAACTGTACATATCGGCCGCTGGCGGAAAGCATCCAGTCCTGTATTTTGCGACTTTGTTGGCAATGATGGTTTTGACTCAATTCATGGGTGTCGTACAAACGTGGTTCCTTGGTTTTTGGTCTTCCCAGTATGAAATGCCCGGGAAGGTCCACGTCGCGTTTTACCTTGGTATTTATGGTGCGTCGTTTTTGCTCTTGTTTATATTACCTTCTCATCTCCATTGTGAAAAGTGATCATGCTGTTTTTTGTCATCATTTTGAACGCCGGTACCACTGGAATATATATCTCCGGTGCTATCAGAGGATCTCGAAGGATTCATAAACAACTTGCAGAAATGATTCTTGGAACGACAATCAGGCGGGTTCATTCACAGACGTTTGTGATCAACGACGCTAATGTTTCCAGTAGATGGCTCGACAAAACTCCCACTTCTCGTATCGTTACTCGTTTTACACAAGATATCAATGCTGGTGAGTTGCTTTTTTTTTAAATATTCAGATAACACTCAACACTCTGTTCGTAGTTGATACGTTCATTCCTGAATGGGCCAGATTGTTTCTTGACCAGACTTTGAAGCTAATACTCAAGCTTGCTGCGATCGTCATCTTATCCCCGATATTCTTCGTTCCCGGGGTTCTAGCTGTCGTTCTTGGATATACTTGCGCCCGGATATACTTGAAATCTCAGATGTCAGTTAGGCGCGAGATGTTAGTGGCAAAAGCACCTGTACTCGGACAGTTAGCCTATGCCCATTCCTTGTCGTATCATCACATCTAATCTATTCGTAGTTTTGGAGCCACAATCTCTGGTCTCAGTAAGTGGAATGTGAATGCGCTGTAAAACATCCCATATCAACCTTGTTCGTAGCGTCAATCCGTGCGTACGGAGCACAAAATATGATCACGGAACGACTATCTAGCCGGATCGATAGATATTCCCGTTCTGCGAGAATATTCTACAATCTTCAACGTTGGATGGCATTGCGAATGCACCTCATCTCGGCTTTGTTTATTGCCTTATTAGCATGGTACTTGGTCTATGTTCAGAAAGATAGTGCTTCCAATACAGGCTTTTCCATTAATATGGGTGGTCTGCATATTTCGGTCTTTCGTTTGTCCCTGTGCTGATAAGCCCTGACGTAGCAACATTTACCGGCGCTATCTTTGGCTGGATCATTAACATGAACATGCTTGAGGGTCACAGTACGTCATTTTTCTATGTAACACTCATAACCGAATTTCAGTCTTTGATAGGTAATAGGTATATGCAAAAATCATTCTAGCAAGAAAAGTTATTGAGGCCTTTTACAGTCTTGAGAGGGTAAATTCTTATTTGCAAATCGAGCAAGAACCAAAGCCAACTGCACAAGGGACGCCTCCGGCGTATTGGCCTGCTACTGGAGAGCTTCGCGTTGACAAACTATGCGCAAGGTACTCGCCTGATGGTCCAGAAGTCCTACATCAATTATCATTCTCTATAAAGTCCGGTGAGCGTATTGGCGTTGGTGGGTGTTTCATATACTATCTATCAACCTTGTGCACTGAATGCTATATCCATACCTTCCGGTGCATTACTAGTGGGTCGGAGTGGTTCAGGAAAAGTAAGTGTATCTACTCCATGTTTTGCAGCATTTAGTTTCAACTTCGGTTCAGAGCTCCCTTGCCCTTTCATTGCTACGCGGCATCTATACCACTGGAGAAGTCATGTATGATGGGATTTCTACATCTCTCATGAATTTGGACTCTTTGCGATCCAATGTTACCATCATACCTCAAGTAGTGAGTTCATCATGTTACGATTCAAGAATGTAATTCTCAGACTCAGAACTTGGTCTTCTTGTAGCCGGAACTTATTAGTGGGACTCTACGCCAAAATCTTGATCCCTTTGAGGAGATTGATGATCTGACCTTGAATGATACCTTGCGCTCTGCTGGGTTAGATGCGTTGCAAGAGGATATGGCTGTGAACGAAGACAAACTTTCTCTGGATACCGTAATTTCTGGCGGCGGAAGCAACCTCTCAGTTGGTCAAAGGCAGATTGTAGCTCTTGCAAGAGCATTAGTACGAAGAAGCAAATTGCTCATTCTTGACGAAGGTGAGTCCAAACGTTTATCGATGTCCCTATGTTCTTCTCATTCTGTGTAGCTACTTCCGCTATAGGTACGTTATGCGTCGTGGAGATCAACAAAGGTTGACAGGTAACACAGACTACAAAACGGACAATATCATCCAGAATTACCTTCGTAAGGAGTTAAACAAAGATGTGACTCTAATTACGATTGCTCATAGGCTGCACACAATCATGGACTATGACAAAATTGTATGTCTTTCATCAAAATTGTTAAGTTCTTACTGTTTTAACTTACTACGCTTGTGGCACAGATGGTGTTGGAAGCTGGAAACATTGTAACTTTTCCGATGTCAATATTCATCAAGCATACTCACATATCTTTTGGTTATAGGTTGAATATGGCGTCCCCTCGGAATTGTTAACACAAGAAGATGGAAAGTTTCGGGCCCTCATTGAGGGATCTAATGATAAGGAGGCACTGTATGCATTGTCTCAAGTTAACGCTCATAGCTAGTAGACGTGTTCCAGTAATTTGCTAATCTGGTATTGGATTTTCGCACAAGTTATCCGAGTACATATATGAAGCGGATTCTTTTTTACGATATTGCACGAGTATCAACGTCTTTCGCGTGCGGGATGCTTTCGAGAGCTCCTCTCTTTTCTACGCACATACCAGAAGCCTACATGCAACAATAAGAAGAGGAGGAGGGCTAGCAATGCATACACTCACTTGAACACATCGCTTGAGTATAGAGATGACTTCTTTTCGCTGCAGCACTTTTGAACGTTCATCATGCATCTTCATCAACCCTGCGACAAGGTAGCCTGTGAAACAGTCGCCGGCTCCTGTAGTGTCAACTACGCCATCCTGAAGCTTAGCCGCAGGAAGCAAGATCGGTTCGGAACTGGCCGTCGAATCCTGAAGAGATGGGACCAATGCAAGAACTCCTGCCGCGCCGAGCGTGCAAACAATATTGGTCTTGGGAAATTGGGAGGACAACCTAAGTAAGATGGGATAGGCAGAGATGTTGGCACATGCAGCCTCACCACTGCCAGGTACATTGATGTGCGGAGCGCCACTGAAGAGAGCCTGACAGATATCGGAGGCTTCCCTTTCGTTGACGATCAGCCAAGTGATCTTGTCCCAAGGAAACTCTTTTATTTCTGCGTCAGAAGGCACGGGAGAAGGGTTGAAAACAGTGACGGTAGACGGGGAAGCCTCTGCTGCGGCATTGATGTAAGCTAGAGTATCTTCCAATGGAATTTCATTCTGAAGTAATACATGGGTTGCCCCAGATGGAAGAGATTTCTTAGGATGTTGAGCGTAGTTTGCCCCTTTGAATAATACTAGAGTCCATTCAGCAGTCGATCTTGTGTTGATCAACACAAGACTCACTGATGCTGTTCTCCCCATCATCCGCAAGTTGAATCACGGCACGTCCGCTGGATTCCTACAATGTCATAAGAGGGATTGTAGGAAAAATTCAGAGAAACATTATACTCGCGGTAACAATTTGGATATCCGAAACGTCGACTTGGGAATCTTTGAGGGATTCGACAACCCAACAACCGTCCTCACCAACAGATCCCACAAGAGCAACGGAAGCTCCGGCCCTAGCGACTGCTACAGCTTGATTTGCGCCTTTCCCTCCGGCTCGTTTCGATAGTCTATGAGACGATATAGTTTCTCCAGGATGAACGATGTCCTTCACTAGTCTTTGTGAAATTATCGAGTCTGAGTATTTCGAGGTGGATTATTACCATAGAAGAACTCATCAATGTCTAGGGATATCAATCAACATTTGATCTTGAGAGAGCGAATGTCCATACTGATAGAACCACGAATAACGCATTTGGAGTTCATGGTGCTTGTGAGATCAGAGGTTTCCAAAATAGGCCAGCGAGCGCCTTGCTTCACGGGTTAGGGTTTAAGATCTCGAGCGCCCCGGAGCTTGACTTCAAAAAATGTAGTTTACCAATGAGTTCAACTTTCTGGACTTTAGTCTACTCAAAATTTATTCATACTACATCTCCTATTTGGCTCTAAATGCCTGGTTATCGTCGGCCGTTGGCAAACGTAATATTCGAATTTTGTCGGAGGATAGTAGCAGGAGAGCCTGGCGACACGGACAACTGTGACATTGTCTGGAAGATATTAGCTGATGAGGTCGTTTTACGAATATTTGAAGGTGGCGCGGATGTGGAAGAGGGGTCAGGAGAGGCCGGTCAGGATCCCTCAGTCGAAACCATCGTCGCCTTTCTAGCGGAATGTGCCGAAGCTGTTGAACCTAGCGTCAATGAAGACGAGGATGATGCAGAGCTTGCTGGCACCTTTGAAAGTCATGGTTCATCATCTCCACATACAACACCTCATATCATCTCTGCTTTTACTTCACCTCTACTTTCTAGAGTACAAAGTGATGTTCATCCTGACGCTGGTTCCTCTCGGTCACAGTCACTGCACCCATCGGATGACTTTCCGGAATACCTAAGTTCAAGTCCATCTGGAATACCGGCCAGTCGTTCGTATCCGATACAAGCCCTTTCAGCTCTTATATCTATCTTTTCTCAACTCTGCTTCACTCCTCATGCCCCACCTGCCAATCTCGACTACGTTCTCGCTTACATTCTTCGTGTTTTCGAAACACTTACGTTCGTGCTGGTAAAAGGGAAATCGATCCGTGTTCGTCTAGCCGCCCTTCAGTTTCTATTGCGTCTGCGTGCCGATCGCGACCATAGGCTCTACTTCAGTGTCACCGGCTACGACCCAGAGGGTCAAGTTGTCTCTCTGTCAGCTTTGATCAACCGAGTTGGCACATCTGATATAGTCGACGCCCCCCCTCCTCCCACCCTCGATGCCGTTTCACAGCTTCGCAAAGCCCGAGCTCGCGCGAGGCTACCTCCATCTGAGCGCGATGCGATTACTTCTCGTGATCGAGGCGGACGTCTATCACAATCTTTCAGCAGAAATGCAACCAGTAGGAGCCGCTCCCGCGTCGGTGGATCCGTCCTAGCGGGTTCTGGGACTAGGGTGTATCCAAATGCTGCGTTGTGGAGACTTCCCGAACAACTTTTATTCTCAGTCTCAACTGTCGACACTCCTAGTGAAATCCTAGGCACCTATGACCCTAGTGGGCCGGATGGTGTGGTTGTACTCCCAATTTCGGAATATCTCTCTGCTCTTCTTAGTATCTTAGAGTCAGAAAAAAGCTGGGACATTTTGTCCTATGTACTTTGTCACCTCCCAGTGCAAATTTCCAACAAACACCTCTTTTGTGGGCCAAAATCTCGAGTCGTAATATCTAAAATCCTCGCAACGTTATGTCTGGGGGTGCTCGAAGGCGGCATATTTGCTCGAAGCATCGAGCGATGGCCCGCCGGTATCAAGATACGGGATGCGCATGGCCTGGTCTATCACACCTTGTCAGTCCTTGTGAGCTATAAAGGGTATTTTGATACTAAGCAGAGACATTCATTGGTGGAGGTCTTCCTTGGAGGGCTTAGCGGTCAACCGGCGACTATCATGTGTTGCCTCAATGCCTTGTCTGTCTCTGCCTTTGAGCTTCAGCCTTCGATCATACGATATCTTTCCAGCATACTCGAAAAACTTTCTCAGATCATGTCGAATCCTGACATGGCCGTTCACATCTTGAGCTTCCTTTCAATTATTGGCTCTCATCCTCCGCTCTATAGCAACTTCATCGAAGATGATTACAAAATGGTCTTTGGCGTTGCCCTTCAATATCTTCAACATCACAACCGTATGACTAGAGCGGAGTCCCCTGATACCCCCATGAGCTCATGGGCGCTATCACAGCACGTTAGAATACTGTCCTATCATCTCGTATACGTGTGGTTTTTAGCTGTCAAACTTCCGGACAGGCCAAAATATCTTCGTTACATTACCAGGCAGCTGCTCCTTGCCAACGAAGGTAATGACCAGGTCGACGATCCCACAGAAGTATGTTTCGACTGGCTGGCCAGATACACTTATGCGAGTGCAGATCCGCGTCCAGCTAATTCCCTCCTGCAAGATATCGTCATCAATCCTGCATCCAATCCTGAGGAGAATGGGAATATACACTCTCTTGCAAGTGAGAAGACTTGGCTTCTTGGCAACTCCGTCGTCACCATCCGTGTCCTTCGGAAACTTGGATGGATTGAAATACTCTCTCGGAGACCTTCAGGGTATACCAAATTCTTGGGGAGACTAGAGAACGTTCCGTTAGTTGGTCCCGGAGATGTAGACCCGGACATGCTCACCATCCCGGCTGTCCATTTGATGGATCGTGAGTTCACTCGAGCGCAACGACCAGATGCCGGCGAGAATGTAACTGAAGAGGTAAATTTCTTCTTTCTTTACATTGGTTGAATGTGAAGATTATCCACAGGATCGCGAAGAACAGCACCGAGTGGTCCGTAGTTTATTGGAATTCCCGGATAACAATCAGGACGAGCCTAATCGACCAGATCCATTAGCTGGATATGTTTGGAGTAGAACTGCACCATCCCAGAGACGTAAAGATGTTGCCATCGATCCCTCCTTTTTCGCTCTTCAACTTTCTTCATACCCAAATCGTCTTGGACCTTCAAATGTGCGCATGCTTGTCGACTCGGCTGCTGTTCCCAAATTCACTACCAATCTCGACCGGATGCCCGTCATTGACACACACAAGGTTGGAATAATGTATGTTGCACCAGGTCAAACGACGGAAGTCGAGATTTTACGCAATACCCACGGATCTCCTGCTTACACTACTTTTCTCGAGGGAATCGGGCGCCTAATCAACCTACGCGGACAGATCGACGTGTACGCCGGAGGACTCAATCCTGACGAAGATGGTGAATATGCATATGCGTGGTGGGATGATATTGGTCAAATCCTTTATCACACAGCGACAATGATGCCCTCACATCCTCACGACGAGCATTCTACGTTCAAGAAGCGTCATATCGGGAATGATTTTGTTCGCATCGTTTGGAATGATTCTGGAATTCCATATCGTTTTGACACACTTACGACACAGTTCCAATTCGTCAACATTGTGATCGAACCACACTCTGTTGGGCACATCTCTGCGTATTCGAATAGTCTTCATGAAACGGAGTATTTCAAAGTCATCGTACAGCGGGCAGAAGGTATGATAGAATTTGCTCCTGTGGGTCACTACAAGCTAGTCAGTGCAGAGAATCTTCCGCTGCTAGTTCGGCAGCTCAGTCTACTAGCGGATTGGTTTGCATATGTTTTTTCACGTACAGATTGCGATACACAGCGGGTCGAAGTGCGGACAAATTGGCAAGAGCGGCTATCTGCTATTAGGAGATTCAAGGATCAGCAATATAAAGTCAATGTCGCTGAAGCGAAAGAGAACGGCTCTGTGGTGCACGAGTCGGTATTGGTTGACGATGACAAGGTACAAAAGGACAATATTTTAGCACAAGAAGCGTTCCGGGACTTTACTTCTTCATTTTAAGGCCTTCACGTTATTTCAGGTTGTTGGTATATCTGTATCTGCTTGATTTATGTATCATACTTGAATTTTTTTTGTATAAAGCGCTTGTGTTCACTAGTACATACTGTCTCACACTGGGAGGCCCTGGATTTGCGCCTAATGATACTTGATTAGTAATACTACCGTCCCGCTCCCCGGTTGCTGTTCAGTGTCCCCGGTCATCGAAGGGCCTTCCTTCTCCGTTTCTTGATCCTCAACAGGGCTTCCTTCGAATTTGCTGCTGTAACGATCAATTCTGGGCTTTTGCTTCCGCAGGCAACGCTTCTCCACTTTTTGCTTAACACATTCGTCACAGTCCATGTCAAGGAGGAGCTTAGGCAGTTTCGCGCATGACAAACGGTTATCGAAGTACCGCGTTACAGATGATGAATTATTCAAGTGCGTACAAAAACAACTCATTCTTATACGCTGTTTACTCAATATCTTTGCCGTAGTTATGTTCTCAGAGTAGCGTGAGCTTCATGTTTAATGATCATTTTATCCTAGTCCCTAATCAGCCTCCGGAACATTAGCCTTTTGAGCTACCTCATGATCCCCAAGCCAACGACGACCACAGAGATGAAATCCAGCGACTCCAAGGATCGAGAACATTCGTCCAGATTGGCAGCTCTGTCCAATTTTTCTATCGGTGACATGATTAAAGATCTAAGAGATGGCCCAAACTCCAAAAGCGTAAAATTTCCCGACAAATTAATCAAAGTTTTGGAGCAGAAGCTGCAGGATATTGCAATGGGCAAGGATCCTGCGTGCGTAATCTTGGGCGTTTCACCTCGGTTGACTGACACTACTCTTCCAGATACTCGGACCAACTTGTAAGGAGAACTATGGGCAAGTTTTACGGACAATTTATGGTGGACAGCTTCAAGCGTCAAATGAAAGAGAATCGAAAGATTGAAGAGCTTATCCTTATGTTTGCGACACATGCCACCGGTGTGTTGAAGAAGGAACCTACTCTAACCGGTGATTCGTGGAAATTCGAGCTAAACAACCATATCGCTCTCTTTGTCAAGCTCCTCCGGGAAAGTCTTCGCGGCTTGAATCATGTCTCTCCAGAGCTACTCGGAAGACTCGATATGTATACAGCAAAGCTGGGCCCCGCCCAATCTTCTGATTCTGGTTATGAGTCCTCATCCACTTCCAGAGATCGCGACTCTATTGCCTCGTTGACAATAAGTGGTCATGTTTCTGACATGTCGCTGGTGAAGACGGTTGCAGGCCTATTCAGGCTTTCAGAGTCTTCTGTCCAAAAAGAGGTTGACCAATTAAGAACATTGTGTACAGAGAAAGTAAAATTTCCCGTATCAATCTTAAACAGGATCTTTTGTTGATATCTTCGTTTCACAGGCTGCTCTTGCTGATCTTAAGGTTAGTTTCCCTTCTTGCCAATGGCTGAATGTATTGACAGCTTGTAGACCTGTTTGAAAAATATCAACGCAGGCGCCCCATTCCCTGGACGAAGAGAGGATTTCGAAAGCGAAGATGCTTGGCAACATTGGAAGACGTTGGAGACAACACAACTTCAGCAGATGATGGTGGCCATGGTGCAATTCAATCCTGAGTTAGCGAAATCCACACCATCAGACGTGTTACCCTCCGTCGGGACATCTTCATCTTCAACTCGTCCCGGATCTGTGTACTCTCAAACACAATCTTCCTCCCGACATGGCTCAATAAGTAGCCGGCTCTCTTTGCACGGCCTCGGCGGTGACTTTGTGGATATCACAGCACCAGAAGATGGAGAAGAAGACGGCATTGAGGTTGGACACCACTTCACGTATATCCCTCCCAATCCAAAGCGATTTTACAAACGACTTCTCGAGTTATGTCTCATAGCGGACCTAGAATTAATGCTCAGCCCTGAAGTCGACGACAATGACGAGGTATCACTGGGTATTTTATCCACCCTTCACATCGACCTTTTGAACGAGTGTGCTATTCGGTGGCGGATAGGACATGCATATCGGGCGTCATGCTTCCTCGATCTTGTGAAGCAATTCTACGAGCGTAATGATGTGCCTCTTGAATGTATCCCCGAAGCTCTGCAAAATGTTGTGCGTGTTATGCACGACATGGAGCTGGATAAGTGGCCTCTTACAGATGTACGTTGCATCCTTTGATATTTTGTTGAAATCCTTACACCATTTTCCGCAGGTTGACTATGTCTGTAACATTTATGGAGGTCTTTTCAATATCTTTCTCTCTTCGTTATACCACTCGATGGACTCCATACCACATCTCAAACCCTCCGAAATCGAACCTTATTTGACCATTCTTGAGCATGTTCGAGATAGTGGACTTCTCGATCGATTCAACGTGGATGTCAACGCCCGTGTATCAGATGTCCAGACTCGAGTTCGTCAAGTTGCATTGGAAAGCTTCAATACTAAGCTGCGCGAGTTGCAATCGACACCAGGCGTCAACCGAGCGTTGCCACTACTTCTCATGACCGATGAGCTAGAGAAGTCTGCGAAAGCATTGGACAAGCGTTTCCCTGAACCAATACTAGGGTCAGTCTCTACTCCTCAACACTTTCACACTTTCCTCATTCTCATGTTCTCTTAGTAAAATTGATCTAGTGTCATTGGTCGTGGAAGTGCAAATCCCCTTGTTCATCACCGAGGTACAATCGTCGCAGAAACGTCTTTTTGAGTCCTCGATGAACGGTCCGACACCAGACATACCCATTCAGGATATTTTTGCGTTATACCGACGAACAAAAACTCTGATTTCCATGTTGGCAGCTTTTGCTCCGGAGTAAGTTGTCTGATAGTCCTTTCATACGAACTCCACAAGCTGATGGCTTATAGGCAACGAATTGACTTCAACCTCACTGGCTTTTTCGAGCCTTACGTGCTGCAGTGGTTGACTAACACAGACAATAAAACATCGAACTGGGTAGAAGCTGTGAGATAACGTCCATTCCGCATTCCCTGTAGACTAAGATATGTTTGAATAGGCTATAGCTGCAGATAAGGTATTCCTTAGTAACCTTCTATGTTCCACATTCATCTCACCCTGCGTAGTTCCAAGCCGAAGGCACTGAAGGTCACAGCTCATCAATCGTGGATTTATTCGACTCGCTTCGAAGTCCCATCGATTTTCTGCAGGATCTCGAGTGGGAGGATGAGTATCAAAATGCTAGGTTCTTCACTTCCCTGTCTAAGGTAGCATTCTTTTCTTGCCTCGTCTATCATATCGGCTTGATTCCTTTGTAGACAATTGCGAAGGCCGTAGAGCAGTATTGCAGGAGCGTGGAGACCAAATTTCTTGCAGAGATGTTTCCTCGTCCAAACGATTACCTGCAACCTCAGAAATCCTCCGCTTGGCTAGAAAAAGCACGGCAGCTCGCCATTCAGGGTGAAAAGAAGATCGAGCCTTTTAATTTCCAACCGGAATCGTGCGTGAAGTTGAACAACGTCGAGGCTGCCCGAAAATTACTGGATAACATGTACAATCAGATAGAGGTTGATAAATTAGCAGGAGTCATCTCAGACTCTGCTCCGCCTGTCCCGGAGAAGGTTGAACGAGAGCGATTTCTGTTTAGTGTCAAAATCGTGCTGGCCGAAGGACTGATGTCCGGTGAAGCTTCTCTCACCAACAAATTGGACACTTTTGTTACGCTAAGTGACGAAGCTGGCAACAGACTTGCAAAGACAAGGACCATTTATGAAACCGCTGCGCCCCGTTGTGAGTCATCGATGTTACTTTTGGCTTTCATGATGAAGCTCATCTTCCTCAGGGGAGGAAACGTTTGACATCTCCGTGGATAAACCGTTATGGCTCATGGTCAGCGTCCGTGATCGAGCATTAGTTGGCAAACACGACACTGTAGGGAGAGCGTACTTGTGTTTGGACCCACGTCGTTTTGGTGATTTAATGACACACGATTTGTGGATGGACCTCGATTCTAGTGGGCGCGTGCTTGTTCGAGTAAGCATGGAGGGTGAAAAAGATGATATTCAATTCTACTTCGGTCGTGCATTCCGCTTCCTGAAAAGGGCAGAGTCGGACATGCTTCGTATCTTTATCGACAAGGTAATCACACACTGTCTTACACATTTTCACTACTTCGTTCACATATTTACTTTCACTCTCTAGATGTCGCCCTTCATACGGCAATGCCTTTCTCGATCCGTTGTGAAGACTCTCCTCAAGGCAAACAGTTTGGGCTTAGACGTTAACAAAGCCTTGGGTAATGTCACTGCCCTGTACCGATCGGCTTTGGGAAGTTCTGCAAGCGAAGTACAAATTCCGCTTCCGTCTGGGGAGAAGCCACGGGTCCGTCCTGAAGAACTCAGTGACGTCGAGATTGAGCAGGCCATCCTACCCCTTTTTGATTACTTCGATGCCAATCTTCAAACACTCAACACATATCTCAGCGAGACAGCAAAAGAGAAAGTCATGACTCGTGTTTGGAAAGAGATTCTGACTGTTCTCGAGGGTCTTTTGGTCCCACCATTGTCTGAGGTTTCCAGCGATATGAAACCTCTGAGTGACAAGGAGGTCGACATTGTGTTCAAGTGGCTGAAAGTAGGGTGCTAGTCACTTTCCAGGCGGACGATTGCTCACTCATCTCTTGAATCTTCGTAGTTCTTACGTGATTACTTCTATGCTGGAGGTGAAGGGCCGGTTCCCCTCGAAGTTCTACAAAACCAGAAGTATCGTGACGTAGTCTCAATCCGGCTCTACTATGATTGGTCCACGTACGTTCCTGAATTGTTTTGAATTTCCTTTTTCGTAATCACATTTTATCCTGGCAGCGACGAGCTCATGGAGGAATGTGTTCGCATGATGCAACAAAGCCTGCGTTCATCGGCAGGAACTATAATGAAGCGCGCCAAGAGTGTGTATCAGCAGCGTAATCTTGGTACCATCAAGGAGCGAAAAAAGGAGAAGCAACAAGAGAAGGAAATCACGAATGGACAAACTATAATGCAAATCCTTCGAATGCGGTATATTTGACCTTTTCCACTATTTACAATAACTCACTCGTTCGTTACATAGACCGGGGACATCAGATTTCATCGCACAGCAGCTACAAATACTGACCCAGCTGCAACAAGACCAGGAAATACGTGCCAAACAAGCCGAAGCCCGCAAAGTGTCCAGACCGAATAATAGTGTTAAGAAACAGAACGCAGACCTCCCTTCCGTGCCCCCCTTACCATCATGAGAACCACGACGCATCTTATATACATAGATACCTAATATACTCTGTATACCTTTTTTTCGACTCTGTCTCTGTTGATTTTTTTCTTCCTGTTGCTTTACTTTCAGGGACATTTTGTATTACGCCCTCTTCACTTTACTGCCTATTTTTACATCACTTTGGATGAGGAAAATCGTACTTACTTCTTGCAGCGCTCGTCATTGGCAGTTATCCTGATGACATCCATGAGAGCTCCGAGCCCTACATATGTCTTTGCCCCCGCCCCCACCCTAGTAGCTGCAGGTGCACCGTGACAAGAACAGTGCTTTTTTCTTCTCTGGCTTCGGAGCCAGTAATGAATTATGGAAACCAAGATTTGGTCGAGTTTTAAGATATTTTCAGCTCTTCATGCGGAAATTGAATTACATCTTGCTCACTGAATTCATATTTGATTTACTTCCATTCAGATTCACCACTTTGAACAGGTGGACAGTCTTGATCGGCGCCATGCTTCTCTACTGAATGCAACATACCGCTCGATGCTCAAGCCCAAGTGCCCATCTCCTGATATGCAACTTCCATAGGTCAGGATATGATCTGGTCAGAGATAATTTCTGCGCAGGCGCAGAACGAACCCGTACACTTGATCAATTTTCAAGTTTCCGCCTCGAAACAGCTTGGATTTTACAATGCGCTCCATGTTGGCCAGCATGAGAGAACACGGAAGAGACTATTAATTTTGCTTCATCCACAGAGAAAACGCGGCAGTGTGAAATGAAATGAATCGTGAGCTTCACGTGATATTTGATCGATCAATTGGAAGCGGATTCTTCCGCTCCGCCTAGCCCGTTTGAGTGACACAATCAATCAATAATCTTCGTTGTATATTTCTTCCGTTCATTCGATCTCGATTCTTGTCTGTTTATCTACTTCTTACTTTCCTTCTTTCTACATCATACCCTTAATCTCTGCTTTTTTTGTTCTTTTAACGACCAACTGGTCTATTCGACTCGCTATTGATCCATCATATCACTATAGCACAAGCTGGATCGGTGATACTTACCTGGCTTGTGCTTGGCTTGGGAAGTCCAGCCTTAGTCCACACAGATCCACATACTCGCTACCTCTTGTGCTGGGAAGCAGAACGTGCTGCGAAAGTCTGTACTCAGCTGGGAAACTAGCACACGGGGACACGGGGCTAGCTGGGAACTTAAGCTGGGAAATTTGGAAACCAGAAAAGCCCACGACCTGCGACGGAATATAGCCGGAATATATACAAAGCACTGAAGTGTTCTGGTTGATTCCTTCCCATACCTTCGCGGTATCTGGATCACGGCACAGTTGAGCCTTCCCGTGACGGTGAATGTTCAATTGTTCGTGCTATCTTCGTACGACGGCCAATCCTCAGATCGCCATCACTGGAAGTTGCACAATTCCTTCACATGTAACGTTTGGTTTATTTTTTCTCGCTTCAGACAGCTAACTTGATCCTACATAGCTAATTCCGCAAAACGATACAGGCATCCCTCACCAAACATATCTGGTGGCTAGCCCTCACATTCATCTTCGTCCTTCGTTTATCTGGACCTACAGTTTCTATAAAACCACACAAGGAATCTATTTACTGGATGGTTGATCATCCTTCAAGACGTTTCCAACAGACACACTATCATGGCCAACCCAGCGCTGGTCCAAGTACCAATAATCCCAGAACCACGTCTACTTCAGCGACACCGATCAATAGTTCTGGATACAAACCATCCGACACTCCGAGATTCTGGACTTCAACTTCTCTCAGAACCACTTATGCCTCATACAAATCAAATCCCGGTGCCTGGAAAGACAACTATCTGTCGACGGTAGATGACTTCAAGGCGTTCTCGTTTGGACGTCCGGAAGCGGCTGTTATAGACGAGGAGGACAAGCGGTGGAAGATTGCGATGAGGGAAGGAGACGAGACGAGCTCGAGCAGCTCGGATGATGGCGAAAGTAGAAGAAGACGAGGGAGATCGAGAGATATTACACCTAGAGCAAGTGTCGTGTCGTTGGATGTATCATTTAGTGAGTTCTTGCTTTATTCCTTCTACTTCATTCACTAATTTGAAGTGACTTTCTCTTTGAACCACTCACAGGTCATCCTGACACGAATGCACGCAGTCATCCATCGCAATTACAACAGATTAATTATTACCATCGTGGAGTAGAGGATTCCGGAAGCAGAGACATAGCCTATCATCATCAACCAGATCACCTTCATCCATTTGAGTTGCAGGAGCCGAACAGTGACGATGAAATGCGAGGTGGAATTAGGAGTGATGGTTCTATATACTCCCATGACACCGGGTACGATGCCGCAAGTTCCTTTCGCTCTGGAAGCGGTACAGGCTCGTATGCTCCTTCCTACACTTCTAGCTACACCCGTGCTCGCGCCGAATTAGAGGCGGAAGCTATATCCATATCGTCTTCACGACCTGCTTCCTCTGCTGCATCAGGCTTGGATCCGACCTCAGAGAGACACTACGATCATGATGATCTATCAATTTCTTCTACCAGAAGGTCTTCGTTGTTTGACGAACAGGGTGAGCGGTATGATGAGGATGATCCCACAGACTACTTGTATGATACTCTGCGTCTGTCTAATCCGGGATTAGGTGCGTCGTCTAATATGCATTTGAGTGTTAGCTCGCTGCGGTTTGATGGACGCGACGAGTATTTCGATGTGTATGAGCCAGCAAAGGCGAGTCTCAGTTTGTCGGTTTTATCTGATCCTAATCTCAATTCCTCAGTCTTCTTCCTCGCGCGCGCAGGACTCTGCAGCGCGTTCCATCCTTCCAGCGGAAATTACACCTTCGACATCTGCCACTCCTGCACTTGCTCATTCACCGTCATCCGCATCAACATACGTATCTGATACTCACAACGCCTTAGATGATTTTGATTTGACGTACATCACATCCGGTCTGGCGCTGAGCGCGAATGCTATGTCCGAAGACTCTCATATGCCTGACGCGGTCTTGGAGGACTTGGACTTTGTACGGAAAAGACCAACCATTGAAAGTGTTAGTGAACAGAGACTTGAAGGAGATGCACGAACAGCATTGGTCAAGCGACCGCAAAGAGGTGTGCCAATGGGATGGGAAGATGACTTATCGATTCCTACACTTTTCTCCGATGCGACTACGGAAGGAAGTCGAGCGCGACAGGCTACGACGATAGCAGCAGCAAATCTCGCTGGAGGTGTATCTTCCACACTTCCTCAAATGAGCGCAGCTACTGCAGGCACTTCTGATGCGAGTGGGAGCACACAGGACAAACCCCGCGGTCCTTCTGCACAGAGAGATCTAACAGCAATTCTTGATCAGTCTGAAATCAATTCTGCGAATGGGATGCCGAATACCGTCCAATTGCATGCTTCATCGGTATCGTCGCCGTCGTCCACACTACCATCATTTCCGGGATCGTTGTCAAATCTGGAGAATGTTTCGGGTACAAACAGCCCTGGAATAGTTGAGAACAAAAATACGATTCGTCGCAAGCGAAGTGTTTTCGCAGGCCTAGGAGCATTGGGAATCGGCTCGGTTAATTCAAGTTCTTCACGCACGAAGGAAGCACAGGCAGAAACCTCGCAGCCAATGTCTCCCGTGTCGCCGGTATCCCCAGTTTCACCCGCGCGGACAATCAAAGGAGAAGGTCAGAGAATGGATTTAGACTGGGGGAGATCTAATGCGGGAGAGTCCTCCGTCGACGTATCTGCTATACCTGGCGGTCCCTCCGTCCCTCTCGCTCTTGATTCTTCTATGGTCATATCCCCTTCCATGGACCTGTCTACTCCACACCACTCATTTGCCTATAGTGATTCCTTGGCTCGTCCCCTCGTGGTTCGGGGCGGGCCAGACTCTGCAGGTGTGAGACGAGAATGGGTCATACGGAAGGAAGTTCACTCGAATCAGGGTGGAGACGGGAAGCCAGAGATTGTTAAAACAGGGAAGGATGGTGGTATTCAAAGCGAACAGACGAAAGACAAGGACAAAGCTGATGCTTTAACTGGGATGTCAATCGGCACTGATGAAGTATGGGAGAATTTTTTATTGGGTAAATTCCATGTCGTGAGAGACGACATGTCTCCTAGAATTGGGAAAGTCAATTCCGTTGATGCCAACGGCAATGTTAAATTTGTCAACGGTGGTGGTGATAAAGCTACGGAGGGGAATGTGTTAGGTTAGCGCTTCCTCTGTCCTTTGAGAATTTTCTTTTTTTTTAGTTCTTGCTTGACAGGATTCCGTGTCCCCCTTGGAAAACCACCGCAGCAGAGGCTCATCATCAAGCATTTACGGGAAGACAATAAATCTCAAGTGGGACATCCCGTTGCCATCGGTACTGCAAAACAACCTCATGCATCCCTGTCTGACATTAATGGCTCGTTACATGTAGATCCATCGAAGCGTCAAACCAAGCTCCCAGATCTTACCGTATCGGAGAACCCCCCTTCATTATCAGTCTCTTATCAGGCACTTCACAGTCAACATGCCGCCGGATCCTCCCATTCCTCTACATCCAACACGAACTCTGCCACTATTGCTACTTCCAATCTTCAATCACTTCGACATGATTCCCACTATCCATCTATCTTGGTGCACAAACACTCGAAGGTTGCTGCATTTTCAATCAACCGACAATATCGAGCGGCGTCGAAGGAGTCGAAAGAATCGTCCTCCGGGCGCATGCGTGTTGTAATGCTTGCACCACGAGATATTCAGGAGGCATTCACCAATACTGCGACGACCAAAAAGCTGGGTACGGTCATAGACCGCCATGAGGCGGCACGGGTGGCATTTTCACCTGGGCATGATCAAACCGTAACAGACAAGAAGGGAAAGACCAAAATGAAGAAGCACAGTAGCATCTATATCTCCTCATTTAAAGGAAAACATCGTCCAAGTGACGGCGCCCCCCAAGTGAAGTCTGAGGGTCAGATTGTGCTTGACCATCTTGACATAGAGGACCAATATCTTAGGCAGAGTACCTCGAAGCCTTCAGCGTTGGCTAAGAATACCGGCTCTGTGCGAGATAAGGTTGGCACGCAGTCCGCACCAACTTATGATAGGTCATATGAATTGATAACACCCAGAGTTGGGTATGATGGTGTTAATCTCGGGAATAAAGAACACGAAGAGTTCAGCCTTTCTGATCAAGGCGTTAACGAAGGAGGTTGGCATATAAGAACCCGGACTCAACACGAACCGCAGTCTCGAGAAAACTACAAACGTACATATGGGACTCTCGCGCACCCTCCCCACTCTTTCGGCAATTTCTCTTCAGTTTCACCGGCGTCATCGAGGCCGTCGAGAATCCTCAAACGGTTAATACCTTGGGATTTATCTTCGCCGTCAGTGTCAACTGCTGTACATGGCTCTAGCTCGAAAGCCACTTCCAGCACAGGGAACACTTCAACAATGACTCGCTCTGTCAGTACGCGGGATACTACGCCGACGCAATCCGCGGGCTCAGACATTTCAATTCCGTACGACCCTCCTTGGGTAACTTTTGCCTCCAGAGAACAACAAGAAATTCAACGGAACGTACTTGGTCGACTAGAGTATTCATTTGAGCACGTCGGACTCCTACCGCCTAAGGATAAAGATGTGGACCGGGAAAGGTCAAGAACAAAGAATACCGTGAAGGAAGGCCTGCATGAACTGAACGCAGGAAGTATTATACCGAAACTGCACAAAAAGAACGATATACTATCCCCTGTTCCTGCAGATGCATTCTTCATGCTGCTACCGCTTTGGCCAGCAGATACGGACATACATTCTCAGCGTTTGTCTCCGTTTGATATACCTTCTATCCCTGCAGAGAGTCGGAAATATCTACTGATTTTTTACAAGTCATTGCAAGTCGAGCAATCTTCAAAGGGTTCATCTATATATGATTCTAGGCTGAAGATTCTTCTTCCTGGTTTCCGTGCTATTGCCCGGCAGGTCTCTCACCAAGAGCTGCAAGGCACAGGCATACGAATTCCTGAACAAGGTATTTCTGTGAACGGTCCGTTAGAGGATGCATTCACGCAGATGCCTGGCTTGAGCGATACTGGCTCTGGATCAGGTCTTGGTACATCCCCTTCTGTTCCTGTCTCTGATTCTCAACTGTGTGTGATTGCATCTTGCTACTCCCGTGATGTAGGACTGGAATTTGACCCCGAAGCCTTGATAGAATTGGGTTTATGCAGGATCTTAGGCAGCAAGGGGGACACCAATACAGATGGGAAGAGTTCGCTTCCTGCACGGATGGATGGAGAACAATTTGATGCGGAGCGATCGATGACAGTCAAATTGACACCAATCGGTAATGCGGTCATGGAAATGGTATGGGTTGGGGGGTTAGCATTGACCAGTTTTGGCGGTTAATTTCTTCAGGATAATTCTTCCTTGCTCGCGCTGTCTACGTATATACGTACTTCAAATCCATTGTTCAACGTACATAGACTGGTAATACGTTGTCACTTAAGATTACATTCAATTACTATCCAGAATTCCTGTACATTCTCGTTAGACAGAATCACGAATTGTATCATCGTATTCTTCGGGTATTCTTTAAAAATATTTCTTTTGCATCACTTTCGAAAATACTACATACTCTCTCCGACCCTCTTCACTTCCTACCTCAAAACTCATGAATGATTTACAAAATAGAATCAGAATGTTTTGTTATTCTCCTGGAGGGCTTAATTGTCGACCTATGTACTACACTTGTGTATAACTTTTCACCAGTTCCAGTAATTTATCAGCGACTTCGATTGGATTTGATGCATTAAGGTAATGGCTACCCCCTTCAATGATGTCCAGTCTGGCCTCCTCAGAGGATGTGAACAGTCTAATCTGTTCCTTTGCAAGTATTACGCCAAATGGTATGTCTTGAGTTCCCTGTAAACTTCGACATGAGTTCCGAGTCTACTAATTTGAAATGGTCAGGAAATACCAACCTGTAACCAATACACGGGGCACTTAATATCTCTTATCCTTAATAGGAGGCCATCTCTCTCAAGCAGACAAACTAGAGCACCCTTAACTTTCTTTCTACCCTTGTCTCCATTATACACAGACTTCAGTGTAGAGTTCCAGAATTGGAGCTGTTTTTCGGAAAAAGTTTTTGGGAATCCAAGATCGGCAACCATCCCACACCAGACATCGTCAATAACAAAGTCTGGTGTGGGGGTCATGCTGCACCATTTTTCAACGAATGGAATAAGCAGTGGTTTGGGATTCCAAGCGCCTTTACTACGTGAGTCTTCCGATTCGCTATCCATTGAAGTTCCGGTCGGCATAAGCCCGAGTATCTGGGCAAGGGACTATTTTAGTCATAATCTTAAATCGTTTTCGGGTTTACGTACCCTGTCTGGTGCTAACAATGCCATCCGGACGACGATCCATCCACCTTGACTTGCCCCAAGTGCAAAAGCTCTGTCAATGCCTAGATATTCCAGCACCTGAAGTGCCATTATAGCACTATCCCAATAGGTGAAATGCTCAGAGGGACAACTCGTCGCACCATGTCCCAAGGGCTCTATGGCTAGAAGATTCATTGTATCTCTCAGTCTAGTATTGGCAAACATCTCGTCGAACAACGACACAGTGGTGCACATGGAGTTTATGAGCACCGACGTTGGCTTTGTGGCATCATATTTGTCTCCCGACATTCTGTAGCCAGCGGTGATACCCCCTAGGTGAGGCACTTTCATGGTGGTGGTAGCAGACATCTTTGAGAAGTGAGGTCAGTAATGAATGTTGTGCCATACTTATATACCCTTCCAACTGCTTTACCTTCCTAAGTCAGTAATTCGCCTCCCATGGATGAACGAATACTAGACTATTACCAGCTAGTATTACTGTCAGGGCTCGAAACTTTGACTAGCTTACAAGTTATACTAGACAAGTTATACTAGAAAGAGTAATTAGCAAGGTTCGGGAATGTAGCTTTCAGCTCAGTGCTCCCGTAAACTCTGCACTATGGAAATAGATACAACAACAATCCGAGTCCTTATTAAGATTATAAATTCTATGACGCCTCATATGACCGGTAAGCAACTGAAGGGAAGAGGAATAAGAGAAGGGAGCTTGGCAAAGTCGCAAATAGTTTGAGGCAGCTGTGATTGAGGGCAGGGAGGAGAAGAGTGGCATATTAGTACTATAGGAAATGTACAGTATTGGATGTACAATGTAAGCCTACCCGTTTAAGATCGTAGTAATAATCCACATGATCCAAAAGATCATCCCCTTAAATCCTTCACATCTCCGTAAGTACACTCCAATACCTTCATCACCGCCTTCCTTGTCAACGCTTTTCGACTATCCATTGCCAATGGGCTTTCCAACAATGCCTTCCAGTTCTCCAACCACTCTGGAGTAGTGGGCGAAAGCTCTTCCCGCATGATCTGAGGTAATTTTGCCGTGTCAGAGTCGAAGAGGTGGGAGGATATGTGTAAGAGAGTGGTGGATAGGGGGGGATTGAGGGTCATTGTATGATCGAGAGCTAGAAGGAAGCAGAGACTCCAGATAAAGGGGGAGGCGGCGCTGGACGGTTGAGAGAGTGGCATTAAATAAGGTGTACCGTCAGCATTCCTGTAGATTGTTATTAGACTGGAATGCACAAGAAGACAGAAGGGGCACCCACGTTAGAAGGAGGACATACCCAGATAGCTGGAATAACGTCTCGCCAACGGTCCGAGCTTCTTCTTCGTCTAATCTGATATTATCTTCATCTCTTGACTCAATCTCGTGGATTACATCCTTTAAAATTCCGGCTATTTCTTCTAAAATTCTTTCCTTCCCTTCTTTCACCCACGTATCATTAAGGTTTTCTGTTTCGCTGTTCCCGATCGCATTTGTATCTCCGCCAGACTCAAGGGCGCTCTGGTTTGTATACTTAAACTCCACCCAGGCACGCGTACTACCAGACAATGGCTTCCTAAACCTCGCTGCATCCCATCCATTACCATTTGTCGAGGAAAAAGAGGTTGTTGAAGTCTCAACTTTTGGCCAAGCACGCTCCAGCATGTCCCTCGAAAGATCCAGATGGGTAGGTGCTCCCGAATGCGAATATCCAATAGCGCTCTCTTTCGAAATATACGCTCTTGCGAGTCTAGTTGATAGGGTACGTCTGATATACTCTCGTAAACTACGCAGTGCGCCGAATGATGTTTGGATTGCCATTTGAACCTCTTTGGGAAGAGTGTTGTCATTGATTTTCGGTGATGGATACAGGTTGCGTTGCAGGACGCGCAGGCAGGTGGACGCATATGGACCGGCGAATAGAGAATTCAGCGTTTCGCTAATGCGGTCTTCGACGAACGAGCGTTTTCCAGTATTGCGTGTAGACGTGACGGTGAGTCGAGCAAGAGGAGAGGCGCAGCTCGCGAGGGCACGGAAGAGAAGAGGGAGGATTACATCGAGGGTGGTAATAGGAAGTTGCTTGAGTTGCTTGGTAAGGTGAGTGATATACAGCGAAACAGCAATGTCAACCGGTTGCTTCACAGCAGGCTGCGGAATTAGTAAAGGAGGACCAGAGAATGTAGGAGATGGTAAGGAGGTAATTGAGATAGATGACTGCTGTCTGTGGTGCGTAAAACTGGGTCTGGTCTCTGGAGCTGACGCGGGAGAAGTGGGCCTCGAGGGTACATCGATACATCTATCCACCATGCTTCCGTAAAACTCTAATACACCCGCAAACTCTTCTTCTGTTATCCGTGCCATGACCTCCGGCTTGTCGATGACAGAATTCAGAAAAGCGGAGAGAATCTCGATACTTCGTTCTCGTTCTGCTCTTTCAGCACGTTCATTGGGATCCAGGACGAAGAGGTGTTCAAATGCATTCATGATCCACGACTTGATCACACTGAAGAACTGGACCTCAATGCCTAAAATCTCTATACCAAATTTTGTAATTGCCCTCAAAGCTTTGAACTTGGGCTCCCACAACTCTGTAGTCCATGCTGTCGCAGCCTGGCCGGTGAAAAGTGAAAAATAAGACATCCGATCGGCTAATTCGAGGCTTTTCGCTTCTCCGTTTTCCCAATACGCAGAGAGTATATCGAATCCAGCTGCCTGAAGCGGTGCCGGAGCATCCGAATTACACAATGCAGCCAAGACTGGCATCAGGATTGTATGACGAGGAAGAGGAGAATATGTACACAGCGCACTGGCTAATGCACGGGCGTTGGTCAGACCTGGAACAGCAGGAGGTATAAGGGATTGGATGAGCTCATCAACCGATAGCGGAGCTGTAGAAGGTGTCGCTAGAGTTTCGACTTTTGGTTTGCGCCATGGTGCAGAGAACGATGAGAAGGCTGTCGTTGTATTCGCCCTTGGACGTGACCTGGAAATCTCTGCATCTTGAGGGGCCATCTAAGCTCACAGCAGGATGGCACGGCTGTATTTTGAAGGAAGGTGACATGTGTTATGATGATCTATCGGAACGACTACTCACCTTGTCCGTATCACCAAACGCAAGTTACTATCCAGTACAACAAGCTGACTGATCCATGATAACCAAGATTGATACATGCATTCTTTCACTTTGCGGGACATACGCACAGAATTCCTAGTTGTTTTCTACAAAACCACATCAACAAAGATTATATGTAAGAACTTGGAACAATTGTCTGTCTACCTTACGAAAATGGAGCCAACAAATAGAGGTTTATGTGGTCGGAGGGATTGGTAGTGGTTGACCTCCGGAGAAAACCATATTTGGGACTAAGCGCTGAAGCGCTGGACACTGGACCCAGATCGGACTTTATATTAAAAGCGGAGAGTTGAAAGCGAAACCGTGCGTGTCTATTGCTACAGTAAAATATTAAACAAGATTGAAACTTGTATGGACTAAAGCTACTTGAGAGCAGAATTCGTGAGCAATCATGACGGAAACATAGAAGGCCAACTAAGAAAGTCCAGCTTCATTCGGAGCTACCGGCCGATTGGGTCTATTTAGGTGCATAGCGGGGAAGAGACTCTAGAGGCTTCGAGATGAAGTACCCTATGTATGAGGCTGTCAGAGCAGTATGTTAAACAAACAGCTTGTGACGGACCTTTCATGGCGGCAGCCTTTTCTCCCTGTCTTCCAAATCCAAGACTAGCTTTACTGGAAGTAGTACTTGCTTCGGAACCATCAGATGCAGTCGAATGCCTCTCTTTCTCATTACCAAAGACGTTTGACACGAACGACGGGGCATGCGTCACAATCGGAGCCACAGGCACTCCAGCTACATGCGTTGGAAGGGCGCTTTTCGCATGTTCACGCCAGGATGTGATGGAACGCTTGGATTTGGCGCCTTGACGGAAGATGAGCCCGACAAATATATTAAGGCATCCGATAGAGAAGAGGAAGAAGGCTGAGACGAGAGTGAAGTCGTCGACAAAGTGGGACAAGATGGCGGCGCCGATCCTAGCCGCGAGTTGAATTTGATTACACGTATAATCAAGCAAGCGAAGAACTCACAGGCATTGAATCACACCCAGAGCACCTAAACCGAAGTCCTTCCCGAGCACAGGGAAAAAGCGATCGAAAAACTTCGAGGGCCAGCCTAGTTCTGACAACACGAGAACGACTGTCTGACCAATGATCAGCAACCTATTGAGGACAGCCCAGAATATTCCAGCCGGTTGATTAGGAACGGTACTATCCCTACGCGATGAGAACCAGTTAGTAGGGTTGTTGCAATCAGGGAAGTTGAAAACGCACTCGATATAATCACAATTTAGCATATCTGTTATCGTTGAATTGCTCGCAGAAACATCGGAACCCTTGGCAGCCATGAATCGATTAACAGCTTCGACATCATGTACCAGAGTCACGATGTTACTGGCAAAAACGAGGACGAGAGCAACGATACTAAGAACGCGAATGATGTTGAGACCAATAAAGAAATCTAAAAATCAATAGAGCATTGAGGATTATAGAATCGCGTGACCAGATTTTGGCTCACAGGCACGAGGGGGAAGCATTGTCGGCGGAGGCGGTTGTGTGTTCTTGTGCGAGTAAAGATCGGAAGTAAGAGTGCAAGCAGCCAGGCGAGCACTACGAAAGAAGGGTGATAGAAAGAGTGAAGAAAGAAGAGATCGGTCGTTAACGAGCGTAGGATAACCGTAAAAGAGACTCGGACAGACGCGACTCAGTCGACGTGAGCAGTGGTGGTGGGTGGTAAAAGAATAATGCAACACGTTTTAGGTGAATCGAATTTCTATGTGACAGGGTCCCCGGCAAAAGTGGTGCGCATTGTCATTGTCTGCCATTGTTCTTTCAAACTAAAGGGGGAGTGAACAAAGGAGTGTGACATGTCACATCGCGTAACATCATTATTCCTCATGATCAGGACCATCGAAATTCGAATGAATATAAATATTCAACGGCGCATCGTCTACGTTACATTACCTGTGATCATAATGAAGACCAAATACTATGTCCTCTATGTATACTATAGTTCGTCTCTAACTTCCTCTGGGTGAGACTGCTGTAATGGTACCTGCTCTGAACCGTCCACTGGAATCTGCTGCTCTACCTTCTCCGGCTCTGTCGTCGGAACAGCTGTCTCATTAGGACTGGCGGTCGATGAACTGGTTGACGACGACGAAGTTGTACTCGTTTTCCTTGATTTCGGCACCCTTCTCTTAGCCAATTTTTGCAAATGCGTCTCCAACACCTTAGCCCTCGCCTTCATTTCTGTTGTCTCTATCACTGGATCTTCGAAGGACTTGACAGACTTTTGCTTCTCCACCCAAATATTCAACCATGTCTCATGCTCTCTGAGAGCCTTCTCGAGCCCATCAAGCTCTTCCTTAGTCCACTTGCTTGGCAAACCGGCTTCCGTCTCCCTGGTGAGATTTTGATGGGCTTCCGTAAGGAACAGACGGGTACTCCAGTTCCACATTTGACTGTTGTTCAAAGCCTGAGGGAAAGCTTCGATCTCTTGATATCGGTGTTGTATAGGCCTTTCCAATGACCTAAAAAACAATTAAATCGGCGTATTGAAGAGAAGCTAAGAAGAACTCACTCCAGAACAATCCTCTTATCTAGAAGAACCGTGGTGTCCGCATCATCCCCTTCATCGTGCAACCAAGAGAACGTTTCCTCTAGCTTTTCTGCAATAGCCTGCCTTTCTGACGGTTGAGAACATTTTTTGAACGGTGTCTCCTTGTTCTCGACATCAAGCAGATCGCGTAGCCGGTACAAGTAGCTCTCCAAGGTATTCCTGGCCTCCTCCTTTCGTACTTTTGCAGCCTCTTCCAAGTCCAAAGCTCGAAGTCTGTGACGCAGTTCGAATAAGGATAAAACCAATCGAATGAAGACAACTACACGAACCTGCTTCTAGCTTTCTTCTTCTCATCCACCGACATGGGAGTAATCGTAGGCAAGTGCGACGTAAAGTTGAGTTTGATGGTACCGAGCTCTTTCAATGAAACCTTGGGCTCGGCAGATTGGGAAGGGACAGAGGGCGTTTCGGATGAAGATGAGGCTGAAGAAGAAGATGAACTAGTATCTGCTTCAATAGGCGTTTCACTTCCTGCAGATGCAGTTTCTTCGTCTATCGAATCCGTTGCACTTCCTCCGAAAAGACCTTTCAGTTTGCCTGCGACAAATTACATATTCGGAAACGGATTAGAATGCAAGAAAATAAAGACAGACCCGTTATAGATTCATCTTTGATGTCTCCGGTTGCGATTGCTTCAGTGACTGAGATGAAACCGGATTCTGAGAGCTGGACAGTGGCTTTGACCACATTGTTAGTGGCACCGCGCTCAGTCAAGTTGCCAAGAGCCTCTGCAACGCCAGTGAACTCGACTTCCAGAAGTTGGGTAGGAAAACCTCTAGAATGCCAAATCACTTTCAGTCCTCTGAACATCACAATTTATAAATGAGAGCTCACGATGCCACGGGGGTTTTATAATCAAAATGAATCCTGAAGTCTTCCTTTCTCTTGAACGTCAGCGTCTTCTTACTGTTCACTTTCGATCCAGCAGGGAATATCAATGTGGTGATAGTTCGCGTTTTGGCGCCCTCAGCGGCAGGTGCAGCGAGATACGACGCTTGAATGTCGTGCGCGAGAATATCCGTCAATTTGATATCTTTGGTCTTGAATTGCCGGCTGAGACTGGCACCGTGAAGGGCAGCACCTAAAACTGCAGCCTCGTCTGCGTTCACGTTCAAGGCAATCTTGTCACTGTGAGAGGATGAGTAATGCTCTCTAAATCTATGAAGCTCGAAGGCGCTCACTCTCCGACAAGGGCTTTGACTGCTGTTTGGATCATGGGAACCCTAGTACTCCCCCCAGTAAATATCACGGAAACAAGTTTGTCCTGGAACGGAAGGCGATGAGAAGTTGATCATACGAATCAGTCGCAAGACTCACAGAAGAGATCTTGCCATTAGCCATAGCATCGATAATTGGTTGCACGTAACGACTTTTGAGGTCCTCGCAAGCAGTTTCGAACTGCGACCGTGTAACTTTGGATCGAAAGTCGATGTCGAAGGCAAGACTTTCAACCTAGACGTAAAATTCAATACATAACAGTCAAGGACAGGGAAACAGAACTCACGTGTGCCATTGCTTCAGTGTTGGCACTCAAAATGGACTTGACACGTCCTGCCTCCTTCCAAAGTTTGGCCATGCCTCTCTTGTCCTTTCGTATGTCCTTTGCGTGCTTGGCCACAAATTGGTCCGCTAAAATCTCCCGCACACGCCTGTCGAGCTCGGTTCCTCCTACTCCACGATCATAACCGACTCCGTGCACAGTAATCTGGGTAGTGGACGTCTTACTATCTGTGCTGAACGATACCAGCGTAGCACGGATCGAAGATGCACCAGCGTCGTATATGACGTGGTATTCCGGGGTCGGGAAAGTCCTCGTCATTGCATAGTTTACCGCGACTGCTGAGCCATCGTTTATCAGAGCCAGAGTACGTAGACCAGCGATCTCAATCGCGTCTGCAACTGCATCGCGTTCAAACTGAGAATAGTACGCAGGAACGGTGAGTATGACATCGTACACCTTTTCTCCTGCAATTGATTCTGCGAGACTCTTCACGTAAGCAAGCTGCATCGCGATAAGCTCCTCGACGCTCCACTCTGTACCGTCACTCTGCTTCAATGCAGCTGTATGCCGTACTGTCTCTGTTACTTGAGCAGTGGATATAGTGGTGTAATATGAAACAGCCTCAGACTCGTATGGGGCCGCTTGTAAAAGTTTCAAGGAGGAAAATGAGTCGGAAGGGAACCGAGAAGCCTGAAATTATTCGTGGATATTCTGTACATACGATGGAATAGCAATACTCACCATGTTGAAGGCATCACCACCGAACAGACGATCTTCCCTTTTCCAACCGACTGAAGACTGAATCTTCCTCTTTGAGTCCTTGTTTAACAGAACATCGAAAGGTACTCCCGGTTTCATTAACGAGGCTTTTATCCAGTCCGATCCATAGTCGATTGCCAGCACAGCAGCAAAACTGGCTGAAGGTAGGGCCAATATGAAAAGAGATAGAAATTGCCACAGGTATAGGATATGCATAGTCGGTTATTGCGGAAGGAGGAGCAAAACACAGAGCATCTACGTGTTCGTTTCAGAGAAATTTTGGCCGACACGTATAACTGGAACAAGTTATTTGAATTGCCACGTGTTTTGTGCTAATTTTTGAGGAACGCCCGTTGATTTGGGCGCCTACATACTTGTTTCTTTAAACATTTTTTGTAACCTAAGTATGGTCCCGAAGACACAGATTCTGATAATAGGAATCCGGAATCACTGATGCTTCCACAGCTCCTTGCGTCGACAACTTCAATTTCAAATATATCTGCACCATTTGTAGGCCGTGCACTTGAGTTCTTTGACGATGTACTCATTTTCTGCAGATATCCTCCTACCTTCGAAAGTTATGCTTCCATCCCATTAATCCAAATAAGCTCTATTTGAGCCGTGTTTTCGAAGGAATATTGAACCCATGCTTAGAGACTGGAAGACACTATGTAAATGGGACAAACGGAAAAGTTCACTCTGTCCGTGTCCCTTTCCACGAACACAAAGAGATGGAAATTTCGGACTACTTCTCCGCCCTCGGTAAGCTCCACATACATAAGCCCAGCCCATTTCTTGAACAAAAGTTAGGTTATCTTCTCACCCACGCGACCTCAAGCGCCTCGTTCACTCAAGCCATTCACCTACTCAGCTGTTACGCCGAGTGGTGCCGCGTCTCCTCTTCTGTACTGAACATCAACACGCCCACTGTTGTCCAGATGTTATTTGATGATCCCAACTCATGCAAGTCTGCTTCTTTCCATACCCTGGACCAGTATGGGTATGGGAACAAATTGAAATTCAGTCTTGCCTCCAGTATCTCTGCAGGCAAAGGCGAAGGCCGTGAAGATGTCAGAGCAAAACGCATCACAGCTCTTCAGTCTGTATGGACACATCCTCTACTTTACCCGTCACCTGTTCAACGAGCCCACGCATCCGCCGGGATCGGGTATGGACGCTCCCCAATTGAACCATCTGCGGAGCTCTTCGGAACACCCTGGGGTCATTGCGGAGAAAGCGTCTCGTTTCCCTCGTACGTTCTCATTATATTAGATGTAAAATCAGTTTGAATTATCTGTCTACTCAGAATGCATAAATCGATAACCTTAGGTCGTCCCCTTGGTACGTTGGCCCTGAACGTCAAGGCCATGACTTGTGTCATCCCAGGGACAAACATCGTTCCCGTATACGCTATGCCATTGCTTACCAGCCTGGCAGACATGGTGGAGATCCTGAAGATCTCTGGTGCTTTGAGGCCGATGTGTCTCAATTGCCTATATCTCCGAAATACCGCGGGGGGTTGCATTCAAGACCATGCAGTCAAATTTTCCACATTTGCCGACGATGCTGGGTGAGGTTCCCAATCATACTTTCGGGGTTGGGCTCGTCGGCCTACGATCAGCTCTGGCGAATGAGTTGCACTGGATAGGCCCAATCTTGCATGTGCGATCTGTACGGCGTTATTATAACTCGCTGCCTTTCTATACCTCTATATACATGCCAGCTGTGACGATAGGTGAACATTTTTGACACTCCGACGAGTTTCGACACAAGATACATACCTGGGCTCTCCTTGCCATTATCCAGGCTTCAACTGCGATGATACTATACCACTATTCTACATGTAGTAGCACGTATGTAGTATGTCATGCACAGCAGACTGGGTATTGAAACTATTGTAAAAACCATATACACAAGGCCATACTTGGAATGCATGGACGGTACGGACTGGGTCGGAGGTCCAAGCCGTAGGGTCCGTCCGTATGGGCCGGTATCGCGTTGCGATTACGAATTGATTAGGTGATGAGACGGCAAATTATCGGCCAGTGGACCGTGCGCCAGTCATAACAGGCATAAAATTCCCACCCGCAAAAGTAATAGGGAGAGAAACTGTGCCAGAGTTCGCCTCCCTTCTGTCTCTGCCCAGTTTAACTGTATAGGCCGTGCCAGCCAAATTTCCTTGCTCCTAAATTTTCCTTTTTTCCTCGTCTCTCCTTTTCTTGCAGTGAGTATTTTACGACTCTATATATCTCAGATCGCCCGCGACCAAGTTGTTTCGTTGTCGTCGTCGTCGTAGACAGTCAACAACAGCCCATACGCCTCATCAACGAGCGCGTTATTTGTTTGGCTATGAGACGCGTCGCGTACATGCTTCGTTGACCTCGCTCGTCAAAGAACGCTGGAATTCTCTCAAAAACTGGTCTCGGGCGATGGTTATGAGCTCTCATGAGGATGATTTGTGCTGATAACCGTGTTTTTCCATTTCGTTCAACAGATGCCTAAGGAAACCACCAAATCCAAAGTGAGCTTGTCCTCTCGACCTTTCTCCCGCTTCTATTCGAATTTCGTCTCTTCAAACTTGTTGTCAGTTCCTCCACGAGTCTGGGGCGTGATCTTCTTGACTGAACGAATGGAGTGCCCCCGATGTTGAAAAAGTTGGACTATTTCCTGGTTTGGAAGTGCCGATTGATTTTATGCGTCTTGACGTGTCTACCCCTTCAATTCCTTCTTCGAACATTGTATATGATGCGGATGTTGTCGAAGACCCACCGCTGGCTTGTCAGTGCTCGTCGTCATCAACGATGATGACATTCTTTGTCGGACTTGCGCATAACTTTCATTCTGTCGTTGCATCTTATATTTGATAAAGTTGCCCTTGCTGCTCTATCGTCGTCAGAAGAATGGGAAGGGCTTTCTGCGCAGCGTCGGGCTGTTGATTTTGCTGGCTGTTGATTTCTTCTTGATTCTAATATGGCTCTTTCATAGCGCAAGGTCGCTGAGAAATCAGAAAAGGGTTCTCGTAAAGCCAAGAAGGATCCCAAGGCTCCGAAACGTGCACTTTCTGCATATATGTTCTTCAGCCAAGACTGGCGTGAACGAATCAAAGCTGAGAACCCCGACGCAGGCTTTGGTGAGTCTTCGGCTATGCATCAATACAGTGGCCTTGACGTATTCTATTAGGCGAGGTAGGAAAGCTGCTCGGTGCCAAATGGAAGGAGCTCGAAGACGAGGAGAAGAAGGTTTGTTGTTGTACCATCCTCGTCGTTTATCGGCTAATACATCCATTCTTAATCTTTAGCCTTATGTTGAGCAAGCTGCTAGAGACAAGGAACGAGCAGAAGAGGAGAAAACCGCGTACGACGTTAGTCTTTCCGTTTTATGATTTAGAATCACCCTCATCGTTTCATAGAACAAACAAAAGAATGGTGCTGCTAGTGGTGGTAGTGGCGAGGATGCAGAAGAGGACGACGAGTAATCCCATTGTACACTCCCTTGATACTTTATAAATCTTTCTCACTGCCCTCACTCATCATAAACGACTGTATTCTCTCATCCCTTTCCTTTGCCCTCCTAACTTAGTGTCATTCTTTTTTTGCTCGACGTCTCCTCAGTCATACACAAGTGATGACATAACCTTCGTCGACAGCATTTTTATTTTATTCGCAATTCTACTTTCGCGCCTCTCATTGTACTGTATGTGCTAGTACTTATTAGTATTGCCCAATGGTATTCATACCCTGTGCTACCTATGTTAGTAACTACTGTATAAAGATCGTTCGATGTTTTCGCGCCTTATCTTCATGAAAGGGCCTTCGATTGTGCTGTAGAACGCTTCGTCCCTTGAATAAGGATAGGATCAGGATATGATATACATACATTATGCTGTGTTCAAGCTTTCAGGATCACTAAAATATTTAGCAATCCTGATTTTGCAAGTCTTTGATTCCTTTGTACATGATCCTCAAACTTTTCGACGCTTGAATTGATAGCATTCTTCTCGCATGAAGACTAGAAGGCAGTTGGCACCTATCTCTCCTCTTTCAGTATTAATCGATGTACATAAAATAAAGCATCCACGCCTTTTTGCTTGAATTAATCAAACAAAAAACCAAAATAAATGGACCAAAGCAGCAGCGATTCGCAGGCATGTCGATACGTTCCGACTAAGTGATCCTGCCCCCTTCCAGATACACGTCCCCACTGCTGTCTGTGTAGCAAGGGTCACAGTAGCTGATGTCGCAAGAGTTCCGGATGGAAGCTGAATTGAAGCAGAGGCAACATACGTGTAAACTGGAGCCAAAATTACAGGGGTAGAGGTCGCGATGTAAGATTCAAAGCAGGGTGCCTGCACAGGGTTAGCGCCGGGGAGTGTAGATAAATTCCCTAAAACAGGCTCGTCGACAGTATTAGAAATAAAACACTGTCGAGTCTGATTGAAGGTGAAGATGCCAGCATCAACGCAGCAGGAAGGGTCGCCATAGGGGTTACAGTTGCACCCAGATATAGCTTTCTGAAGTACACCATCTTCCCAGCCATTCACGAAATCTATTTTTTGCTTGATGAGTCGGAGCTGGAAAGCAGAAGGAGACCTTAGTACCTGCGTGATACCCATATCCCGTCGGATCCCCGTTTGCGAAACTGACGACATTTGTCAAAACGACTGAGAATAGAGAGAAGAAGTGTTATACACGAATGGCTGACTGGGAGTCAGGGCTTGGTCACGCTGATCCTCAAAGTCTTGAGAAATCCAGTAAACCTGAGGAACAAGCTTGTTTTTAGGCTCTCCAAGCTCACATATTAAACGGTACTTGCCTCCATGAAAATACGAGGCAATGTAACCGGATAACGTGGATCGTCGCACGTCCCATTGTCAGGGCCAGTAGATAAGAAAGCTACATGCAATTTGTGGTCTTCGGAATCAATGTTCTAAGAAAAATATGTCGGTGAGGTACTAGAAACCGGAAATATGACAGCAAAAGGGAAACCGACCTTGCCGTCCCAGCAACTGGGAAAATTCTATGGTAGAAGACTTGATTGACGATTACAGAAACATGAACCATGGAAACTGACGATTTGAGAACGAATCCCGGCTGGACAGCTCACTCCTACTGGCAGTTCATTATATCGGTTGGAGGTACCGCTGAATTGGAGGCAAAGGAATGTGACGGCTTGTTGAGCGAAGCTTGAAGCATTGAGAGTTCGGAGTGTTGTATCTCCTACAAGTTGAGGTTAAGGTTGATTATTCTGCGCAGGATACGGCTGTCGCTGTACGTGAACATACCCGAAAGCATGCGGAACTAGATTATTTTACTTGAGCCCCACCCAAATGACCCACTGGTTCACAAGAGAGGTTACAAACATACTGACATTGTTTGGAAAAGGAGCGGTCACATTTGCAGAATCACTGAAAAGATAATCTGAGAGCGAATATTCAAGTTCAAAAAATCCGTTTACGGAGCAACTGGAAAGCATCTACATCTTCGAGCATGGCGTCATCATCGGGCAAAGGGAATAAATTTGAGCACACACTAACATAACCGCATTCCCGCTCACGCTGGCGAATGATCCATCGTTCTTTCTTTTTTTTGACATTGTCATCAAACTGTTTTGTCAAGATTTACTTGAACACAACACTCACTGAAAATACAGCTGCTGTTTGTGTGTGTGCGTTGAACTGTCTGTAAGCACTTCGAGCTAGGGATGAACTTGCCGGAAACCAATAGTTGCTCTTGTCCTCTTGGATTGGAATTGATGTGCACTCGCTTTCTTGAAGGATCGACGTATTGACGTTCAGACCGAATCCGCTTCCACCAAGAACTAAGGATAAATCAATCGCAAGATAACTCGTGAACGGTACATAGGAAACCCTGCACTCACCTGAATGAACATGGGTGGAGACTTTTCCTGGAGTGACGATGGGATCCAATCTTTGAGTTGTGAGGATGTTATCTACTCCATGGGGGAGCAAGTATTTAGGAAGACCTCCAATAGTGTCCATTAAAAACGTACGCACTAGGAGCCATCAACCAATACGCACTGACCACACATACTTGTGTCAGACCCAATATTTGAAGAAGGACGAATAAGAGAATCGTTTCCGACGAAGCCATTTGTGATGTAGATGGAGTGCAAGTAGCGTATTTGTCCTATGGTGATTTGTAGCCCTCCAGTATATGTATTTGCAGTAGGTTGGGGCGTTGCAATCGCATGGATTGCAATGCCCAAAAAACGAAGTGTACATCCAGATAAGATAAACGGGAAATTAGACGCCCCTTTCAGCGCCTTTCTCTGATTCCGTTACGTCCCGTCAGCAAAGCTCTCAATCTCGTTCAACATCATACCCCTTCATTGTCTCCTCGATGTTATGGAGGCTCCCCGCCCTGTATACCTGGCAGATGGTGCCAATCACTTGGAATAGTCCATTGACAAACGTAACCTACTAACCTCAAAGACCGCTGACCTGTGCTGACGCAGCTCAAAGCCAGTCCTAGCCAGTCGCACAGCTATTGACGACTATCAATGACCATGTAAACCATAGATAAAGTAGAATACAATACATTTTCGCAGTCGTTTCCCAAAACTGTAAACAAAGTTAATGTTTTTATACCATTGATTCATCCAGAGCCATTCAAAATTCGGGATTCTCTGCAAAGTTTGAATAGTGTAGAATAGTGTAGGAGCGCAGGAATTAGCTTATCCTGTTGTAACATGGGTCTGTAAGAAAGGAGCGTAAATACGATTAGCACGCCATGCTCCCTCACCTTCTAACAAGATGGACAAATATCTATTCAAGTGGACACATTGAAGCGATGGCGTACAGCTGCTTATGAAGAGTTCTCCCATGGACCTTCCTGATATCTCATTATTGCAATGCACAGGTCATATATCACACCATGGAAGTTACGAATTGTGTTATGTTACAAGTCATCTGGCTTACTGTATGATTTACCCCCGGCCAGAAATCGCATATAATGCGACGTTGTGGCTTTTATTTCCAAAATCCCTGCTGAGGACGCAACACACGCACAATGCCTTCAGCTCCAATTGACGATTCCATAGTTGATGTAGCGGAACCCAGGAAGGACACTATCGGACTTCCAGAACCCGCTCTGGCACGCCTGACGAAAGCAGGAGTGGATCTGTCTAATGGGTATCCATACCGTCCTTCGAGACCCCTCTACTTGGACGATGTGTACAGAATCCGCAGCAAGGAGTGGAAGCACGATGATGCAGGTGCTCGGGCAGACAAGTCCAAGAGCGCTCTGCTCTCGGCTGCTACAAAAGTGACCGACTTGACAACCCATATTGGAACTGAGATAGAGGGACTCCAACTCAAGGATTTGACAGATCAGCAGAAGGACGAACTTGCCCTTCTCATTGCTGAGCGAAGTGTCGTGTTCTTCCGTAACCAGGATATCAGCCCACAGCAGCAATTAGCACTAGGAAGATACTATGGAGAGGTAGAAGTTCACGTAAGTCCCGGCCACATATTTTGAGACCATAAGTAGTGGCTGAATGCCAAGGTAGCCTCAAGTGGCTCAGGTACCTGGGAACCCAGGTGTAACAGTAATCTGGCCTGATCTCCAAGCTACCGAGCGGAGTGTCAGTTTTCGTCAACCCGGTGGTGCGTCTCGGTGGCACTCAGACTTGGTTCACGAGCTCCAACCTGCCGGAATCACACACCTTCACAATGATACAGTCCCCCCTGTGGGAGGCGATACGCTGTGGGCGAGTGGTTATTCAGCTTATGAAAAACTGTCGCCCGACTTCCGCAAATTTATTGACGGCAAACTCGCTGTATATCGTTCTGCGCACCCGTATCTAGATCGGAGCAACCCCGATAGCGGTCCCAAGCACATAGAGCGGGTGCATCCGTTAGTTCGAGTACATCCAGCGACCGGCTGGAAGGCGCTATGGGTCAATCGAACTTTCACTGACCGCATTGTGGGGCTTGACCGGGGCGAGAGCGACGCCATTTTGAATTATTTGTTCGGTGTGTACGAGGGCAATGTTGATATTCAGTTGCGGTTCAAGTGGACGCCTGGCACTTCTGCACTCTGGGACAATAGGTGAGAGAATCTTTTTTTCGGACACACCCAGTGATATAGGGACTAACTGAAGACAGGGTTACTATACACAACGCGAGCTGGGACTATGGTGGAAAATATCCCAGGCATGGAACTCGAGTCACGTCTCTGGCTGAAAAGCCGTACTTTGACGATGCTGCGCCAACTAGGCGTCAGGCATTGGGGCTATTGGACGAAGGGGAATTGATACCTGACGGGCAGTAATGAGTGTTGATTCAATAAACTGAAATCCCATACATATGTAGAATATATTTGGCAAAGATGAAATGCCGGTTGTAAATTCCTTGTACATGAATATCCTATTGGTTTACTTATCAAAGGTTTCAGTGATCATGAACCCAGTATTTTGAGGAGGGACGATGAGAATTTCGGATTGGGATTGGATGAAATATATAGCGCTGCCATAATTGGTCGATGACGAATACTGTCAATATTGTCGATTTTGGAGTCGTGACGACGTACCCTTCCGTTTCCTTTCTTCGGTTTTAAATCCCCAAATTCACCCAAAATCCCTCCACGATGGCTGATAAAAAGAGATCGAAAACTCCCAAAGAGTTCGCTAGTCAGTGTTTCTTGCAATCATCCATATTATGACATGCCAGCTCATTTGTTCAATTCCTAGTTGATTTCATGATGGGAGGTGCGGTCTAGAATTTTATGTCTAGGATCAATATATGCTCATAGATGCTGCGTGCTGCTCAGGCGTCAGCGCGGTGTGTATCTTCCATCTTCTATTGTGAGTTTGTGTCGCTGATCATGTACCTGTTGCACTCGTAGGCCGTCTCAAAGACTGCCGCCGCCCCAATTGAACGTGTCAAGCTTTTGGTCCAGAACCAAGGCGAGATGGTGGATGTCTATGTCTATTCAAAACTGATCCCAAGCTGACTTGTCGGGATAGCTCAAGCAAGGTCGCCTCGCGACGCCGTACGGCGGTGTCCTGGACGCTTTTAGGCGGACTATAGCCGATGAGGGTGTCGTCTCTCTATGGAGAGGTGAGTGAAGGATGTCCTCGTCTCGTCTCGACCTCATAGATGCTTTGACCAGGTAACACGGCCAATGTTATCCGGTAAGTCATTCATTTACAAGTCCGACCATGTTTCTCTGAAGCCCCACGCAAGATACTTCCCTACGCAGGTTTGTCGATGCTCTGCTAAAATTCGCGTTTCTTGGTTCTAATCGAAATCTCCTCTCTTTCAGGCTTTGAACTTTGCCTTCAGTGCGTGTCGTGTCAAGCTGTCGTTATCAGATTCACATTGCCTTTCATTTGCTGACACGTGCTTTCAGAGGACTACTTCAAGTCCTTGTTTGGTTTCAAAAAAGAAGCTGGATATTGGACGTGGTTTGCGGGAAATGTGGCCTCTGGTGGAGCCGCTGGAGCGTCGTCCTTGTTATTCGTTTACTCTCTTGATTATGCTAGGTGTGGACCAATGCCATCATCACAAACGATTTGATATTCATTCACATAGGACACGACTTGCCAACGATGCTAAATCGACTGCCAAGGGGTTTGTCTAGTTTACCTTCAAATGGATCCACGCACTAACTTTCGTCACTATCGCTAGCGGCGGGGAGCGTCAATTCAACGGTCTTGTAGATGTCTACAAAAAAACTCTTGCTTCTGATGGTATCGCTGGGCTCTACCGTGGTTTTGTTCCCTCCGTCGTCGGTATCATTGTCTACCGTGGTCTCTACTTTGGCGTCTACGACTCTCTCAGTACGTCCACTTCTCTGAGCAAAAGTCAAATGTTGACCTGGCTTTCTCCATAGAACCTGTCGTCCTGGTCGGCGCGCTTCAAGGCTCCTTCTTGGCTTCTTTCCTTCTTGGCTGGAGTGTAACCATCGGATCTGGATTGGCTTCGTATCCATTGTGAGTTCTTTGGCAGGGTGGTTCCTTGTTTGATTCTGACTATCTCTTTCAGGGATACCATTCGGTATGTGCACAATTTTATATTGCTGTTAGTTTTAGAGCCAATGCCCACTACAGTCGTCGTATGATGATGACCTCGGGCTCTGGTGTCAACTACAAGTCTATGTTCGATGCTGGTTCTCAGGTTCGTCTAATTCATCTATATAATGGTTTCATGCTCTGACCTACAGCCTATAGATCATTGCCAAGGAGGGTACCGCCTCATTGTTCAAGGGTGCAGGTATGTATTTTCGATTCCTGGTCTTTCAGGGTACTAATGCTATGTTTCAGGTGCAAACATTTTGAGAGGTGAAGCTCATTTCCTTTCGTCCCGTTAGTTATCGGGCTTTTAATGACCATCCCATTCAGGCGTTGCTGGTGCTGGTGTTCTCAGCTTGTACGATCTTTTCCAGGAGAAGGTATTCGGAAAGGTCTATGCTGGTGGTGAGTTCGTAGCACTTTTTTGGAGAAGCGTACGACTGACTGTTTGAATAATAGGATCTGGTTGATTGAACTTCGTAAACTGTCTGATTGTGTGCTACTTTTTGCCTTCATGGCTTCATTGTCCTCGGAACTGTTATTAGCTAGAACTTCCGATCTTTTGTCCTTCGACAAGTGTAGCCACTATAATCAAATTTTCTTTTTTTTCTATTTGCGACAGGTCTATGTAGGGCGACGTCAACTTGTGCGAACCTCGAGTTTCGAAAATTGAGTTGTAATATTACAGAGCATATAAGTAAAGGTAAGTATTGACGAAAATAAGTGTACTAGTTGGTAACACTGTAATCTAAACATCAAGGGCGCAGAATGAACTGCGACATTTCAAGCAGGCGAACCAAGTCCCTTCTCCAGACTATTCTCATCCACGTTATGATGGTGCTCGTGATGTGGCTCCCTTCCTCCTGTAGTCATCCCCTCGCTCATCTTCGTCTCAATATCATGCCCAATCTCCTGTTCTAATCCCACGTAATCATAAGCAAACTCGCCCATATCATACTCATCCAGCCCAACGATCTCTGCATCCTCTGAGCCACGCATCCTCAGGAACGGGATAAAGTGCATAAGCCAGAGGATGATGGTCGTCATGACGAACGAATAGGAGAGAGCGGCGACAGAGTCAGCAAGTTGGTAGCCTAGTTGAATATAATGGTGGTCAAGCCAGCCACCAGGAATTATGGTTATGCCATCGAAACCAGCTACCGAGGCTTGAGCAAAAAGACCCGTGAGAACATTGCCAACAACACCACCGACTGCGTGGGAGGCGAAGATCTAGTCAAGTGTTAAGTATGAGGTGGGAAGATGAAGAAGGCGGTGACTAAGAAACATACATCAAGAGTATCATCATATCCAAAAACGAATTTAAGTTGGGTAGCAAAATTGCAGATCGTGCCGGCCATAACACCGAATAGCACAGCGGCAGCTGTTCAGGATGATCGCAATGTGAGGTTACATTCCATGTTAATGCGTAAGGACTTACGGGCGCCGACAAAACCAGAACCAGGGGTAATAGCCACCAGACCGGCGATAGCACCACTACAGAAACCGACAGCGGACCATTTTCTTTCAATCCGGTAATCCTGGAATTTCATGCGTTAGGCCAGGAATGGGATATAAATATTTATATGAGAATAACTTACCCAGAGCATCCAAGTCAATCCACCGACACTAGCGGCCAAGTTCGTGACGACGCATGCCATGGCGGCACGAAGATTAGCTACAAGGGAAGGATCAGTCATTTTTCTGCAGTTATAGTTCACGTTAAAGACACGCACCGCTGAGGGCAGAGCCTCCGTTGAAACCGAACCACCCAAACCATAGCAGAACAGTCCCGAGAATCACGTACGAAGTATTGTGAGGCTTGTATGCTAAACGTTCAGTTCCGTAACCTCGACGTTTTCCGAGGTAAATGGAGATGGCGAGAGCGGCGGATCCAGAGGAGATGTGGACCGGAGAACCACCAGCAAAGTCGAGTCCACCCAGCACGAAACTCCATCCTGCGGAAATGTTTGATCTGAGTAAGAGAAATCGATATGGATTTGAACCAGATATATGTACCATTAGAATTCCACGTCCAACAAGCGATGGGGTCGTAGACGAGAGTCGACCAGATGAATACAAAGGCGATACAAGGCCCTAGTCGACCGCGTTCTGATACAGCTCCAAGAGCGAGCATGGGACTGGTAATGAAGAAGATTGAGGATATATATATAATGGAGGTGAGTGATATTCGTACGTTATTGCAGCGAACATGAGTTGGTAGACAGCAAAGACGAGAGCAGGAATCCGAGCTGAGCCAATTGAAGGTGCTGCAGCGACGCCTTTCATCCCGAAGTACTCTGCAAAAGAAATACGGTAAGTATTCTAGACATGCTCAACATGACGTTGGTCACATACTGAGGTTTCCGATATACGCGCTTCCAGTCTCACTGAACGCCAGCGAGTAACCCCAGAAAAACCACTGTAGCCGTGTTAGATATAGACGATCCGTAGAATCGCTCTGGACATACTTGGAAGGAGACCACAGCTATAGTCATGACACTCATGTAAATCATTGACAATGCGTTCTTCCGCCTTAGCAATCCAGAATAAAAATATCCAAGGCCAGGAATCATGATAAAGACGAGCGCAGTGCCTGCGAGAGTCCAAGCAATATCTCCATTCTGATATACAGACTGTGTTCCAGAATCATCAGTGTAGATGATACTTCCCGCTGGAGAAGAGATCCTGAGTGATTAGTTGACTATGAGCGAAAAGATTGGGAATACTTACATGCATCGTACGTTATGTTGACCATACTGGGCGATAGGTACGACCTCCACGTAAGGGCTTGTAGACGAAGGAAGCAAGGGAAGAAAAGGAAAAGCGGGAAGTTGACTCGTAGATATACTTCAAAAATCCATCCTGTCCCGATCCTGTCTAAATTCCATGAGGAGCAAAATTGAAACTCTTGGCCGCCACCGAATCGAGTCAAATAGTTCTCACAGTAAAAGTTCTTATCGTCCAATGATGCGTCTTGTTTTCCAACTCCATTCCGTACCTTTCCTTTCAAGATGCAACCCAGGTACGATCATACGTCTATGGTTTGTGGCCGTCAACGTTCAGCGCTTCAGCAGTCAAAATCGTGCAACAAAAGACTCAAGCAAGAAGAACGAGAGAGAACGCTGGAGATTGCCTATTGATTACATATGGTCACTATGAAGAACTCGCTATACGCTTCACTCAATCTGAATCTGGTAAACAGACCTACAAGCGGGAGCTTTCAAGTAGTGGTCTGATTCGAATACAAATTGAAAATTTTATCCTTCAGCCTGTATAAGCTCTAGACATACCCTGACGTTATCTGTACATATCATAGAATAGTGATAACAATGACCTCAAGTGCCCTGAACTGTCCTCTAATTAGTCCTGCGTTTGGCTCTACATATGTGGTCCTTCACTGGGCTTGTAATAATGGTCAGTACAATATTCGAAATCTGGATTTTTTGACAAGTACTCCGTGTCCACAGCGCATGCTTACACTCTTAATAGGATAAACCGATCGGCAGTATCTATACCTTTTGCGAATTTCGGGCGCTCCGGCGCACGATTCTTTCTCTGCATGGGCCCCCCTTCCCCTGACCCTCCCCGGGCCTTCCCGACTTGTGCTTTTTGCACATTGTCGCGCTATTTCACGCGTCTTCCGCTTGCCATTCCTGGTCTAGACTTTAGGCTGTCTCAAATTCTATGCACGTCCGCTAAAAATCCAAATAGTTCATGTCAAGTCCAAACACCTGTCTACCTCTGTCTCCCCGGCCTTTGATTCCCTGAACACCGGGAAGGACCGTTGTCACTATACAGCTCTGTATCCTGTGTTACAATCGATCAGCATCCTTACATGCTTGGCATTTGCACCTACTAATCTGTTAGGATTCTTGCTGACTTTCGTCTCCTCTTCCAGTCCGATGTACATCGGCCCATTGCCAACGCGGAATTACCACTAGTACCTACTAGTACTCATTAAGTTGATTACAAGTGCTAAACAGTGTCAGGATGTACACTGATGATGGATTGCAATATTGTTGAACAGATGAGTGGAGACTCATGCCAAAGAATAGCGCGAGTCTATGCGGCTGAATAGCTAGGAATAGCTGTGAGTAGTAGGATTTCAAAGCATCGAACCTCCTAATGTACATACAGGGGTCGTCAAATTCCCAGTTCGGCGATTAGGCGCTCATTGTCCAGGGATAATACACGTCCCATAAATATGTCCTCAGGAACGAATCTTTGACCTACCCCGGAAAAACTTAGAATGCCTCCTTCGTTTCCTTCCTACAGAAAATTTCTCTGCGGATAACCCAAAAAGTAGAGCTTGATCTGTCATCTTCGCTGCTGCTCTAAATAATTTGTCCCCGGACGCGGACGCGGACTGCGGAGACTCAGCCAATGTACGATGAACAAGTTCGCTGGAACATATTTGGCAAGCGAAGCGAAGGAGTACTATGTAGTCAGTATGGTTCTTGATAAGCCGGATATGTAGGTCACTGGTAGCGAAAAGGCTTTTGCAACTCAATTCAGGGCAGCGCACGTCATACCATGAGTTCGGAAGTTCAGAAAGTGTTTGCGATTAATCTCGCTAGTTAGTGATTTTGCCCTACATTTACACGTTATCAGAATATGTACAATACACTACATTCATTACCCATAAGTTGCCCGTAAAATCGTAGAGAAGTAAAGAAACTACATGTAGCCCCTCACTCAATCAAGGTGCTTGATATCCTCCTTCGAGTCAATATGCTTTTTCGTATCATCGTGGTGCATACCGAATTCTGTGCAAAAGGGTTGGTGATATAATCTTAGTGAAGATGAGTAGAAGCTTACGGTCGACCTTCGTGGATTTGAAACGCCATGCGGGAACTTTATTCTCAAAGAGCAGGTCCAGTTCACCGTAACTACGATGTCTAAGAACAATGATTATCAGGGGAAAATCTAGTTCAAAACTTAAAATGAACGCACTTGGTTTCAGGAAGTCTGAGCAAGCAGTATAGCGTTGACAGAAGTGCACTGCCGCCCCAGAAGAGACCTGATTTGGCTCCCCAGTTCCAAGCAGTCGTATTAATCATACGCGGAACAATGATACCACAGATGATGTTCATGATCTGGTAGGCAATACGCGAGAGCGCGATGGATTTTTGGCGCAGTCGGGTAGAGGAAACTTCGCCGATGATGGTATAGCAGAGGGGACCAAGCGTACAGTTGTAGATGAAGTTCAGAGCGATGAGGAGACCACCGACGGTCATTGTAGCGTTATTGGAACTGATGAAGCCCAAACCACCAATGACGAAGAGCACGACAGCCATGCAGCCCATGCCGGCAGTGTACAATGTCCGGCGACCAAAGTGGGTGAGCACTGAACGACATTATCAACGTCAGTAGTAGTTTACACATCTCAAAAATGAAAAATACTTACAACCCCAGGAAACTATGGTTCCAATGATGAACATGGAGTTGAGGACCATATTTAAGTCGAACGAAAGTTGGGTACCAACACCCGCAGATTGCAAGAACTGGACACCTTGACCAATAAGATTTTCGCCGGACAAAAGCTGCATCGCAAAGGTCATCATGACAATTTCCGTACGACGACGATCAGTTTTGGTGAAACACTGAATATACGTGGTCCCTGCTTGTGCTTGCGTCTCGAGCTCGTTGGTGTGCACCATCATTGCAACCGTGTTCTTAATGTCATTGTCTGAAACATATTCTGGATTGGTAAGACGTCTGACAGACTTCTCTGCATCATCCAGGCGACCGCGGCGTACGAGCCACCATGGAGAAGGAGGTGAAAAGAAGACGATCATGAAGAGGGGAATAACCCAGACCCATTGAACCACGAAGGGTAGACGCCAACCTGACGTACATGTTAGTTTACAATGAATGATGAACATATGCTACTCACTCCAGTCAGAATCGACATTTAGAGTAGCAGTCACCACACCAGATGAAAGCAGGATACCGACACCCCAGCAGAGATTGACGTATGCAGTAAGATACCCGCGAAGCTGAATAGGGCAAACCTCAGACGCATAGGCTGTCGTAAGCGTTTGGAAAACACCCCAGGGTATACCGCACAAAACTTCGCCGATGACAAGAGTTGTAAGGGACTGTGCGAAGACAGGGATGAAGATAAAACAGGCTAGACAGTGTTATTTTCGACTGAGGTGTGAGAGGTTCAGAGTATGGATACGTACTCAGAGCGACGATAGAGGTCATCATTACAATTTTAGGGCCATAACGATCCGCTGCCCAGCCGTTTATCTATGAGCATATACATAAATGTTTTGTGTAGAATGGTCAAATCAAGAAACGTACCAAGAGCCCGATGATACCACCTGCTGAGCTACCATTACTCAGTCCGCTTTGCCATGCTGCTGGAATAGCATAACCAGTCGCTGTGCCGGGGGCGACAATACCAAAACGCTTGGTGAAATTGGCTGATTGAATATGTATTTTATGAGGCGTCACATATCGAGAAATAAGGACCAGATGGACATACGTTGACCATAGAACGAGCCAATCACGACAACATCGTAACCTTCCATTATTAACGCGCCAGAAAGAGCCATGGACCAAAAAATGGCTTTCTTGTGTGTCTTGAACGCCTCTCGCAAGGTCATCTTGTGCTCAATCTCGTCAGCCTTGGCGGCGTCGGAGATAGTATTGGCGTTGAGCTTGCGCAAGATTTCATTGTTATCGGCGACGATAACATTTTCAGGCGCGTCGTGAATGCCATACTGCGACATTTTGGTGTAGAAAAACAATGAACAAGTTCAAGTTCGGTACCATGAGGAAAATAGGTCTTTTATTCTCGTGGGGAAGTACGGTGCCTGAACTAGACTGCGGGGAAACGGTGAAGCTCTGGAGGATTTTCGGAAAATTGAGCGGACCGCTGAAGGATCAAATGTTTATTTAGTGTGTTGCCCCGATCAGGCCACTACGCTGTCCACATCTGACCTTTTTAACGGTACCAACAGGTCACCGGTCCCGGTCATCACTGGCAGCAAATTGGATGAACGGATCGACTCCTATTGTGGGCGCACGGCGAATGAATCAGAATGGGAGAACACAGTGGTGGGCCGGAGGGACCAGTCTGGTGACGGATTTTGATGCGGAAATTGAAATGATACAGTCCTTTGCGAAATGGTTTGGATTTTACCGAATATTTGTTCAATACATTTTGGGGCCAGGCTCGAGAAGTGCTCGAGAGGGCTCTCGTCGGGGACCGTCGGGGCTTCGAAGAGCTATTGCTGAAATTCATTTTAGGGCAAATATATACTGGACAGATAAATAAACAAAAATAGATTGAAAAAATTCAAGCAAGCAAGAGGTGAGGGAGATTCAGATCGGGGGTACTTATGTTGCCACGCGAAAGGCCCTGACCAAGCCCAAGCCGAGCTGCACGGCATCTTATGATGGCTTGAGACATAAAACTTGGTTGAAATCTTGGAACACCTGTGTTGGTGTCACTTATTGATGATATCCAACTTAGGTACAATCTGGAAGGTATATGTGAGCTTGAAGGGCGTTCGAGACAGTTCTGCAACCTCCAGCCAATAGACCCTGCCTGGACTCTGGAGGGGGGGGGGGGGGGGGGGGTCGTGAGAATCGTGTCCCCGATCTGAATCTCCCTCACCTCTTGCAAGCAAGCAAAGAATTACGCAAAGCACTGCATTTGTTTTATGTAAGTAGTGTAAGAGAATATCATAACTTTTTTAAACTGTTCCTCGGTTATTGCAAAAAGAAATATCATTCACGTAGACGATTCAGATGGTGTAGACATGTTCTTTGAATTCATTCAAATGAAGTTCTCTCAACGCGACACCATAATGCTTCTACGTCGAATGGGATTGGCCGTTTGTGCTCAATGAATTTAGAGCTTGTGCAAACCAACGCGGGGGGTACGACTTGAGCACAAGGGAGTTCTAAGTATTCACTCTTAAATATGAGATAGAATCAGTTGTTCTATTCTGCCGAATTCAAGCCCGGCACTTAAATCGGCCAAATGCCCTAAATTAGAAAGATCCTGATGCGATCCTTCCGCTTAGAGCAGTGACAGCGCTTCGGTTGAATCGAGCTGGTTCATCCGGCTCTCTGTTCAGACCTTCCCACCGTGCTGCATTAATTTTGCACGATCTATGCTACATACATGCTATGTAAGATCAATGCATACCAAGAGCTGGAGAATGTGAAGATGAGAAAAACTTTATATCAGTGTTGAGAGCTGCACACACACGCAGATGTTCTGTAAACTTGTTGCATAAGTTGTTACTTCACACAAGGCCCGCAATTCATGTATGGTGTAACTTGCCTGGAATGTAAAATGAACGAAATTCAGCAGTTTATAATGGCTCTCAGATTATCTAGCAAATGTTGGCAAGTCATTCCTGCAGTCTCCTGTGTCTGCCAGCAGATAGAAACTTTGGCATTGTGATAATTTTGAAAGCCATAAGCATGTACTTGAATGCTTGGACAATTCAGGGAGTGGTTGACTTGCTATGCAGCAGCTCTTAGAATGACTGATGTAAATGCATCAAGGACCGAGCACAGCAGAGCACCCTGTATCACCTGGACTTCAGGCGGGAAGAATTTAATGGGTACCAGCAGTGAGGAGATATCGTCTCAGCCATCCTTAAATCCATCCTTAAATCCAGCTTAAATTCACGTGAATTTATCGGATAGCTTAAATTATGGCTTATTTCGTACTTACTTGACTTATCTGTCTTTATATCTATTTAAAATGTAGTATTTCCTTGAGGTGTTGTTTCAAAAAACAGCCAGCCCTGCTACCATCCAGGATTATATTATTTTCTGGAACACTGAATACTTTTGCAATGAGGCAACAGAGGGGAACAGCAGTATTGGAGTGAAAATCGCGTCAGTAGCTTCGAGCTACAGCAGAATATCAGTCACATGACTCGTGTTTGTGCTGCCACTTGCAAGGTCAAACGACTGGACCATGTCCCTGTCGACGTCTATCCTCTATCTCTTACAGAGCAGATGAGTTTTTGTTGAGCATTGCTTGCACCTGCTCTCTACAACAAACTGACCACCTCAAAACTGGTCATGGCCCCAAAGGCACGGCGCGTCCGGAACTGCTGTAGTGGCGGGTGCAAGCAATCTTAACTTACCTCCTCTTGATCCCCTCAGGGCCTTATCTCTCACTCTTCCAACTAAAGAATGATTTTAAAGCAGTATGTACCATGAAAGGCGGATGTGCAATCCCAAGGTGAGTTGAACAATTCTGGTCATGCCTCACTCATTTTTGATTGAATCCTGCCCTAGATAAGTGCGACAGGACTACGAAATAATGCTCAACCCTTGAAGCATAACACTTAGTCTATGCAAAAATAATCTTGCATGTCCTTGTTGTCACCTCCAACCCTGAGGCGAGTAGGAGGGTTTGGTCATATCTCACTCATTTTTTATGATACTCTGCTCTAGATAGGTGCGTTAGGATCACGAAACATCACTCTATACCCAGAGCATAGCCATTAGCTCACGCAAAGACGAATTCTTGTCTGCTCGTCGCCACCTCCAACCCCAAGGTGAGTTGAACAATATTTATCATATCTCATTCATTTCTGATTGCATCCTGCTCTAGATAGGTGAATCAGGATTGCGAAATGTTACTTTACACGCCGAGCATAGCCACTAGCTCATGCGAAGACAAATTCTTGTCTGCTCGTCGCCACCTCCAACCCCAAGGTGAGTTGAACAATATTTATCATATCTCATTCATTTCTGATCGCATTCTGCTCTAGATAGGTGAATCAGGATCGCGAAATGTTACTTTACACGCCGAGCATAACTATTAGCTCACGCGAAGACAAATTTTTGTCTGCTCGTCGCCACCTCCAACCCCAAGGTGAGTTGAACAATATTTATCATATCTCATTCATTTCTGATCGCATTCTGCTCTAGATAGGTGAATCAGGATCGCGAAATGTTATTTTACATGCCGAGCATAACTATTAGCTCACGCGAAGACAAATTTTTGTCTGCTCGTCGCCACTTCCAACCCCAAGGTGAGTTGAACAATATTTATCATATCTCACTCATTTCTGATCACATCCTGCTCTAGATAGGTACAATATGATTGAGAAATATCACTCCACGCCCAGAGCATAACTATCAGCTCACATGAAGACATATTTTTGTCTGCTCATCGCCTCCTGCAACCTCAAGGTGAGTTACACAATATTTATCATAACTCACTCATTTCTGATCGCATCCTGCTATAGATAGGTGCGTTAAGATTGTGAAATGTCACTCTACAGCGAGCGAATAACTGCTGGATCACGCGAACACAAGTCTTTGGTGGCTCGTCGCCACCCGCAACCTCAAGGTGAGTTACACAATATTTATCATAACTCACTCATTTTTGATCGCATCCTGCTATAGATAGGTGCGTTAAGATCGTGAAATGTCACTCTACACCCAGCGCATAGCTACTGGCTCACGCGAACAAAAGTCTTTGTCTGCTCATTGCCACCTGCAACCTCAAGGTGAGTTGCACAATATTCGTTATAACTCATTCGTTTCTAGTTGCATCCTGCTCTAGATAGGTGCGTTAGGATCGTGAAATGTCACTCTATGTCCAGAGCATGGCTCTCAGTTCACGCGAAGATGGATTTCTATGTGCTCATTGTCACCTGCAACCCCAAGGTGAGTTGCACAATATTCATCATATCTTCCTCATTTCTGATCACATTCTGCTCTAGATAGGTGTGTTAGGATCACAAAATGTCACTCTACGTCCAGAGTATGGCTATCAGCTCACGCGAAGACAAATTTATATGTACTTGTCACCTGCACTTGATGTTATAGTCCACTTGTGCAATAATGAATTCACAGTATTTGATCTGAAAATAATGTTCTTATTACACATAACAGTATCTTCTGTAGATTATACTATCAGGATGAGTACAGTCTAGTTGCTTGAACATCAATGCAAATGAAATTTGAAATTTGAAACATTTGTTTTTCCCCCTTTTCCTCGTTCTTCTCTATTATATCCTATTCTAATGCCTCGTGCCCACAAAGAGACTTCACACTCCTCTAAATCAAAGAAAACTTCAGCCACCAAAACAAACTCTCCACTGAAGCGACTTGCAGATTTACGAAGTCAAACGAAGTCAAACACAACAGCACATATACGGGCAGACAATACCACTAAACAATATACACAGGTCATCCAGCGGGTGAGGAAGTGGCTGGAGGAGTTCCTCAAAGTTGAAGAGAATGCAGGGGGATGTCTAGAGGATGAGGTCGAAGATGTCCCTATGAGGAATGAAGAAATGGCCTCCGAGTTTCATGGATGTCTTGATGGAAAGCCCAATCAGTTTACTCCTGAAGCCATTGCAATGTACATATCATGGAAGTGTTACGAAGAGGGCAGGAAGCTATCAACAGGAGAATCAGTTCATGCCGCATTCAAGTATCATTACACGCACCTGTATGTCAGGATTTAGATTGGTCTGGATTATATTTGACTCCTCTGATTTGAATAGTGAAGGCGACAAATATCGTGGGGATTGGCGGTATGATGAAGGGAACAAACGATGGATTGGAAATCCCTGTAATGCAGCAGAGGTTGTCGATCTCATGGAGGGATGTAAGCGAAAAGATGGGGAGAGCGAACGACATCATTCCAAACCAGCAAGCATCATCATCATGGAGAGGTTGTATGCTCACTCTATTTCTGTCTGTCCCGATGACTATCCTGTCCTGGATGCAAAATCACTTGCATTCAAGATTTCGCACCTGCGGTTCCGTGCTTATTCATCATTGGGTTTCACTATCTGGACAAGGTATTTCTTTAATAGACGCACATACCTGAGTCTCAAATTCCTTGATATTAGAAATACAGAGACATCGCATCTCCAGGCCAAGCATGTTGACCGCAACCCTCTTCCCAGACCTGGCGCAACACCGAGTGATCCTCCTTTTATCCAAATCAACCTCAGAGACCAGAAAAACTGGCAAAAGAAGCAAGCAAAGAATGAAACTCAGCTGAACGGTATGAGAATTGATTGATTACCTCTGGCTATTTTGATTTGTAGTATCCAGGACATCGTTACAACCTGTATCCTCAGAAGATCTGTGCAATATGTGCTCAAACTCATCTTTCCATCTGGATGGAATTCTGTGAAGAGCACATACTCCGCCGACAGTATGAGCCTGACGACTACATCTTTCCAACTATCAATGCGAACGGTGTGACGTTCCAGTCAAAACAGCCAATAACACCCGAAGCAGTGCAGAAGATGATCGACAATTTTATGGTAGCTGCTGGGGTTCCAGGAGCATTTACAACCCATTGCTTCCGACGTGGGGGTGCTCAATACCGGTTCATGTTTGCACCAATTGGCGAACGCTGGACTCTGGCTCGAATTCGATGGTGGGGTGGATGGGCACCAAATGAAAAGGTGATTTTATCTGATTCGCTATCGCTGCTGGTCACTGATATCAATCAAGCGTGATACATTAATACGGTACCTCTTGGATGAATTAAACACGTATGAAGAAGATCACAGTGATGCGTTGGCTCCGATAGACCGTAGAGCGTCTGAATCTCATGCAGGCGAGGCTGCGGAGATGGGACCACTTTCAGCAGCTGAGGGCCGACAACTCTTTACCATGGTAGGATCCACCATCAAGAAAGAATTTGCAGCTATCTACACATCACAGCATCATCTTCCACAAGGATCAGCGCCCTACGGTCCATATCCATATCAAGGTTACATCTGGCCATCACTGCCTGTTCCGAAACCTTCTCTCATGCCATCTCTGAGTTCTTACCTATCTCAAATGGCAGCGCCAGCACCAAATCAAGTGATCTATTCCAGTACAGGATCATTCACTCCTCAACCATCAACAAAGATTCTGCCCGAGTTAGATTATCTCCCAATTATTCCGAAGATACGACCTTCCCCGAGTGCATGGAAGCAAGTCATCATTGATTGGGAACATCCTGACCCATCTCGAGATCATCACTATGCACTGAAGGACTGGAAGCCAGAATGGGCCAAAGTGACTCAACAGGCGGCATTATATGGTCAGCGAAAGTTGATTGCATTGGAATTCATCGAGAGGTGTGTATTATTTCTACAACGTGTATCTCCACTCAAAGCAATTTTGTCTATATCAGGTTCGAGCGGGACGAACAATCATTTCAGCAGGCCTATTCATGTTGTCAGGATGGAATCACTCAACTTTTGCTGCAGATACGGGCGTCGAAACAGGAGAGTGGTACAATAAAACGCCGCAAGGGTAAAAATTCCAACTTTGCAGATATCTAACAATCCTTCATTAGAAGTACATACGTATATATTCATATCTATTCTTCAGCTCAGTACTATACCTATACCTATTCATATCATATAACTATTAACTATTAACGAGGAGGCGACAATCGTCGATGACAACGACGACGACGACAAACGGAAGCAAAACCAAGATAAACGTGTGCCGAGTTCTCCGGCAGAAGACAGCGGACGAACCGGTAACGTTACCCCGCTCACCCGATCAACCCCGATCAGTGATTTCCACCCATTTTGGATCCGTACCGCGGCCCCGCCCGGCAGGATCATTTTCGCGTGGACCGTGGGCAGAACACGTTAAATTCTCCGGAATAAGTACTTAAATACAAATGTTGGTGAGGCAGACAAGAACCTGTGATGGAGTCAATGCGGGTTGACTGCATCAATGACTCTGAAGCTACGCATTGAACGAGCAGTGAATATTTGAGGAGTAAGATTGGACGAAAAAGGTGCGCAAGTGGGCGTCTGCGCCCTTGCGACACAACTCTCATGCACGAATCCATCGAAGTTCTCCAAAAATCTCTTGGATGCGTGCCAATCTCCTCGCATCTGCAATATAATCTTCGTTCCGACTCAGAGCGAGAGATTCTTTGGTACTATTTCGTGTAAGTATGACAACAAGATACGGTTCTTTGTTGATGAATATGAAGTCCAGGCAAGGCGAATAACCAAATCCACTGCAATTCACAGCATCAAGCAATTATGATATGGGAGGAGCTAGCAGGAAACTTACGGTTGCTTGCTTAAATATTTGTTCGGGAACTCTTTAGCCCAAGGTTCCGTCACATGCTTAATCCAGTAACTTGTCATATCACTGGGACATTCCGGGTAATGTTGATCGAAGTCTTCCATGGAAATGCACCAGCCAAAGTTATATACCGGGGTTATGTGGCCACAAGATGGCTCTAGAATGCCCGCTTGCGCAGGATGTTGACCGATTGGAAGAAATTTCTGGTGGATACATTTCCTGAGAAACAGAAAGGTAAGCCGAGATAAGCGGTGGCCAGGCGAGTTTACCCACCTGACGGTTTGCGAGGCGTGCTCCATTGTAGACGTTCGAGATGAGGATGAATCATAATGCAGTCACATGATAAACCATGTATTTCATACAGCGTCTACGCGAGAGCTTATTTTAGATTTAAATCTACGCTTTTCATGCGGGGGGAAGCCTGTGAAAATCAGCTTTCAGGGGTGTTGATGAATTTGAACACGGAATCGGAGCTCCCTAAAATATCCAAGAGAGCTTAAGAAGAGCGAGTAATAATTGAAGGTGATTCAGTGTTGGCTTCTCGAAGACGAACAACAATTACTACAACGAAGTGATCAAGATGGGCCTCAGTTATAATTTCCGGGATGCAAGGCGGAAGCTACGAGAAGCTGATAATCAAATTGAATCTACCCACTGCTGCACATTGAACTCTGGAATAGAACTTGCGGCCAATGCTAGGATTCCTTCAAATATTACTGGAGACCGCCCGTTTAACATATGGAGGCATCTTTGAGTCGGTTCAAGTCGAACGTTCATGAACGTTTTGACCCTCGCGCGACAACTTTGAGGCTGAAGAATTTTGAATAAAACCGCGAATCAACCTCAGGCTGGGGTGATATTGACACTTGGCTTGCGAGGTCGATGATGTGTCACTATACTGAAAACTACGGCCGAGGACGTTGACTCTTTGAGGAAGAGGCTCATGTACATGAAATGCATCGAGTCAGAGCATGGTCTTGATTCTGGACGTGCAAATGACTATGGTGACTGATGCTAGTAGCTGTAGAGAATAAGAGTTCAATGATTATTCGTAAATGATTGACAAGGCTTAGCACATTCTGTAACGCTCTATAAATCCACAACTTCACGATAATTTCGTCTTCTTGGTGAATACATTCGACAGGTCACCGAGCGGCAACCTGAAAGGCATCTCTACGGACTCAAGCATCAACGCTACAAAAAGATACCCCGAAGCGCAAACGACAACAAATTCGAATGCACCTCCCGCTTTGACTATTTGTTGTGAAAGTAACCATTCACATTCTCGAAAAAGTCTTGGAGAAATTTGACTCACAAAGGGCGTCTGCAAGGACTTGGTTCCCATCACCTAGTTCTCCATATCCTGCAGCGTTGAGACCATTAGCGAATGAGATGTTGAAGAATACGCCCTGCCCAACGAATACGGACTTGAATAAGTACGCAGTTACACTCACGAACTCCTACAGATTTACCGCAGAAGCGATGTTACTCCTCAAACTTGCAACAAAGTAAACAGAAGTCAGAAACGTCCAAAATGCCAAGTAGAACATTAATGCTTTGTTGTATTCTGGCGAGTTGATACCGCTAGGGAATGTCGAGGCTATTCCGTGTGCGGGGTCCGTGATGGTAGCGAGAGCCAGCCTTGAAATGACGGTAGAAAAACGGTCTGTTCAGGGTGTTGCGATGAAACATACTATTTCGTATACGCACCAGTTTCCGCCAAAAGTTATAGCTACGACAGAGGAAAAAGTGTTGCCTATGATCTGATACGAAGTACTTTGTTAGTGTCACAGAGGGGATAAAATTACGATCAAGACTCGATCACCCATTCCATTACGCCAGAGATAACCAACCCAAGCCCACCCAATAGATAATACGGTCCTGTAAGAACAGCATTGGCCGCTGTAGTAGAACCTCCCCATCCCATCTGGATGCACGCAGTTGGTGCTTGCACGAGAAGAAATGCAATCATCGCAAGTGGTGTCGGGTTTCCGAATCGCTGCACCCCAAGCCTATAGGCGGAAGAATTACCAGTATCAGGGTGGGGAGCGAGAAAGAGCCGCTCGAATTGCTCTGGAGTAAGTTGGATGGGAGGGCGTCCAGTGACTCCTTGTTGTTCGATGGAACCTTTCTCTATGTCGTGCATGAAGTCCATGCTGGTACAGAAAAAAACACTATTTGAAGATAAGGGTGTTTATAGGTTTCATCTAGGTGAGAAAACATTTCTTTCTCTTCTCACCAAGAAGCGAACCGTCTTGAATGGTAGATGTCTCATGAGACCATATTGTAGATAAAGAAATGATAAATAGCCCGTATAAGGTGAATACAATGACTCCCATTCGATTCAGTGCTTTGAACTAGGCAGTCGGAGTGAGCTTGAACCGTAGCTTGTTGAGATTACAGGCGGTTGCAAGACTCCTTGAGTTTCCAGGAAGATGGAAGTCTATACCAGTCGTATCGAAGCTGAAATCTTCGGAAATCAAGCCAATCATAGGCAGAAAACTGCTCGAAGGAACTTATAAACTGGAGGAGTCAAAGCAACTTGTTCTAAACCTCCATTTGGGCGCTTATTATCCTCTTCATAAATTTTATCATTCAGTGCAACAGTGACACTGATCCGTCATTTCGACTTGAGTCATTTTATCATGGTTTAACTGTATGCGCATCTCCCTTTCTATACCTTCACGCGTTTTCCACCGGTATTCCCGAACCATGTCCTCGTCATCTTACGAAAATTGGTCTAGAGAAGAGCTTATTGCTCATATAAAAGGACTCGAAGGACGAACAAATGCTGCCGGAGAGAGAGACAAAACTGACACAGGAAATCCTTTATCAGCCTCTCCTGCTCCGCAAACTAGCCAATTCGACTTTGCCTCCCACCCTCGCCGCAAAATCGCGCTAAAGTTTTGTTATTCTGGATGGGAATACAACGGACTCGCGTATCAGCTGAAACCTACGCCATTACCAACTGTGGAAGGTGTCATTTTCGATGCCTTGACGCGGGCAAAACTCATAGATCCAGCTGCAGGTTATGATGGCTGTGGCTGGGAGAAGTGCGGTCGAACAGATCGAGGAGTCAGTGCAGCTGGACAAGTTATATCGTTATGGGTCAGGAGCGCGTTAGAAGAGAACATTGACGAAGTGGTCAAGGCAGGAATCCCTAGCGCGGCTGCAGAATATAGTGAAGAGCGTGGAATTGAAGAAAAACTTGACGATGGCTTTGGATCACTCAGTCTGAACGATGAAGAAGATACACCTGCACTTTTATCCTCACCGTCATCACCACAAACGTCACGACCAGAACTGGACTATGTCGCCATTCTCAATCGTATTCTTCCGCACACTATCCGTATATTAGCTTGGTCCCCAGTCTCCACCACGTTCTCTGCTCGCTTTGCGTGTAAATGTAGGCACTACAAGTACTTCTTTTCCTCAGAACATCTCGATATACCCAAAATGCGAGACGCTGCTTCCCGATTGCTAGGGCTGCACGATTTTCGTAACTTGTGCAAACTGGATACAGCAAAGCAGATCACTGTGTTTGACCGCAAGATCCTGCGTGCAGACATAGATCCGGTAGATCCCTCTACCTCCACTAATTCATCTTCCATGTATGTTTTGAACCTCGTTGGAACTGCATTCCTATATCATCAGGTACGCCACATCATGGCTATACTGTTGCTCGTCGGTCGAGGACTAGAGCAGCCTTCTGTGGTCACATCTTTGCTTAATACTCAAGAAGGTGCGGAGCAATCCCGTCCAGGAGAATCACTCGCGGTCGTCGACTCCAAACCGGAATATCAAATGGCTGACGCACTCCCGCTCATGCTCTGGGACTGTATCTACTCTGATGAAGACGTTGATTGGCGGATAGATGGGCATGAGCCTGATAGCGATCAGTCCAACAGCTCCACAGAAGATGGAAGAGGCATATATCATCTTCTCCATTCCATCCAATCGCGCTCCGCAGTTTATCTGGCTCTCAATCAGCATTTCCTCGACGCTGCCTCGCTGTTCTTCCCAAAACCATGGGCAACAACTAAAGAAGGCATTATGGGCATCCGATATGGAGGACGCGTCATGATCGAAGCTCCACTGGGCGCAGGAACCTCGAGGAAGCTACAGCATTATGTTCCTTTGTTGAAAAGAAAACGGTTAGATCCGGTTGATGTCGCGAACGAGCGCTGGAGGAATGGGAAAGGGTTTCGAAGAGATCAGAGAAAAATGGTGGCTACCATCGAAGACGATAGTGTAATAGGTTGACAATGTTCTTCGCAAGAATATCTATTTACTGAGGATTGTGAGTTATTTAGCTACGTACAGGAGTTTTATTTCATGGGAGTAAGTGTATGCAGCCGGTCGGAACCGGAACTGTTGAGTCACTTCGAGTCACTTCTCGGCAATTGCCGATACAGTGTGCTTATAAACCCACTATGTGGCAATCGTCCTGATTTAACCAACGTTGGATTCTGCCACCAGGCCAAAACATGTTCGGATTCTGTTGACAGGTCTCAACGTTTGTCTTCATCATATTTCTTGTACATTCTTGACATTTACAAGGATTTGTCCCAATCCTGCCTTTATTGTCCATTCTTGTGTGATTCGGTACATTTCTATTGGCAACATTCCTTAATCCACCCACTTCATCATGAGTTATCGTGGCGGTGGTGATCGAGGAGGAGGTCGTGGATATGGTCGTGGTGGTGACCGTGGTGGTGGTCGAGGAGGTCCTGGACGAGGGGATTTCAGAGGTGGTGGAGGTGACCGAGGACGAGGACGAGGAAGAGGTGGTGGAGGTGGAGGTGGAGGGTAAACCTCCTTACCTGATGTTTGAGCAACGACGATCTGACCTATTGCCAGAATATTTTCCCCCCCAAATGCAAGTTCTAACATCGATGCCCGACTTGTTGATAATTCCCAGCAAGCCCTGATTAAATCATTCAACTCACTCACCATAAAACCGAATGACCTTCCTCTCCGTCCCGACTTTGGAACATTGGGCACCGCTACCAAACTGCGCGCAAATTTCTACCCTGTGAAAATCCCTAAAGGTCCGTTGTACGAATACAACATCACTATTTCTCCTGCTGCAGGCACTGCTCAGCGGCGTGTCAAACGGCGCATATTTCAATTGGCCGAGCAATCTGCCGATTGGTCCAGACATGGACTTGCAGGTGCCGTTGCGCACGATTACTCTTCGAAGTTGATTGCTGCCAAAAAGCTTTCCGACCCTTTAACAATTCGTGTTGCTTTCTATGAGGAGGATGAACAGGGTCCTCCTACTACAGGGGGCAAAGAGTACACCCTTGATATCAAGTTTACACAAGACATCGACACTGCCTCACTTCTCCAGCAAGTTCTTATACGTGCTTTAAACGATTTAGGCTAATATTTATTCAGATATCTCGCTGGAAAGCGTAACTACATGGACTACGACATCATGCCGATTGTCTCCGCTTTGAATTTGATTCTTTCTGCACACCCTAGTCGACCAAGTAACGGTGGTGTTATGGTCGGTGGAAATAAATTCTTTTGGCCTGGTTCGTCTCCTATGCCATTAGGTGGGGGTGTTGAAGCCATGAGGGGCTTCTATTCTTCGGTACGACCTAGCTACAATCAGCTCATGGTCAACGTCAATGGTAATATCCAGACTGCCGAATTTGTTTGAGAATGCGACTTACCTTTCTTTAGTCTGTACAACAGCATTCTACCAAGCAGACAATCTCGCAAACGCATTGCAGGTATTCATGGCGAACAGTTTTGATGCTCGTCCTACTGCGTTTGTCAAAGGTGTTCGAGTCAAAACCCTTCATCTGGGTTACAGGAAGACGGTCAAGTCAGTCACAAACTTGACACCGCGACAACATAGATTCACTACGGAAGATATGGGAGAGGTCGATGTTGCAACATACTTTCGCCGAAGTTTGTGGCTGCTTGTTTTTCATTGCCTTTCTTTCTCTAACTTCCAGCCAACAGAATATAACATTACTTTGAGGTATCCCGATCTTCCACTTGTCGATGTTGGAGGGCAAAAAGCCAATCTACTGCCTCCGGAAGTTTGCGAGATCCTCCCCAATCAGCCTTACAAACTCAAGCTAAACACAGACCAAACGGATAAGATGCTTTCTATCGCCGCACGGCCCCCAAATGTCAATGCCAACGATATCAATGGTGCTGGACTTGACCGACTTGGTTTTCGCTCCCGCGCTAGTCCTCTTGGCACCTTTGGTGTCAGCATTGGTACTGAGATGACAGTTGTCCCCGGCCGAATTTTGGAGGCACCCAGTCTTCAATACGGCGCCGGGGGCTCCAGTCCTCCCATCAACGAGAAAGCAAGCTGGAATCTTAGGGGTGTTAAGTTTGCTGTAGGTGCCAAGGTCACCAGGTGGGCTGTACTTGTCCTTTCAGACGGGAGTCGGTCAGACTTTCAAGGCCCCAATGACCCCAACCTGAGAGCAACCGTCGACGGATTAGTCAGAATGTGTAATACGAGTGGTATGAGTGTCAGTCAGAGCAAACAAGACCCGATGTTTATCGGGTGCCAACTTCCACAAAAGTCAAAAGCCGACCCCGTCCGGGAAAAAGCGATTGCAAAGATCAACAACGATTTAATGTCCTTGCCCGGGAAGCCTACGTTTGTGTTGGTCATGTTATCCAGTAGCGACAAGCACATTTACTCGGGTCTCAAACACCTATGTGACGTCAAGTTGGGTATACCCACTGTGTGCGTTCAGTCGTCGCAGGTCGCCAAACGTACATGTTCTTGCCGTTTCGAGATCCTCATATGCTCATCTTTGATTTTCAGAAAATCTCCAATACTACGGCAATGTTGCGCTCAAAATTAATATGAAGATGGGAGGAGTAAAGTACTTCTACCACTGCTGCTGTGCGATACGATGACTGACAGTTCCTTAGCCATGGTTTGGATACCAAAAGCATGCGCTCGCTGAATCAAACCCCGACCATGCTCGTGGGTATCGACGTAACGTCAGTGCTCAATTCCTAACTGTTTGTTCTTCCTTCTTACCCTTCTCTTAGGCACCCTGGACCAAGTAGTATCAAGGGGACTCCCTCTATTGCCGCCGTTGTAGCCAGCGTTGATTCGAAATTTGCTCAGTATTCCACAAGTATGGAGCTCCAGGAATCCAAGAAAGAGGTGTGCAGTGTATCTCAATTTCCTCACTCCAAACGACTAATGATTTCTTAGATGGTCACAAATCTTGCGAGCATGATGGTAGAAAGGATCAAAGTCTTTAGTGGCCAGAATGGAGGAAAGTTACCAGCCAGGATATTGGTTTACCGCGACGGTGTTTCGGAGGTGAGCCAAGTCAGTTATGTTTTTAATGCTCAATTAATGACGATGAATACAGGGTCAATTCAAGACTGTCGTTGATGAGGAAATGCCTGCAATTCAGGCTGCATGTAGCAAATTCTCGAAAGCTAATGCTCAGTACAATCCCAAGCTCAGCATCGTCATCTGTGGGAAACGGCACCATACACGATTCTACCCTACGGACGAGCGGAATGCTGATAACAATGGCAATCCGAAGCCTGGAACTGTAGTCGACCAAGGAGTAACCGCGGTTTATAATTTTGATTTCTTCTTGCAAGGTACAAATTACCATCTTTTCTTTTTACTCTACCCTTCTAACGAGGTATTACCTTTGATACTATATATAGCTCATGGATCGCTTCAGGGAACAGCTCGTCCCACCCACTATTACGTCGTCCACGATGAGATTGGCTTCAAAGCTGATGAACTTCAAACTCTGACCAACGCTGTCAGCTACATGTTTTCCCGTGCCACTAAAGCTGTCAGTTTGGTTTCCCCCGCATACTTTGGTAGGTTATTTTTCATGGTCCATTTATTTGCAATGACTCACAGATGTTACAGCTGATCTCGCATGTGAGAGGGGACGATGCTACATTCACAAATTGCTGCAAGGGATCACTCGGGTCAACACCAATGCTACTAACGCTGATGAGCAAGTTTTCCGCGAAGCCACCGAATTATGGCAAACAGGGGTCCATAGGGTACTCAAGGACACCATGTTCTATCTTTAAGAACTGTTTTTTTCTTCTTTCTGCTAATTTTGTACCTGTATCTGTTATGCTCAATTTTTTGTTTGTATGCTGCTGATACGTTATGGTGTGTGGTTTTGGGATTGCCAACAGGGTATACTTACAGTTTCTGTTTAACTATGTATGTTATCTAAGGGTATCAAAATCTGACTGTATTATGTATGTATTTCCCCTTCGTTAGATTATGAATTTGAAACTGTTCCAGTGGATGACTACGCGTAGCACAATGTTGCACAACGAGTGATTTATCACGGTTTTACCTGTGTCTGCCAATTTCATGGTATGTAGGTTCGAAGGGTTTATTAGAACTGCAAACAACTTACCTTGAATCCACTTTTGCAAGGCTCCACCAAAACAATGCCCAGAATAGCCTAATTAAGTTCAGAGCATAAAATTGAACAAATTTTTGTCTAAATATAGCGTACTTTAGGAATTTGGTCGTGTACCAGTGTGTAAAGCAAAATCAGGACCACAGATATACTTTGAAGTCCGAGTCCAATGAATTATGTTGGGGATTACTCCGTACGTACAGCTTTGACCATCCCATTCCGGAAGCCATCCCATTCTGGAAACGCAGTTTCTAATACAGCTTAGGATTACTAGATACTGTACAGTTACAAGTAGATCACGCAGGAGGAGTACACAAGCTCCCTCAGTTGCTTTTACATCAACTGAGGTGAGCTCGTTAGTACATCAGGATACATACACTTACTGATGCACCTATTAGCTTAATTTTACATCAACAGATTATGAGACTCGAGCTCTAAAAAGGCCACTCACCGAAGTATAAGTCAATCAGAACTCAAATGTCGTACGGAAATATACCGAATATACTGAGACTCCCGGATGAGAAGCAGCTCGTTGGTGAGGAAAACTGGAGACCCTATAAACGCGAAATTTTGTTCGCGGTGCAGTCAAAAGGACTGAGTGGGTACATTGACGGAACGATTCCGAAGCCCAATAGCTACCCAGGACCTATCTACCCCGCGAGCCAGCCCGCGACCCCACTTTTCAGCCCTACACCCTGTCCAGAAGAATGGGAGGCATGCGACCGGCTCGTAACTGGTGCCATCGTATCAAACATAATCGATCCCGTTGGCCTGGGGATAGATGAGACAAAGCGCGCATCGGAGGTGTGGACTATGCTGATCAAGCGTTTCGAAAAACGGGGACGAACAGCGCATCCACTTAGCAGATACAAGCCTACGACAAGAAAAATTTGACCTGACGGAGTCTACAATGGAAGACCACGAGAAAAGGATGCGGAACCTCATCAAAAAGGTCCACGACCTTGGAGGAACCGCCACAGACGCTCAATTCCGCCGAATAGTCATCTCGTCCATGCCCCCAGACTGGAGACAAGACATACGTAGCGTCCCAGGGACTTTGAGTGCCGACGCATTCACCTACCTCCACACACTCTGGTACGAGAAGGAGGAGGAGAGAAGGGAGGATGAAAGGGACACAAAGCAAGTCAAAGCTTTGATGACTGCTCGCCCATACACCACAGCACACAGCCAAACGAGTACTGGGAACAAGCCACCGATCATCTGCCACAACTGCAGCAAGCCCGGCCATATTGTGAGAAAATGCTGGGCTAAAGGCAGTGGGATGGAAGGGCAGTGGCCGAAACAAGGTCAGGCAAGCAAGCCGAAGACGGAACCAAGTGCAAACACAGTAGAGACAGAGGCATCCAACATAGTCACCCCCATGGCAACATACGTGATGTCAGCTCAGGCGAATGCTAAATCAAGTACGTCCGAACCCACACAGAAGCCTCGGTTGCATGCTGACCACTCCCAAAGGCAGAATGATACCATTCTAAGGGAGACAGGTCAGTGGGAGGCAGAGGGCGAGGACATAGATAGCGACATACATAGTTATCAGCTTGTATCCAGAGCCAATTGCATCGCCTGCCGCGGCGAAGTATCATTATACTCCCCACCCGTACCAGCGATACGAACATTCCTGGACTCAGGAGCGTCTGAGTGTCAAGTCCATGCCGCGGGCCTCCATTCCGCCGCTCGGTACTCCGAAGATCTGCTCTTTATTGTAATCTCACTCTTATTGTTCTTTCTCGCTACACATACCCTTTCGTTCTAGTCCCTCCTTATTGTCTTTTACTCTACCCTGTAGGTACTACTCGTATAGCTCCTAGTAGTTAGTCTGGCGCTCCGCACCGATGCGCCGATCCGTAGATATAAATACTGCCTGTACGCTACTGTAGTTCCTCAGTTTAATTATCAACTTAGATCTCCCTTCTCAAACTTAGCTCTTCTCTAAGTCTTCAGGCTCAACGCCTTGAAGTACGTTCCACTCGACCTTAGGACTTGAACGTTCTCTGGTCCGCTCCTCGTCATCGGCGATACCGCCGCTCCAACCTGGCTGCTACTTAGCTCCTCTCTCTCTACTCTCGATCTCCGGGGACTAACGGCGTAACGGCAATGTTGTTAATAACTTCACTACTGTCCCACTTGTCTTCCGCACTTAGACACCTTGTGGCTTTGGCACGGTTACACGGTGTACATGATCTTAACACTGAGCACTGCTGGGTGCAGCAATCAGACTTCATTGAGTACACCAAAGTAAAGGGACAAGGAGGGAGCAGCGCGATCTCCGGTGACGCTGGAAGGTTTGAGATAGCAGGAACAGGGACTGTGCAGTTCATTACGCAAGTAAGGGGAGTCGAAAGACTAGTACAACTCCAGGGCATTAAGCACACCCCATCGTTTGGGCACAACCTGATCTCGTTAACAACACTTGATGGCCGGGGGATGCGGGGCGGATGGGGACACGGTATCATGACAGTCAAGGCACCAGGCGGAGAGGTAGTCATGGAAGGATACGGACAAAACAAGATGTACGAAATCGAGATACTAGAGTCAGGAAAAACCGCTGTCAACTATTCGCGGACACGAGACAGGCCAGCCGATGATATGCTGACTCTGGGCTATGCATAAAATGCTAATGCAAGCTTTAACACTCACACCAACACCAACACAAACCATCATCAAACACTAAGTTCAAGGGGGTTTATCATTGAAAAAGCAAGATAACACTGCAACTCTACAAATATCTACATCATGTGGGTATAATGTATAGGTTGAATAGTTTTTCTTCTCGAGATTCTATCAAACTTGGGCATGCTAAATCTTTCTTTGACTTTATCTGAACTGAACAAAACCTCTGATTTGTATTATACACTACAAGTACAATCCACAGAAAGAGTGTGCACTACTCACAGCACTCTGACTGCTATTAACTCTGAAGCATAATGGTAATCTGTGACTTTGAACTTTCTTTCTTTCTGTCTTTCTTAAACTCTAACTTGTTTAAAGTGAAAGTTAACACTGTATCATCTTTGTTTAAAGTGCACTTGTCACTATAGCCAGAAGCTACTAACCAACCAACCAAATCCTCTCAGAAGTGGGGGGGGGAAGTGCTTGTTCTCATTTAGAGGCCAGCACCCTCCTTATATATCCTCAAAACAACCCTTGACAACTGATATCAATCATTGTAGCATGTGGAATTCTTGTAGCATGTGCTGATTTTGATGGAAATCATGCTGCATCTCGAAGTAGCATGTGGACCTGTTGTACCATGTGCTACCTTTGATGGAAATCATGCTGTACCTCGGAAGGCTTTCCGGATGAGGGACATATGCTAAATCAATCCTGATATTCTCGGAATTAACTCCAGAGGTCTGGAATATTATTATCTTTTAATCTAATCATTCAGCTTTATGGCAATGTCATACAAAGATGAAGCTTGGAACACTTTGATCCTGCAGATATTGTCACAGTCCAAGTCAAACACAAGTGTGGGTTTTTAGTATTAGAGCTTTATTACTTGGAAATACAACTGTATTATGCTATGAAGACCCACTTAAGTGTCATTCAGATGCAATCACTGTGTAGTTCTGTGTGTTTTCTCTGAATACAATGTACTGTCCAATCTGAGTATCACTGATAGTACTTTACAGTTGAAAATGCATAATTACTGCATTATAGACTCAAATAAAAATGGGTCATATCACCGACATCCTAACCTGGCATAGGAGACTGGGACACGTAGGGATATGCCGCATCCTACGGATGGCCAACCGCGGACTAGTGGACGGGTTAAACATAACGAGGAAGGAGGTATATGGCATGTGCAAGGACTGCCTATATGGGAAGGCCACAAAACACCCATTCGATGAGGTCTTGACACACGAATCCAAAGTACAAGAGAGAGTACATATTGATCTATTCGGCCCAGCGAGAACACCAACGAGAGGCGGGGCGATGTACCTGATGTTATGCACTGATGGGAAATCCTCATTCAGAGTGCCCCATTACTTGACCAATAAGCGAAAGGAGACAGAAGTGAAAGCGCTGCATGAATATCAGATAATGGCAGAGAAACAGACAGGGAAGATGTTGAAGATCATCCGGATTGACGGCGGCGGAGAATTGAACAACAGTTTGGTCGACGCCTATTGCACCGAGCATGGGATTATCATCGAAAAAGTACCGCATGACTCGTCAGCAGCAAATGGGGTAGCTGAACGAGTGTTCTGTACCGTAATGGAAGGGACCCGGACACTGCTGGAAGAGGCCGACCTCCCCTACTCATTCTGGGGCGAGGCGTCAACTACATTCATCTACACTAACAACTTTGTGCCATCGTCACAATCACCAAACACTGTCCCAGTGGAGGCATGGACACAAAAGCGCCACGACATATCCCACCTACGTCCGTTGGGATGCAACTGCTGGGCAACGCTACCAAGAAGGCAGACGGATGGTAAACTGGGGCGGCAAGCGGTGAAAGGGAAGCTGCTTGGGTACATGGGCAGACGAGGCTACAGAATATGGGTGCCGGAAACCAAGAAAATTGAGGAGTCGCATGATGTGACTTTTGAGGAAGGAAAAGCACACAGGACACGCACACCAAACGTGGAGGAAGAAAGCGACGGACTGGCTGAAGGACCCACTAATCAACACTTGGGTGAACCAAACAAAGACCCCACAGATCTTACCAACAAAGCCGGTGATGGGGAACGGGCATCGGGGACACACGAGCCCATTCAATTCCCTGGAATACAAACAGAAGTTAACCCAAATGCACCGGGACCTGCACCAGAGGCGACGCGCACCAGCAAAAGAGGCCATATACCCTCCCGCCGATTTATCGAGAGCGAGAAAAGGCAGCCCAAGACCGGGGAGAAGAGTGGACAACGGACATACCTCCAGGGGAACAACCCTTCGCACTGATCACCCAAACACCATATTCCTTCGCGGCGTCGACTGGTGACTTGTGGGTTCCCCAATCCTTCAAACAAGCAATGCGATGTGCCGACCTATGGAGAGAACCCATGGAGAAGGAGTACCGCACGCTAGTTGAGAAGGACTGCTGGGACCTGGTGCCACTGCCACCAGACGTGAATCTAACAGGAGGACGTTGGACGTATGCCATCAAATTTGACGCGACGGGTAACTTGCTGAAGCACAAGGCCAGATATGTGGCTCAGGGTTATACTCAGGTACAGGGCCAGGACTACAACAAAATGTATGGTGGAGTAGCACGTATGGAATCAGTCCGAATTGTACTTGCAATTATTGCAGTACTAGGACTCTCTATCTTCCAGGTGGACTTCACGGCAGCCTTCCTCAACAGCCCCATCACGCACGATGTATACCTCAAACAGCCAGACGGATTCGTGACACCAGGGAAAGAGCACCTGGTGTGCAAACTCAAGAAGTCCATATATGGAACGATGCAGGGGAGCCACAACTGGCAGGAGACCTTGGCGGCAGGGTACAACGACGATGGGTACATAGCTTCGAGGGCCGATCCGTGTATACGGTACAGGCGAGTGGGTGGCGAGTACACGATTACCAGCACATATGGAGACGACGTATGTGGAGGATCGTCCACCAGCGCCAGACGATCTAGGGCAGTGGCGGACCTGGGGAAGCGGTGGGAAGCAAACGAAGTGACAACAGAAGTACTACTTGGCATGACGATTCGACAGGACGCTATGAAACTTAGTCTAATCTGCTACACGGACTAGACGTCGTCTCGAGTGCGACGGGAGGTTAAGGGAGCGTTCGGAGGGCACTCTGAACTAGTGAAAAGGGTCGTAGGAAGCGGGCTTTCAGTCTGTCGACGCGTGTCTTTCTCTTCTTCTCAGAGGGGATGGGGAAAAATTGTCTCCTTATTTTCTCTCCTACCTACTCTCTAAGTAAGAACCGATCTCTACCCTGTGTAACGTATAAAATAAAAGGAGATAAAATCTGAAATAAATAAATGTGCCCTCAAACACTAGGCTGTATAGAGGGATCGGAAGATGAGTGCTTTATAAGGGAACGTCCGAGCGGAATCGGCAGCTGCAGGCACCGCCCTTGAGGGATTTCTGCAGGATCGAGGGTGCAACCTCCAAGTCAATCCGACGCACTGCATAGTGCGTAGGATTTTGTCGAGTTCCGGGTGCAGCAGCACATGGTGCTCGACATCCCCTCTCCACTTTAAAATGAAAATAGGGGGGGGGAGAACAACGATATAAAGAGGAGGGAAACGGATAGTCGCACGAACACCAGAACCAATCCGAGAGAAGGAAAGAACAGAAAAAGGTACAACCGTTACGCCATGAATTTGAGCCAACACGAGCAGTGGCATACACGGGAGTATCACCGATGCGTGTACGAGAGGGCGTTGGACCGGTATGAGGACCGCCCCGACGACACTAACCTGGTGTACGAACTCGTTTGGGCCTTCACCGAGGCGGAGGCGCATCCCATGCCTGAGGGGGGAATCCCTCTCGCGGCGTTCCCACTGGATTGTTACGACCTCCTCGTGGCACTCCCCGAAGGAGCACTGTCGTCGCTACCCCGTACTGCCCTAGCTATCGCGATCGGGTGGACCCGGGAGTTGTTGAAGAAACTTGCCTTGGAACGTGAGCAGTCAGTGTTAATGTTCGAGGAGGGCGATGGGGAGTCGGGGTCACGGATGGTCGTATACTTCGGTGGCAATCGGTGTGCAATGCTATCTCATGCTTCCGCGATTTCCTGACCACCGCAGCAGGTTTTTTAGTTTTGCTACTTTATTGGAGGCCCTGGGGTTCTTGTTCGAGCATTGGAGGGTAGAACCGCGCGAGGAAGAACGCGACCGAGATCATTTCGGTGTGCAAGTTCTCCGTACGAATCTGCGGTGGGAATATGAACAGGCGGGTGGTCATGAATCGGGAATCCAACGTGGGTGGGACTGGCTTGGGAACGTGTAACCATTGGTTGCGAATCTACGTACCTATGTCAAAATAAAACGGGACCGCAGATTTGGTGGGAAAGTAGGAGATATGAGTGTTTTAATATAGAATTAGAAGGAAAGACAGAAAGAGAAAATGAAAGGGAAATAGATTAATAGGTGAAGACGGAAATAGAGCCCTACTCTGGCAGTAGTGCCTCCCCATCCCCATCGTCGTTAGTGTCCGACGCTTCGAGCTCGGCTAACTCGTCGGTGGAGATGTCGAGGAAGTCCTCCAGGTTCGGTAAGGGCAGGGACGAACGTGCTAAGTAAGGGATGATACGGAAGGCGCCGACTGGTGTTCTCCATACTGTGCCATCCAATTCTGCAACGATGTAGGCACCTCCGCGGTTTCGTCGGATGACTACGAGGGGCCCCATGTATCGCATTCTGTTCTTGGCACTGAAGGTCTTCTCCACCCGGGTATTACGTGCGATTACCAAGTCCCCGAGCTTGAAGTCGTAGTTGTGGATGGTATGTAGGTGTTTTTGTTCGAATCGATGGATTCCGTCAATTCGATTTTGGTGGACGCGGGTACGCATGTCCTCCAAATCCTCCACGCGCTTTTGGAGCTCTCTTGCCCTGCGGGCCAAGAGATCTTCGGTAGAGAGGATGGAGTCGGGAGGCGGTAAAAGGTACGTGGTTTCTTCGATATCCATCGGCAGCAGGGGGTGGCAGCCATGGGACAGAAAGTAGGGGCTTGCGCCGGTCGATCGACGGGCAGTCACTCTCTCAGCCCAGTAAACGGAGTGGGTTGTCGGAGACCAGGAGTTCGCATCACCCTTTGCAGCTTTTATGAGGCTCTCGCGGACATCGTAGTGTTTTCATTCGATCACACCCGCAGCTTGTGAGTTGTAGGCGGAGATGGTGATGTGTCGGATACCGTAGCGTTTGGCCAGGATATCGAGGGCCAGCACAAAGGGGGTCCCGTTGTCGGTGACGATTACGCGCAGTGTACCCCACCGACAGAGAATCTCCTCGAATATCCAATTCGCAATGGCTTCCCCAGTTTGGCGACGGAGCTTGCGGAACTCGGGATAGGCGGAGGAGGAACAGCGGCCATGGACAATGTACTTGTAGCCACCGGACTTTGGCATCTCCATTACATCCATGTAGCATTTAGCGAAGAGGCCCATTGGTTCCGCCACTACAGGGGGGATTCGCAGCTTCTCGGTCTGTCGGAGTTGGCACAAATGGCAGGTACGAATGTACCACTTGATGTCATCGGCTTGTCGAGGCCACCAGAAATGTTCACGGACCGTAGTCGTGGTAGCCCAGTTGCCTTTGTGTCCCATGTTGTCGTGTGCCTCCTTGATAATCGCGAGTCTGCGGTGTTGAGGAATAACCAGACGGTGCGTCCCTTGTGGGTCCTTTCGCCACAGTCGTCCCATTGAGTCCACGAAAAATTGTAAACAGTATTTAATAAATTGTTGATACTGAATATCGGACAGGTCGCTGGGGCGTTCCAGGGAACGGAGGTAGTCCCGGGCTGAATCGAGTCGACTATCGATATTCACCGCACGATGAGAACGGGGAACCGATGAGTAAGGGATAGACTCTGTCTCTCCGGTTGGTGCGATAGGTTCTACTGCAAATACGGGGAGAGTCACTAGCGTGTTAAGGGTGGATGATGATAATGGGGATTTATTGATGAAATGCATGAACCCGTTCGCCTGATCAATCCAGTCTTCGAAATCATCCTCCTCCTCCGGTGCATCGTCAGGTTGAATGGTACGGCGGGATGGACCGTCTGCAGCTATCCTTTCGGACGGAACATGTACCATTGTGAATGAAAAGAGGAGTATGCCCGCGATCCAGCGATTTACGGCCGCGTTAGGTTGGATATCCGGATTATTAATCATCCCCCGTATGTACAACACATCGACTTCCACAACAAAGTGTTGTGCGCCTACTGTCCATAGTCGGGTTGCGCGGAGGGCGCGGAACAGCCCATAGAGCTCAAGTTTGGCTTGGCTATAGCGTGCCTCGCGATCGTTGAGGGTTATCGACCCAAAACGATTCACGTAACGTATTGCTGGGTCCTCTAAACTGAGTTGCATAAGGATATAGCCGATGGCGATGTTTGAAGAGTCAACGGAAAGAATGATTGGGGCGTTGTTGGAGTAATTAAGAGGACGTATAGCTGGTGACGCTGCTAGGGATTCCTTGAGGAGTTTCTGGGAGTGCGCTTCTTCCGTCCCGAATTGAAACGGTATGTCTTTGCGAGTCAGCCGCACCAAGGGTTCGGCCTTCTCTGCAAACCGGTCAATGAAGATGCGGCATACACCTACAGTTCCCAGGAAGGCGCGGACGTCCGTCAATTTGAGGAGCGGTCCCCAGTTGACGACCTTCTCCAAACGAGTCGGGTCCGGGACACGGCCTTCGTAAAAGCATCTGTGCCCTGTAATCAGGGCCTCTGCAACTGCCAGGAGAGTCTTCGGACCAGAGAAGGTGCCGCCCGCATACTCCATTCGCGTCAGTATGCGATTGAGGGTGTTGAGGTGCTCCCACAGGAAACGGCGGATGCCTTGATTTTCGGGGATGGTCTCGTACCCCCCTTGCGGAAGCTCGTAGCAGGTAGCAGGTCCACGGACGTTGACGTCGTCAACGTAAGGCAGGGTGTACTCGGGGATTTCGGGTTGGAGGACAAAAGTAATATCTCCATGGAATATTTGAAGGGAGTTCGTCCAACCCATCGGAATTGAGGTAAGACGGAGAGCACCCAGTGGCGTTTGGAAGGTGGTGTAGTCGCGCGAGGTGATGGCCAACATGCGCTCATCGTACCCTACGTACATATCTAGTGTTGCGAGGACTGCACGGCATGCGTATGCCTCTGCGAGGTTTTCAAGGATTGGTGGGATGGAGGAGTCGCGTACGGTGACCGCATTGAGTGGTTGTAGGTCATGGACGAGCCTTAGAGAACTACCGTCCTTTTTGACCACGGCGAACCAACGTGTCCGGTATGAGGAGTTGGAGGGCTCGTACACCCCCGTTCGGATTTTTTCTCGGACGATTTCCACGATGCGGTCTACCAGTCCTGGGGGAATGGGCAGCGTTGGTACGCGCCACGGTGTATGCTCAATCACAGGCATTTCCACTGGGGGAAAGTATTCGGGGTTTAACTGACCTTTTTCCTCCTCACACCATGCGAAAGCCTTTTCATGGATCATCATTAAGTGGTGAATTGCTGCCCTCTCTTGAGGCCACAGGAACTGCGGGTCGTGGACTGAATCCATGAACTCTTTGCGTTCCTGTGTATAACGGCCGGTAGGGGTGAATGGCGGTGGATTCGGGTTTAAGGTAGGAAGGTTCTCGAGGGGGTCGGATGGGAAGTGTCTGACCACTCTGAATTTTTCAGGGAGTGTTGCTGGTACTGGTTGGGTGCGTCGATTGACAGGCTTGTACCTCTTCTTAGTAGCAGCAAACGAAGGGAAGGTAGATACATTTTGATTTGGAGTATTGAAGGTACAGTTTTCGTGAGACGTACGTAAACACTGTTGAAGCAGAGTTGTACTCTTGTTCGAACAGCTGGTCGGAGAATGGGATGACTCTTCAGCTGGGATTGCGGAGCAGAGGGAGAAGGAATTGTATGTGGGCGTGTCGTAGGTAAAATATGCGTAAGCGTGGAGGAATGCTAATTTAACTTTGTCAATGGCCGGGGAATCCCCGAGGCTGGCGGAAATAAGAGGTATTGAGAAATGTCCTCGGAAATCCGACGAGTCAGCTGATGGCAACTCAGCGTTGTTCATTTCGACAATGAACGCCGCTTCGTTGTCGTCCTCCAGCTCACCAAACTCCATTCGCGAAGGGATGCTGCTGGCCAGCATGGACTTCACCTTCGCGGAGCACCGAGTTAAACTCGATACTCCCGACTATCCTCCTTTCTGAAGCGCGGCGGCTCTCGAGGAACGGTCGGGATTGTGGTGGTTTTGTAAGTATTGGGGTCAGTCAACGTTAGGTGCTGGTCACCCGATAGGAAGTTTTTATAGGAGGCTTGCATCAGAATTTCGAAGGGACGGCCTAATATGAAGTCGTACGCCGGGGAGTCCACTACTTGTACCTGCAGGAAGGCTACAACGTCGCCGAAGCGGAATGGTACGTCTTTTGCTAGTCCCAGTGACCAATCGGTATTGCCATTAGCACTCTGGAGGTTGATTCGTTTCTCAGGGTCGAACGCGAAGCCAAACGCGTTACACGCCGAGTCTGACATTACCACGATACTGCATCCTCCATCGAGGATGCAATGGGCTGGCCTACCTCCGATGGTCGCGTTAACGGCTCGAATACTGTGCGATTCTTTTGCCACGTAAAACCCGTCGCCTTCTCTCGCGTCACCAAAGTCGGTGAAGAAATTTTGTAGACTTTCTTGTGTGACTGGGACCGAGTAGATGCCGTTCGCCAGATCAATGTCGAACATCAATACGGATTTGAGTATCGCGACGTCTTCAAACAGTACTCCATCGACGCCAATCCGCCTGCTTGTAATCGAGTCCTTTACCTTCTTTCTGTATTCCGGCGCGATCGCTAGGAGGTCGTCCTGCCTTAGTGACACCATACTGGACATCCCGGTTTTTATCACTCGATCGACTGCGGCCTCGGTTTCTATAGGTGCTCGGTATCGGTAGTTTCTGGAGTCTTCTTTAGGTTGTATCCCTACCGTCCTTTCTTGTGGGGGGACTTTCTGGTAATTTTCCGATGATTGGTTTGGGTGGTTTAGTGGGGGACACCATTCTCGGAGGAATCGGTTTCGATGGTTCGGGATCTGGTTGGGTCCCAACATTAGTATCTGACGAGGGAGGTTTGCCTGGTTGAGATGTCGAGGAGTTACTCGCGTCGGTACGTCCCTTAGATCGACGAGTTTCCATTTTGAAGATCAAATCCCTCATAGCTGCCGCTTCAGTTGGGTCGCTTTCTCCCTGGAGGGTATAGGCCGCTGCGGTTGCCAGCATGGAGGGTCCTTGATAACTGTGGAGGGTGTAGGCGTTGTGCTGGCTGATATCTATTCCAGCTAGCGCAGGAGACAAGGGATTTTTGGGGGTCTGAGGGATATCGAGGATCCAAGTCTTGGCGGATGGGTTCTCTTCGAAATACCGTTCGAATCGAGTCTTCACCAATCCGCGCTTGTACTTGGTTTCGTTTGGTAGGTCTCGTCCTCCCTTCAGCTGGACAAAGCCCCGTTCGTTCCGCTCTACTCTTCCCTTAGCGACCCAATCTGCCAGATCCGGACAATCTTTCAGTATCTTGCTAGTGCACCCGTCCCAAGGACAAGTTCTATCCGTTCGTGGTTCGCGTGTCCCGGCGTCTCTGTTTTTATTTTCCTTTACGAACTGCTGCATCATTTGCGTGAGTGCTGCTACTTGCTGGGACAGGGACTCTTCGGAGTCTTTGGGTTCTGTTTTGATTACCGGTGTGTCTATGGTCGTAGGGTGGGGGATCGACGTCCGATCCCCACTACAAAAACTTCCGGAGCTAACAGGGGCCGAGGCGTCCGAGAGGAGAAAGGTAACGACTTTCCTTATCTCGTTGATCGTGTAGGCCTGACCGACCTTTTTAGTGGGATAATGGACATAGAGTCCGGTGTCTATGCGGGTCCGAATGTTTTCTGGAAAGGGACGGACGTAGTGCTGAGCTATGAGTATCTCGGAGAGGGTCCCCTGGGTTCGCAAGGCTTTAGCCACTACTGCAAACTCTCTGTGGTACTCTGCCAAGTCCTGGGTCGTGGAGATAGATTTCTTCTGGAAGGTTTCGACAACCCGTACCAACTCTTCGGTAGTGACTTCGGCTGTGCCTGTAGCGCCGGGGTAATAGTCCAATATCTCGGTCTTGAAGTCCTCCCATGTTTTCGTGTCGTCTTCGAAAGTGTCCAGCGACTGCCAGAACCTCATGGTCTTGGCGTCGAGGTATCCTAGGACCGTCCTTTTCATCCTCTCGACGTCTTCATCAATCCCTGCCGCTTTAGCCGTGCGTTCGAACTCTTCGAAGAAATTCGGCAAGAGTGCCTCATTTTTCGGGTCGAACTTTGGAGCGGAGCGCTCATCTCGTTTAGGAAGGGGGGTAGTCATCGCGGGACCTGTGGGACTAAATATTGGTAGGGAGGTACAGTGCGATAGAGGGGTCAGAGGTGAGGGTGGAGTTGGTGAGACGCTGGAGAGAGGGGTCGCTGGGTAGTTACGAAATTCGCTGGACCCGGTCTCTTCCTCTAACCTGGATAGGCGGTTGTGGGTGGCGTCGGAACCGTCTACGGGGGACAGTAGCTCTTCGAAGTCGAAGTCAATGTGTCCCTGGTGGAACTGGGCTAATAAAGCTTCGTCCTCTACCGACAGACGATTTCGTAGACCGATACAACGGCTCGTCGTGGTAGTCTATGTTCTTATTGTTCCTTTTCGGAGTTTTTCTGGTTCGAAGCGCGATCCGCAAAACGGGAAACCCCCCTCGCGGTGGGCTCCAGGTATGAAACTTAGTCTAATCTGCTACACGGACTAGACGTCGTCTCGAGTGCGACGGGAGGTTAAGGGAGCGTTCGGAGGGCACTCTGAACTAGTGAAAAGGGTCGTAGGAAGCGGGCTTTCAGTCTGTCGACGCGTGTCTTTCTCTTCTTCTCAGAGGGGATGGGGAAAAATTGTCTCCTTATTTTCTCTCCTACCTACTCTCTAAGTAAGAACCGATCTCTACCCTGTGTAACGTATAAAATAAAAGGAGATAAAATCTGAAATAAATAAATGTGCCCTCAAACACTGGGCTGTATAGAGGGATCGGAAGATGAGTGCTTTATAAGGGAACGTCCGAGCGGAATCGGCAGCTGCAGGCACCGCCCTTGAGGGATTTCTGCAGGATCGAGGGTGCAACCTCCAAGTCAATCCGACGCACTGCATAGTGCGTAGGATTTTGTCGAGTTCCGGGTGCAGCAGCACATGGTGCTCGACAACGCAAATTCCAAAGCTATAACGATCTCGCAAAGGGCCTACTTCTCGTGCATGCTCGCCCACTTCTGACTTGAAAACGTACGACGCCACAATACCCCACTCCCACCTAAGGTCAAACTACATGAATCCCCAGACCCACTACCAGACGAGGAGCTGCGGTTCATGCAAGACAAGCCATACTGCGCCGTCGTAGATTCGATAATGTGGGGACAAGTCTGCACCGACCCGACCTGGCATTTGCAGCAAGTCTGCTAGCCAGATACCAACTCCGCCCCGGAAGGGAACACTGGGAGTGTGTCGAGTGGGTTGCAGGCTATATCCTCAACACCCTGGACTACGCTATCACATACCGAGCACCACGAACACAACCACCAGCGCAGGGCACTGGCCTGAAACCATACGCATATGTAGACTCTGACCATGCCGGGTGCAGAGACACCTACCGTTCTACATCCGGCTACGTTTTCTTCATGGCAGGAGCACCAGTATCCTGGTGTTCAAAAAGACAGGCCACTGTGGCACTATCCACAACAGAGTCGGAATACATTGGCCTATCTCGTGCCACACAACAGGCGGTATGGCTATCATCATTCCTATCCGAAATAGACCTGGCGCAGGAAGGTCCCCTCAACCTACTCGGAGACAATTTCGGCTCAGTATGCCTTACTGAAAACTCCAAACGGCACGCGCTCGTGAAACACATTGAGATGCGGCACCACTATGTCCGCGAGAAAGTCGTAAGTGGCGAGGTGAGTATCCAACGGATTCGGTCAGGAGAGAATGTCGCAGATATATTCACGAAAGCCCTCAGCGGCAGCGTCCACTCCAAACTCATCTCACTGCTTGGTATGGATTGTACGGAGTAGGGGGGGTGTTGGGGATTACTCCGTACGTACAGCTTTGACCATCCCATTCCGGAAGCCATCCCATTCTGGAAACGCAGTTTCTAATACAGCTTAGGATTACTAGATACTGTACAGTTACAAGTAGATCACGCAGGAGGAGTACACGAGCTCCCTCAGTTGCTTTTACATCAACTGAGGTGAGCTCATTAGTACATCAGGATACATACACTTACTGATGCACCTATTAGCTTAATTTTACATCAACAGGTATAGAGATAATACAGTTGCTTTTACATCAACTGAGCTTAATTTTACATCAACAAATTAACCAAAATGGCCTAAGAATGACCCAAAAATCAGAGTTACACATGACAATCCTTGTCCGAAATAGCGTATTTTAGGGCACCCCACCGGACGTTGTCCTGGTGGATTTTTACAGCTGATTCCGAAAGTCTAGGACAAAATCAGCCTCCTCACATCGTTGGAGCGCTGCTTAGGCTTGTTTGTAGATATAGACAAAATAACAAAGATTAACCCAGAGATGGATGTATAGAATTGTTGTAATTACATTGTTGGAGTAAATTAGGGCTGTCTCGATGCAAGAAACTTGAAGAAAGACAGAGCTGCTTGCTCAGATTTGTATATCAAAAAGGCTAGTAATTATGCACTTAAGCTCCTCCACAAACAAAGCTGAGGAACTCCAACGATGTGAGGAGGCTGGTTTCGTCCTAGACTTTCGGAATCAGCTGTATCGAACGGAAAAAGAGTCTCAGCACTGTTCGGGTGCCAAAATGTGCCAAATCAGCAGTTGATTATTGCATGTGTACATAGGAAATTCCGAAAAGAGTCAGCAACAGAAATAATTTGATCTTTTTCTAATGTATATTGTTTACTGCTTTCGATATGTATCAAGTTCCAAGCTTCTCACTCTAAAAATTAACTGATCATTACTACAAATACAGGTTTATGTCATTACGAACATACGATACATGTTTTGGTTGCTAGAACCAGAAAGCGATGAATCCAAGTGAGTATTGTACAGACGGTGAAGATTTCTATGCGTATGCACTTCCGACATAGACAAATGCAGGGGGAAAAATGAAGTACCATCTCAATCAATTCCTTTCCCTTTTGTCAACAGCGGACTGCACTGCAGCGGAAGCCGTGCCAGCGGTAGAATCCAATCTACAGTATCCCACATGAGTACGACATACACAGATGTAGAATAATAATACTGACAATTTTGTTTCCAACGACTGCAATTTCTTTTGTTCGTCAACAGAAACTTTGTTCACGTCAATTTGGGGAGGTGAGTTGGATCGGGAGCGGCGCTCAATTCTGGATGCACATGTTCAGAATCGGGGCCAACAGAATAGCGACCAACGCCTGCTTACGATATACGGGCAGCATCCTTGATCGCGGCTTCGGTCAAAATTTGAGGGTCAATCTTAATCTCAGCCTTTCCTTCGGAATGCTTCGCGGCAGCCGCCTGTGCACTCGCTGCAATCGATCTATGAATGGAAAAGAAATTAATTGTTTCTTTCAAGACACAGAATATCACCTTACCCAGGTGGAGGTCTGTAACCAAGCGCTTTGTGCTCTTCAGACATGAGCTTCCTAGCTTCAGCTGAACACTACAGTGAATAGTGGAAATAAAACTTTAGTTGCGAAGCATACCTTCGGTAATGTTCGACAAGTCGATTCCATCAACAACAGTACTCTTCGGTATAGGATGTCCACGCTCGCTTTCAATTTTCGCGGCATCGCTGAGTGCAGCCTGCTTCAAGAGTACTGGATCAGGAGGAGATGGTCCACCTTTCGGATGTTTAGCAGCCTCCGCTTGCGCTTGAGAAGCCAAAGATCCAGGAGGGGGTCTATACCCAAGTGCCTTGTGCTCGTACGACATTATTTTTCTAGCTTCAACCTCGCCGATGGAATTGAGGTCGATAGAGCCACTAAAGCGTACGTCGAGATAAGCCAGCCCTCGGGCAATAGAAAGAGGCACAACTTACATAACAGTCGCGGCGTCGAGGACGGCAACCTCAGTCATCGTGGCTGTAGACATTATTGATGATTTCTAGGAGCAGAAAGACGAAAGAAGGTTCGGAAGAAAAGTGGTTGAAAATAAGTGGTTGGGAGGTCAAGCAAGTTGGGGCAATCTTTCCCGAGTTCGAGTATTTATGTCTTTCCGAACACGTCATGGGTGGAATCATTGGAGACGAGGGTTTGGAGACATCGAGGCTTCCCTTGGAGCTGCGGAATTGATACAGTGGAGCAAAGTGGATACCTACGGTGACTTGCGTGACATTATGTGACAGTACGCGTTCGACGCGTCTTCCCACTACATGGCCTTAAGGCTTGGGTTAGTACATACCACATAAGCTCAAAGACAATATAAAAAGTCTGTGCAATGAACTGATACATGGAGAGATGAACTAACGACGAACTACGTTTAGAATTCAGATGAAGGGCAGAAGAGAACAGCGTGATTGTAGAATTGAATCATATAATTGAGCCTTCCAATTGTGGAGAGCACCCCAATTGCCATGCAACGCGTACGCGAATCCTGATTATTGTATGATGAGGGATCGTACAGTGACGCGCAAATCAAATCCACACCCCCCGATTTGGAAATTTGGTGATGAGACTGTTTTTATGAACATTTTTGTATGCTACACGCTGTAAAGCATGTCGATTCTACTATAAATAGTTTCTTGTCGCAATATAAGCTCTTTGAACCCTCAAAATTCGATAATTCTAAGCAGCGGAACAACATATTTACGATTCTGGGCTGGTGACATAAGGCCTTCCAAATCGGGGGGTGTGGATTTGATTTGCGCGTCACTGTAAGTGTCCCAGCTTGAGCTGTGCTCTCATTGAAGCGAGTGGTGTTGCCTATTCCAGTATTTTTCCACGACTTGGGCTCTTATTGCTTTCAACTTTGTCCACTTGTGTCCAGAATCTATGTAGCGCGCTGTGAGTATGAGCATATCGATAATTTTGAAGGTGAAGAGGTTATCTCTGCAGTTATCTCGGCCGAGAGAAATTGAGCTTTTCATATTTTACCTTTGTTCTCATCCCGGGAAGTGAGATATCCTGGGACGGAGACGCTGTGGAGACGGGTGAACACTAACTGTACTTTGAATAAAATGGAAGACCAATCAGGACGCCTGGACAACGATTTCATAATCCATCAAACAAGGCCATTGGAGGGATAAGAAGATGGTTGGGCACCAAAAGGGAATTTAGCGAACACGACGATGCATATGAGCCGCAGCGCATGACCTCTGTGATTTTGATATCATTGAATAGCAACTGAGGTCAAATGAAACTCGTTACATGTACAGGATGTTGAACCTTGAAATCGATGAGTTGACACTTCAGGAAAGAGATCTGAAAGGTGGTATGCGTATCATTACTATCATGAATAGGCCTTACCATAGAAAAGGCACTACAACATCATATCACAACATCCCCATGACCTATAGCTACATCACCCCACACGGACACACAATCATGACCGAGAATGACGAACGGAGCCGAGCGAGAGTCTTAGGGCAGCCTAGGTAGTCGCTGCAGCTCCCCGCGCCTTAGTACTAGTCTTACTTACTTGCGGTTAATGAAGAGTTCAAAAAAAAAAAAAAACCATAGAAAAGGCCGCTTTATACATTGTCGAATGGAGATAATTGGTGCGCGATGTGGCAACAACTGATGCTAATATAAGAGAAATTCTGTTCGTTGTGACTGACGGCAGCTGACGGCCTCTCCAAGTTCAGAGTTTTGGGGTTGACTGGCCCATCACTAGTAACATCAGAGTCCGCATATAGCAGCTTCGCCGCACGCCGGAATTCATGCGAGTGGAGGAGGTTGATCTCCAGTGCAGTGTGGAGTGAGGCAAAGATCTTCAACATCCTGGGAAAACGCCGATCATCGAACGGTTCGCACGATTCAAAGCTGAATATTTCGAGGTTTAAGGAAAATAAAGTATTCAATCTAAGTATCTACAAGAAACGAAACCTATTGTACAATACAGTCAAGCTTGAGCTCAAATATACAGATATAAGTAAAATCATCCACATACGACTGTAGATAAAGTACGGGACAAATTTCCATGTATGTAGGCATAAGGAAGAGTACTAGCATATAAACGCATCGATAGAGTAAAGGTAACATAGCTGTATAATCATGCGCATAGTGCAAGTTCCGAGGACATTCTAGTCTCGTACGCGGACATTGACGCGTGCCAAGCGTACTGTTCCCAGCCGCAGAGCATGCATGAAATCGCTTACTTTTATTGTGCCCAAAAAGTCAAGCAGTACACGGACCCGTCAGTCCCGCAGATCTCTTGGGTCGAGCTTACTGCAATTCACGACACTGAATTAAAGCACCTCGAGGCTGACGAGAGTGTTCGTGTAGCTGGATCCGGAGTGTGCCGAGAGCGTCACCTTTCTCGACGAGGCCTTGGTCGGTTCCGGACATTGTTCAATCGCCCAATAACACCCTACTGGAACCGGCATCCCAACGAGTCCATATTTATCCAAGATCCAGGACACATTACCGAGGAGAAATATTCCACGAAAATATCGAACGGCGAGGGGTGGCCCGCATCTACGACCATTCGATCTGAATCGTCCAAACCCACGATATCGCCAGCGAGAGCTTCAACACCAGCTCCAGCGGTCCCAGACCGTTCTATTCCTCCATACACCTCATCTACATCCATGATATTCTCCAGATCGTCCATTACTTCGTCAAGAAGTTGTGGTGGGGACAATTCATCGGCAACCACTTCCATCGTTATCTCGTCCAAGTCGGACTTGCTTGGGATTGAGATGGAAATGGTGGTAAAGTTCGACGAGTGTCCCAAAGGGAGAAGTGGCTCTGGAAGCGCCTGCGTTTCGCTCTACCGGGAATAGATTCTGAGCATAATTGTGAGGAATACATGTGAAGGGACACATACCGAAAATGATTCAAGATGATTGGGAGAGAAAACGCTTGGCTGCATCAAAGATCTATCAAAGACCTGCGGACAGTGTGACGCTGCAGCTTGAAATGGACTAGCCATTCCATTCAAGGCGATTCCGGTGCTAATCATGCTGTAAAATCTCTAGAAGGTAGATGGAGGAGCGAGTGAGGAGATAGGGAGAAAAAACTTGGGTTTTAGTCTTTATCCAGAGCGGATTTATGAATATTCGGCTCTTCAGAACCAAGATAAAGAAGATGAATGCTTCCAAACCGTCTTTGTCCCGCCTTTGTTTGAAGTGAAAGGGAGTCAGGGTAGGGTAACTCCAAAAAGCTCAACATCTGCATAATGGGGTTTCCTAGAGTAAAGGAGCTTCTTCCGGCTTGAGAAAGAATATGTGTTGTTTTGAAGGTCCATCGCCAATTTACGACCATCGAACCAGACGTTGTCACATCGATGAATACTATGACTCTGGCAATGAGCTGAGCTGACTTTCCTGACAGTATGAAAACAGACGTTTCGTGTGCAACGTTCAACACTGTTGCTGGTGTTGCTAGCCTATAGTGTTATCCTAGACAGGGCAGTATGTATCGAAGCCCATAATTTGCAATTGGTGAGCGAGAAAAAGCAAGCACTCAGGCGCTTATTATCTCATCGATGCCACATTCATGTTCCAAAAACGTTCTCTAGTCATTAGACAGTGTTCAACCTTCTGATGTGGTGACCGCGAGGTGCAGAATCCAGATACAGAAATGCACGCACGTTCTCGCCTCGACCAACGAGAGTACTCTTCTGATTACCGACTCTTCGTTCCATTACCTGTAGACTTCAATACGACCACATGCATACCAAGAACGTGGTTCGTTCACCGTTTGGGCTGCCAGTCTATCTCCCATGACCAGACCAGTGCACCTCTGGCAGGCTATGTAAAGCTGTCGAATATAAACGATGCTCATTGTTCCTGTCTTTATGGGTTTCAATGAATCTCCTATCATTTGGCGCAACTCTGGTTCTCTGCGCCAGTCTAGTTCAGTCGACCAACATCGTCTTGACGAATGATGACGGGTGGGCAGTCGCAATGATACGTGCACAAAATTCCGCGCTTTTAGAAGCAGGATACGATGTATGTTTTTGTTTTCTTTTAAAACTCGGATTTGGGCTCAATGTCCTTGCGCATAGGTTATTCTCTCTGCCCCAGCAGAGAACGAATCTGGCACGGGATCGTCGACAGCTACTCCTACCAACCTGACAGAACCTTGCGAATTCGACACATGTCCAACTGGGTCTCCGGCTGAGGGGTTCAACGCTTCTGACTGTATGTGGCATGCCACTACCCCTTATAATGATCTTGTTCGTTCAACGTGACTTTTTTTCCAGCACGCCTCAACTATGTCAACTCCTTTCCGGTCGATGCAGTTCGATTCGGCATACAGACTCTTTCACCAAAGTTCTTTGGTGGTGCTCCTGATTTTGTAGTCAGCGGTCCCAATGTCGGCAGTCAGTTTGCATCTTCCCAATAGCAACAAATCTCGTTTTGATCATTTCGCACTGAATAGATAATCTTGGAACTGGAACTGTGGATATCTCTGGAACTGTGTAAGCCGTTCCTCTGTATCATACTATTTCTCCACTTATGTTCAACAAATAGCGGAGCAGCGTGCGAGGCTGCGAAAGAAGGCATTCCGTCAACGGCTTTCTCTGCCGCAGGTCTCTCTCAGGTCGCATTCACTGATTTGAGTAACGGCGACGCAGATACGCTAGCTGCACTCGTTTTCTCGCAGCTCACAGTCAAATTCGTTAATGCACTTTTAAAGAATGGTCCACCCTTCCTGCCCCCTGGCATCAGCGTTAACGTAAACTATCCTGCGTCTACCAGCTCTAGTTGCGCGTCTCCCTCAGACTTCAGCTTCATTCTCACTAGGATCGCGCCAAGTAACAGCGTGACTGATGTTGAGACCTGCGGAACGGATCACCTTCCTGGAGAAACCAATGTAGTTGCGACGAATGGATGTTTTGCCAGTGTCAGCGTTATGAATGCTACCACCAAAGCAGACGTCGATGCTACTACTCAGGCTTTCGTCCTTAATCGTTTGAGTGGTTTCCTGTCCTGCCTTCCTTGAGTTCTTGGCTTATGTCAATGTCCTCTTTTGTTCAACATCATGTATCAGTCAATAGTACTCATATGTACTGCTTTCATGCTTTCGCTGTTCAGATTCTCTCATCCATGTGTGAAGAGAAGCTCCTGAACGGTCTAGTTGAACGCCCTGGACTTCTTTTGCACCCCTGGCACATGCGTGCTACGATCGACTGACAAACATACTCCAGATATACACTATATATCGTGTCCTTGTACCCTGATCCCCAATGATGCAGCTCCCGATGCTCTTGTTTTCCACTTTGCTGGTGTTCATCCACGCCTGCCTGCTCGTTCGCGGACAAACAAAGATTTTGATTGGGAATGACGATGGCTGGGCAGTAGCTATTATCAGAGCGCAATTTAACGCTCTTGCAAATGCAGGATACGATGTGCATGCTCACTATCTTTGCTTGATTGCTTGTGAACTCACGGGCGATGGCCATGTAGGTCATCTTATCTTGCCCAGCTGTCAACCTATCTGGGACTGGATCTCTGTCTTTGCCCCCTACCATTGTATTAATCCCCTGCGAATTTGACACCTGTCCAATCCTTTCTCCCGCAGAAGGATTCAATGCATCCGATCGTAAGTTGTTTCCGCTGTAGCTACTAGTACAGGTTGACTTAACTGATGTCTCAACAGCGAGACTCAACTACGTGAATAGCTTCCCTGTGGATGCAATAAACTTCGGGATAAACACTCTGGCCCCTGAGCTACTGGGAGGTGCTCCAGACTTTGTCGTGAGTGGGCCAAATGTCGGGAGTAAGTCGTCGCTTGATATATTATTAATTCTCCGAACTAAACAAAACATTTGTTATATGTAGACAACCTCGCGGTCCTCCTCACGTCGGGAACAGTGTAAGGGTGCCATATTTTCTACTACGTCTGATACTTAATCTCAATAATTCTACAGAGGGGCAGCAAGCGCCGCAGCCAAAGCGGGAATTCCCTCAGTCGCTTTCTCCGGGTCCTCCGATTCCCTCTCTCAAGTTTCTTACACTACCCTCGATTCGGACCCAACCTCCACAAACACCAACGCATCTAACATCTACGCCACCCTCACCCTCAAATTTCTTGATGCCCTTTTGTCAGACATCATTCCTGGACCAATACTACCCCCAGGAATAAGTCTCAACGTGAACTATCCTGCGATCACCAACTGTCCCAACGAGGCAGACTATCAATTTGTATTGACACGGCTTGTTGCGGACTCCAGTGCAACTGACGTTGAAACTTGTGGTACGACGCAACTTCCAGCAGAGTCTGACGTTGTGGGACTTGAGGGGTGTTTTGCTAGCGTGAGCGTTTTCGATGCGAGTACATTGTTGGACGTGGATGCTGCGACACAGGAAGCCGTGTTGAATAGATTAAGCGTTTTCTTGAAGTGCGCACCTAGTTCATAATCTATGTATCTAGGGAAATGGCTCGGAAATGATGCATTAAGGAGGCCTTTGCAGCGGGTATTTTTAACTCGGTAGCAAGGCCAGTATACAAGTACTCAACGATAGCAGGAGAATTGTAATTGCACAGGAGGAAACATAAAGCTAAAATACCACTCGATAAGATACAACTTGAATACATTGGCTGATTATCTCCATCCTCACACCTTCATCCTCGATTCATAGTATTGCCAGCCCCTCTCGGATTTTCATCGGTAAACTTCGCCCAGTTTTCATCCTTGATCCGTTTGACTTCAGCCTTGTCCTCACCCTCAAGTGTCCCGTCCATCTCCGCATCTAGAGCTAGCTGTTCGGAAGACGTAGGTGCATTTTGGGATGCAGGGCTGGAGAGAAAGAAAGTACAAGGTCAGAAGTCATTGACAGGGAGATAGAGCACAGATCTTACCCTCCACCGGAAATGAATTTTCCTCTCTGGCGCTCAATTTCCAGATATTCATCGATGGACATTGTAGGGAGATTATGCCCCGGACCAAATACTTGCGCTTGAAAACGTGCACGATCTCCTGCTCCAGAGGGAAGTATGGTGAATGGTTTGAGAGGCTGCGTGATGTATATGACAAGTATCAGTTCCATTGGGTAGAGGTGTTTCAAACTGGACTTCAACACGTACCTTACCCGCCTCGTCAAGCAACGGTCCACCAGCACTGACCTTAGGTGTGGGAGCATCAATCTTCCACATATTCTCCTCGCTCTCCTTGTGTTTCCCTCGTCGATCGTCATCATCTTCCAGTCGCGACATTGCTGTTGATGCAGATGGAGGAGCAGTCCTTAGCAATTCCAATTCCTGATTCATATTCTGAAGCTGTGTTTGTGCTTGAGAGAAGAAAAGCCTAATGAGAAGCAGAGTCGTTTCTCGAAGTACGTCATCTGTAGATGAGGAGTCTTCCTCTTCTTCATCCATGGCGGATGGAAGGAGGGAAGAGAGTAGGTCGAAATCGGTTGCACTGTCGGAGGAGTTTGTGATAGGACGTTGATTCCTGCGTTTACGGATTGTCTCAATTCTCGTCCGTAGATCCTTTTCTGCCTGATATTGCTTGATTTTGAGTTCCCTCCGGTTGCCTGGGTTGGAAACTTTTCGGTCGTACAACGCGACTTGGTCTTCAGGGATTATTTCATAGTTATCTAAGAGCTGCAGAAAAGACTGAAGATAGTTCTGCACAGATACAAATATCAGCTCTTGTGGGGCAAATAGATCAAACTGTCACGTTCACCTTCGCCACTGTAAGTGATGCCAGCCGTTCGTCTCTTTCTACCGCCTTGACGCGATCCTGCACCTGGGCGCATACATACGGGACCAAGAGATAGACAAGATCTCTTGTAGCTATATCTTCGGAATTTTCATTTGGACTAAATAGCGAAAGACTCGCGATACGTGATTGTAATGTCCGAAGATTAGTTAGGCTAAATTGGAGAAGATCCTGAAACAAAAAATATGCATTGAACACTGTAGACATGCAATATAGCACTAAAATAATGTCTTACTTGAGTTTTCGCATCAACTGTAGGTAGATCGGAGGCCTTTGAGGCAGCAGAAAGACTCTGACCAAAGAGTGTTGGTAGCGGAAGAGTATTGGTCATTTTGATCTGGCGCTTATCTTCAGCGTTTTTCACTCGACACCATTTAAGGGTAATCGTCCTCACCATCATGCAACTTCGACATACTTTCTCTCTTTATCGTAGTAATACTGCCAAATCATTCTTCACGAGCCGTTGTATTTCCAACTCGTTGCAAATTCCACCCCAACTTCCTTCAGCAGCAGTGAAAGGAGAAACTCAAGATGTCACTGCCATTGACTCCTTGTTAAATATTGTCAGTAAGTCTTCAGACTCCCTAATTGACTCTACCCTTCCACTTAATTTACTTGATTGATCCCTACATTGATGCATACACTGTCCAGAACTCCGGGTGGACCCTCGCTTTGGATCCATCATGCCAATGCGCATTCCTTCGCTATGGGCAGAGGCCCGTCTTACGATCGCCCAAGAAGAAGAGCGAACATCTATAACAAAAAGCTCAGAAGCTACCACAAGTCCCTCTTCCGATGACTTACCTCCACGAAATATGCACGATTCTTACACGGAATTTGTTTTGCCCATTGCATCAGATCCTAATTTGTTAGAAGAGTATGTAAATGCTTCTGGGGGAATCAGAACTGGAAAGTAAGTGGGTAGCTTTTGATTCACGATTGTATGGTCTCTGTGTCTCATGAATTTTGGTATCTACAGACTCATGGAACACCTTGATTCGCTCGCAGGGTCAATATCGTATAAGCATGTACTTGGGCCAACGAAATCCGAGCTCAAAGTAGAAGAGATGGGTCTATACATTGTAACCGCTGCAGTCGAAAGGCAGGTTTACGTTTCGTTAATCTTATCCTCCGTATGCCATATCGACTTTTCAACCCCAGAATAGACATGTTACACCCATTGACTCCCAGCCACGATCTTCGCCTAAGTGGACAAGTAATCTATACTGGCCGCAGCTCAATGGAAGTAGTTGTCCGGATAGAGAGAATTGCTTCCAAGGAGATGCCAGAAAAAGACGAGACTATCCTGTTGGGTAAGTTCCTTTAGGGGATTTCTCGTATAGTAATCGTAATTGACTCTTTGATTCGCGCGTGATAGGACGATTCTCCATGGTCTGTCGAAATGCTAAAACCAATCAAGCGTATCCTGTTGGACCCCTCATCATCTCGACAGAGGAAGAGAAGACTCTTTTTTCAATTGGGCATGGTGCGTACCTTGATACACCTGCTGGTACTGAAGTTTTAAAAACCTTTTATTTTCTGTAGAATTGAAACGCAGAAGGGCCTCTCGCGCCCAGCGTTCGCTTTCTCGTGTCCCACCGTCAAGCCAAGAAGCCGCGGCATTACACGAAAACTACCTCAAATTCGGAGCAGCAATCAGCCAGCATAGTTATGGACATCAACGTAAGTCTATCATGCCTGGTCCTGAGTACTGACGCTCTTCCTCTTGTTGTAGAAACAAGCTCAGAAATCAAATCCGTTCATTCTGATTTTACTACCTTGTGCGATTCTAATGGCTCTTCTGTATTGAATGGATCGAACTACATCGCCGAACTTGTACCCATGGGCGAAACACGGATCGAAAGATGCATGCTTATGTTTCCCCAGGAGAGGAACGTCCACCAAAAGATATTTGGAGGCTATCTGATGCGTCTGGCGTATGAGGTGCGTTACTGCGTTAATCCTCTCTGTAATATTCATCCGTGCTTTCGGAGTAGCTCGGTTTCTCAAATGCGTCCATGTTCTGTCGTGGTCGCGTACGCTTCCTTGGACTCGACGAGATTTCATTTAAGCTCCCGGTGCCGATTGGGAGTATACTAAGGTTGAACAGCGTGATTCTATATGATGACTTTTTAAAGCAGAGAGAAGAGAACGGAGAGACGAATATGTATCAGTTGGTGGTAAGAACTTACTATATCTTCCTTCATACCTCACTTAACCGTGCCTAACCCGCGCAACGCCATGCAGCACGTAGGTGTCAAAGCGAATGTCGTCGATATCAAAACTGGGACGGAGAAGACGACAAATGAATTTCGGTTTACCTGGCGCGGCGAGGAGAAGTTGTTTGCAAGAGGAACGACAGAGAGTATGGAATTGCAGAAGAGTGTGAAGGTGAGGAGGGTGGTACCGAAGACATATAGGGAAGCAATGCTTTGGTTGGAAGCCAGGCGGGCTGTCACTGTTGGAGATGAGATCAGAGAATTGACGGTGAAGAGATTTGAAAATATTTAAGTAGTGCTTATTCACACTGCGGGAGACTGATATTCGAACAATTTGCTCCTCGCGATAAACAGTTTTCAAGTGTCCTCTTCAAGAAGACCAATGCTCTGTATTGCTTGATGAACAACAAGGGGGGTTCAAGGACTATGTAGCGTGTGTTCTGAAGGAAAGAAAACAATGCAAGCATACGGGTATGGCAAGAAACACCTATCAGCACATAGTAAAAGGCCCAACGGAAAATGCACAACCACAGCGCAGCGAGTATGAATACAACAAATGAATGACGAAAGTGCGGAGAAATAACGTGAACTCATGAGTATCTAAGTGATGCGGAACGACGGGTATAAAGATTAACGCTCTTCATTTAGTTCTTCTTGCTTTTTCCTGACTTAGCAGCCGTGGTCGCCGCGGCGGCGGCAGCGTCAGTAGCCGCACTCGCAGAGGCAGCAGCGGCAGTCGCAGTGGCTGCCGCAGAGGATGCAGGGGGAGTAGCAGGACCGCCAGCAGCAGTGAACTAGAACACTATGCATGAGAAAAAGTACCAACGAAACTGTGCATCGATGCTCACGTAGACACAGTCATCGAGAGATCCATGTTGGGCAATCGGTACGATGACCGGCTGGTGGTTTGAGGAGGAGTTGATCGTGCAGATACGATAGGTACCAGCAGGGACACCAGAAGTGACATCGGCAGTGACCTGACCGTTGACAGCAGCAGTATTTATACCCTAAAGAAGATTCAAGTCTGAGCGAAAGAACAAGATTGCCTGAAAATACGAACCTTGAAGAACGCAAACTTCTGCGGGTCAGAGGGAGTTGTGTCGGCAAGACCGTTTATTGCCTCAATGACCACGTGAGTGTGACCAATGATCTGACCGTTAGAATTGAGTTGTTGAGGAGCAGCGAAGTAGTTCTCGTTCGCGTTCACGAAATTTCCGGTATCCAAGTTGTTCATATTAAGCTTGATCGTAAACTCCGTGTTACCGGTCACATTTCCCATATTTGTAGGGAACTCGAATTTAGCACTCGGCATATTGCTGACGCTTGGTATGGTACCGATCGGAGCAGGGTTACATGAACCAGTGGTGATTTGTAGACCATCTGTTGAGAACTAAAGTGAGCACCAGTGTAAGCAACCTAATCGGACGAAAAACTCACTTGTTATAGGCATCCCAGTTTGAGTCAAACAGTAATTGATAAAATTGTTGTTTGACGTGAGCGAAGCAACCTGGCCAGCTTCCTGAACATCTACAGGAGAGGATTAATATTTAGAAATATTAAATTGGGCACATGCCTCTTACCTTGTCCGTTGTTTAAGAAGCCAGTTGCGATAACCCGAGGGTCAAGGGTTAACGAGGACTGAGGATCGGTACTGTCAGCTGTTGCATTAGTGGTGATATCGGTGGTAGAAAGGGAGCCAGTAGCGCCGGAAGTGGAGGCAGAACCAGTCGCATCATTATTGGTGGAAGCGGCAGAGGTAGCGGCGCTGCTCGCTGCAGAGGATGTCGAAGCAGCGGCCGACGCAGCCGACGCAGCGGAACCTGAAGAACCTGAACTAGAAGAAGAACCTGAGCTGGAACCAGACTTTGAGGACGATCCAGATCCCGATTTAGATTTCGAGCTCGAACTTGACGAACTGTCACCAGACGCTAAAGAAGAAATTAATATCGAATCGAATGATTTAGTAAAACTACACACAAGCAACAGCTACGTTGGTCGCAACTGACGAAGCAGTAACTGTAACGGTTTTTGTGGTCACAACAGCAGACGCTGAAGCCTTCAAAGATGATCCCAATCAGTAGCAGATAACGGCTAAACATGTAGGGAACACACATCACAAGTCGCATCGTTGGACCTTACAGTGGGTGCAGCGAAAGTAGATGACACTGAGATGCCGAGCAAAACAAGACACAAAGATTTGGAGAACATTTCGCCGTTGAAAGAATGTAAGGAAAGTATGAAGTGGCTGAAGAAAGAACGTTGGGCTTGAATGAACCGAAGTTAGGATACCAGTATACGAGACGACACCAGTGTCGGAAGAAAAGTCCTTGTAATGACGCGCTGGGCGACGACCTTGGAGCAAACGCAGAGCGAGAGGTGTGAAGGGGAAAGAAGAATGAAGATGTCGAACAACCTGATGGACGCTTTATAAACGAAAAGGACACTACGGCAACTATTTTGATCCGAACCAAACTCCGTCATTTTTTCTTTTTCCCATTGTTCCTGCTTTTCGTTAAAGCGTCAAATCGAAGAGAATCGAAGTGCTCCACCTTGTCTTTAGTAAAAGGACATTGCTATTGTCCTCCGCTTTTCTTTGTCTTCTCTCAAATCTTCTTCAGACTACATAGAGCCTGCTACATCTTCCAGTCGTCCACAACCAACTCCTTCCTGAGTTCCATGGTCATCTCCCGTGCCTGGTCGTTAACGGTCAATAATATATGTAGATGATCTAAAATTATTTCTTTGCTTCAGATACATCAAAACATCGCCAGCAGTGAAGCTTTTCGACTATTCTGTTCTTCAACTTTACTTCTTCAAGCCTATGTCCAGTGACCAGGAGAATATATGGATTCAAGGACCTCAGTCGGATCCCTGGCACTTGCGGGTATGTCCTGGTCATAAACCAGAATAAACCTCGCCTTACGGTTCACCTGGTTGTTGTTCCTGAATCTTTCCACATGCCTATATTCAGATTTCTGTCGGTTTCTAACTTATTGACATCCATCTTTGATCCCTGCCGACTCGTCGATAGATTGGCGTTCAGTTTGAAGATCGACCTATGAAGACTCCGCTCAAGCTTCAACAAAGAATGATTGTTCGCAAGGGAGTGCGAACCACGCTGCAAGTCTTGAGAAATGACTCTCAGACCAGGCTGGAAAGATACGTTGATGATCCTGTTACTTGAAGGTGATATCAGGCCGTCGAGGGCCCAGGAGGACAGACACATTCAAATGTTATTTATATCCTTCTTGTGAGTTGTACCGCCGGTATATCCTGCTTAGTTACTTATTTTATGTTGCCTCCGAACTTCGGAACGTAGAACCAGGGCGTCACAGGTCATACAACAATTTTTGGGTGTTGAGTACGTTGAGTTTCCGGAGAAGTGCAATTGAGAACGACAAGAAAGACAAAACAGGTCCTCTAACTTTCCTGTTTCCGTCGGTCTCCGCGACCGGCCTTTTCTGTTTCCTATAGTCTATTTTTCTCTCAACAAGTCTAACCGCCTAACTGTCCATTGGTGGCCAAGCCCTTATAATCAGGAGGACATACATAAATGATCAGTGTCAAATTTTGCGCCGCGAAACCTATCGAGGGTGTTGGGACGATTACCGGTCTACAACAGGCTAGCATTTATCATCTCTGCGTCAGTCTGAAGTTCTTGTGGGCCGGCACGCGCCGAGTAGAGGAGTAGAGTATCGCCCGTATGATAGACTACATAACAGCAAAACTATTACATTCAATCACAAGCTACCGGAAGGAATTCAAATGCTTCAAGGATGTTGCCTTCAGGGAACATCGACCATCCTTATCCTATCCTGGCATCGCCTTGATTCTGTATTGTTCCGCCATCGTTGTGTCCACGAGTTTTGCACTTGACAGTTCAATGCCTACATTATCACCGTTGTCAAACATGATCAATATCTGCCAGATGTTCGGATAACAGCCAATGAAGGACTCACACACAGTGCAAGGAGCACACAAACAGACCCAGCGAAGATGGGAATACTGAAAGTCTTATCCAAAGCATGTGTAAACACTTGCAAAACCACCTCTTTCTGATCCGTAGCTACTCCTTCAGTGGAGTGAAGAAACTGGACACCGTCCAAGTTCAAGATGTCTTCAAAGTCCACGTGCGCACCTGAGGTGTACTTTGGAATTTCTTTAAGGATGACTGTACCGAAGATGTTCTGGGCAATTGACACCGAGAGTGCGCCACCTAAACCAGTCATGAACATGATAATTGCATCTGGCACGGTTTCGAAAGTTGCGGATAAATATCAAGCCTAAGATAAGGACCACTATTACTCACTGACAGTATGTACGTCCCCAGAAGATACCGCGACCTGAGCGACTATGTAGGGTGTCTGGACGCCTGCTCCTGCTCCGGCTCCTGCCAGAATTTGATAGCTTATCCACCTTGCTGTAGAGGTATTCAACTGAAGGAAAGCAATGAAAACAGAGCCGACCTAAAGCTGAAACTCAGAGACCTGGAGCAGTAATGTCAGCAGTGAAGAATACCGTGAAAAGCATTGCGCCAATTAGTTGAACAAATGCGTAAAGCCCGATAGAGCTAATCGTGGCACCCAACACAATGGTAGACAGAGTTGCAGCAACTGAGTATGGTAGAAAGCGCAAACCAGAGCCGATTGGGGAGACTCCCTTGCAGACCTGTAGTATCGACCATTCAACAAACTCCCCCCTCACAAGATACCACTGACAAACGTTTACCTGGAAATAAAATGGAAGATAATATATGTGTCTGTTGAAGTTGTAAGAACAGCTGCAAGTTCACATGAATGGAAAAAAGCATACGTGAATCGACCGATGGTCAAAAAGAATACATACAGCGCACTGGCGCAGACTGGGCGTTTAGAGACGAGTCGAAATGGCTGGTATGATTGAGGTCGAATCATTGCCTCGCTCATACATAATATAAAACTACCCCACTTACGATGATTGCCCTTTGAGGGTGCATATATTGTGCAATACCGAACCCACAAATCAGTACTGCAGCGGATATGACAAGGCATATTATCATGGGGCTATTCCAACTGTAGCTTGTGCCACCCCAGTGTAATGCTAGAAGCATACAGATCACACTTGCAACTAGTAATGTTGATCCTAGTATATCCATCCGACAGATCTTTTCATGAATAGTGAGTGTCTCCGATAGTTTCTGTCGATTTCCACCATGATCTCTGTAACAAAAGAGGACAACCAACACGATCACGAAACCGAACGGTGCGTTTATCTGCGGAAGAACTTTCTTTAAGCAAAGCCTGACAATGTCATCTGAAATCATAACCACCCAGAAGCACCATCGCCAAGACAAGACGTTCGTGAAAAGGCCGCCTATGGTATTACCATGTATGAGTTTCCGAGCCATGTTGTTAACAGCTCTAGCACAACGACGTACCTAAAAGCGGTCCAACCATATTTGCCATCCCGAACATACTTTGCAAAAATGAAATATACCTCGGGCGTCGGTCTCTTGAAAATAGGTTTGTGACGATGGCCATTCCTCCTGCAAAGATAGCCGCTGCGCCTACTCCGGCAATAGCTCTACCAATAATTAGAACTGAGGAGCGGGATGCAGAAGCTCCGATAATGGAGCCGACTATAACAAACCAAAATGATCTTGCTTTTCTGAGACTACTGATGGTATATGCCTCTCACCTTCAAATATGACTCTACAGAAGACGAGAATTAGACCAGGAAGACAGGGGAAGATGACAACGAATCACATAGCTGAGATGTAAACATATTTCGCGTTGACTAGAGATTCAATTAAGGTAAATAATATCGACGGAATAGTGGTACCTACACATGCTGTAGATGCTTCCCAGAATTGGTTGTAACGGTGTCATGGCAAGCACTAACACAAGGATCTGAATCACCCGAGTATGTGATCATACGGTGATGAATGCATACTGTAGATGCTACCATACCAGCCTACGTCTGTGGAAATCTTCAACGGCCACTCAATCAGGTACGTCTCAGGCTCCGAACAGACTCACCACCAATGGAATGAAATTCAGAAGTGATAGTCGGAATTGCCGTCGCTGGACAGTATTTTCTCAGGAGCTAAGCAGCGACCAGGAAGAATTGTGCCAACCGACGATCGTATTATCGAGTGCTGCCTGGCCGAAGGTTAGTGTATACAGAATGAATACATACTCAGCAATGAGGATGCACGCACTATGAAGGTAGCCACATTCAGGGATATTACGAGGATAATCAGGGTCCACCGCTGAGGAGCGCGATTGTCCTCAATTCTGGTTTTGTCAGTAGCAATATCTTCGTTTTCTACTTGAGGATTCGGAGTTGAGTGGGGCATTCTCGAAAAGAGAGAAAATGGGAGATGATAATAATCATGCACCATCTTCAATTAGAATAAAAAGGGCGAGTACAGGAAAAGTCACGACACTCTAAATCTCTAAACGGAAGAAGAAGTGTCATCCGGGCGTGACTTCACCGTCTATACTCAGAGAGAAGTAAGGCAGGGAGAAGCGGAAATGAAATTTCATACACAGGTAGTATCGTTAATTGATACTTCCTCACGATATCCGATTCGTCGGAATCCGCCACAGACACGATACTAATAATCAATATGTGAAACTATGTAGGAATTACTAGTAGAATCAAGGGAGCGGAAGCACCAACCTGCTACATCTAGTGGCAAGGAACCCTTCGTCCATAATTCGGACTCCGAGCTTCTGGAGAATAGGTCTTCTCTACCGATTCTGAAGGGCCGAGCGCCGCCCCCATTCCCAGACTGAACGCCTTTTAACGGACTGGTGAAGTTGAGGGCATCGGCGACCATGATGCAGCTACCGACAGCCCCGTCGCGAGGAAGGCGTTATAGGCTCGTGTAAACAGTTTGGTTTCTTGCCTTAGTTTCGACTCTTTCGCATTGCCAGTCCTAACTGTCGGAGGGTCACGGCTCTGTCAGTGTAGTTAAGATTGAAGACAGAGAACTCGTGAACGGTCAGGTCATAAAGGAATCGAGTGCATACGAGAACACCGCGGGGGGCAGCACCGAAAAAGGTTATTTGTTGGAATCCGATCTCCGACAGTCTCTGACCATGAATTTGAAGAGCCCAATGTGAAAGATGTGGATCAACCGCTCTTGCAGGTTGCATGTATGTACTGTCAACAGATTTGCAAGCTTGAGCACGGAAATAGGATTTCAAGACACGGGTGTAACAGTACTATATCGAGTTGCGGCACATTTTCCATCGAACGACCATATTTTGTGGTTGGACACACCCTTACGAGTCCGAAATTAATGAAATGTACTATGTAGATTCGTCTTTATAGTCACTTTGAACGTGACTGAGTTGATCGATGATCGATGATGCATTGATGTAATTTTTCCCATGTGACTATTTAGTAACTTACCTGCAGTGCCAAGTTCAAACTATCTGTACATGTTTTTGAGTTTTGTCGCTGGTGCTGTTTGTATCTCAGGCTGCACCTCTGAGCAATGAGTGCCCTATGATTCAAAGGGTTTTATCAAATTTGAGATTTTTTTTTTTTTACTGACCTACAAATTCAAGGCCTCACTTAAATAGCATACGTGTAAGAGCGTGTAAGTGAGGCCTTGAAGCTTGAGGCCTTGAGGACTCGTATATACAGTATGTACATGCCACGCGTAGAGTGCGAAGACCCACTTTCGGACATGAAGTGAGTATTATTCATGCGTTTCTTCAAAACGATCCTTAAAAACGATCCTTACACAGGTTGAATAAAAATGAAGCCCTGAAAGCGGCGGCGTACAAGCACGAAATCTTCATCGCGAAGCTCAGCAAATAAAATTCAAATAGCAGCAAACCCCATTCTTTTGTTTCCCACATCCCAGACACTATAGTAGTGCTTAAGCAAACTGCCCCCTACGAGCTCTAGTCCATCGAATGCATTGATAAGAGTCTGGCACAAGGATGCGTTACTAGCAAAGGGTCCAACACTGAGCTCGCTACTGGGAATGGTTAGGTTGAACGGTGTGCCCTGTTGACTGGTAAAGGTGATGTCGATGTCGGCTGAAAGCGTTGGAATGAGGTCGCAAGCAATGCCGTAAGTTCCCGGTTCCGCCGGGTTGGGCTGAATATCGGGAGAGATGAGAGCATACATCGCCTGAATAAGAGGACAAGCATATGAATGTGAGTTGGACCTGAAAACGTAGCAAGTACCTCCGCGGTATCAGTATCAAAAAGGACGTTGCTCGTTCCACTATCGAAAATAATTGTGCGCTGGGTATTCAGGAGAGATGTAGTCTTTCCATTCACAGAGACACCGGGTGAGCGGAGCTCCCATGCAGCTCCAGACCCAGCCTGAGATGCAAATGTGAGATTGCCTGTGGATACATCTTATTCGAGATGATCCAAGTACAAAGATGACAAAGACATTACCACTGAATTTTGTCTCGTCGATACCTCCGATAGTAAGCTCCGCATTACCGACAGATAACGGTGTAAGAAACATGCCAAATAAGGCTAGAGAGGTCCCCTAAATTTCAGGCGGCGTCTGTGAAAATAAGGAAGGATAGCCTACAGGGAAGTCCTCTGGCGATTAACGCGGCGAAAAATCCTTGTGCTGTTGCGCCCATTCCTGTCCATCATAGAATACGTTACATTGGCCTGGATGTCGTATATAAGAAGCTAAATACCTTGGATTCCACTAAAAGGATCTATATCAAAAGTGGGGGTTTGCTCCGTGATCAAGAAGAGCGACACGTTGGGCGACGACAGACCGCCAACTGACACAGTGTCAGTCGCGCTACGCAAATGGAGTTGAGTGTTATCGCCAATAACAGGATCTACGCCGACTCCAGTCGCAAAAGTGATAGTGCTAGTACGACCGCCATCAACAAAGGTTGAGCTCGCAGATGGGTCGAATTGAATCTGGGAAGTACATGTGGAGCAGAGGGTACCTTATTGGGGGGAGATAGTGGGTTTATAAATAAAAAACAGCATGAAGGAAACGCACTCGCGAATTCCAAAGTAGAGCTTCCTGTATCGAATACGACCTTCAGAAAGCCAAGAAATGAGATAAGAAATCCATAGATTGAACGAAGGTGCGAACTGTGACATCCTGTGGCGGAGTCCCGACTAGAAGAACCATTGATATCCACACTGAGTACTAAACTCGAGATAGTTGACTACGAAGGACGGCACCAACCGGTGATGTTACCGAACCACCTGTAAATTGTGAATATGAGCCCTACACACCGAGCAAGAAGGGATATGTAACTACTACTGACTGTAGGTCTGTACCCTTGAAAAAATCAACCAGCGGAATGTTCGATGGTGATAGAGCTCTTCGTTTCAGCGACTTCCCGGGAGGAGCCACTCGAGAGGAGAGTGTAATCTTTTGAGGGGATAGACTCTCCGCGATAGCAGACAGCAAGAATGTCAGGAGGATACAAAGAGCTCGAAGCATGATATGCTCTAGTACGGAGGAATCGTGTTGGGAGCATCCTACTTATAATCCTGAGTCGGTGTAAATGCGGTTCCATGAGAACGAGAATACAGAAACACGTATTCCATCATTTGGTGGCTTCTGCGAGCATACGCTACATCCAGCTAAAGAAAGAGGTTCCCCGGGGTAGAGATTGAAGACGCTAAAACTTCGGTGATCGGTGATTGCGGTATATCATGTGACTTGAAGTCAATCTTACATGGTGAGTAGTTGACGGTCTTCTTCATCTCTCAGCCTTACCATGTCCAACCCACCAAGCCGTCGCGCGATCCTAAGTCTATACCACTCCACGCTACGTACCTCTAAATCCTTCAGCTCATATAATTTCCGAAACTACTTCATTCGCCGCACAAAGGACACTTTCCGAACTATCCAAGTCTGCTCCTCTCCATCTGCTTTCCGTCTCAATGTTTTTTGAACCTTTTCATATCTTACAGTCGGAATCGGACCCTGCAAGGATACAAAGCCAGTACTCCGAAGCCGTACGGGAACTTGCTGTCCTTCGGCGAAGCGCAATCGTTAACCAGCTATATGGAGGATGGAGATTAGCAGTGGAAGATCAGAAGCCTTCGATGGCCAGAGCTGACAGTTGAACTTGTGGAAGCCGATGTAAGCATACGACAGTCTGTAACTGCTCCAATTAGAAGCGCTGATTCATCCCTTAGAAGCTATTGCCTGCTGATAATTTGTTGTCTTGTACTGGTGTATCAAGTATTTTATGCTCCTCCTATTCGTCGAGAGATCAACCTATGCCCCATATTCATTTTGCTTGTGATCTGACTGTCCCGAAAACAACAACTCCAAGAGTAGCAAAGCTGAACGTGTTCGGGCGTTTGATTATGCTTCCAATCACAAGCTACATATGCCCCTTTGATATATGAAGCGCATGTTTGCTTATCAGGTCATATCCCTCCCCTTCTCCCATCGCTTTTTTTCGGCACATAGTAAATCCCTTCGCTGGGCTGCGCAATGAATGTGTCCAGTGACGCACAGGATGACTGTAGGTCATGCGAGCTCCAGATCCTCACTCCTCGAAATTTCGACGGAAGATTGTATGATTTACTCTCAATCCTCTCGCTATTGCGCTTGGTAAATCTCTACTGTACCAGGCTAGACGGGGCGAAGGACGGCGGTCGACTGCAATTGACAAGGGATAGTTGAGGGATTCCTCAGTGGGCCAAACGTCCGCAGTTGCAGACGCGCTGCAACACCTGAAGGTATGATGCATAAGATTGGCTGCATGTTGCTGTATTTTGGAAGTTCGCACAAATGTAGTAGACTGGGGCATGTATGGTCAGGAATGATTTGAAAGAGCTGGCGATCATCGTTTGTTTGAAGAATGCAAAGAGGGTGCAACGATCTGGGAACGATTCTGGACCGTGAACGTGTATTTAATTTGCCGGCGGCAATTTCGGTAGCTTCCTTCATAACAACTTTCGCCAATTCAGTTATACTGCGCCTCGATGAGCATTAAAGCTCCAAGAAAGGGTGAAAATTACGAGCTCAGCGTCGATCTCAACAGTGAATACCGCGAAAAGCGCAAAGATGCTATCAAGCGAGTCATAGCTTCTATGACCGTTGGTAAAGGCAAGTCCTCCAGTATCGCCTGAAATGACCTTTTCTTCAATCTTCGTAGATGTCAGCGGTCTTTTCCCGGATGTTCTCAAGAACATGCAAACAGACGATCTGGAACAGAAGAAACTTGTATACCTCTACCTAATGAACTATGCCAAAACCCAGCCTGAACTGGTCATCCTTGCCGTCAACACCTTTGTGAAAGACAGCGACGATCCTAACCCTCTCGTTAGAGCGCTGGCAATACGGACTATGGGCGTACTACGAGCAGAGAAGATAATCGATTATCTTTGTGACCCGCTTCAGAAATGTCTTAGAGACGAGAACCCATATGTACGGAAGACTGCAGCCCTTTGCGTGGCAAAACTATACGATTTGAAGCCGGAGTTGGTCATCGACAACGGATTCCTGGAGCAGTTACATGAGATGATTGCAGATAGTAACCCAATGGCGCGTCTTTCAACTCCTTCATGACTAGATTACTCCCAGACTAACTTGGTCATCAGGTAGTAGCCAACACTGTAGCTGCCTTAACGGATATACATATTGCAGCGAGTTCCCAGCCATCTATATCCCCTAACGATCCCGCTTTATTCCCTATATCCTCCTCTATCCTCACGAAACTTTTAATCGCGCTAAACGAATGCTCAGAGTGGGGTCGGGTTGCTATCTTGAACGCGTTGGCTCGATATGTTGCCAAGGACGACAAGGAAAGCGAACATATTTGTGAGCGTGTGGTTCCTCAATTCCAGCATGTGAACGGTAGCGTTGTGCTGGCTGCTGTAAAGGTCAGTGTATCTTTCCAATCTTCTCGGGACTTTCTCTTTTGACTATTTTGATTAGGTTATCATGATCCATATGCGGGGCGTCCGGAGAGAAGACCTCATCAAACAGCTTGTGCGCAAGATGGCCCCGCCATTGGTCACGCTCCTTTCCTCGCCTCCCGAAGTCCAATGGGTAGCATTGCGCAACATCAACCTACTACTTCAGAAGCGACCTGACATTCTATCGAACGAAATGCGTGTCTTCTTCTGCAAATATAACGATCCACTATATGTCAAAGTTGAGAAACTAGATATCATGGTGAGACTAGCTGGAGAAAACAATGTCGATGCACTGTTGAGTGAGCTAAAGGAGTGAGTCGTTGGCGTTTAGATAATGATCTACAACTTAATGTCTTTCTTTCTTCTTTGTTGCAGGTATGCATCCGAAGTTGACGTGGATTTCGTTCGGAAGAGCATCAAAGCCATCGGCCAGACTGCTATCAAAATCGATGCCGCCGCCGAACGATGTGTACATGTCCTTCTAGATCTTATAGACACTCGAGTTAGTTATGTTGTTCAAGAGGCCGTTGTCGTGATGAAAGTTAGTTTCGTCTTATTGAGCGTTCATGAATCACGACTTATTTATATCGCCTGCAGGATATTTTCCGAAAATACCCCTCAACGTATGAGGGTATCATACCCACTCTTTGTGCGAATCTTGACGAACTGGATGAGCCAGAGGCCAAGGCTTCCCTCATTTGGATCATTGGCGAATACGCCAATAAAATTGATAATGCAGACGAGCTTTTGGGTATCTTTGTTGATACCTTCACGGAAGAGTCTTACCCTGTATGTTCACCTCACACCTCGAACTTCAATTACAAGAAGCATGTGCTAATCCTTTGATAGGTCCAATTGCAAACACTTACTGCCGTGGTGAAGCTCTTCTTGAAGAAGCCGGATTCGTCTCAGGGGATCGTCCAACGAATCTTAAATACGGCTACCAAGGACTGTGACTCACCCGATGTTCGTGACCGAGCGTACATTTATTGGCGTCTGTTATCAACAGACCCTGGAGCTGCCAAGGTACTTGATTCTATCCTTCCTCTTGGTCCCCTATCGTACCGGTGTCGCTGTATCCTCGCTGTATTATTTCTGTGAAACGATACAATCGTCATTATTTCTCTGACTTGTGTTATTCCATAGGCCGTGGTGTTGGCACAAAGACCGCCTATTTCTATCCCCAGAACAACAGTAGCGCCGGCATTATTGGAGGAACTCCTCGGGGAGGTATCGAGTCTTGCTAGTGTCTATCACAAACCAGAGGAGACATTCGTTGGTAAAGGCAGGGTGGGAGCAGAATCATTACAACGTAAAACCGAGTAAGTCGTGGTCTAGCAATCTGTCAAATTTGTCTGTTCTGACATATATCTTATGTACCACAGTGCTCCAGACGATCGGTTCTCCACACAAAAAGCTCTACAAACAGTTGCTGCCGGACAGCAAGCTGAGAATCTGCTGTATGTTTCTCGCAACATATTCTGCTATTCCTTGTCACTCAATTGGCATTCATATTTAGTGACTTTGACGATGCACCTGCCGTGGAAGGTCGACCATCTGGTCTCGCCGCAACCGAAGTACTTTCACATACACCGGCAGCTGCAAACCTCCTTGCAGGAACCTCAAGCAATCCACTGGACGATCTCGTGTCGATTTTTGGTGCTCCTGCTACTCCTGCACCTCCTTCTGCCAATTCACATGATATCTTCGGTGGCTTGGGCGTGAATTCAGCTTTCTCTTCAGGTGGTACAGGTTCGCTCGGATCTCCGGCTGTACAATCTCCCTCTGTTGCGGTTCCGCCACTTCAAAAGAATCAGCAGCCTGAGGATGATCTGTTGGGATTGTTTTAGCAGGTAGATATCTCTCCGTAGCCGGTACAGACCGAGGATGTTTTTTTGTGTATCATTTGCGTAGTGCACGTTCTTTTTTTAACAACCACTCGAGTGAGAAAACGGTAAGAATATCCTGATTTCATCGATAGATTGAGTTGCGTTTAGGTTCAGACTGGCTTTTTGGAGACTATTATCCGTTCTCCAGTAGTCAGATGATGTGAAGTTCTAGCCAGAAAGCGACTGTAAAGAACAAGAAGCTTACAAGAAGCGCAGTAACATATATTCATGTGTGCTCCTCACTCTGACGACCACCTATTCAGTATGATCACTGTTTCCACATGGTACACAACGTTGAACAATCTCAGTGGTAAGTTACCACTTATAACCTGCCTCAAATCTGCCTCCAACCTGCCTCTGCCGCCTCTGCCACGCTTCTACCGAACTCCTAAAATATTCTGAAACTATTTTCTTTGCATCCGCGACAGAAGCATCAGGTACGGATACAGTGTTGCACCAAGTATAACTTGGGACACGAGGTTGGTCGCGCGCGCACCCCCATCTATAGATGCATTCCTCTTGTCTCTCGTTCCTACTTCTATTTGTTGGGCCTGTAGCTTCGCAACAGATATGGGATATTGTGAGTATAGTTGTGTACTTCCATTGCTAACATATCGCCTTATAATCTTTCGATACAGTGGCAAACTACATGGGATCGCTCAGGTCTCTTCACCTCCTTGGCCCCTTCAACGCCTATCAACTTCGTCTCGCCCGGTGCAATAGGAAGTGCTGATATAGTTGTAGACGATTCGTCGGTTTTCCAAACAGTGTACGGATTTGGCGGTTCTCTCAGTGATTATTTTGTTCACCTCCCTCTAATTCAAAAATCACACTAACTCCGACTTGAAGCTGATTCTGCAGCTGAGCTTTTGAACAATTTGAAGGTACGCCTTAAATGAACGTCTCTTCTCGAAGGAAATCATTGATAAGAAGGACGTAGACCACAAACTCGAATAACTATTGGGCGTTGTTGGACTACTTGTTTTCACCAACCGATGGTGAGAATTGGTTCATTCCTTGTCTTCGCAATCCACCATATTGACCAGACATTTATCGCATAGGCGCGAATGCAGCAGGCCTCAATTATATCCGAGTACCTCTTGGCGCTTCGGATTTTTCTGCAAGCGGTAAACACTGTGACCCTGTGCGTGTCGTAGATACTGATTCCCATGCACAATCCAGTCTATAACTACGACGAGACAAGCGGCGACACATCTTTTAATAACTTTAATATTAATGCCGCTCCGTCATATGTCTTCTCCGTTCTTCAGGATATTAAATCTGTCAACAGTTGTGGGTACAATCCTCTCTCGATACCACCCAATTCTGAACTTTCTCCCAGATCTCAAAATTCATGTGCTTCCGTGGTCTCCCGTAAGATTTTTGTCTTTCGAAGCCACGTTGGTCCTCACTCTTGTAAAGCCCGGGTGGATGAAGACTTCTGGGTCCATGGATGGCGGGTCGTTATCGTCCAACGAAGTCACCTTCTGTCGGTAAACTTGTTTATTTTTCGTCTCATGGAAATTAATCGACTTGTTGCAGACGCCACATACCTCTTCAAATCCCTACAGGGCTTTCAGAGTAAGGGATTAACGCCTTACGCTATCTCCATACAGAACGAGCCGCAGAACAGCGATACCACCTATCCCTCATGTACAATGTCTGTTGCTGTTGAAGCACAGATCGGCATGGCTCTCAGGAGTATGATGAACAATAACGGTTTCGGCGCTGTAAAGATCATCGGTATTCAAACCTCATCCCTTTGTTTATTCAATTACTGACCCTGCCAAACTCCCGTACAGGATTTGACCACAACTGGTCTGGTGTCTCCACCTATGCAATACCGCTGTTGCAAGCTGCCCCAAATTCATTCGCTGGTGTAGCATTTCATTGTTACGAGGTGAGTAATGAGATAAATTTCTGCACAGATGTATGATTGTCCTCCAGGGCACAGTGAGCGAGCAAGCAGCTTTCCAGACTGCGTTCCCAAACAAAGAAGTTCGTCCATCTTTCTGATAACCTTCAGCCAATATGATCTCACTCGATGTCAAGATTTACTTCACAGGTCAGCATATACGAAGATCTTAAATTTGTTATACCAGCTCTAACGAGCCTGTTCAAGAGTGTACGGGCTCACTTGGAAGTGACTGGTGGAGCGATATCAAGGTAATTCTTTCGCTATACAGCAGTAAGAATTTCACTAACTAACAAGACATCATATAGTGGTACATGGACAATATGTGCGTTGTCTTCCTATTCCTGTGACACGTATGTCGTAATCTTGGGGATCGCTTTTCAGCTTCATTGGTGAGAATATTTCAGAGTGACTGTTCCTATAACTTGACCAATATTTCTGGGAAGGTGCCCTGTCGTATGGTGCATCCACTGGGCTCATGTGGAACCTCGCGCTTGATGGAAACGGGAATCCTTTTCTTCCTGGCTCAGATAGTTGTGGGGGTGGCTGTCGCGGAATTGTCCAGATTAACAGCGACGGAACATACAGCGTTAATCAAGAATGTAAGTCATATTCAGTATTCCGATGGTGGGCGGTTCCCAATGACTTCATAATGCAGTTTATTCCATGGCCCAGGCTTCAAAAGCCATTATTCCGAAAGATGTAGGGGGTCCTTTTGGTCAACGGATTGGAGTCACTATCGGCGGGGAACTGAGCTGGGCATTGATTGTTGGTGCATATGTCACTGGTCGAGTGAACCCAACCGATTGGTTGAGATATTCCATCGTAGTGCTCAACTGTAAGTCAACTTCGTTTTTGTGTCCATATTCTCGTTTCACTGGCATCCACTACAGGGGACGACACCAATAATGGATCCTGGGATCCCGTGGCAGTACCAACAACTATTGAATTCCGAGGAATGCAGGTGCATCTGATATCTTCCGTCTAACTCGAACAGTGTTGATTTTCCCCCAGGCATCGTATACTTTTCCCGTAGGAGTGACAACGTTATGGTGGTTCGGTATGTCCATTGCTCTTGAATGCTAGAAGGATGTTGATAAAATCTTGTCCATGGTTTAGCCCCAGAAACTTCGCTCAATAGCACGAACGCGGAATCCTATGCATTGTATTCAGAAACAGACGGCAAACAGCAACCTCTCCATTTCTTCCAGTGAACATGACAATTTCTGCAAGTGGTCATCATTGTATGCTGAGCCTTGATCTGATCCAATTGCGGTTTACTTCTGAACAGATACACTTCGGGCGTCTTAAGCGGTTCGGGGAAGATGCATGATTGATACGACCTTAATGAATTTGTATTATCTACTCATAGTTTTGTAAACACACACGATTATTAGGCTCGTACTATGGTACCTTTACTTCTACGCAAGGATTTGTTAACACCTACGATGATGTCAAACATCTCTTGCCTTGATTCCCAAACGGGGAGAAGCACAGAGAAAATTCCACTCAGAAGAACCCAGATACTGCCAAACAATTTAGAGATCAAGCTTGCAAACTCGAGGATATTCGTACGCACATACTAACCGAAACCCAGAAGGTATAGAAAGGTTTGCTGTATACATAATGGGAGAAAAACATTGGCAAGGGAACTGCATAGTAATATCAATTTGACAATTTATGTCAAACCAATAGGTCGAGACGTCAATGCTACTCACCTGCTATAGTGACGATGAGTGTCAAGGCCAATGAATACCATGCAGCTCGCTTAAAGCCCTCTTTGAGGACAAAAACATCCACCACGTTCCCATCCACCAAAACTATGACTTCGCGATTGACAACATCAATAGCATTAACTTCACCGTGACCCTCTTCTGTTTTCTCGTCATCTGAGCTACTTGTGTCCGTGCCATCCAGATTAACAATTGCTCTAGTCCCTTTGAAATCATAATTTGCAGGTTCTGTGTATATACCTGGCTGTCAAGTAGATTTTTGAGTGAGATAGTGGCAAGAACGAACTGCAGAGCGACAGTCCAACTGTGATTATTCCAGAAAACAGCAATCCGGTCAGTCCGCTACATACAGCAGAATATGGGTTTGCAAGATTGGTGATATTGATACTACCTGTCAAACTTGGTGAATCCACATATGAATTCGAGAGCGTGGACAGGTAGCCAACCAAGAATCTTCCAACACCCGATCATCCATGCTGCCATTCCGAGTATAGCCCCTAGTATAGGACCCAAAATTACAGCAGGCTTCGTCAGTTTGCTCCATGACACCGTCAGCGCAACAGGAATGACTGCAGGGCTGAGCACAACTCCTCTGTTCATGTGTGTGAGACGGTGGTAGAAGCGGGTTACTAGCCCTTTGAATGTAAACATACTGGACGTAAAATAGCTGTGAAATGATGATGAGAGAACTTTAAGTAAGAGAACTAGGACCCAGCCTCAGAAAGAGATCGTACCCAGCCTAGGTCCACTCCTACTTTGTTGAGCTAGATGAACGGAAGAATACAATTCGTGTCTTCAAGACATAATCATTTAACTTGAAGATAGCGTACAATTACGGCCCATGCACCCATCCAGACTGCCCAAAAGCAGATGAAATAATGGGATACTTTGACAATCTCAGGTCCTTTTGCGTTTGGCCGGAAATATGTTCGGTATATGCTGTAAAAATGTATCGTTTGCGATTGAATCAATCTGCTATACCGGTCCATAAAAACTTACTCATAAGAGCTATCTGTATCAGCATCCGAAATGGAGTCAATACGAAGGAGAACTCACAAGAGACTAGAAACTCCAATCAGTTCCGCACTCGCAGCTGAAGTGACTGCCATAAATACGACCAACAGCACGGCTACGGCTCCGCCCTTCCCCATAAGAACTGCGGCAGCAGCAGGAGCTGCGAGTCCTGCACTTGTCTGAGAAGCAGATAGCGGGCTGGGGTACGTAGGGAATTTTGGCTTCGCAAACCTCAGCTCAACATTCACTCTGTGAACAGACAGTGGCGCACGTTATTGATGAGCCCCCGAGCAGCGAGACCTAATTCATGCTTTCTAAATCACCATATACACAAGTCCATGAAGAGACTGAGCAGAACCTAGACAGGAAGCGAATGCGAATGGCACAGCAAACCAAGATAAGCCCCCTAACATCTGACATTGAAAGAGGTAAATTAATTGAAACCTTGTGAAATATTTCACGCACGTATGCTTTTGTAGTCGAAGTAGGGTGGCTCGCGATTGACTTGATTAATAAATTGAGTTCAAACGCAGAATTAATAGAGTGAATCATTCACGCGTTGCCAATAGCCTGTAGTTTCGAATATCAGTTCGAAATGGATTCAAATCTGTTTACAACATCAGGTACCTTGATCGCAGAATATTCCTGCAAAGCCACTGAGGATAGTTGCAGCTCCAAATACAAGTCCTTGATTGCTCTTCATTGTCAAGTAGCTTCCATTCTGATTACCCTCTACAGGAGTAGTGACCGCTGCAGCTTGAAGGAGATCATATAAGCCTGAGACCCCTTCAGTCTCTTGTGAGGTGCCACTGAACGGTTCTCCGAGTTCTTGGGGGATAATTGCTATACGAATATAGTGCACTTACTAGGTTTTGAAAACAAACTAGAGCTGAGCGTTAGCTATCGAATCCAATCTTTACGAAATGAAAACAAACCTACAATATATATAATTACGAATAAGATCACTGTGTGGCTCCAGTCGCATATGAATGTCGCTCGCAACCCTCTATTAGTAGGATGTCAACGATTAGTCGTGGTACGACTCGGAGGACAGCGTGTTTTGAATCACTAACCCCACAAGGACATAGACAGCGATGCCGATCGGAAGTAACATACACGCAGCATCTGAAAACGGTTTACTACAAGTATACCAATGGTGAAAGGATTCTACCGGTATTCATTCCCGTCAACGCAGTGACTGTAGCCGATCCGCCCACTAATGTGAAGGCGAAGATTGAGAGGAGATTTCATAAGTTATTATGGTATATAATACTCACGTAGCAAGGACCCGCATACGACAAGATTGCATAGAAATCCGTAGAATGTGAACAAGAGATGGGGTCCAGTCCCGAATCGCACTTGGACAATCTGAAGATAGAAGGTGTGAGAAGCCTTGGATTATCACTCAAGAAAGATATGGCCGACTTCAAGGAAAGTGTGCGCGCCATTTGCGTTCATTTTGACTTTTGCGGCGACCATCCCAAAAATAGCTAATTGGATGGTCCCGCCAACACCATACCACCTGAAAATAGTATAACGAAATGAAGTGCAGGGAGAAGAAAGAAAGAGAGGCTGACGTCATACCAAGGTCCACTGATACCAAAAGTGTACGCGGCCGTGCTCGATTGCAAAAGCGTCGCACTCCATGTCCAGGCGCTTACACTGTAGCAATCTCGTGAAGGGATAAGAATAGTGTGATACTACATACGCACATGCCACAACAAACCAGCCCAGGCTTTTGAAAAGATATCAAATGTGACTCGATGTAACGAGTACGAAAATCCAACCTTCACGTTCCGAGATGCACTCTGAAACAGAGTGAATTGATTGTAGTTATCGTGCCATGGGCTAGTGCCCACTTACCGTAAACTCCTCAGAAGACCCAGGTGACATATCAGTGTATCGCGATTGCAAGTATGTCAGGATGAGCATCACTCCCGCAAAGAAAAACCCCACTCCTATGAAGAATGATAATGGAGTGAGAAACGCTATGATTAATTCGACAAGAAAGAGCATACCGACAACGACTCCATATCCGACACTTTGACCTATCCATGAAGATCAAGCTGTGAGAATCATCATTCCGCTACGATCAACAGTCACATTTACTTAACAAAGGCTTGAAATCGGAGGAACTTGCTGACATTGCTGAACCAGTCGTGGGTGATAAAAAGATTCGAGCCAAAACTAATTGAACTTTATATACTCGCGGAACAGTGTGTGGTCATCCACGCCATTGCGAGATAAGGGATAACAGTTCTTCTCGCGCTGGGGAAACTTCAGGAAACTTCTTACCCATTGATAGGATATAATGGAGTCGATAACGATTCACAATTACGCCAGTCTGAAAGTAAAGTCAATTATAGCACGATTCGAGATCTAGTGCAGCCAGCATAGCACACGACGCGCGCGCAAGGCATATAACCACCTTGGGAACAAGATTCAAGTTGTACATTGATCATGCAGGCAGGAGCGCGTGACCGGATGTGAACTCGGCTTAGGCGCTGGTCATCAATGATCATGACAATTGTCTAGATATATATGGATGATGTCCGTCCATGTACATACTTCACATTATTCGTCTGTGTGAGCGGTGACCGAAGCTTGTATTTCAAGTATCATGTAGAAAAAAATGCCTCAGATCAAGTCACAGTTCTAGCACTCCGAGGCCCTTACATAAAGAACTTGAAGAGACCAAGCTACGGTTCGTTTTACAACTCGCTACCCAATCAATTCTTTCTTTTGACGACTTCATGTGCCTCGATCCACTTCTTCGGCACACCCTTTCCGAGCAGATAGTCTACAACAGCTTTGGATTGTTTGCCTTGAACAAGAACCTCCATGCCAGAGTTGGCAGGCTTTCCTGGAATGGGTGAGACTGAAAACAAACATTGAAACAATGTGATCAATCCTGACAGATGAAAAAGAGGGTGGAATAAATAGAATGAATGAGAACGCACTAGATGTTGCACCAGCGCAAAGTTTCCTGAGATCTTCGGATAAGTCCTCTGGGACGATATTGAAAGGTTCAAAACCAGTAATCAACGTCGACAGCTTACGCCCTTGACGTGTCTTCATAACGATTTGTATTGGCGAAAGCTTCCCTTTTCTGCGGAGTATTCAATGAAATCAGAAAAAAGAAGAGATTGATTCGACCCACTTGGTGACGCCCTCATTCCCCGACCTCTTCACCTCGTACCAATTTTGCATCGCTGCCAAAACCTTCTTGACCAATTCATCCCGTTTCATGAACTCCGATTGAGTCTGAGGCCCCGACTCCGCCCCCTCCGTCGAAGATTTTTTATTCTTGGAAGACTTGGATTTCGACTGCGGGGCCACACACAAAGTCAACGCCGCATCGAGATTAATATAGGCTTGATCATGAGGGTTGACCAATTGTCGAGCAGTTATATATGAATCGAGCAACGAACGAACTTCCGGATGGGTGTATAAATTTGAAGTACTATATGTCCGCAAGTTTTACGTCAGTAGCAAATTTGAAAAAGAATGACTGCCAACTTTGCACCCATCGCTTCAAAAAGCGCAACACTAATTAAATGAGGCTTCCAGAACTCTTGAACTTCGAGTTCTAGTTCAGCAGCAGCACGCTGTTCTCTCTGCTTCACCTCCTGTAACACCTTTCTTGCAGCTTTCGCCTCGACTTCACGGACCGTTGCGAACGGACGATGTACCTGGACATCGGGATGTGAACTATTCACAGCTGTGATCAACACGTCCGTTTGTGCTGAATGCTTTTGAGGTGCCTTGGTAGTGATTAACCCTGATTTCTCCGTGGATTTCAAGAACGCGGTCAGTGACTTGAAAGAAGAGCTTTTAACCGTTATACTGTAAGGATCGGGACTAGACGAGTCGTAGGGAGGCGAAGTATCTGCGGGGGAAGACGAAGATGGTAGGAGGACAAGTTCTGGAAAGTTTGGTCGACTAGGAAGGATGTGATTAGCGTAGAAGATGGTAGCAGGAATAGGAAAAGTGAACGCGGGTGCGTCGATATAACGGGCGATGACTTGAATCAAGGACATGCGAAGAAGTTGGCTGACTTCGTCCGGAGTGTATACCGGGGCCCTGGTTCCGTCCGGAGCATCCGAAAGGGAGGAGGGCTCTGGTACAACAACTGACGTATCTGCATCCACAGGAACATGCATTCCTTCTTCCTCTGTATCTCCCGCCTTCTCCAAGTTCACGTCTTCGTCTTCCTTCATCGGCAAATCTTGAGGAATATCTCCTTTCGATCCCAATTCCCATAAATGGTCTTTCCACGTATGCAGAACATGAACAGCTTTCCCCTTCTCTTGGCCGCTATCCTGAAGTTGATCGCTGGCTACAGCCATACGACCGACAGCAAGGGGCGGAGACAGCATCGGGATATCGCCTATACGTTCATACTTGCATATCGAGACCAGTTGACCCTCGCTCAAGGACTGAGGGCAGTGAACCACTGTCTTCAAAGGTTAGAATCAGTTTGGTATGGTAGACAAATCTAAATGAAGCGGACTTACCTCCAGGTATCATTAAGTCTGCACCGCCACTCAGTATAGGTATAACTGCCTTCGGTGTAAATAATGAAGGTAGGAGTTTGTGATTTTTCCATAAAGTGTATATGGTTGGAATTATGAGCGCGTCTTGTTGTTGAAAATCTCCTTTTCCTAACGTAAACCAGAGAGGATCATGATCACCATCACGCGCAAGGTACGCGATCTGCATAAAAGTCAGGTTAGACTCTATCTAGCATAGGTATGGAAAGGATAACTTCACCCCAGGCTCGTTGAGATGAGTCTTGAATTTGATAGATAAGATACCTTCTGGAACCAGCACATCTGCTTCCTCGATGCTTATCGAGAACAAGGAAACAGCTTTGAGCTTCAATTTCTTCCTATCTGAGGATCTCAGTGGGGAGGACGTCTTCCAATTACTTACTGGCTTCTTGAACATGATGGGTTAAGGCGAAAGGGACGTCTTGAGCGCTAGTGACTGAGCGGATGGCGCTTATTTCATCTTTTCGTCTTTCACTGGTCTTCGAAAATGCCTAGAGCAACCTCTGACCGTTTTTCTCGAGCTCATCAATCTTCCGCCAAAGCATCTTCTTCAAAATCCAAAGATGCCTCATCATCTTCCGCAAGGAACCCCATTTTTAATACCGAACGATTCGGACAACATATTCTCAAAAATCCTCAGGTTGCACAAACGTACGTTGCCCATCTGGCCTCCTGATGTCGTTGAATTGAACTCATAGGCTGATAGTATTGTTGAAAAGGTATACTTGATCTTTGATCACAACCATAACTAACAACGAACATCAAGGCAAATCTCAGGCCAACAGATAAAGTCCTAGAAGTCGGTCCTGGTACTGGAAACCTCACAGTAAAGATACTCGAACAGGCGAAACATGTCACCGCAGTAGAGATGGATCCTCGGATGGCTGCTGAACTTACAAAGCGTGTTCAGGGCAAGTACGTTGACACACTCCCAAAATATGTATTTTATTATGCTCATTGACTCCTGCAGGCCGGAACAGCGCAAACTCGATATAATTATTGGAGATTTTGTCAAAGCCGAATTACCCTACTTTGACGTCTGCATCTCCAACACCCCCTACCAAATCTCATCTCCTCTCATCTTTCGTCTGCTCTCTCATCGGCCCCTCCCTCGCGTCTGTATCCTCATGTTCCAACGTGAATTCGCTCTTCGGTTGGTAGCGACTGCCGGGAGTACACTTTGGTCTCGTCTATCAGCGAATGTACAGCTTTATGCCAAGGTTGATTATCTGATGCACGTTGGGAAAAACAACTTTCGACCGGCACCGATGGTGGAAAGTAGTGTCGTACGGGTTGCACCAAGGGATCCTCCCCCACCTGTAAGATTTGAAGAGTTTGACGGGCTGGGAAGGATATTGTTCAGCCGACGAAATAAGACTGTACATGGCAATTTTATGGCAAAGGGGGTGATACCGATGCTGGAGAAGAATTGGAGGACATATTGTTCTGAAACGGATCAGGTTAGTTCACCGTCTTTAGTTTAACCAGACTTATCTACCATTTAAGCAGATGGTCGAAGACGAGGTTGATATGAAAGCCAAGGTCGAAGAAGTTCTCGAGCAAACAGGGAACACGGAAAATCGAGCTGCCAAAATGGATGTTGATGATCTTCTAAAGTGAGCCCCTTTCCAAATGTCATATAAGCAAGAGATTAAGCAATGGTAGACTCCTCTACGCCTTCCACAAAGTCGGGATACATTTTGCATGATGATATCTTTGTCTGTGTATGTATGATGACTATCTCTTCCGTTATTTGAACAGCATTCTATCTATTACCTCTAATACGGCCACTTGAATCTCGCCATAATTGAACGATAATATTGCAACGCACGTATAAACCCAATTCTATGAGAAGTACCAGGTATAAAAAAGCTACCGGAGACATGTAATGATTCTGGGCTAAAGTGACGAATACAAGGCAAACAATTGCTCTCAGATTTCTTCGTATTGGAGTTGAATCTCTCTGCCACAGCTTAACGACGCCGATCCCGATTGGCTGGTGCCGGCGAGGGGCTGTCGATATCTTTAGCCTTTCGTCTGAGTCCTTCGGATGGACTGCCAAAATCGGGAACACTTCCGCCTCGGCGATCTCTCATTAGATATGGATCGCGAGCAGTGACTTGAACTCGACTACTATCACGATAATCTTTAGAGTTGTCGCCTGACGGGGGAGAATAGATTTCATCTTGAAGCACCATATCATGATACTTAAGGAAGTCGTCAACTGATCTCGCGTAGGCGGCGTGTATTTGGGCAAAATCCTCGGTCTAGAGGACACATGAAGGATACGTTAAATGATTTGGTGTTGTTGAGGAACAATCATACCTTGGGTGGTTGATACGTGAAGTTATTTGACGGAGTGAACCAAGAAGGCTGACTCGGAAAGGTAAAATCCTGCTGTTCCAGTAGGGAAGATATACACTCCAAAAACGCGGGATTATAGCTTTTTGCAGGTTGTTCAAGTACAAGGGGCTCATGGTGATATCTGAGCTCTGGAAGGAGGTTGTCAGGGATGTTGATTTTTGGAATTTCTAGAATACGCCTGCGGCGCTTCTTAGGAGGTGTTCGGTCTTTAGCCGCCGCTGCTTCGTCCTGACTCTTTGTGACGGAGTCCTGGAATGTTCCGATGAAATCATCGACAGATCTTTCCTTCTCTTTGTCAAAGACCAGAAGGGACCAGTACATGCCAATAAATAAAAAGACATTGTAGGTGGTCGGACCATTTGGAAAAGCTTTGAATGCGAAGTCGACTTGCTCCCGAAGTTGAGGTATACAAAGCTCTAAGGTATTGACAGAGGTCTTACTAGCTCCATTGGGCTGCCTATTGGCCTGAAAGGCACCGAAGTCTTCATCTTCGTCCTCATCTTCATCCTCATCCTCGGAGTCTGTAAGCTTATTCTTGCCCTTCTCCTTCTCACTTTCTTTCCGCTTTTTAGGATCGTTATGACTTGAAGCCTTGGCCTCCAGCCAAAATACAGGGGTTAACTGGAGAGATTCAGAATCAAATAGACATGCAGCACAATCAGGGACTCGGAAACGCGAGCTTTGGGGAACAGCAAACAGAGCCTGATTATGACACTGCAGTCTGATCTGAGAATTACTCTTGCATTTGGCAACAATGCATATGTCGCTCATGACGCGATTCAACAGTGGATAAAGCCGACACTCAAGGGCCGGTTGAGATTGAGCTAATTGAATGTCGCTCTCAATCAAGCCAAAGGAGTCAGTCTGGCTGTAAATAATGACCTGGTTTTCTATGAGCCTACTGCTGCAGAGACAATAGAATCTCAAGTACACACATTTGGATTGTCCGCCGTTAGTTGATGAAGCGCAGTAGTGTTAAATGCTTGAGGAGCCATCAGCAGCAGAAATTGACTTGTTAAGGATGAAAAAAAAACAGAGGGCTTATATATGTATACCGAACTTGCAAATTCGGTATGATCTCGTGTACGGTGTTACAAAGGTTTGTAAACATCTTCGAACAACCAGCGATTCGTTGTTTTGCGCGTGACAAGGCTTGATCATGACAAGTCCTGCTTGTTCTTCCTTTGATCTTGTTCCTTCCTTTTGCTCCAATTTCGGGAATTTTGGCTTGTAGTCTAGAAGTTGGAAACACTTATGCTTGTATGACGCCTGATGTTGTGGAGTTTATAATTATAACGGTGGCGCGTGCACAATAGCTTGTGCTATAGCACGGAGACAAGCAGTGGTTGATGATCTGCAGAGTCTCTATCTATCCTTGTTTCTCGAAGCTGAAAATCCAACAAGACACCATTTACAAAGATTTTCCCACAGTGGCTGCTCGGCCCTGATCGGCCCAAAACATCATATAAAAAGCGCTTCGTTCAACAAACAACCCATCTTTCTTTGTCCGAGTCTGCTGCAACCATGTCAGTCATCGAAAATATCTACAAACCGTGCCGCCGTCCTGATCCTGAAGAAGCACCCGCTCATGTCAGTTGACTGTATGATTTGTTCCGCTCTAATTTCACTGAACCTTTTCACAATACAGATAAAAGTGGCTTCCAAGGATTATCCTAAGGGAAAGGCACTCCCAGAAAATCTCAAACTTGATCGTGAACGTCTAAAGGACTTCTCATATGACAAGCCTTACAAGTTATTCTATGGGTTCGGAGTAAACCTTCAGGACTTCATTGAGTATCACCAGAAGCACAATCTTCCCAAACCACCTCCTACCACTAAGCTATCAATTGTGAGACAGTGTATGGTACACCAAGTGCTGGAAGACCTACAGAAGCATTGTGACTTTGACTGGTTCGAACTGCACTTGGCCATGGCAGTGGAATACAAGTACATATTGGTCATCTATGATTCTTACACCTTTGACCGTGCAGAAATGGAAGATGCCATTGAACAAGAAATTTACGAGGTCTTGAGGGACAGAATGGAGGTCTGTAAGAACCAAGAACCGCGGTGGTTCCGTACCTTCTACGATATCTATCAGTCAGTTTTATTTCGTCGAAATTGATCTCATCCACTGACTGTAAGTTTCAGTTAGCATTCAAACTTCACTGGTTCTAAATATTTTGACCATGTTATTATCAATGTTATGTATATTGTCTCGATTGCTTATTCCCCTCTGATCTATTTTCACTGAACATTTGTTACAATAGATTGTATAGCTTTCTGTATGAAGTTGTATGATTGTACATAGTAGAGTGAATGGAACATATGTGTTGCAAAGGTCATCAATGAATGCACTGTGAAGCTCATGAGGACACAGGCCTAAGACCTAGGTTCAAAGCTTTAAAATTTCAACTAGAAATACATCACACAAACTGGACCTTGATACTCAGCAGCATCTGTTCCTTCCAATAATTCGGAGCCGAGATTGAGAACACGAGTATAGGTCTGCTCGAAATGGCGGTACGAAACCCAGGTCCCTTCCTCGCGCAGACAGGATAGGATTTGTAAAATCCAAGTTGCGCAGGTCCATCCTTGAGGCCCATATCTTCCAGGATATCGCCAACCAGAATCGGAGGCAGGAAAGTATTCAACCATCCTAAGAAATGAATCTAGCGTGTAATTCGAAGTGGTGAAGAGATGGATGATGCCTCTGAAAGCACTCGAATGGTGGATATTGCATTGAGCAAATGAATGAACATATGCACCATTGGAGTTTCTCTTGAGTTCAAGAGTCAGAACTGGCTGAGAGGCCCACGACAATGCTTCCGATGCTACCATGACCCAGTGGAAATAAGAAGGAATATTGTGGATACGACTTCCTGTGATCAAGTAGAGTGCGACTCCTACATGTAAAGGCATGGCGTCTACAGATTTATTAGCACCAAACATCATATCAACCACGTCAGAACCATTGTTATACCTGTGAAAGGAGTTGAGGTAAGGAGTATATGAATTTACCTCTGGATGTACTGCATCTTATATGATTTCAATTTGACCCACAAAAACGAAGAACAAAAAAAAAACAAATGCACGACCTTGTAATATAAAGAGAAAGGAGGGCTATATCTCATATGATTACAACTTGACCCACAAAAAACATAAGAACAAGCACTGCACAACGTTGTAAATGAGGAAACAATTCATCATAATTCCTTTGTCCCTAAATTCAATGCGGGATAACAGTTTCAGAGATCCAACCTTGGCTCCCAAGATCGAGACCATCCAATCAGTTCATCAGCTTCGTTTTCTAGGTCATACGGAGGAATGAACTTCCTCAAGTCATCGATCCACTCTTCTGCAATAAATTCTGTCCAATTTGCCTTGACATACTCCCAATGAGCAGGAAGCCAGCCCGCGCACTCCCAGTCAATCAGGCCAGTGACACGATCACCACTAACCATGATGTTCCTCATCGCTATGTCATTGTGAGTGAACACAACAGGGTGCCGTAAGTCATGAGCATGCTTAATGAGTCCCACAAACTCTTCTGGGATGTTGAAAATTTCCGCAAAGCGTTCTACGGTGAATCCCTGTCTTCTTTGTAAGTTCATCTGCTCCTCGTCGCAATAAGGCCCATAAGGACGGTCGACACACAATCTGTGGTCCATTATCGGGCCTCCAAGGACATTGCATATGAAGGGAGGGGAATGAGGAGGAGGTACAATTTCACGTAGCTGAGAGATATAGTTGCGAAGTTGAGCTAGTATGTGGTCCCTGCTATCTTGAGAATACGCCTTCCATTGACGACGAGAGAGTTCTTTCCCAGCGATTCGCGTCATAAAGATGTGATGTCTTCCCCGGTACCGCAGCACAACGAAAACTCTCGGAACAGGGATATTTGTATGTTGAAGAACAAATTTCATAGTGGCAACTTCTACTGTTGCATCATCTCCGATGCCCAATATCTTGACAAACACGAAGCGTCCAAAAGTAACTAAGAGAAGTGGATGATGAGTACTTCTCACCTTAATAGAGGTTGCTTACTGGACCATACTTTCCTGACGACGTTTTCCACTCTGTCCAAGAACCAAAGGAGTCGACCACGAAAAAAACGAGATGAACGCAGCATTGGATGTACGCGGCTGGTAGTAGTACGTGGTTAAAAGAGCAAAATGCGCGTGACATGCGACTCGGATCCAGGTCATCTGCTCATGTCATGCTGACCGTCCTGGCCTATACTCAGCTACAAACATGTCAATTATTGAGGATATTTACAAACGCTGTCCCCGTCGTGATCCCAAGAAAGCTACAGAGGATGTCCGTCTGTCATATGATTTCGAGTATCTGCTCATACATATACTTATTTCTTCGCAGTTGAAGGCAGCCTCTGAGGATTATCCAAAGGGAAAGGCGCTTTCAGAAGAATTACAACTTGACCGTAAACGTTTGAAGGACGATTCATATATGAGGCCTCGCAAACTATTCTATGGATTCGGAGTGAACATCCAGGACTTCATTGATTATCACCAGAGGTACAATCTTCCCCGACCGCCTCCTGAAGATGATCGGTCGCTGTTGTGGTTGTATATGATGGACCAGGTGCTGGAAGACTTGAAGAAAACTTGCCACTTCTATAGATTCAAGCGTGAACTAGCCATATCAGTTTAACACCGGTACATTCTGGCCATCTATGATTCATACACTTTTGACCACGGGGAAATGGACAACGACACGGAACAGCGGATATATGGAGAATTGAGGGAGAGAATGGATGTGTGTAAGAACCAGGAACCGCGATGGTTTCGTCCTTTTCCTGATATATATGAGTCAGTCTTTATATCTTTGTTGAGGTCAATCTTACCTGTTGACCGTAACTTTTAGTTAGGTTCATTGTCCATTGACTCTGGAGATTTAGAGGACCCACTCGTCGAGGATATTCCCTTCAAAATCCTGTTGATCAGTCTATTCTAATGCTCCCCTCTGCTTTCGTCAAACATTGAATTGTCACATATTCTCTCACCTTTGTTCAATTGAACTGTACATTCTTCTTCCCCTCAAAACATACTTCTAATCATTTAACTCAGGCAAACTTTCATCCTGGTTGTTATCTCTGTGAAATGGAATGTATATTGTCCCTTCCAGTCTTCGTAATAATGCCCTTGGGTGGTATGTCAGGCTCGAATCACATCGAGGATACGTTACCAACATAGAGGTGAATATCTTCGGTAGTAGCATAGCAGCTTTGTCGCACAATCCCAGGTTCAGATATCGCGAAGATTAGTCTAGATTTTTGGAAGGCATACAATTTATCGTCACGCTTTAAGTCGCGCTCACGAGACAGGTCACATTGCGAGCGCTAAATTTCATTTCTCGTTCTCTTTCATGATCACTACTAAGCTCAAACGACCACCACCTTTTCATTACATACCCGGAATTTCACTCCCACACACACTCTCACCATCTCACCCATGTCGTAGACGACTTTTTACTACGTCGTCAACCGCCGCACATGCAGATTTATTGAATGAATCGCAGAACGGACAACGACAATCCAAACCCCGAGTTATTTTCTCTGGGATTCAGCCGACTGGTATCCCACATGTGCGTATGCAGCGCTATTATCCATAGACACATGTACCTTACCAGGTTTCTTTCTGTTCATTTCTACTTGCCCATCCAGCTAGGCAACTACCTCGGCGCTCTCTCCAACTGGGTTAAACTCCAAAATACCGCCTCTCCCTCCGACGAACTGCTTTTCTCTATCGTCGGGTGGCACGCGCTGACCTTACCCCAAGATCCTCAAAAGTTACGCGAGGCGAGAATGGATATCCTCGCTGTGTTGTTGGCGATCGGAATAGACCCCGATAGGGCGGTAGTTTTTCATCAGGACCATGTACGTGAGTGAGCTCGTCTCGTTGTGAAACTCTTAACTATACGGTTGTTATTCTTATCTTTCTTGTTATTACCCTTCTTCTCACTTTCGCTCCCATTCTCACCTAAACCACCCCCGTCATCTGTGCTGTGCAAATTCCACTTCGTGTCCAACCAACCCGTTACTTACTCAAGTTGTTTGAAGAACCCCAATCATACCGAGCTTGCATGGATATTCAATTGTATCACACCGATGGGCAAGCTTCGGAGGATGACAACCTGGAAATCGCGTCTCGCTACGTCTCGGAACATGGGAGAAGAAGACGCTGTTGATGTAGACGATGGGGGCCTCAATCTCGGTCTTTTCGCGTATCCCGTACTACAGGCGGCGGACATCTTGGCTTATAGGTGCGTTTGCGTTTTTCTTTTTAATCTATATAGTGTTCGGTAAATTGATTAAACTCATGAAACGTATGAATGGTTCTTTTTTTGTGTCCAGAGCAACCCATGTCCCTGTAGGAGACGACCAAACGCAGCACTTAGAATTGTGTCGTGTTATCGCGGATCAGTTTAACAGGAATTTCAAAGGGATGGAAAAACTATTTCCTTTACCTATTCAACTCAACAGTGCGTGTGTTATGATAATACCTATAATAGTTTCAATCATTAAATTTCCATCCCGTATATCTAGCTCCCTCAAAGAGGATCCTCTCCCTCCGAGACCCGACATCCAAAATGTCTAAATCCGCACCAGACACATCTTCCCGCATCCTCCTCACCGACCCTCCATCCACCATCGCCAACAAAATCCGCTCAGCAGTAACCGACTCGATTCCCGGAATAACCTACGACCCAGTCAATCGCCCCGGGACAGCAAACCTCCTCACGATTCTCGCTGCATGCAATTACGATAATGAAGACGTGCAAGAGACGGCTGGGAGATACGTAGGGAAGAATCATGGAGCGTTGAAGAAAGATCTGACGGAGGCCGTGGTGGAGTTGTTGAAAGGACCGAGAGAAAATTTTGAGAAGCTGAGAACGGAGACTGGATATTTAGAGCAGATTGCTCAAGCAGGAGCGGAAAAGGCGAGATCGAGATCAGAGGCTACCATGGTAGAAGTTAGGAAGAGAGTAGGATTAACATAGACCAACCGTTTGTAATTTATTACATGCTTTGACTTGCGTTATACCGGCGCCTATTTAGCTTGGTCCATAACCACCACTTTTGAAAGGAAATGCCTTCGTGTCAGTGGTTCTAATTAGAATCTGCATGGTGCACTTATCAGTTATACTTTCGAATAGTCGCAGAGCTCAAACAAAAAGCGGTGAAAGCTAAAGATGCCACTGTTAGCACTGTTCAAAATACCAAAGATAGACATACGAGGTGCGTCAGTTATCTTCAGAAAGTTGTACACTTGCGCAAATTCATCTCTTTTCTTTTTGTATGTAGCGTGCCTTTGAAGAAAACCAATTGGAACCCTTACGACGGCAAACCTCCGCCTCCTCCCGCACCACGAACAAACAATTCCTGGACTAAACCACCAAAACCTGAGCCTCCGAAACTTCCACCTCCTCCTATTCGACGAGACACGGCGAATTCCAGCTCACCCTCCAGCTCGCCTAGACCCCCGACTATCTCACCTTCACCCTCTCAACTGTCCTCTCGCTCATCTCCTGCTCTCCCAAGCCGTAGTCCAAGTAGCGGACCTCCAGTTGTCAATCGTGCTACCCGTCCATCAGATCCTGCAGTCTCTACTCCAAGTCCTAATCTGCGCCCTATCCCCAGTCCAAATCGTACACCCTCCACTGCTAGCAACATCAATAGGCTTCCAGCATTGCCTTCCCGAGCTCCTTCCTTGCAAACTCCGTCACTTCCCTCACGCACGGCATCTTCTTCATCGTATCGGCATACACCAGAACCTGAGTATCAGACTCCAATCGATTGGACGAATATCTCTCAACAAGATAAAGAGGTGTTCTTCAGCTGGTTGGATGAATTCTTCGAGAGGTCGTATGGGATTAGACCTCCTGTGAGTCATAAATAATGCACACACCACTGGATTGGTACTGGAAACTACAACATCCGGTTTTCAATGATTCATCACACTTACTCCAATGTGTATAAAAAATAATGAGGTATATCGATGGGCGCGGGGCATGTAAATAACGGCTCATGCCGTCTTTCTCAACCCTTGTAATGACTCCCTTGGGTGGCATTCCGGGGTGGAAAACGACTGACATAAACAAGGAAAATTCCCGGCGCAGAAATAGCGGCCCATGATATTAATGACATACATGCTTGGAGGTCGTTCATTCGTTTAATGAGACTTTTCCGTCCCGTAGCAATCATAGCGTGGTTTGAAGTAGTCAAATATTAGGATGTAGAGCTCAACTGTGATTGGATCGAGGATACGATGACCCAAACGACGGACAGAAGTTTTTGAATGATACAAACAGGAAGTGGTTTTTGCTGGAAGATAGTGATATTTTCTCTCAATTCCAAGCCTGAATATCACGACGGTTAGCCTAACAAAGCTTGGCTATTGAATCTCGCATGCTGGGGTTGGTTCATTGAACAGAAGATACGCTCGCAGCTAAGACCAATTCAACTTGTATCGAGAGTCTTCACCTAGTCACTGATGAGGAGATATATTCTACTTGGATTCTGTTTTATTTCACAGGGTCTATACATCGTGATGTACATACCGCATTTTTATCTACATTTCACGTACATTATATTAGCCACCACTAAACAAGGTGAACAGTAGAGTGTAGTCAATGATTACAAGCGGATAGGTAGCCGGCTTAGCGAGGTTCGCCCAAATTAAGAACAAAACGTATATGACACATTCAGACAGAGTCAGACTCAGCCATGGACATTAGAACAAAATACTGAGTGGAATCCAAGGCGCAATTACAAGACATTCGATGATCCGGAACCTACATATGCCCAGGTAAAATTGTTCAAGCTAAGATAATCTGGAATAGGACTTACTCAAAGCAGCAGAACCTGTTATGTAGCTCCTCTAATACCCATCCTCATCTTCCTCTGGCACAGGCTTCCACTTGCCACTTGAGGAATCTTCTCTCCAAGTCCACTCCTTATTATCATCGTCACGGAACAAGATACGCTCAAGGCTTGGAAATCGTGCCTCTTTCATCAGAATCTGCACAAGCTTCGACATCTCTGCACCGCCGTTCTGGTCTGGGGGTTCACCAGAACTTAGAATGAAACATTCATCGGAGATGATGGTCAATTTCCGTAGTCGATCAAGGGCAATACCAGTGCCGTCGAGAAAAGATGTTGGGTCCAAGCAAATGCCTAACGCCAAGGTATAAGGCAAACAGAATGCGAGAAGTTGGTCAACTCTCGGCCAGGAAACTCCGGCGGCATTGTGCATCGCTACCCACGAGTTCTCCGGGTGGCGCGTTGAAAATGACAGACTGGCTAGCTCATGTGAACCACTGAGACGTGAAACGAAACGGGGAGGGCAAGTGAGATGACGAAGACTCGTCAAACGTGAGAGGGAAATATTGGAGTAAACTGTGGTTGATAGAGCACTGTCCATCGTCAACGATGTCAATGCAGGTAACTTGTAAAGGTATTCGCAAAGAACTTTTGTATCACGGATCGACAATATTTCCAGAGTCTCTAGCAATGGGGACAGAGTATCGTGGCAAGAGATCAAAGCCTGCATGAGCAGCCAGCTATCTGTGCCAAATTCGGAGAGGTTCACGATTAGTGGAAGGAATTCCTTCACTACAAGAGCATGGACTTCATCATCTTCATCATCGCTGTCGTCTTTGCTCCGAACCCAAAGACGAAATGACTTCAACTTGCTCTTCGCAGCGAGTTTCTGCACATGTTTTGGTAATATCTCTGCAAAGTCACAACGGTCAATGGTGAACGACGTCAAATGCAGAAGACGTCGAATATGAGCAAGGAGTTGAGGAGCCAGGGGCATTCGAGAAAGTGTGATAGTGGTGAGATTAGTTAGGTGTGGTAGAGAGTCGATATGAGTATTCAGAAAAGCTTTGACCATTGCGGTGTTAGTATTCGGAGCGTCAAGCCAATCGCGTATAGAACATTGTTTTACTTGTAGAGCCAAAGATCTAGCAAACTTTTCGTCCTGCTTGATGGATCTGCAGAACGGAATGCAGCTCATGGCGTCCTTTTCAGCTCTTGTGGTAACTCCATTGTATAGTCCTCCGGGGTGGAAAACCACAGATTTGAATAACCAAGGAAGAATTTCGGCGCAGAAATAGCGGCATACTAATGACATGTTTCGGAGGTCGTTCGTTCGTCTAATGATAGTCTTTTTCGACTCGTAGCAGTCGTTGCGCGGTTTCACGTAGTTAAAGATCATAATGTAGAGCTCAGCTGGGATTGGATCGAGGATACGATGACCAGAACGACGGACGGGAGCTTTAAGTTTTAACGGGAAATTGTGAGTGTTTTGCGTTCGCTGAAAGATATTCACGCTCACTCACGTTTCCAGGCCCAAATATCACGAAGGTTAGTTTGACAAGGCTTGGCTCTTGGGATTTTCATGATTGTCCGAGAGTACTCTATTTGAAGCCATCACAGGTCGCGTTCATGTGACTGTCACAATGGTCAAATTCGCACCGAGTATCCAGAAAATACCGGCGACCACTTGCTATTACCGCCAACTTTTCCTTTTTCTCCTTCATTGCCTATAACACGCACAATGATCCCCACTGGCATGATGTACAGAACAATTCTTTGTCTGTCAACAAATGATTTCAATTCGACATAGGCAGCTGCACAGGCCTTGGTATCTTATTGTGCCAGCTCAGCCTCCCTCAAGTTTATTGGTAGACTCGAACCAGTCTGCTGCTGAGAAGCGATATGCGGAATCACTTTCTCGGCAGTTGAGCGCCAGTTTCCAAAGTGTCAACATCCGAAGCTACTGGCTCGAGTCTAGTTTATTGGCATGTCAACTTTGATCAGAGGGATCCATGGAATCGATCCTGGAAATTTCTGTGCGAGGCAGCCGTAGAGGCTTGAAGAAGCGGTCGTGCACAACTGTGATGAATCAGGGAATTGAGTCTGCACAGCGCCTGGCATCAAGAGGTAAGTATAGATTCGGCGCGTGAGCTAGACAACCCAATTAGAACGTATGTCGCCCTCTACCCTATTCTGACTCGCACTTATGCATCTATTGCTGAGCAAGTCGGTTGCGATACTATTCTCATGTATATAAATCGATTGGATCTTCGAGGGTATCAACCATTCCGCGATGCCTTTCAACTCTCGTACATCAGCTACTCAATCCATGGCCAATCACGTCTATAGTCGTCGGTCAACTACCAATAACTCTCGAACCAGTTCTTTACAATGTAACGATTTCCATCTGTGTTTCTGCTCTATATGAGTTGACCGATCAGTTCTACAGACAGGAGCAATCCTACTGTGGGGTATGGAGCTCGTGATTTCAAGGTCGAGCAGGGTGTTGTTCAAGAAGGAGCATTCTGTGCTGTCTCTGGCAGTCAATTTATCAGAACAAATGGTGTGTCTTCCAATACACGTTCATGTGTTCATCTACCCGCTTATCGTGCGTCGGGTCACAATATCTTCGTAACTCTTTGCTAATCACGCCATCAATGTAGCCCGTCGAATACCTTTGGATGAAGGAACATTCGATATTCCAACTCCCAGTGTCTTGCTTGCTTTCCGTCGTCATAATAGACACTCTCTGGCACACCCTCCTGGAATAACCTTCCGCAAAGGTTCTTTCTGTGCTGTCTCCAGATGTACTTTTATTACTCGAAGGACACGTAGGGGAACAGTCTCGGTTAGCGAGGACAATAGTAAGTTCTTCCCGTATATACTACTTAACTCGCCGCCTCTGACCCAAACCCTCATGAAAAGTGAGCCCAACTGCGAGATTTGTGCTGCGTAATCAATCCCGGCTTCCGCCTGCAAATGGTTACACTAGCAGGGGTACCCTTTCCTTTGCTTCTGGGAGCCATAGCGCAATTGATTCTGGACAACGAGGAACAGGACCATGTGCACCCAATGTCTTGATGGGGGCTGAGGGTTTCCGTAGTGAAGGCGGAATCTTCGAAGCTGGCTCACTCTGCGCTGTTGATGGAGATCAAGCATTCATCGAGGAGCTGGAATATTGAGTAAAACCTAACTAATACCGATAGGTCGTATCACCCTTGCAATTGAAATCTTGTATTGCGAGTTCTGACGCCGTTTAGCGGCCTCTAGCCTTCGTCGGTCCCGTCAACATCCTCAGCATCAACTCATGAACAATCTCGCTAATAAATGTTACTGCGCAGTACAGCCAGTCCTCAATCTTCTACAGCCTGGGACTTTCATGCGTCTGCGGCAAGCTGCGGCACAGCTCCAATAATCGCTGTGCATAGTAGGGATATCGCTCTTTGTAAGTACTCGTCTGGAATCATTGTTCGGCTTCGGGGTCGACAGTTACGGATTGTTACTCTGTATTTTTTCACATGAGTTCGTTAGAGGACTATATAAGGCTATGTGAGTCCGATTACAACACATTCAACTCGAAAACCTAAATAATCACCATGACCTCCGGCTCCCCAGATAGCACCATCGTTCAGGAAGACACCATGACCGAGAACGGTGTCATCGCTGATAAGTTGAATCCGAGTCACATCACCCTCAAAGTATGTCCTCCCTCCTCCGAGGTATACCTTTCAATCGTCCCCCAGCTCGCAACCCTACTCAAATCCTGCATCGACAACAACATCACGATGAACTTTATCCAACCCTTCTCTATTGAGGACGCATCGGCGTTTTGGCTTTCGGCCGAGGAAAATGTGGTGCAAAGGAAGCAATTCGTTATAATCGCGCAAGAATCTCAAGGATCTTCAGAGGATGAGGCAGATTACAATGATTCTCGCCATGAACAGCACGTACTGGAAAGTAGAACACCAGTCATTCTGGGCTGTGTGATACTCTACCTTGCCCAACTTCCGAATGCGAAACATCGGGCGGAGGTAGGCAAACTGATTGTCGGAAGAGAGCATAGGAAACGGTCCGTGATTGGTTTATCTTCCATGCTTCTTTCACGTTTTGTGAAAGGTGTATAAGAAATTTCATCTGCTCATGTCATATACCTAGAGGGATAGGAAAGATGTTGCTTGATCGCATGGAGGACGAAGCTCGAAAACACGGTCGGAAAATACTGGTGAGTAAATTATTCCCACTCCATATAGTAGGCTGCAATCTCCACCAACGGAATATATATATGCATATGTTTAAAACTGTTTAACAAAATCTAACTTGAGGCTATCATCACGATATTTTCCAGGTCCTTGATACCGAAACTGGTTCCGGCGCTGAATTGTTCTATGAACGTCTGGGATATTCAAAGGTAAGCATGAACTTCAACGGTCGTTCGTTCATTTGCTTATTCATCCCCCTTCAAAATCATTCGAATATCTGCATTCATCCCAAAACCCGCCTTGAATTCCTGGAAGGCCGGTGTGATTCCAGACGCTAGCCTGGCTCCGGATGGGAAACGATATACCAGCTACACGTACTTCTATAAGAGGTTGTGAAGGAAAATACTTTTGTAAAGACTATTTCAAACTGGTTCTACATACAATGCATTCTGTTACACTGATAGCTCGTGACGGTATGAAGTACTGCATAATCTTGAGAAAGAATCACGGTCCGGATAAGTTGACTGGGGGGGGTGTGGAGCACAGGATTGAGAGGAGAATGAAAGGAGAATGAATGCGAAACTGAGGCTGGGGAGGGTGAGGGGTGTGATTCGCCCAGTAGAAATTCGAGATGGATGCTGATGGATGACTCTACACCGAGTATACATCAAGATACTTAGCCGCGCTCCGGACGTCTACCACTTATCCGCGTCACAGTGCGTCTTTCTCGTTCACTCATTGTTTTTTGGATTATGATCGAAATATATCCTTCTCTGAGGAAGAATATCACCCCAACACCTTCCCACTGCAGGGGACTTTCACCTCATCGGGGGTCTTTCCGCACCTGAAGAAAATCAACAAATCATGATAACGGATATCCGGATGTTTGTAAGGTTCATTTTACCGTTCAAATTCAGCTGCTGCCTATCCTCGATTTGCGATAAAGCAGAGTCCGAAGAGCAGAGTTAACTTGATTTTTTCAGACTCCGCGTACTGCGTGTCTGCGGCACAGTAGATATGAGAAGTCTACCACTCAGGCTGCATCATCTCAGTGAATGATACTCATCTTGACTCCGCCGGGTTAGATTCGACAAAGAAACTTAGTACCTGCTATATAAGCATCGGAATTCTGCTCCCAGCACACAACTTCAACATTGATTGATCTAACTCTTTCACAAGCATAAACACTACATAGTATCAATAATCATTTGACATGACCTCGAGCTCTCAGAATGGCATCACCCAGAACGTTGCTATCGCCCAGAATGGTACCATTGTCCACAATATTTTGAACAGAATAACCGTCAAATTGTGTCCTCCTTCCTCCGAGGCATACCGTTCAATTATCCCTCAGCTTGCAGTCCTACTCAAATCCTGCGTAGACACCAACATCACGATGAACTTTCTTCAACCCTTCTCTATCCAGGACGCATCAGCGTTTTGGCTTTCGGCCGAGGAAAAAGTAGTGCAAATGAAGCAGTTTGTTCTTATCGCACAAGAATCCCAAGAAGCCCAGGAGAAGGAGGCAGATGATCATGATTTTCACCATGAAAAACTTGAACCGCCAGTGATCCTCGGCTGTGTGATACTCTACCTTGCCCAAACTCCGAATGCAAAACATTGGGGGGAGGTGGGTAAGTTGATCATTGGAAGCGAACATAGGAAACGGTTCGTGAGATTTGTTTACTTCTGTGCTTCTGTCACATCTTGTTAAGGTTGCACAAAGTTCACCCTGCTCATGTTATGTACCTAGAGGAATAGGAAAGATGTTGCTTGATCGCATGGAAGACGAAGCTCGAAAACACAGTCTAAAAATTCTGGTGAGTCAATTATCTATACTTCAAAATAGGGCTATCTCCATCTATCTTTCCTTTCCATCAAAATGGAACCGTGCCGATTCCTCCTCCATTACAATCTTTTCGAATTTGTTTAATATCTGACCGACTGTTTTCACGATGGCTTCTAAGGTCCTTGACACTCAAACAGGTTCTGGTGCAGAATTATTCTATGAGCGTGTTGGATACTCCAAGGTATGAGCAATGATTGTTCGATTTTCCCTTGAAAAATAATCAAATTTCATTCCAATGCCATTTTTTTCAAGGTCGGAGTGCTTCCAGATGTCAATTTAGCTCCAGATAGGGGCCAATACACCAGTTGTACATTCTTTTATAAGAGGCTCTGAAGGTGAAGGGGACTGAAGCTGGCAGTGGCAAGGGTTGTTCTGTGCATTCTGATGTGACTAAATTACGAGGCTGTAGTTTACGGAAGTATCGTCCTTATATACACCGCTTCATACAATTTTAATTTCCTTTTATGGTTGTAGTTTCTCCTTATTTGGCCAAATGTAACACTGAGTTGAATTGTATTGATTTCTTGTGACCGGCACGGGATATCACGGGATGTGACTCTCTAAAACTCATCTCACTTGATTACTCCAATAAATAATTCACGTAAATTTGCTTTTATTTAGCTTTCTCAAAAAACATTCAATGTCGGCGGCGCGCCGTTTTTTTGATTCCATAATATTTAATAACCCTCAAGGAAGGAGCCGAGTTTTTGCCATGCACGGTGGTGCAGTGGCCTGCAATCGCATGTGGTGATGGTAAAAAGGAACATCATGCATTGGAAGGGGAAGAATCACAGTCAGATTTGACTGAGGAGATCAACTGAGTGAACCTGAGAGGGTTCATCAGAGAAGAGTGGAAGAAAGATGGGAATTGTGGGTTGTGTTACAATGGGTGCATCTGCAAAACCTGTATGTTTGGCTAAATAGCCAAAAGCAACTCAGAGCAGCTCAGAGCACTTCCCAGCAGCGAAAGCACCTAGAGCAGGCTTTGATTTTTGCTTTGGGTGCTTTCGTCGCTGGAGAGCGCTCTCCAGCCAGTATCCTTGCTATGGCGAGTATACAGGTTTTGCAGATGTGCCTCCGGATGTCTGTTGAACTTATTTGTTACCACCACCTTTTCACTTACTCGCCAGTGATTTGCTGTATTATGTCGCGACTTCTCATTCATTCAAGCAAAAAGTTTTGGCTATCGGCGGAGGAAAACGTCGTGCAGAGAAAACAAGTTGTTATCATCCCACAAGAAATCCGGAATCCAAAATCCTTACTAAAGGGTGAAGCAGATGATCATGATTCTTGGCATGGACAATTGTGATGAGCTGCCAGTTCAAAACCCTGGCTGCGTGATACTTTGCCTCGTCCAATTTCCAAATGCAAAACATCGGGGGATGTAGGTAAGTTTTGATCGTCAGAAGAGAATGTAAAGAATGGTTTGTATCAAGGCGTATCATGATGATCGTGCATTTGTACAAAGTGGAATTGAAAAGATATATTGATGCTCCTTGATCGCATAGTCGATGAAGTTTGTTAACATGATTGAATGACTCGTGCAAGTACACCCATTTCTATCGTGATTTGTTATTCGATTGAATTGTCACAATACAGGTAAAAACTATTGAGAAACCCCAACATTGCAGAAACCCCGAGAATTCCCACAGTCTTTATTGAGCAACCCTTTGCTTTTGGGCTGATCCGGCCAATTACGTAATGCGGCACTGGACGGCACAAGCCGGCCTTGCCTCATTATTGAGTTCTATCAAGTTGTAATAAGTTGGGGAGGATGCTCAAAGCAATTCTAAGCTGCTGTGACTGGAATGACTCAAAATGTTAGATTTAAGCTCAGTTGACAATAAACCAACTGTTGTATTGGTATATACCTGTTAGAGTTAAGCTATCGAAGTCAGTATGCTGTCGTACATGTATATATGACCAAGCTCACCTCAGTTGACAATAAACCAACTGAGGTCCACGAAAACCAGCCTGGTGTGTCATATACTACCTACTGTACAGTATTGGATAATAACGCCGTTATATGTTGTGTGTCAAGGTAGTACGTGTTGTATGTAAGTGTGATACATACGGGGCTACAGTTGTACAGAGTATTCACCAACACAAAAAACTGTGCTCAGTTACATGCATGAAATGCTACTAGTATTTAACAAGCTGATGGAAGGACTGCTAAGGAATGACATGAAGGATAAAAATGTCCAAGGGTTCTCATTCTCCGAGTATAATCAGGCTTTGCTGAGTTTTTGGTACATTGGCCCTACTAAAGCTCATTTATCAATGCAGTGTTAACTTGAGAAACAGGATTTGTGTATTACAGTAGTACATATGCATGATTATACATAAAACTGTTAGTGTAATGTTTAACTCAGTTGATAGCAGAACAACTGAGGGAGCTTGTGCATTTCCACAAGGCATGATATAGCTGGTGGTACTGTATAGTTCTATGGTAAGTGCAGCATATACATGCATGTATAGTCTGTGTAGTCATAGCTTGCTCCCTCATACATATGGAGTATGCATCAACAAAAACATTTAAGTATGGTGAACAAGAAGGAATATTGACAATCACCAGTTCGAGGGCAACAAAAAAAAACATAGTAACTCCAGCGAGATGGCGGCAATCAATCTTCGGCACGTCGCCGGCCGAACCTCTGGAAACCCTCGGAGTGAACTTCGTGAAGGGTTCCCCGAGGAACCCCGGGTTTCTGCAACTACAGGGGTTTCTCAATAGTTTTTGCCCACAATACACTGATATTCACGAGTGAATACTAGGTCCTCGAAGTAGCATACTCGAAGCACAAACTGTCACCGGAGCAATATTATTCTTCGAGAGCAACGGATATTACAAAGTGAGAAGGCGTTCAAGATCAAGCTTCAAGCTGGTCAAGTGACATCTTTGATGCTAATATTTTATTTCCGTACCCAGGCCGTTGTTCCATGCGCATACATTCCTTGAGGATCGGAGCGATTCTTGATCTTACATTGGCTCCATGAAAACGATACACCAGTTTCAACAATCTTCTACAAGAAGCTGTGAGAAAACCCCACTGGCAGAAGCCTATAGAAATAGAACAACATATCACGCAATACCCTCAAAAAACGCCCTGTGTACTTCTTCTCGACGGTTTTATTCTCGGAAATTCATCAGATGTCCAGATGAAACGTTCACGCATCAAGTTGAACAGAACAGAGCAGCCAGTTGTGTTGTGGCACAATCTAATGCCACATTAAAGTGACGGTTTTGCGTGTCCAGTAAAGTTTAGCTACCTGGACCCGCCTATATTGACTGTGTGCGCTAAGCCTCTAGAATATGGGTAGCATCTGCATCAGACTTCGCAGCGAGACGAAGTCTGAGTGAGATCATAATGACCAGTCAATTATACGGATGTCCGCGGAGTCGATGGCTTCATACTCACTGGTTTCTACTCCCAAGAACTCTCAAGGTCCGCTTCTGTTCAGCTTCTGTCATGGTTGACCAGTCTAAAATGTGTGATAGTTCAAGTTAATATACGTATGGTAAGAATAAAATATGTTGTCGGCGGAAGAGCCGGTCATGGTCAGTCCATGGCCCACGGGTAGATGAAGTGGTAGTATCTCGTAGATCACTTGAATCGGTAGACTTACTAGCAATTCGAGATAGAGTCTGGAAAAGGATTTGTTCATCAGAAAGTGTTATCGCTGCATATGGATACTTGGATTAGAACACGACATACACCGTTGGAATTGACAACCATGGGACCTAATTCGTCAAGAAGAACTTTCTGACCAGACCCCACCTCTAGGTTCTTTGTGGCCGCGTCCGGAGGCGCGGGAAGTAAGCCTGTAGATGATGGCGGAGACGTATTTTGCGAGGCCGTTTCCGCAGAGGACATGGAATGTTTTGTAGATGACTCGTGGACAATCGGATTGGTGACAGTTACCAGCTTTTATCAGCAGTTATCTTTGTAAAGTTATCGGGTGGAATGTTCGAGAAATGTCTAGAATAGTGGCGATTGAGAGAAAAACAGAAATTTTATGCCAGAGAGGAATAGTCTTGACTCAATTTCGGAAGGAAGATAGCAGATGTAATGGCTGGGGCTCTGGGCGGCGGTCGATACTTAGTTGAATCCTTAGTAATAGTCAGAGCGGTTCCCACGCAACTTCTCATGACATAATCATAAACTCTGAGCTCTCCGCACCAGCCCTACATACTAGCCTAGTATCGAATGAAACGCTGAGTTGAGGTGAAGAGGTAATCTTCGACCTGAAACTTTTGACTTGTATCAATCAGCTTCTGCGACGACTCTACACATATTTTGTCAATTTATGAATTATATAAACAGGTTGTGCTCTGTTATGTTCTGTAATCACGTCTTGGGCATTCCAACTACACACTGGTCATCATCAGAATTTGCTCTGAACGAGGTTGTATGTTACAAGGAAATTCGGAGGGATGACTGTAAAATCCATTTGTCAATTACGTATTTATTGGTTTTATTGCATTTACGCAGAAAAAAGCGCGCACCGAACGAATCCATTGATAAATGTGGCGTTTGGGGTAATATCATTGCCATGTTCATCTTTCGTTTTCGAGATAATCATTGTACAAACCAAAGAGGCTGCAGCTAGCCAAACAGTTCGATCGCCAAAGTGTCTACCAGGACAACGACTGAACTCTCCAAGTTCAGTAAAGCTGGAATCTAAGATCGTTTGTTACCTACCGACGACCGAATCCATAAATTACGTCTGCCGGATCAAGGAGATTTGGATCTTCGATGTATCGTTCAGGACGGAAGAGCTGTGGCTGTGAACAATTTTGCAGAATGGAACTAAATGCCCAATCGGGATCAAGAAAGATTGCTTTGACCGATGGGGTAAGACTAACTGAATATTGGCCATCTTCGCTCGTTTAGCGTCAGAACGTTCATGCAACATAAAATCACTTACAACGGTTGTGCCTTTAGGTATGTGATAATTTCGGTAAACATCGACATCCATTAATCGATGAGGCAATCCTAAAGGGACTGGAACATTCCATCTAGTACAGTGGCTGGTGAGCCGCGTCCTCGAATATTTTAGCCTTTAGGTATACTTCGTACCTGCATACTTCCTTGAGAACACATTCCAGATAAGGGAGCGAGCTTCTGTCTTCGAAAGTTGGCAGTCTGTTCATGCCAACGACATCATCCATTTCAGCTTGAGCTTTCTTGAACACTTCAGGATGTAGCACCATAGCCAGGATAAAAGTCGACAGAATACAATGAGTCTATAAGATAAACATTCACTTAGAGCTAGCACAGCGATTAAAATCAAGCTCACTGTATCTTCGGCAGCTGCAACGAGTGAGATAGTAGATATCGGAGACAATCAAAATAAACTTGTTGGTATTCACCTACATACATGGTGCCCGCAACGCCTTTGATGTCTTCTTCGTCTTCTAATGATAAGCAGTGAACCCCAGCGGGGCTACATGCCTTCATTAATCTAGAGGTCATACAGGGGAAATCAATTCCAGATGCCTTGCCGACCGTACTTTACATCAGAAAAGAAACGAAGTACGACATTGGCAGTGGACCCACCATCTGGCCTTTGACTGTCTCGTAAGGAATGTTGAACATGCTGTCCACAGCTTCCTTGACTATTCCTGCGTTTCGCTTGAAGCCCGCTAATGGGGCCCAACTCGGGATGTATCTAGACATTAAGATAAGCCTAAAGCGGATGAGGAAAGGCCATTGGGACTTTACGCACCTCATGATAGGAATGTAGTCCACCAACGTTGCCGCTGGTGTCCCAGACTGGATAGTGAGTGATCCGGCCCGTTGAGCTATTAGGACAGATATCAATATCAATTCATCAATTCTAGAAGGAATACGATAAATAACCAAGTTGGACGATTGGATCATCGTTAGACTTGACATCGGCTCCGTAAGTTATTTTCATGATTGTAGCTGCGGTAAATCTGAAAATGGATTGAAGCATTGGAGACCTGTTTACTCAGCCTCAAGGAGACTTTCATCTCACCTTTGTAAATGTTGAGTAACCTGTTCGGGTTCGCGAATTAAGTCTTGAATTAGGTGGCAAATCTCTTTCTCTTGGACAGATCGCAACGCTTCCACCGCACGCTGATTGAAGGTCTGGTGAATAAACCGACGGTGCCTTCGAAACCGGGGACCACTGGTATCTTTTAGGCTCTGAATTTGAAGGGAAAGTAATGGGTGACCTACTATCGGACGTGGGTGGAGGCGTTCTGCCATCCCATTCTGATAATCTTGATGAGACGGTATAGACCAATTCAGTACTCTTTTTTGACTTACAAATCATTCAATAAGACGAAGTTAGGCCGATCTGAATAGATAGAACTTCGTTGATGAAGCAAATCCTGAGCTGCTTCCAGCGAATTCAAGATTAACATGGGTTGCTGAAATATTCGGAGATATACGACGTCTCCTACGCAACACCAGGCCTCAGGACCCATATGCGATGTCAGAGTTATGCTTACCGTATACATCAAGCCATTCAGCAAATTTCTCCTGCGGAGAGGTTGAAGGTATCTGAAGGGCATTTCTGTGTAAAATCATCGTTAGCATATATACACATCGACATATGATTGCGAGATCCTTCGGAAACGCTCACCCGATCATCAATAAAGGTGTAGGACCTGGAGGAAGTCTCTTCCGTCGAAACGAAAGCTCTCGATATGTTATGTAGGCAAGGGAAACAATAACAAAGACTTTGAGGGAAAATGAAGAGATTATCTCGCCCAACATCGGTGTCTATCGGTGTGTTCAGAGACGGGCCAAAATCTATCATGATCATTGGTGCTCCAGGGCTTATATAGGAGTGTTTGTGGCGGTCCATCTTTCTATCACGTCGCAGACCAATATCTAACCAGGTTAATGTCCCGATATGGAGAAATAAGTACTAAGAGAATTATACACATACAGGGAGTCCGAGCTACACTTCCTGTCACATGTGTAGGTTCGATTACAGCTTAGGATCGGATCCTTGAAGACCCCAGAAGATTATATGTGTTGATACTATTCGGGAGCTCAATTGAATGCTAAACCGTCGACGTGCACTGCCAGAACCACCGTACAGTCCAGAAAGAAGACCGATAGCAAGTATCAGCTTTCAACTGTAAATGGAACAATGTAAAGGAATTGCCGGAGTACGGTATCCCATACCATACATGTCAACTTCACGAACGCCTCTAATGAGCTTCGATTATAAGGACCTCTGACCCGTTCGGCAGACATTCCAATCGAGACATTCATCTTCACCGGGACATATCTTCTATAATTGTCTTCATGCCTTCATGTCGTTAAGTTGATTCGAGTGATCTATGTAGTCTGAATAGGGGATTTAGAAAGGAAAAGATATCTGTGCGTTCAAATATGAGAACAATTACTGCACGACGATTAAGGTGCCTTCGGGCGCGCCCTAGGTATCATATATCAGCGCTTAGCCGCGGTGGGCGTCTCATACTGTGCCGTATACTAGTGGCCATACTAGTGCCTATCTCGGTTGATGATCAGTTTGACTTGCATACAAGAGAAATGTGGCCTAATGTGGCACAGTATAGAGTGGACGTACTAGAAGCGCTAGCTTACCACATGGATAGAGATATGTTATTATCACGCGCATGGAAGATGACCTACTCATATCCGGAAATACAATCTCAGAGCGATGTTAACCTCAAGTGCCAGAAAAAATGACAAAAAACAAGGAAGGTGAAGATTAGCAATAAGAGTGTAAAGTTTTCCACGTGAATAGTTGAGGCAATGTCCGGGTTCTCGGATATCATTTTGAGAGTTTTCCTGAAGTGTACTTAATTCAGAGGGAAGTAAGAACGTTGGTTTTGCACAGCAGATGAAACCGGGTCCATACAGGGTCTGCTGATCATTTACGAATGAAGGGTTCTACCTCCGTGTACGGTATCGCCGTACCGGTGTACCTTCAGGCTCAGTTGCTTATTATGGCTAAAATGACCCTATTAGCCTTAGAATGACGATTCGGGGTTGATCCCGGTGGTCAGAATTCCAGGATTCGACCGATAAGCTTGACATGGAGAGAGAACTAAGTGGAACTGTACAAGGTTCCGGAAGCATATTGACTCAACAAGAAAGGATAGGTTTGTACAATACAATATCCTAGTATTTATACATTTTCTGTCTCAGTCGTTATGCGGGAGCTGCACATCGGTCTGCTGAGAGATTGAAATCATTACCCCACCACTGAGGAAAGTCCACCTCTGTTCCCGCTGCACCAAACACCTACATAAGCGGAAGAAGTCCGTATCAGGAAGCATTGTTGATACAATAGAAATTACTTACGGCCAAATTGAGAATGAAAGAAATAACTTGCGTTCCTCCGTCAAGCGCGCCGGAAATAATGTAATTATCTATACAAAGACGGAAGTCAAAAGCGAATATAAAGGAAGAGTACCCACAACATACACTTTGTGAACCACCTTGGGTGCTTTGTGCGCATCCACCATTGTGACATTATACCAAGGAGACTAGAAGTATTTACAGACGTGTTGATACCAACTGTCGAGCCACAAAAGGTTGGACTAGTGAACTTCCGCAAGAAGGTCAATCGCTTACCGGACAAGAAGCATGAATACTGCATGACAATGCCGGTGTTAAAGTTCGACAGAAATTTGTTCCTGGGGAATCGACGGTGGAGCAGGTATTGTGGGATTGGCATGAGTGCACCAAGGGCTAGCGCAACTGGAACCATGTAGTAGGTCTTCCCAGGGCTGAACATTTCTCGGCCCAAAGCGCCCCAAGCAATCGCATTCGAGTTGAAAGACTGAGCGTTCTGGCCCGACCATAAACGAGTGCCGGCTATCGTGAGCAGCGCGGCGCGTTGATTTGCGACGATGGAGAGCTCCATGACATAGTTAAGGAGTGCACCCTGAACCAAGTCTAAACTTACAAAGAGATGATACTTGGACAGCGATGACCACGTACGACAACACATCCAAGAACTTGAACGAGGAAATTGATCTTCGGTGGAATCTGGCACAGAATGGGTGAAACAAGGGTATGCATCCTCCGAAAGATGTTCTACCTTCAGATACTGTCCAAGCTTCAAATCACCCAAAAGCATGATGCCCTGTACGGTCGGCTGGCTGCCGTAAAGTGCAGCGTACATATTCGCGACTGTAGAGTAGAGTAGTCAGAACGATTGGGCATCGGTCTCAATGAATATAGTACTTGGGTCCCCGGGAACCATATATGAAGCTATCCTATAAACATGCGAAAAAAGGCAGTCGGACAATAGTCTTGGTCGGAGAACGTGACACGTACATAGAGTAGAAACCGTCTAATTGAGTGCTAAACTGAGCAAACCCTAGTATGGCCGACGTGGTGCAGTAGGCCATTGTCTAGAACAACTAGGTAAGCTCTTGTCGAAGGTCGTAATGCATCTTTTCAACCCACGAAAACTAAAGATATGACCAGAATCTGTACGTTTCAGTCAGTCAGAAAGCACTATCACTCGTACGACAGTGCACAAACCACTGTAAGCTGCCACCAGGTAAAGTGCGAGTTTCCTACAATTGCTTGTTCAGTATCGATATATGCAAAATTGCCGAAGCTTTCTACCTGTGTAATCGGTCGCCTGTGAAATCGAATAGGCAATTACAAGCAGACCTGACATGTTTCGTCAAGGATTGAAGGTGAGAGGGTATTTTCATCATACATAGGAACCACCATTTGGGAACTTTGTCGTAGCTGTGGAGGATGTGATTGATCACTGATTCAAAGCAGCTCCAGATAAAGTGGGACTTACCGTTTCATAACAATATAATGCTCATCGTGTACAACACTGACTGTTTTGTTCCAAGGGTTGAACGCCCGTATAAATGGCATCAACTGATCGTGATAGAAGAGGACAACGTGTACTAGGGTTGCGCCCATGGCAAGATTAGCGGTAATGAAATATAGTGCATTCGTCGAAGAAAAATACGCCGGCTATGAAGATGGCCCAAATGCATAAGAGGGGGAGACTAAACCAATCCGGAAAGTGGATACCCACCCCGATTTGTTCGAATTTGGCTGGGTCAAACTTGTTGTTCGTTAAGATGGCTGTTTGATTGTATTGGTTACCTGAGTGGATAGTGTAAGTACAGTAGAGTCCGAGACAAATCAGGAAATAACTAGGACCATTGATATCGAAAATTGCTTGAGACATGAACGGAAACCTCTTTCCTTGCCAGATGTTACCGTAGTAGACAGCCGACATGAGAATGTACTATGGAATCTGGTATTTTCCAATGTTGCATTTGGAAGATGTACAATCACTCACAGTGAGGCAGATGCCAATGTTTTGATTTAGCTGGGTCCTGTAATTAAACATATGAGTTCCTTTTTATTCAGCCAGCCACAAAAGCGTTGATGGTGTCGTACCAGAGAGGGGTATATAAACACGGCGATCCGATAAGATTCCAATCGAAACACACGGCTAAGAGCTATATCACAGGGATGAGAACACATCCAGGAAATTCTCTAGGTCCTTACCCCCATCCCCTCATTATTGCTTGCACCGCCAAAGATACTGTGGTATGAATATCAGTCCGTACGCTTTTGAGGTGCACCATAAATCAGGACTTACTTGCGAAAAGTACCCGAGGAATTATCTACGAGACAGAAGATACTCACGCCAGTCAACAATGGGAATATCCACTGGGGAATGATCTCATAGCAAAATATAGCTGCAAAGACAAGCCAGAAAATTTTGGTTCGTTTGCTTGATAGACCACCATCGAAATGAAGCCTTTGACATGAACATATATGAGCATACCGTATAAGAGATGGGTGAAGACCATTTACGCTTGGAACATGTTAGCCTGTAATAAATGTATGTCAATACTTGTCAAAGTGTGTATGAGAGAGGGAGAGAGATCGACTTACTGGGGTTATACTCGATGGCCAAAACGTCACGGAGGGGTAGATCAGAGCCTCAATGAGCAACCCAGCAAATGAGTAGCCAATCAACTGAGAGGACAAGAGGGTGAATATAGCCACTGCAGGGTTCAGCTTATTTCCACTGGCCACATTTCAGGTGTTGAGACAGACGCAAAAAAACGACGAAACTGACTAGTAAAGATCTTGAACTGAGATAACTTGGATAGCTGTCGCAGAAGAACTTGCAGTAGACGCCATGATCAGAGCGGCACCTACACATTTCTCAACATTAACACGGAGCACGCCATTCGATGCATACCGTGCTCCTTGATATTGAAAGGGCCAGGATTGAGATACCACCAAAGCCCATGCGAAGGGAGCGCCTTTTCCCAAGCTTTTCCGAAAAAGTATAGTATAATCAACAGAAAGCCTGTACCTAGACATGAATCAATGGTTCTACCATAGCCATCACACGACGTACCTTGCGACACAGAAAGCGTCTGTGGTTTGAAGTAGTACAATTGCGCTAACACCGAGCTGAAGGCAAAATATCAGAAATAACCCACTCGACCTATGCTCCGACATACCCAAAAGCAGAGAAGCCAAGACCAAGGAAAAGCATTCGAAATGTAAGAACGGGGAGCTCGTAGTCGTCACTATAGGGTGATTTAATCATTGAACGAGGAAGGCCATAGAGATGAGGAACGTACCGAGTACTCAAAACCTTAATGACTAGATCATGAGCATCACTGACAAGATATTCCTTATCATCCGCGATGCCAGTTGCGAGTCGAGCCTGGTACAAAAAAAGATTTCAAGATCAATTAGAGAAACAGAACAGAAATTACCTCGAGCTCTTCGACCTCTTTCAGACGCAGCTGCTCCGACCGATCATCCGTCGAGTCAAAGTCGATGGTCTCCACATAATCAAGTTTCTCGTTGCTGGAAGGAGTGTGAACGTCCTTCTTCTCGATGTCATCAATGAGCCCGCTGTCTTGTCGAGCAGTGACTGTCTGTGTAGTCGACATAGCACCTGTGAGAGATCTCGCAAGATACTAAGGGAAACGAGAGAAGATATGAGGGCCGGTTTTATGGTAGACTCGGAAACATAATCCCTAGGATTGTTCCTAATATTTCCCGAAAAGTTATATTCCCTCGTATCCACTAAACCTTCAGATTTCAATCCCTAAAATAGTGTCCACTTCTCATGTGGTGGTCGATAGCACCCGAAATCCCCATGGATAGGCTGAGAGAGGAGATATCGAGCTGCACTGAGCTGGTGCTATTGATAACAAGAATAGAAGCACTCAGCACTTGCAAGATAGCTCCAGCAAATTTTGACAGGAACAGCATGATACCATATGAACACTTACAAAAAGCAGAAAGTGTTTGATGTAGTAGTGCCTGCACTAAGCAGTTATTGTACAGGATGTAGTAAACTGCTTCGTTCGAGAATGCGACCTCGTCATATCCTATCCGAGTTGGGCCTATCCTGACCATAGTATTCAGCCAATCATGATAGCTTGCAAAATCTCATTACTCACTTTCGGATTGCAAGAGAAGAGAAACCTGGGCGTGGGATCAGTTCGATGCAAAAAAAATGTCATCACCAGAGAGTCGAGTGACTACATGAATGAAGCGTTGTGGTGTCTTTCCATCTTGAATATTCGTCAACGAAACATGTAGAACTTTGATTCTTGAAGCTTGAAGATGCAAGGACGTAGTCTCCTGTTTTCTATGGTACATACTGTACATATGCACTCAAGTCAATTAGATACAGCACAATCTATCGTCTCAGTCCACTGGATAAATTTAAGCATAATAGGTTCAGCGGCAAAAAAAACGGAAGAAAATTTGAGGGTGGCAGACTCAAGACCATCCACCCCACATCACACGAGACCGGTCGCGACCCGGATGTCCTTGATCACCGACACTATTTCCCTCTCCAACGCCTTCGCCTTCTTTATCATCGGCATCCACATCCATCAGATCAACATCCCGATCGATGAGTTTACTGACCATTTCCACATCTCCGTCCACATCGAACTGCGAACTATACCCGAACCCGAACCCATCGTTCTCCTCAGGGCGTTCACGCCCAGTTTCCGTCCAACCTTTATTCTTCTTGGTCTTTTTGATTGGGGACTCCAACCCAGGAATACTGAAGAAAGCTTGACTATGCACGGTAGGATCGTCATCAAAGCTACGGACATTGATGGCCCCGTCTTTGGTAAAGATGGACTGGGATGCGACGTAGCCGTAATCTGGACTGTCAGCATTGTCGTTGAAATCATCATCCTCTCCATCATTCACTCCGTTCGCCCAAGGCGCCGCACCGAATCCATTACCGGAATAGAGATTACCTCCACCTCCATGGGTACTTCCACCATTGCTCTTCCTCCGAGGTTGGGTAGAGGCCTGAGGAGGGTCAAAAGCATCAAAGTCATGTGTGAAGTCTGGAAGTTGTGATGCGTTAAGGGTGGAAATTTTATTTTTCGGAGTAACATTTTTGGCTTCTCCACCATCATCCTCGTCCTCGTCTTCAGAAGAAGAGCCAGCGAACGGACGAACAACTCCAGGGCGTAGCTTCGTAGGAGATGTCAAATCCACGTCCTCCATCCCGAAATATCCTCTCTTCTTTGGTGATTTACCCTCAATCGCTTTCCCTTTGTCCTTCACCTCCAAATTATTATTGCTATATCCGTCAACCCCGTCACCCTCAACTGATCCTCCATCCGATCCTCCATGGCCGACAAAACCGTCAATGACAGACAACGGAAGGTCGATAGCATATCCAGACGCCGTGAATTCAGGCTGGTGTTGTACGCTATACGTCGAAGTGACCGCAGACGTGAACGTCTGTGTTTCATGAACGGCGGTGGGAGGTGCCCGGACAGCTGTCTGATTAATCGAATTCGAATTCGAGGGTCCAGCAACACTCGAAGGCGCACGTTCTGCAATCTTGAGACGCGCATTGTGGTCATTGGCATCCGCAGAATCACTCCTCCGTGTTGAAGGAGCTGGAAGAGGAGCTTGAGGTTTCTCTCCTTGTGCGGATACCAACGCTGAAGCCATAGAAGTTCGCTGACCAGATCCTGAAGCAGCAACAAGTTGATTGCGACTCGGGCCCGCTGCTCTACCACTAAGCGGCGTAGAGATGATAGTCAATGTATTCTTTCTCTTCATAGGCGTCGCGGTTGTCTTGCGCACAGAAAGAAGTTCCATGAGCGTGGGAACACGTTTCTTGTTCCCATTCCCCTCATCTGGTGTAGCCGGTGGTGGACTGAGCGGAGAAGAGGAAGGGGGCGGAGGTGGTATCGGTACGTTTGTGGTATGATGGGATTTCAGGCTGTCGACCTTCATGGGTGAATTATCCGCCACAGGGGCAATATTTTTCTCTATCCGAGCTTGTTTCGCGGGCCGTGAATTTGTGGCGGAAGATGGGGATTGGGGTCTTTTGAAAGAGGATTTGGAAGCTCCTTCGGGGACGGAGATAATCCGTGGCGGTCGAGTGGGGGACGTGTGGAGAGGTGGAGGGGAAAGAGGCGAGGATGATGGTGCAGGTTCCTCTATTGCAACAAGTTGGCCTGTGCCATCCTTGGGAGTGGAGTGTTTTATTTGAGATGAACGGAACGACAACGGCTGTAATTGAGATGTTGTGAGTATAAGGATGGGTTGAGATACGATGTACAGACCTGACTGGGTAATCCAATATGAACGTCGTGATGAGAATCATTGCTCAAGAGGTCATCGTCAACACGAGGCGGATCTCGTGGAATAGAAGCTTTGGGTTTACCAGCAAGTTTAGTCGCAGACGACTTGGACGCAGCAAATTCGAGGGAGCTCTGCTTTGCGACAGATTGTGCACTTTTTCTGAGAGCTGTTGTTGATTCCGCTGTCTCTTTCCGCTTAGTCTTGGATTTGGAGGAGCTAGCTTCGGAAGGAGCGTCAGAAGCTCGACGGGGTCGATCTTTTGTTTCCACAAGAAGCGTTTGTTGCCAAGTTTTTACTTTTTCATGCAAAGCTACACTTTTGCGCTCCTTGGATGCAACGCTAAGATTGCTGGTAGAGTTTCGTGTGAGCGTAGGAGCTCCGTTTTGCTTAAAGAAGTGGGTAACCTCTGTCACCCAATGCTCCTTCTGAAAATTCTTCACCCTAGCAGCGTCAGGAGCATCTTGTGGCAGCAGGGCATCGAGAAACGGTTTCAAAGAGTCGACAAGTTTCTTTTTGGCTAGTATCACCCGGATTTCCGTGGAACCATCTTGTGTGCTACTAGCTAGCCATTGTTGAACAAGTTCTAGGATATCTGCTTCCCATTCCCTCTTCTCCAGAATCTGCTTCACTACTGCCGTCTCGCGGGTTGGATACGACTCGGTCGGAACCCATTCCTTCTGTGCACGGTAAAGTAACTCCTTCTCATACTCTGGGCCTGACCGCGGCTTCCATTCTCGCCTGAGCAACTCTGAAACTTGTTCGCTCCAAAGACGCAACTCTAATGGCGGCGACGCCACGATTTGCTTCTTTTCCGGTACGATCCATCGAAAGTCGCGGCCCCGAGTGCAAGTTAGTTGAAGTAGCTGGCGAACAGTAGCCCATCTGCCGTCTGCGGGGTTCCAATGCGCAGCCTTGGAGACTTTGACTATTCGGTCTCTGATGTCGTCTACCGACTCGGAATTATTTGCAGCCTTCCGTTTGCCTGTACAAGCACCATCTTCCTCATCGGAGTCGTTGGTTGGTAGTCGGGAAAGAGCATTTCGTTTCCGATATATCTCGAGAGTATATGCGGAGACAGAGGGATCGACTGCTGTCCGTGAAGAAGCCGATGAAGATGATTTGGCACTTCTTTTCTGTGCCTTCGGTGCCATATTTGCCCAGACAATGAAGATAAGGAGTACAAATAAGTTATCAGGCCAAACTCATGGTTGTACAAAGTCAACCAAAGCGCCTTGAGCGTAGACGCTAACCTTACGTAACTTTCCTAAAAGGGGAACAAAAAGTTCGGAACGAGTTCCTAGCGCCGGACAATGGTCCCAAGTCTCTTTTGTTCTTCAACGCTTATAATGGAGGGTGTTTGTAGGACAGAAGGGCCATTACAGCTTGAGTCTGCTGAACTGTTCATACATTTTCTCGATTTCTTATCCTCTTCAAGATCCTGCACGAAATTTGTAAGTCTCATGCTTTCTTATATTACTGGTCTAAATTAACCCTCAGTTATCTAGTACTGCTTGTTATTATAATAATTTCATGATGAACGCTCCTAAGCCATGCCCTTCTGTGCCTCTTCCCGCTTCTCCTGCTCCCCCAGCACCTTTAGTCGTTCGTCGCCGGTCGTCAACTTTTACTTCGATTTCCAACTGGGCAAATGCCGTGCAGCCAGGATCTCCTGCTCCTTATTCCCCTCCGCTGTATTCTCCTTCTGGCTCCCCTGGACTTGTAGCACGTCGCCCTTCTTTGCCACGTCGCCCCTCAATTTCTGCGGCTCGAGGAATTAATCGCCGTCGTCCCAGTATATCTCATATACGCGCCCGTTCTGGTTCAGCTTCTTTTCTACAACTTGTCGATACCCCCACTACCGCAGGACACAGGTCTATACCTACACCAGGACCTGTTAGCCCAGGCAAAGTCTCTGATTTTGACTTGACTAACCTTGGTTATACATCCATCTTCGTGCACTTGCCACACACGCCATCTACCCCATCTCCGTTCATACTTCCTGCGAACACTGATAAAATCCCTATTCCATCTACTCCTCGGACACCTCCAGCGGCTCCTACCAAAGGTCTCAAACGATTCCGATCTTTAGGAATGTTAAAAGGCCATCGCAGGCGTGGCAAGTCAGTTGCTCCTCCTGCTAGCCCATCCACTACAGCAGCAGTTCCTCCTCTTCCTCGGTTACCCAGTGCAGAATCCGCATCCATACCTCCATCATCACCTACTCATCGGATCCCCGCAGCTACGAAATCAAAACCCGTCTTGACACCTCCTCCCTCCACTACTACTTTCAAAAAGGCGAAGAAAGCTTCAGCAGCAGCTCCGCCGCTCCCCCCTACACTCGCCAATGAACTTCTTTTAATGCAATTCATGGGCGGAGGATCCCTCGAGACGCACGCAAAGAGGGTTATGGAGAAACAAGCCCGTGACGTTGCTCCCGCTGGTCATTCCAAAGACATCATTGCATCTACCACAGCTGGCACTGCACCTTTTGGCGTCGGCGTCGGCGCCGTCTACCGTGATGAGAAAGGTATGATGTGGTGGGATGCAGAAGAAGCCGTCGAATATCAACCTCTTCTTCCTCCCTCGTCCCCTGGGAGTCCAGGAAGTCCTACTAGAACATGGGTGCTCTTCGGTCACCCTAGTCCCAGAGCACACAGATTAGCAGGATTCAATGTTCAAGACGGAGACGAACGCCGCGGTTCAGTGACATCGTCCATCCCTTCCTCACCTTCGCTATCGCTTTCCTTAAACCACATGATCACCCCCGCTCCCATAGACACAGCCGCTAGAGCTATGCATCTCCTCCGCATCCCCACAAGCGAGATGAGTGCGAGCTTAGCAGCTCTGAACTCTAGTCTCACAACTGCTTCTGGTGCAGCGGCTCGTCAAAGACGAAACAAGCGAACCCGGCGTCGTCCTGCGCCGCTTAAACTCCATTCAGCACCAGCTGTGCCTACTGCGTCTCATGTGTTACATCTTTTCGACGACTCCTTCGTACCTTCACCCGCTATCCGTCAGATCGGAAATAGCTCTGTAGATATTTCTGCGCCTGCGACTTGCACTGATTTTCCCCCTCCTCCGAAAGAACCCTCCGACTTGATTTCTATCAAAGAGGCCAAAATCTCAAAAACCGGCTTTAAGGGTAAAGCAAGAGCGCTTTTTGGTGGATTTGCTTAGATGAAACGAAACGAACACGACGACAACGTTCTCCGAATGAATCTTCAGGCTGGATACCTCCCATTTATTTCTAGATCCATCTCATTGTATCACTATCTTGTTTGATTTTGTTGGATTCCTTTGGCAATTGTTTCCTGTATTCCTGTATTCCTACGAAGACGATTGTAACTTGTAGAACTCCTTGCCCTGCTCCACTTATACCTACATGTAGCTTTAACCAACGCTATGTTTTAATTCTATTAAAAGATGAACCTAACATTTTTTGTAAGATGTAAGCTCAGCTTCGGGAGGAGGAAGGAGCCCAGGCCCCAGGAGGGAACACGATCCCAATCAGGCGATTCAAAGATTTCTGAAGCGCATGTATTTTTGAAGATGAGATGGGGTTGGAAATGTACGCAGTGTATATAAGGCTAGTACGCGCATGATAACAGCAATAAGCTGAATAACCTCCGGCCGTTCATTAACATGTACAATCACAGCTTGACAATGCTATTGAATATTGAATGCTTATGCTCATATTCTTCAATTCCGCGACAAGTTTGAAAAGGTCAATAAGGTGAATAAATGTATTGCCTAGATGAGCGGTAATTGGACTTGCGAAACAAGATCAGCGTCTAAGGTGTGCATGAAAACGAATAGGTGCACATACAGTAACGTGAATAGGATATGCGAATTTACTTCTTCTCGGCCTCCGCATGCTCTTTCTCCAACTTCTCCTGCATAAAATATGAGTAAAATGTTTCATCTTACAAATCGTCTGCACGTACAAGTTCTATCTTTTTTAGTTCAATCTAGAAGGAGAACGTGAGGACGATTGTGACCCTTTCGAACGACGTATATGTACCTCTGCTTTCAGCTTCATGAGTTTGGCATGTTCCTGCTTGTGTGCATATTCGTCTAGAAGATTAGGAAGCACTGCTGTGAGCTCTGCAGCTTCAAGAATCACAATGTCGCTTACTCTCAACAGCACTTTCTCTTTCCCTGTGATCGCAACATTGATTTATGTACATCCGAAAATAACTTATGAACGACGCACTTGAATCCTCTTGACTGAGCTACAGAGCCCTCCTTAGCACTAGAGCTATAGCGGACTGATACAGTTGCCACCCTGGGAACACGACGAACAGCAAGGCGAGAAAACATGGTGGTTGTTGGTAAAGAGTTTCGACAATCTCGCGGCACGGTTTCAGCCGTAACCCTAACCTGCGCTCTATCCTATACCACCATCATGTCCAACATCCTTAGACGGGCTGCTAACGCTGTAATCACTGTTCTTGTTTTCGAGTGATTTGAACGTTAATATTTAACTCTACAGGCTCAAAATGTCTCTCGCTCCCGTTTATTCTCATCCTCTGTCGCTGCGCGAAAAGGTAGTTCAGCTCGACTTAATACGCGCGAAGTTTTTTAACCCGAATTCATCCGCAGACCTTGTCCAAGACCTTTATTTGAAGGAAATCAAAGGATACAAGGCTCCGCCGGTCGTGAGTACATTTTGCTGATCGTCTCACTATCTCGAAGCTCAAGGCATCGTTGCTAGGCCAAGGATGCTCACGTTGGTGTTGTCAAGTCCTACTCCGTGCCCCCAGCACCGAAAGCCCCTTCGCTTCCTTCCGATATCGCGTCTGAACTGGCTGCATACGATACATCTGAGCCTGTTTCAGTCTCCCAGCCTGCTGCACCACAGACCTCGGGGAGTGAAGAAACGGTTAGCGGCGCCGATGCGTACCTCAGTTTTCTTGAGCAGGACCTACCCAAACCCGAGGCGCACCACCACTGAGGAGAAGGCCTGCTGAGGAGGTTTGTCAAGAGAGAGGTCTATAGTAGCGCCTCGGTGACCTTAGACAAGTACAGATAGAGCAAAATCATTGTTACATGGAGCGGATGGTGCATACTCGTCCGTTGGTATACGTGAGCCCAGTCTCGTTGCAATCTTAGTACCACTTGCCGTCGCAACTCTTCGACACCCAGTTGACAACCTTCCAGCAAGATCTTCTTTCCGAATCAATTGATTTTGCTCATTAGTTTCTAAGCTATCCTAGAATACAATGTGAATGCTAGATGCAGGAACTACAAGATAGGATAATAAGATATGCAAATAGTGGTGTGCTGTGTTTGAGTGAAAGCCTAGATATGGTGGCATAAAGCGAGCAGGGATGTTGAGAATGAAAGCAAAAATCTCATCATGCGAATGCACTATGAGAAGAAATACTGCGAGGCTTTGATAGCCTCGACCTTGAAGTCGCCCTTCTTGGGCAAGGGCGGCAACAAGTCAACCAGGTTGACGAATTTTCCCAGAAGTTCGATAGATTGAAGGTCTGCACTCGCTTTTCTTAACCGAGCGGCCTTTGAACGAGGGGATTCCCAATCTTCTTCCTCCTCTTCCTCCAGCTCTTCTTCATGCTCCTCTGGATACTTGGAATTACCAGTAGCCGTAGCTGCTTTACGCTCCTGAGCTAAATCCACAAGGAGAGCCTTCAAGTCGACCGAATCTGCGTTGTCCTGGATACTGGAATTACCCGTCTTTGACACATCCACAAGGTTGGCTATGGATGGCAATGATTGGGCTTGCTCTGGAGTGACCGTGATACGCGAACCAGCTTGCTTCAATGCTTTCGCAAGAACACCAGTGTGAAGGCTGGCAAGAGGAATCTTGTAATTCTGATAACGTTCTTTGAACTAGTATAAAAGGTTGATAACACGACAAGGAAGACAAATACAGCTATCGTACCTCGTCGTGCAATTTCTTGAGGACATCTGATGAATGCAGTGCGATAAAGGTGTCGCGAATGATACCGGACATTTCATCGATGTCGCAAGCATGAGTCCAATATGAGTCGTGCACAGCAGCAAAGGTCAACCCTTGAGTCTATTGCAATGGGAGTACAGTGAGGATCAAGAATCAAGCTAGGTATAATGCAACGTACACGACATTCGAGAGCAGTAAGCATCATGTGAGTTGCATCAAGACTATGTATAAAATTGGGGGGGAAAGCGCTAGCCTGTTTCATCGTATTTACTTCAAATGTTATATCAGGAGACGTTCACATCTTGCCAAAATGCATGGCTTACCTTCAGATGGGGAATTGGGATCGGAAATATACACTGTTTGCATGGATGTGACGATTTGTTTTCGATTTGGTTTACGATAGGGCTGTACAATGGGGAGTCCTAGCGGCGTGGTCCAAACGACCGAAGTCATTTGTTCTTTGCGCAAAAACTCATGAGGCAGTTCTGTTTTCTTTTTCTTCGACTTTGAGTTTTCCCTTTGAATTTTGCGTGCACGATATTCAGCGAGTGATTCTGCAATACGGTCTTCCGGAATGGCTTTGGATATGAGACGAGCACATAGGGTGAGCCAAAGTTGGATGTCTTTAGCACCTGTGAACAAGTCTCCAATACAGCCAAGGACCTGTAGGAATATCCTTAGTCCAAACTGACAAGGATCAAAATTCAACTTACCACTTTAGCAAGGTAAGCCGAAGCACCCCAAACATCCTCCTCTTCGAATTGCTTCGTGAGCTTGATTTGCCTTTCAATTTGTTCTCGAGCTCCAATGAAGGTTACGCCGTACACGGTCGTCATGACCTGAATATGCAGATCAATACTGGTTAATAAAGCTGAACAAGGAACTCACAGTCTGCTTGACGATCTTACGAGTAATTTTGCCCTGAAGCACAGCTGCATACTTTTCACCCTTTGCAATGTCCCGTTTAATGATTTCCTCTGCCATGTTCCCAACATAGGTATAGACATCTGACGGACGTTCGCCGGCGCTCAAGTTGACCTGTTGCGCACCGCGAGAATCACCTCCTAAAGCGGCATAGTGTTGCAGACCGTTGCATGTTCCATCCTGATGTACTGGAAGGCATGACTCGTATTCAATGGGATTTTCGGACGTCAAAGCAGCATGTAGCTCCATGCATGCACCAAGACACTGCCAAGGATCGTCCGCATGAATCCACCAGCGTCGGCCCTGGCATTACATGTGAATTCTCCTTGTCTAGACGATCCAACATGAAAACTCACTTCAAGAGGCTTAGTGGCGCTGTCATAAATATCATCTAAATGATCCTGAACGAACTGCACACGCTCGTCAAAGTTGGCCTTGTCATAGCCGTACAAGTTTGCCAGATGAATTTGTAACCACCGTAAACCACGTTCGCCCAAAGGTTTGGATTCTGCGAAAATCAGAAGTCCACGACTGAGGTCATTGCCTATATGATTCAAATGAGGAGGGATTGGATATGCGCGGCCACGAAAATCGATGTTATGGGGAAAGTAGATGGTATCTCCGAGGAACTGAGAGATTTCGTTTTCAGTATATATTCCTTGAAGCACAAGTAAAACTCACAGTCCTGGCAATTTCGATCTTATAATTGACACTGCATCTATCAGAGTGATTATTGGCCTTTGCCTGTGTCCATCCTTTCATACGATGTATATAGGTCGTACGTGTCTTGATATCAGCACCTTCAGGCAGCACAGGCTCTGGATCGGGAAAAACAGCAGGCGGAAGCTTGCCCAGTTTCTCTCCGGAGTTCCACACTTTGAGGACGACATCGAAGACTTTGCGATTTATCTGCCACGGTGTGCTTCCAAGAACGTCCAATCCGGCATACACAAGTTCGACATTACCGAGTTCGGATGCATGGTTAAGATAGCTTTGTTGTTCAATGGATTCCTTGAATCGCATGGCCGAGACTATAGAATTTGAGTCAAAAATCGGATGTATTATTAGAGTTTTGTGGAAGCTCACCTTCGCTAAACATGTAACCACCCTTTTTGAGACCTAACCAAGGTTTGGGTTTCACGAGCATCGGTAGATGTCGAGGATGAATGGTGTCCCGTACATTATCGTTCGCCAGTCGCTCCGAAACCGCAGGGTTGAGCCGAATGACTCCAAGTTTTTGTCCACGACTATGTTCATAGCTGTGGTGAAATGCAGGCTGAACCTCGGTGCTATGAAGGAAAGATCAGTGACATATACCTACAGGGCACATGAATTGAACCCTTACAGGATCTCATTAGTAACTTTGTGCGTTGCAGATCTCGTCACTTTCGCAACATCCATGAGACACTCGACCAGTATGCCTCCAATTTTCGCTCGCGTTGCCTGTGTCCAGGTTGCGGTCCAGGCTTCCCCATCAGACATATGTCTAGCAGCAACTATCCGCCTCTCAAGCAAACTGTTATATCCTAGATTGGAGAAGTACCCGTTATCACCCAGTCTACCGATACTTGGTAAGATAATGTTGTTTTTTTTGCAGATCTGCGCTTTGTATTCATTCTCTACCGCCTTGCCAACAGCAATTAATGCCCGGGTCGTCTTCATCCCTTCCGAGACGCCACCAGACCCTTGTAACCGCATGATTTCGAAAATGGTGATGAGCGATAACCGTTCAGGTTTGACCAAGGAAAGATATGGTGATAATTGCAGCCGATCCTCCTTTTTATTTTCTATGAGCTCTATGTTTTTTATTTCCTCTTGAAGTCGCTCCTGTAATTTTGTATGCCAATCCCACATCCACCGTCGTAAATCGGGCTGTCGCATATGGCCTGTGTCAAGACCAAGTTGCTCGAAGACATCAGACTCGTGTTTTAGGCGGTCCATAGCAGTTTCATAAACTGTATCTTCGAGAAGCTTTTGCCGTGCTGCGACATCTTCCGGGAGCACTCGTCGAGCAAAGCAGACTCGTGATAGATGGCGACGTAAATTAGAAAGGTTGAAAGGAACCTCGTATTCAGGTTCTTGCTCTTCCTCCCCAGACGATGATTCTGAGGGCTCTTTCTTCTAATGCGCCACGAGTCAATCAAAAGGACTGCTTTGAGTCAAGAAAACTTACTTTAACACGCATTACAGGCATAACCTCAGGAATATCAGCTAGGATGTCCTCGTAATGAGCACCTATAGCCTCGGTCTGACCTAACCGGGCGATGACCTCTGTATGACCTAAATCTGCGGCGGCTTTCGATAGAAGTTTGATGACCTCGGCCGCTTCACTTGAAGTTTCAAAAACGCGGTCTGCGACGACATTCTCTATAGGAATGTCGCGATTGAGAATGCTTATGAGCATATCTACAGGGGGTACCGCTCCAGTGTCAGGTACGTAGTTGGGTGAATCAGGACCAAAACTGGAAGACGTTTCTTCAGCGAAACACAGTGAACAGCGAGATCTTCTATGAACTCACCGGATCCAAGCTTTGAGCATGGTGGCATAAGTTCCAGCGGATGGCTCTACTTTCTCTTGGCCAGCTTCCATAGTCGTGAACAGCTCCCATGCACAGTCTATCCAGAATTCTCTGTTATCTGCAGCCTTGGACATCCCCATATTGACGTACGCTTCTAGAAAAGCATTATACATCCGTACTTCCAATAATTTTCCAACAGCATCTCTTCTTAGCCGGTCAAAGATACCTTTGGCGCGGGGGACGTCAAATAACTGGTATAAACAGGCATCTATGACAGCTAGCGAGTCTTGTGTTGCTGAGTCTACGAGCCAGGTCGAATTTTTGGTGGAAGCATTGGTGCTTATAGATGGAAGTGGCGTAGGGAGAAGAGTGTATCGTGGTGGATTCTTCAGGAAGTTTTCCATATCTGTAGGAAAATTATGTGATACAGCATCTTTGCCAGCTCTGGGGAAGAAGGATGGATAACTGGACTGAGGGACTTGTTGAGTGGCTGCTGCAGGCGCGCTAGACTTTCGAGAAGGAGTAGAGTAGAGCCTAGCTGGTCTAGGAAGACCTTGGCGGGACAACAGTGAAGTAGTCTCTAGCCTTTTTGCTGCCCGTGGTATCATTCTGTGAATGGACCCGTTCAGTCGAACTCGAAGTAAAAATTCGCGAAGCGGCACTAAGCCGATCCGAAGAGGGCCGCTGACTCAGAATACTCTCACGATTCCTATCAAACGCTTTGACGGTATTTGTTGCTGGCGTCTAACAGCGTCTAATCTCAAAGTCCTCCTCAATGCATTGACCCAGGAGTTTACAACGCCGCGAAATGACAAAAAGTAGCCACAATCAAATTGGTGGACATATAAAGTAATTAAATACACAGAATCAAGTAAGGAACTAACGAATCATTATATAGTATACAGTCCGAGACGGGGGGTCTGGAGACGGGAACGAAATGCAACCTAACTGGCCTATGTCGCTCGCTAATATCTAACCAATGCGCTACTAGAAATTAGGAACTACTGAGAGAGTAGCATAATCAGCTGGGGGCTCCTCCGACCATGCTTCATAGAATGCTCTAGCTTCTTCCTCCGTCTTCCATGACATGATCAGGATATGGGGACCGCCCTTGCGACCTCGAACCTGCGGGGAGATCTGGTTTCCGCGTCTTGTCATCCGTGCAAAGCTGAGTGCGGTACCATGCAAATCGGAGACTGCTGAAAGATCAATAGGTCCCATGCGCACACTCCATTCATGAGTTGTCGGACGCTTGGTAGGGGCAGGAGCCTGTAGCGGTGGTGCGTAAAGTTCTGGTATTGGCGGCATTTGGTTACTCGACTGGGGAGTTATCGGATCCTGGCCAATGCTGTACACCGAATCTCTACGACTATGGATCGAGCTGCGAAGCTGACGAATGGCGTCCACAAGCTCTCTTTGTGATTGTGAAGAAGCAACTTGACTCGAGATAGCTTCGTTCAGCAGGTATTGAACCTCGCTTACAGTATTCGTAAGGTGTTGAATGTTCTCGAGTAGTGCCGCATTGACTGCGCGAGAGTCATCCAGTGGCTCGATTGCCTCTTCGACTTGGGCTGGATTGACAGTTGCGTTGGACGAACGAGATCTAGACCTCTGGGACTTCAAAATCAATAGGTTAGCGGGTATTTTAGGCGAAAAGTACTAATGGGTTTCTATCCTTACCTGTACTTCTTCTTGCTCCTGGATTTGCTTCGCAATTTTGAGATCCTAAGACATTCTCAGGTAGGCATACAACATTTCCAACCGAGAAATGAACCTACCAAGCAGGGGGCGAATTGACTATGTTGACGGATTCGTGCACCGTATTTGAAGAACAGAAAGGGTATCGGTGCCAAAAGCAGGGAGATCAAAGCGATCAGTGTTGAGGCCCAATTGATACCCAGATTGTGATACATCTGTACAGTGAAAAGAGGAAACACGGATCCAACCAGAGATCGAATCATCGTATTACTTGCAAGGGCGGAGGCGGCGAGCAGCCTGCGATAATGACTGGTGAGTAGCTTCATAACATGAGTTACAGATAGTACTTACAAATACGTGTCGACAATGTAAGTCTATATCAATACAATGAGCGGAGGGCTATACATTGAGAGAAGATCGGCTCACGATTAGCGAAGTGAAAATAGCAGAGATCGCCATTCCTACAAATACTGTGCTGATACCTGGTACATACCAGGGTACACTCGCATAATTTCCGGTCCACCCAAGCCAGAAGCTACCGATTACCAACATAACAGAGCCGATCATGGCACTGTAGAGCCTTAGTTCCGCAGGAGGAAACCCTTTCCACTTGGGAATGATCTTGTTGACTTGCTTTGCAAAGTACAAGTTCATGAACGTCGTCAAAACACTGCCGATGCCGATTCCAATGAATAAAAGGCCTTGTTGAGTGATGGTAAACCCTCTGGTCTCTATAAATATAACAGGAAAAGCCTCAAATACTGTAACGTTGTCAGTTAATGAGATTGAAATGATTGCAAGATTACTCACAGGCGTATAGAATTCCATACACAACGGACATGTATACGGTGATGAGCATTAGGATGGGTTCTTTAGCCATCATCTTCCAGGGACGGTATAAAGTACGCTCCAAAATCCCGTGAGGGGACGAGTCTAATTTCTCGTGGTCAGAAAACAAGTTCCTGTTGGTGATAGGGTCTTCTTTCCGTAGACGTACTGCCTGAAGAAAAATGAGCCGGGACTTTCGACATGTAATGCAACAATTTCATACGAACCTTGCGAGTTAAGAGGACGGGACCGTATGTTTCGGGTAAGCACACTATGGCGAACAGTGTACACGCGCCGGCAAAAATCATCATAACCCAATAGATCCATTCCCAACCTAGGCGGGGGTCGGCAGCAACGCTACAAATGCATGTCAGCATTTCTCGTCACGTCACCGCATATATGGTGCATAAGACTGTGCATAAGACTTACAAACCGCCAACGAGAGGTCCCAGGGAAGGACCCAAAAACACACATCCACCGAAAAGACTTGTTGCGTATCCACGGCCTTGGGCGTTCCATACATCCGCAAGGATACCTGAAGATAGAAAATCAGTTTGAAATAAGTCTGAGATACTGGCAACATACCTCCACTTGTAATAAGAGGCGCCACAGCAAACGCTCCGGAGAAAAACCGCAAAATGAGAACAGTTTGAATATTGGTAGCTACGCCTTGACCAACGAAAAGAATTGTGTATGAACACATGGCGATCAACAAAACATATCTACGCCCGAACATTTCACTTCCGGAACCCCAGAAAACGGGCTATGAGAAGAACAATGTAGGTTTAGACATGGGACGATCATGATTCGACGTACCCCCAAAACATAACCCATCAGGAAGAGAGCGGTGACCAGATCCGACACCTCTTCACTGATGTTGAACCGTGCAATCAACCGATCACCTGCAAGACTAGGGGCGGAAGAAGCGAATGTTCTGTTTAAAAGTGATCCGATCTGAGGTGAATTACAACTGATTTACAAGTTCTCCAATTGACGTACGCATTGACAGTCAAAGCACAACAGACAGCCGTGATAACCCACTTCTTGCTGTTCGAAAAGTTTTGCGGATTATGAGGATCGTCTGGTCCGTCCCAGGACACAGCGACCGGCTCATTGGTGGGAACTTCATGAACCTCCGGTTCAGGCATCTTCTTCTCATTCTTCTCTGCGTCCCGCACATTGCGCATCTCTATCGCGCTTTCATCATTAACATCTTCGTCGAGTGGCGCGAGCCCCGGCGGAGGTGGAGGACCATGCCTATATCCTGTGTGCAGTGGGAAGCCATTTCCAGGCATTTTTCAAATACTGAAATGCTGTCGACGGGACTTGGGCCTGGTTGCGCGGGAAAAGTCAGAAATCTCAGAATACAGGTCAACTTTTCTTTTGTACCCGCCCGAAACGCATCGCCGTGTATGAATGTCCGGTCCTCGACGGGAATAAATCAATAAAAACACGCTACCGCGTTAAGGTGACTCGGGTTGTGGCCGAGGATAAATTTCCTTTAAGAGAATGTCGGTTCCCTAGCTCCATAACATCGATGCTTCGATTTCAGTATCCTGTGTATACTTGAACTTGAATCTCCATGCCAAATACCTGCAACACCATTAACAACACCCGTTTACGCGCCCTCCTCCGCTTCCAAATCCCGTGCGATCAGAGAGTCCCAAAGCATTTTTCACGGAGCATTGTGGATTCAACATACATGTCCACGGTTACGAATTCCGCACTCGCGGGCAAACAAGTTCAAGTTGCGTGAATTTGCATCATAGATACACAAGACAAATCAGTGCGATCAGGCATCGGAGCCTGCTGCTCACGCGTTCACGCCACAGTGTCACCTCTCTAACCCAAACGAGTTTATGTAATCGAACACTTTGGAACAGCGCCGCAAACTTCGCAACCCAAGGGCCAAAATAAAATTTTGTCATTCGTCGTCTATCTGTGGGAGGTAAATCTTTGGGAAATTTTCCCACACCAATGCCCTATATCACTGCAAGAATAAAAGGTCCAACAACTTGAAGACTGATTAAGCTCGGGGGTATCAACTGAAACATCAAGGGCTATCGAAGTAAAAAAAGGTAATAGGTAATGGGTAGTGTTAATGTGTACCGGGAACGAAGGATTAAAAAACGGGAAGACCGAATGTGGACCACAACTCCGAAAGGCGAACGGAAGATTTATTACAGTAAATCGAGAAACGATATACATGATAAGTAACCTCGACTAGGGACCGGCACTTGGACATGAAATGTCGAACATGACCGTCTATCATCTATCAACCAATCCGACTTGCATCGAAAAAAATCAATTCCTGCGGAATCGTTTCCAGAAAGGTGTCTTTGTAGTTGTAGAGGACATTGGATAGGATGGGTACGAAGATGCACCAGACATACGGTCCCTTCGGCGTCCGAAGCACACGGTGCAACCAGCGAGGAGAAGGAGGATCAACGAGACGAATGTCAACCAAAACCCTGGCCGCCGCATCAACGGTTAGTCAGTTGGAACGTGGCAGAAATTAAAGTGGAGTAAGAAAACGCACCTGGTGCAGTATCTGTACTGCCTTGAATTGAAGATATCTTGCCAATCTCGTGGTGAAGAAACGCGTAGAGTGCGATGTCGATTGCGAACGCGATCAATGTGAGAAGGGCGGCAAGGAAGGATAAAATGGATGCGATGAGCGTTACGGTGACATGGCTCGAGAAAGAGAAAAGTAACGCAATAAAGGTTACTGCCGTGGCTAGGAAAACAGATTTCAGGAAAGCGACACACCAACGCGGAACTAAGGAGGCTTACCAACGGGGTGCACAGCTAGTCCACGAGTCCAAGAGCCGCTAATTATCACGTTTGCGTCCTTGTTGGTGTCAGAAATGGAGGTAGAGTAGCCATGACCAGCATCTCCACAGATACGCGAGCCATCATCCTTGTACGTGCATTCAGCCCTAATTGCTGTAAGAAAAGATTGATTTAACTGCAGGAAACAATAAGTCCATACCAGACTCCAAACTAAACAGACCGCAGAATCGATATCAGAAAACCCGAAGAGAGATTTCGGGATACGCACTCGGATTTCATTTACTGTATCTCCATTTATTAGCGCATTCCCATTCATATGAGCGCGGGCGATATCCAACGCGGGTAAGAAGGGAAGAGAAATAGACACGAGAATACTGAGAACAAAAGCACAGAAAAGGAAAATAATTCCAGGGATACAAAACATTCGTGACATGGTGGGCGTGAACGCTTTTGAGCAGCGAAAATAGTCGTGAGAGGGAGTAGGAGGAAAGCCGCAGAAAGATTTTCAGATTTTTGATTTTAGAACAACGTAATGACATCATGCTCATTGATTTATCCCACGCCCAGAAGTGCCCAGATCATCAAAATCGAATTGATTTTCGATTTTTTGGCCTGCGCTTGGATCTTCTCAGGTCAAAGCTGTAAGTCAAGCATTGTTCATGTTGTTTCCTAGTAGCGATCCTCAGGTTGAAACGATATGCACAGAGAATTGATATGTAAATCCCAAACAATAAAAGGTATACGAGAATGCAGAGAAGGTGTCATGAAAGTAAAACGTAGTAATTGACAGTGAGATTGGAAGAATTGCAAGGCCTGCGAGGGTTGGACATAAAATTTAGAAGTGTATTCGCCAAAACCTGTTACTATTATGGAACAGCCCCGAGAATGAAACGGGTAAGAGACGTAAAGAGGTGAAAAGGGTATTAAACAATGATTAGGATATATTGTGTAATTGAAGAAAAGAGGTACTGGGTTAAAGTATCTGGTGCACAACATGAATGATAGCAGGTAAGCATATAGAGGATGTCTGAATATGACTACAAGTCTTTTCTGTATTTAGGATAGTTCCGCGCGCCTGGAGGGGTATAATGAGCAACAATCAAAAATTGATAGTGCAAAGAAATACGTACACTCTAATGCTATCGTATAAGAATTTGTAGCTGCGCAAATTTCCCTTCAGTCGTCGGATGTCGAGACTGTATGTGTCGGTCAAGCCGGAAAGTCTGGTCAATTCTACGGAGAACTTGACTTCGTCACCGACGTCCTCGGAAGAATCACCGTAGAGAGGGTCTTGCGCAGAACCTTCGGATACAACGACGCTACTGTTAGGGGTATCATCCTCGTAAGAGGAGCCTACACCCGCGGACACCTGTGATGATTGTCTACGCATCAACAAACCACGAAGCATCCCAGCAGAACCTGAGTAGTTCTGATGAGAAGGAAGAGGTAATCCACGCTTATCAACCTAGAAAGAATGTGAGTTTGGTGCCCGTGACTGGCCGGGTCAAGGAGAGTAACGAGACTGACCCCATTTGAAGCCGCGCTTCCAACCATGTTGAATGCTGCCAGGCCATTTCCGCTACCACCCATGAATCCGACATTACCGCTACCTGGAACGCCTGGCATTTTCTTCCGCTTCATCCTGATGCAGCGGAACTTGAACTCGCTCTCGATTTGAACTTCTACCCCCATAGCCAACAAAACTGCCTGAACATGCTTCATTACCTCTGGAGGAGGCCGGGTAGTCACAGTCGATTGATCGACAGCACCATGATGTGTGCGGAGTTGGCCTCCTGGAGTTTTGGGATGGGACCTCTCAGTAACAGTCCCGCCGCCTCCCCCTACCGTAACCGAGTTCCTGAATCTAGTAACGAAGCTAGGAGTAGTGGTAGACGTATCCGTAGACGCTGTTCGCGTCGGTCTGTTTGACGTACGACTAGCAGAGCGAGGGGTAGCCACAACAGCAGGTGAGGTGTTCACCTGGTTCATGTTATCACCGGTAATGACATTCTTTTCACGGTACTTGTTTTGAGTTGGTGTGGTAGCCCTTGCAGAAGCAAGCTTTTCCTCGTCTTCGGATAGTGCATTGGTGCTGCGCATAGGGTCACCAACCGTAACAGAGTCCCGCGCCTTGCTCTTGTTTCTGAACCACTGCATAACTTTGACGGCCTTGTTGGTCGACGCATGCATTCCCTGACCCTGACCGTTCGGCGATGGATAACCGGATGATTCCGTGGCAATAGCACTCCTGGGTTGTAAGGAAGTGTCCCGTCCCCGCTTCTCATCAGCATCCGGCGTAGAAGACATGGGGGTTGATGTCATCCGTCCTTTGTTCCTGTTCTTTAGAGTGCTCTTGAACGGCTCTACCATGACTGTCAGGGTGTTTCGGCGACTCTTCTTGGCACTTGAATTTGCCAACGACACATCCTTGTCACTGCCAGTTGAAGGGGACAAAAGGGATCCCGATGTATTGCTAGGGGCGTTGGAAGGGGCAGGAGAATTTGGGTCTGCCGAAGACCCGTCAGGTCCATTGAATATTCTCGCCAACCGATCGACAGATGACATTCCTCTTTTGTGCTTGCTTCCAGAGGAGCTTTGTGATCCACTCTGGGGTGCCTCTCTGTCTGTCAACTCTTTTTCGCCATCGGTTTCAGAAACGTGAGGAGCAAACTTGAGAGGTGTGTCAGGAGGACTAGCAAGAGTGATGCTAGGAGGATCCATGGTGGTGACTGGCGCAGGTTTGGAACGCGGCGTGGTCGGAGATCGATTCTCACTACCCCTTCTGGATGGTGTTATAGGAGCTGGAGATACAGGAGCAGGTTTCGAGGAACTACTTTGGGACCCTCGTCGTCGATCCGAATTCGAAGTTGTGGGTGTCTGTGCATGCGAGCTACTTTGCTGGCGGTGGCTGGGTGAACGCGAACGGTCAGATTGTTTCCGTCGCTCTCGATGCTCTTCCTGGTACTCTCTCTCCTTCTCCCTCCGTGAGGGACGGGAGCCGTCGTACTCAAGCTGCACCGTGTGTCTAGCCTTCTTCTTCTCGGCCGGGCTTTCCGCCGGAGCAGATAGGGGAACAACGGTACCCGCCGGAGCAGCGAATGGATCATCGACATCGACTCCATAACTACTTTTGGGCCCTCGTCCAACCACAGAGGCAGAGGTTGGCGGTGAAAAGATATGAACACTCGATTGTTCAGTCGGAGTCTCATAAACCGCTGGTTCGATAGATTGGCTCCGAGTAGGGGGGCTGGTGAAAGAGCCGGACGGAGCCCCGCCATTAGTGTAACTCTCTTGACGGTAACTCTGAGAGCGTGTACCTCGCTCCGCAACCGTAGCTTGAGCGGCGGCGGCGGCGGCAGCCTTCATCTGTTTCTGGTAAGCTAATCTCTTTTGATGGTGCTGATCCATAGCAGATCTCTCTAGCTCCTCTACCGTACGTCCAAAGGCAGTGATTTGACCACTGATAGGATCTGTTGGAGGAGCATGATATGCAGCCAACCAAGGATGTTGCATGACATTCTCGAGGCTAGCCCGCCTGCTAGGATCAGGAACGAGCATCATGGACAGGAGATCCCGAGCGGATTCAGATATGTAGTCGGGGAAGGAAAGCGGGGTATTAACGATGTATTTGTATAGAAGATTGATGTTATCACCGTCCGGGTTCGCAGGATCGTCATCGAAAGGAAGGTAACCAGCGAGCATTGCATATAGGATAACGCCGCAACTCCAGATGTCGACGGCGCTGCCCACATAGAGACCCTCGCTGATGACCAGTTCGGGCGCAGCATAACAGGGAGAACCGCACGAGGTCTGCATAAGGTCATCTGCACGATGTTCGAAGCGGTTTGCGAAACCAAAGTCAGTGATGATGACATTCCGGTGTCGGTCAAGCAGGAGATTCTCGAGTTTGAGATCTCGATGAACAATTTTCTTTTGGTGTATATACCACACACCGGAAATCAGCTGGGAAAACAGCTTCGCTGCATCCCTCTCACGCAGATAGCGGTGTGCGAGGATGTGATCGAACAGCTCTCCTCCTGAAGCATACTCGATGATTATTCCTATGTATTTGTCCGTCTCGATGACATCGTATAGACGGACAATGTTTGGATGTTTGAGGGTCTGCAAATAGAAAGTCTGAAGTCAGTTTCTTGTATTTTGGAAAGATGCGTGAGATATCTGTTGGACAAAAACAGCCTCTGATGGTTGCAAAGGACCAGCGTCGGACCAAAAGAAAAAACGCTGCCACGTACTCTTAGAACTTCGATTTCACGTTCGACTTTCGACATACGAACAGCGCTATCGACGTTTCCACGTCTGATAAGCTTGACGGCAACTTCTTCTCCCCAAGTACTATGAAGGCCGAGTTTGACTTTGCCAAACTCTCCTTCCCCAAGAGTTTGTAGTAGCAGATATGGGCCAAATTTAGGGATAGTTCGTCGTGGATGCGCAGAAGCGTAGGCTACTGCAGCGGGATGGTTGTAAACATCTGTGTACGGCGGGGAGCTATCTTCATGGCGACCATTGCCTGAGCCATTATGCTGAGACTGTTGTTGTTGAGTGGTCGAAGTCACAACTGTGTGTGAAGCTCGCTGTTTTCTCGATGCGGACGGCGTTGATCCAGCAGAAGATGGGTGAACGTTGACAGAAACAGGTCTGGAAACGGATGAAGAGCCATATTGCTGACGAGAAGGACCCGCTGGTAGGTCCGTGGTTGGTATCTGGAGGCTCACTGACCCCGACATCTCCAATAAGCCGTCGGAAACGATGAGAAGGATGAATAAGGATGTTGTTGGTTAAGGCCAAAGTGTGACTGGCGGTTAAGAACTCAAGCACGTGCTTGGCAACAGTTGACTTTTTTTAGTCTCACTCACAGTGACCAGTCAATTGTCAAAATTTAATAATAACAGTACGTATGCCTTAATGTGCCTCTGGCTTCTCAACACACAAACAGTCCCCTGGAATCCGTCATGACAAACAAATTCAGGAAGCTCTGGCTCAAATAGATTAACAGTTTCACGACCGGGGGTTCAACCAGTTTCAATCCGGCATATATATCAAGCAAGGCTCAAACACTATCTATGTATATGATCTGTCTTTCAGCTTCTTCTTTCTACTCATGACTTACAGTCTCAACTTCACTTCCAAGCATCATGTCAACGCGTACGCATTCCTGCTGTCCGAATTATCCTGCGGCACCGATGATTGGCTAAGCTAGGCTTGGGTGGATCCTTCAAGCTCCAAGTCAAATAATGAACCTCAATTACACTGTGAAAGAGCTCACTCTATATCCCTCGGACCCACTTCTCTTGGCTATATAGCGATATTTCATCTAACTCGTTATTAACAAGTTTTAGTCAGATCCAACCCCACCCAGGACAAACCTTTGCATTCTATGTACAATCTATTCCGGGTATCTACATATCTGTAAGCTTTTCACCAGCTAGCTTTTGTTAATCCTGGCCCATCCATCTGAATCCGTCTGATCAGGTCAGAGCTGGGTCAAGTGCGGTCAGAGTGCTCAATCAATCAATTATCATTGTCATCGAGTGACCATGTCCGGAGGGAGCGTTTAACTTGGTGAGCTGCATATACTTATCGGGATCAATGAGTGTTATATGCTGTTCTTCGATTCAAAAGCGGGATGAATGCTGATGAATGCTGATGGATGTTTCTCCGGTGCTCGAGGACCTTCAGAATCACAACGCTTTTGATTTTGATAATTCAATCCTCCAATTTCAGCGTGTATAACCATGTGTATAACCCTGGTAGTATATTGGCCAGGCTCTACATATAACAAAAATCGCTCAATGCATGAAACTTGATATACGGCGGAGATCCCTTTGTAAAACTTAAGGAGCACACAGCCAGTTGCCAGTTGCCACCTCACCGGTACCATCTCATCCACTCATGTTTCCTCATAATGTATCACAAGGCTTGACTGAAGTCCTTTTCATCTCAGGCTTGGTGATTTTTTCTATGCAGTCCGATATTAGCCACCGCTGAACGAAACTATAAATAAACAACACAATACCATCATCATTTCCTGTCTCTCGAGAGTGTACATAGCCAGTGTATGATCGAGAGATACTTATACTATGTTATTGAACGGAGCGACAGATTTCGCATTCTCCTTCCGAAGTGAAGGACGAAGGGAGTAGCTTATGGCGTCGGTAAAATACCTAGCGGGGGTCATCACAGGTAGTCCGGTTTCACCAAACTTGTTCAATTTGGTTGTTGCAGATTTTAAAGTGACAGAGCACCCAACAGATGTTGTCCTTCATGATAAGCATGTGAACCATATGCTACAAGCAGATGACACAGGAATGGCTAGTACAACACCTTCTAGTATCCAATCAAAACTTAGACAATTTGAACAATATGCATCCCTCACAGGCTTCGAAGTCTCTGTACCTAAATGTATGATCACAGTGTTTGGACAGGAAGCTAATGCAGACACAGTTTTTATGCTGCATGACAAACCTTTGCAAAAGAAAAAGAAACTGAAATATATTGGAGTTCATCATCAGACTGGTCAGGGAGGTATATACAAGGACAATTATCAGAAGCTTGCAGACAAGGCCAAGAATGCTGCTGGTGCTGTGCTTCATGCTAAAACTTTTGTGGGAAATGACATGCCAATTAAGGATATGATTACTATGTACTGGGCAAGAGTAGACCCATATTTAAAGAGTGGGTCTGAGTTTATCATGGATGTGGTAGTGTCCCACAGAGAGCAATTAGAAGAAGTACAACACTATTTTCTACGAAGGGCTCTCTCTATCCAAAAGCGATCATCTTTGGAGGTTCTGTTCACTGAAACAGGAGTGATGCCAATTCGATACAGACGGATTATCCTTTTCTTCAAGAACATGCAGTACTTAATCAGTTTACCACATCACCATCTGGCATGGAAAGCAATGCGAGAAGCTTACTCTTTAGCACAAAAAGGACATACATCCATCATTTTGGAGGCATGCAGAGTACTTGAGAGCCTACCAATTCCAGTCACATGGAATATTCCAGAGTTTGAGGATATCACTGCAGCACACCTAAATGGTTTAATAGAACACATTCAGGACTCCATGGAGAGGACTCTACAAAATGCATTAATGACATGTCCCAGAACAGCTGATACTCTGAAAGATCGGAAAGAGTATGACCGAAAAAATAAAAAGATGGTTTTCAAAGCTCTCGCTTTTAGACATTATTTGACGGTCCCGACAGGCAAACATCGGAAAGCTTTGATCCACATGGTGACAGGCAATCACCAACTTGCAGTAGAACGTCTGCGATGGAATGAACGGAACAGACCTCGAATCATCAGAGAGCACCGAATTTGCCGCATCTGTAAATGCTCTGTTGAGGATCCTGCCCATGTGTTATTTGAATGTAAAGGAAGCACTGAATTGATCAAACTGAGGGATTCTTTCATGCAAAAAGTCATCTCAGAACTTCCACAGTATGCAACATCCTATTCCAATGCATGGATGCTATTTCGCATATTATTGGCTGAGACAAGGATCACTGAATTGTTTGCAAAGCTAACATATGATGTTTTAGAAGTGGTATATAACACTGAAATGTTTGTTCCAGCTTAATGCAGGAGCTGCTCACATGCATTGTCGAGACGGGGAAGACCGTGCACGTTTCACGAGGTTTTTTTCTTGCTTTTTCCTCATCAAGTGTGAGAGTGGCATAATCGCCCCCCCGCATTAGAAATGTGTGTTCCGTTACTGTAATCTTAAGTAGTGATTGTACAGTACGGTAAACTGGTTGTTCGGGAATCGGACCTAGCCAGTATAATTTAACTATCCTATCCTATCCTAGCAAAGAAATAATGTATTCTGCAAAGAAGGCTATATAGAAGTAAGTACAAACGTAGAAGAGGAGCATTGAATGGAATAATGGTAAGTAAACACGCCACAGGTACTACAAGATAATAAGAGATCGCAAGTAATACCACTACGGACAAGAAAAAAGGATGAAAGCAAGCAGCATATACTTAGATACATCTACATTGTACTAACTAGACTTTCGGAACAATTGAAGTTTCGACTTCTGCAAGTTTCTTCGCCGCAGCCACCCGCGTTTGTTAAAACCGCCGCTGTAATCAAAGCTGTAAACGAATAGAAGAACCACCTCCACTTGCAATCGCCGCCCGAGCCACACCGCGTACACCCGGAGGGAGCCATTCAGAATAAACTTATACTTCTCCAGGTCTCTTCGCCGCAGCCACAGCGTTTTTCGATGCGGCCGCTGTAAGACTCTTATGAATAAACGGAAGAACACCTCCGCCTGCGATCGTCGCCCGAACGAGTGTATCAAGCTCTTCGTCGCCTCTTATAGCAAGCTGTAAATGCCGAGGCGTGATTCTTTTGACGCGAAGATCCTTCGACGCGTTTCCTATTCAATCAATTGTTCGTTCAGGTTACCGAAATATTAGCGAAAAGCGAAACATGAAACGAAAAAAAAAACGCAGAATTAAAACTTTGTTCAAACTCACCAGCAAGTTCCAAAACCTCCGCAGTAAGGTATTCCAAGATAGCCGAAGTATACACTGCAGCTTTTGCCCCTATTCGAACGTTGTGTTGGGTTCTTTGTTTGAGATACCTGTGAATACGCCCCACAGGAAACTTGATTATATGCATTAGTACTAGTTAATAGGATGAAACAACTCTCGGAGGGAAGTCCTGTACAAAATGGGGAAATATATTCACCTGCAAACCAGCTTTCTGACTCCTTGTGGTAGTAGTACTTTTAGTTTGACCATCGGAAGCGCCGCCACCTCCTCCTTTAGAAGAGTCGCCAGTTTTGGATCGAGGAGGCATTGAATGTTATGTATAATATTTGATGATGTATCAGATGTGTGAGCGCAAACGGAATATATCTTTGATTAGGAATACGATAGCAATAAGTATCGCGTCCGATATTAGAACGAAGTGTACATACGCGCGACGCGTTTTTTCAAGCGCGTCAAGTTGGCGTTAAAGTCAAAAATTCGATGTAGCGCTTTATGTCTATTAAAAAAACAACGCAGAGTCATGGGGCAAGGATTTTCGATGCATTTTCAGATACACACCTCGAGTATATAGAAAAGTGGTAGACCAGGTGAGTGTTTAAGTTGAAGGAATGAGATTGTCGTTGTTTGGTGATCGAATAGTAACGGAGAAGTTCCCACCTATCACATGGTCTCAATAAGTAGAATGGAGTTGCGTCGTGTGAATTTGATGCGTCTTTTCGTTGACGTGGCCGCGGCGGGAAACACGCCACTGCAGGGACTTATTTCTTTTCCAAAGTGTTTTCCCTCCATTTCATTTATCTCTGCGGAATTCCTCCTCCCTCTCTCATGGCCTTAAAGTTTAGACTGAGCTATTATCTATATATTTCTGGTATATATCTAGACCCCGGTATATCGGAAGAGATCGGAAGATATCGTCCGCTCCAATGCGCCCGTGGTCGTGGTAGGCCGGATCCTTCTGCGTTCTTTGGACAACAAGACCGATAGAGATATACGTATGATACTTTTGCTATATCGTCTTGGGTGTGTGGAACCCTCTTTTGGAATTGTTCTACCTTTTGAACGAGTACCCGATCCCTGTTTCGCAAATATTGCACACTATAAACGAAATTATTACACCATGCACGATGCAAAAAATAAGCTGAAGAGGGTTGAGGTAGGTATAGGTAAGGAATTATCCTAATCCAGCTCGTATACACAGCTTTGGCACTACTTATTTATTTATGACGTAGAACTCCAACGCATCGCCGGTACTAGCCAATTGCCTCTATGACGGAGGCATGACGTGCATATTCTTGCACGTATATAATCATCTACTTCTTGAGTATCGCAATTACAAACCATATTACACTCCACCTAAACAGAAATTCATACTTATCCAACGTTTAACACCATAAACATGTCCAACGTTAACGACTTTTCTTCTATTGATGCTACTCGTCCCTCTCACCACGTCCATGGTTCCGAAGACCCTCTCCCAGGCGCAAAACGCGGTGGTGTCAACCCCATCGATTATAGTGCAGAGACAATGGAGCGCACACCAAGTACTTGGAATGAGGGCACGGAGCGGAAGTTTGCTCAGGATCATCCTGAAATAATGAGTGCACAACCCGAGCAGGGACAGACACATCGCGAACACCATCACGACCATCACGACCATCACCACGAACACCACGACCGTCCACAAGAAGGCAGGAACGCCTTCTCAGAGCAACGTCCAATGGACGTACACCCAACATCCGCAGGTGGTGTTGCAGTTGATGGGAATTCCGATTTGCCTGAGGGCAAAGCATCTATGATGGATAAGGTGGTTGGAAAGACGCAGAAGGTATCCTTCAACTTCTCCTTTCGTCTTGATTCAAGGTGCTTATTCTTGATCCAGATTATTGGCAAAGCGACACACAAGCCTGAGATGCACGAGAAGGGAGAGTTGAGAGAAACGGGTGGAAAAGCGGCGGCGAGAGGAGAGGCTAGGGCTCTGCATGATTAATGGATCAGGCCCTCTGGGAACCCGGATATTATATACCTACTGTAACATAATGTATAAATGTTCACCGTCGCTACTCATATGTACACCCTCTCTCGCGACGCTGTTAACGCAGCTCACATTTTGTGAATTGATTCGGAGTAAGTACTCATGTGAGAGAAGATATCATGAAAAGTGACAATTCACGAATAATGATCGTACCCATTAAGAAACATTGTTTCTTATCAAACCGTCCACCTCGAGACACTCGCGCTGAGCTTTCAAACTTCATGGATCGTTCATCATATGCTGTGGCGAAAACACGCTCAACGTAGGATAGTCGTAGCACCAGAGGGCGAGCCCCGCTAACGCGACACAATCATATCTACCATGACACTTCCATATATGCTACACGGTTCTGAGGGGACTCTGTACGAAAACTGTTCGCCGAGCTGTGGTGGGAGCTGCTGCTTGGGACTGAGGGCACCTGGTTCAGGGTAATTCAAACCTCAAAACAACCCATTATTAACTGCGTCCTCGCTTTCATCTGCATCCCAAAGTTCCAACACTGTGAGGGAAGTTCAGCCACTATAGTGATTAGATTCGACGTGCATTTTGGTATAGAGATGGAAGATTTCGGAAAGGATTCCGTTCATCATTCGGAAGGTTATGAATGAATGAAAGCGACTATATGCTGCAAAATTTGCTCGGGCTGGAGCAAAGAGTCGCTCGGCACAGTCAAATAAATGAAATGGTCAGTGTCGAAACATGTACAGCGGCCGTGGGCCAGGCTAACGGGGTTCAGAAAAGAGGTGACCTGATAAGACCTGATGCGACCAGAGATGAAGAAGTGAGCATATGTATGTACTGCTCTTGCTCAGCCATATTATTGCTGCGTGTTCGGAAACCAGAGAGCGAGAGAATTTTGTTGTGAGCTAGTATTATTGCTCGCAATACCCCATATAGGGTGGAACCAGGAGGTAAAATTGGTAACTCCTACGGTGTCGGATTTGCCGCGGATGTTCCGCCTTTTCCGTCTTCTACGCTTTCTCCCATTGTAGATTGCATAAGTAGTAACCTCATATGGAGGTGCGCTTACACCGAATAAACCCCACGCACTTAGGGAAACTAAACGAACTGTATATTAAACCATCGAAATGAAAGTATTTATATCTATGTCAGTAGTACAAGTCTAAAGATTATAAGAATCCTTCCCAGCCCAAGGAGCTCTCATCGTCCACATCTTAGCACACCCAGCATCAAGCTTTTGGGAACCTGGTTGATCCCATGAAATCATCGGGGAGGGATTTTCGGGGGTGGGGTTTCGGAATTTCAACGACGCATTCTATTTGCAGATACATGAGTTCCAGGAAACCAAAAGGGCTCTAGGAGAATGACAAAAACGCACCAAACCCAAACTTAAATGGATACCCGCCTGATCAGGTTTGTATTCATCCAACACGAGTTCCGGCTCAGCTTGACCACTAATACGCGCTTGGAGGATCTTCTCAATATTGCGCGCTACAACAGCGGCCTGGACGACCGCTGGCCTAGCAGCCTTGTGTGCCCCAGTGTCTGCTACGTCTCCCAATGCGAACACGTTGGGAAACCCAGGAGTGTCTGTATCAATTTGCAGAGTGGGTTTCACACGAATGAACCCGTGTTTGTCGACTGCGGAAGGGGCGAGGGAGAGAAGAGGGGAGGAGAGGGGAACTGAGCCTGTACAGAGGATCTAATGTGGTTATAGAAGTGGAGACATGAAAGAAATTACATAATAAGACTTACGACGAGATCTCCTCGTACAGAACCACCAGCGACGAATTCGATATCGAAATCCTCTTCTGTGGTATGTAGAGGGAAACCACCTTGGGGGATCACTACGCGTTTATCCAGGACGACGTCGATACCGAGTTCTTTGCATCTGTTTAGAGCGATTTCATGGAGGCCTTCGTGGAATCGATTGAGGAGGTGTGGACGAGAATGAATGAGAGTGACTTTTTTGGATTTAGTCGGCTCGTGTGTCTTGAGGTCAGTAGCGAGTTCTAGGGAGCTTAGGGTAAGTATTGATATTCATGTAAATGATTCATAAAACTCACGAATACCATACGCCCCACCACCCACAATTACAATATTCTTTGCCCTTTTCACATTCTCCTGATGAAATCTCGAAATTTCAACACCAGTTTTCTTATCCTGCCCCACCAACCCTTCAGGTCCAGGTCGTCCAGTTCCAGTCGCCAGGACCAAAAAGTCATATGGGATCGAGGTTCCTGCTCCAAGGATGACTTTGTCTGGAATGATAGATGTAGCGGCTTCGTGGATTATTTGAATGGAGTCAGATGGCAATTGTGTGTTATTAGTTTCCTCGATGGGAGGGTTGACGGAAGCTGAGAACGCTGAGGCATTGTTGGATCCTGGGGTATTGTATGGGATGAAAGCCTTTTGTTCGAATCCTGTAACAGCGTGTATACGAGGAAAGGCGAAGAGATGCTATATATACACCATTAACGTTTAACACCAGAAGGAACCGCGAATAATAACTCACTCTAAAATGTGAATTCTTCTCAATCAATACAACATTATGTGTCTTATAAACCCTCGGAGTAATTTCATCGACGACTTTACAACCTGCAGCGGTAAAAAGTTGACCAGAAGAAATTATTAGACCACAACGTATAAACGTACCGACATAACTTCCACCTATAACCACCACGTTTGGTTTACTCATATCAACCATGTTCCGAGGTCCAATGGCGTATGTTCTAGATATCGTCCTTGAGTTCCAGAGAGGAGATGTGTGCAATAATAAAACTCGAGGGTTTGAAGCAGGAACTAGACCCGCAGCGAACGTTGTTAATCGCAGAATTTTGAAGGATATCGACGTCGGTGAAGTGTAGAGAGGGGATAATGAAGACGTCTTTATAAGAATGGCGTTGAGATCCGAAAGTCATTTTTTACAAACTGCGGAGGTCGCACAAGCCAACTGTCGCGACTGGGACTAGGCCATTGAAACTTGAAAGTGACGTGGTTTAACGGCAGATTCTTCGTAATCTTATCTGATATGATACAATCCAGCTGACGATTTTATCCGTTATCTGTCTCCTAACATCCGTCACTCAATGTATACCTCCCAGAGTCCCAGTCCTCCCCGTCCTCCCCGGGCAACCGCTCAATGTTCAATCCCACTCTCATGCTGCGGTGACTAAAATATTGGATAAATCCATATACATTATATATCCAAGTACTACACTACAGTCCACTGATACTACCCGCTACACTCTCCACTGCATCTTTCAATTTGAGTGCTTCTCTCGTAACCAAATCATTCTCGTCTTCACAGCATTCCGCAATGAACGTAGCCGTTTCGGCTACGAAACCTGCACAAACATAAAAATTTTTTGTCAGAGCCCCAAAGTCCGGGAATGCGCCGGGAAGGAAATGAAACAAACCTAAGAGCTTGCTTCCATTTGCACGCCAAAGCGTTTCAGTACACGTCAAAGCGAACAACCTCGTCTTCACATCTTCCGACCGAGTGTGCATGAGAATATCCAAATTCATAGCCTTCAACACACTATCATCACCAACAGTCTCCGCCCCGGCGACAATGCATTCTTGCAGCAGCGTCTTCGCTTCGGAGATGTTTAGTTTTATGCAAACTGGAATTTGGGCGATGATTAGTGGGGAGAGCTGGGCGATCTTGTCGTCCCGCCAGAAGCCTGGAATCACGTGTATGAGATTATAGTTGAGAGAAGGGGAATTAGTTGGTACATACTTCCATCGTCACACGCTATGCTTTTAGTAAGTGTTTCCAAGACTGGTGGGAGGAGGAGTCCCAAGTTGTTGTCGTCCTCCATTTCTGCGGCGTTGGTGCAGCTTTTAAGAATTTCGATTGACGGAGGTAAGAGTATTGTCATGTAAGGATTCATCAAGCTCTAGCAAAAGTAGACAGTTTTTTTTTCAATGTGAGGAACGGCGATTATCAGAGAAATTCCAGAAATACCTTGAAGTAATCAACAAGTCCAATGTACACGCGATAAAACATGATCTTGGTATTGATATCTAAGCAAGGGATGATAAAGATTATTATTAAAGATGTCTTGAAAAATGTTCCATTAGATAAATCACTTACCACTCTCTCCTGCAAAGGCCCAATCGTATAACCGCCTGAAAAGCGGACGGAATGTCGGTTCATTCAACTTCACCACGAGCTCGACGAACGCAGATATCGTTGAAGCGCTTGCCTAAAAATAAGAATATCATATTAACAAATGAGACCACCGAGGGGGATGATCATCCCATGAATGAAATTGCATAATTTACCGTGCCAAGTGTTGTACCAGAATCTCTGACTACCCCGAAAGCACTCAGGAAGATATTAAATAATGGACGTAGGTTTTCCTGAATTGCAGGCCTAGCCGCACTGCGAAGTGACCGTTTCACAAGGTCAAAGTACTCTACTAAAGCGCCCTGTAAGATAAGATAATATTAATCAATGTTGATTATTTCTGATTACTCGTGTAGCAAAAGGGTTACTGACTGTGTTAGGCGCGATCTCCAACGACCGCCATATATCACATAAGGTCGGCAACAGAACCTTACTAGGAGCCTTCTTTGCGATGGATCTCATGAAATTAGAAACAATTTGTACTGCGGGGGATTTGGCAGTAGAACCACCCCCGCAATGGTCGAGGTAGAGTTTGATGACGTGGTTGAGTTCGGTCGTACTCCAGAAGGTTGGGATAGCGGTTAATAAGTTGTGTAGAAGCTGCACTGTGTCTTCGGTAAGTCCTAGCAAGAAAAAAGTCACGTCGTCAACGAAAAAATTGCTAATGGCAGGAGGAGTAACAATAGCAAACCTTCTGGACCTTCTCGAAGTACATTCACTGCCCGAGAAACGATATCCCGTAAATACGGTATGAGGCGAGGACCCAGTTTAGAACTGTTTTTTTGGTTCAGTCAGGACAAAAATATGGGGAGGCTGATAATTTTTGAATAGAAGAACATACGGAAGTGTTATCAAAGCTCGGACAGCGGCGGATACAACATTCTCTGGATTTGATTTGACGTCCACAGCACCGACTAACAGAGGCACTAACGCTGTCACAGCGCTTTCCTCTCCAGGGCACAACGTCGATCCGATAGCTCGGATAGCATTGAAAGCCGAAGTCGTAATAGTCGTAGTTGTAGTAGGAGCGGTGGAGTGCTTGGGCTGATGGGATAATAATACTTTATGCACGATGCCACAGATTTTTAGGATGACAACAGAGACAGGACCTTGACGGACAGAAACTGCAATACGCGGTAAGCGAGTGCTGAAAAGGGAAAGTGCGCCTTCTTGGATCTGGTGATAACACATAGATACCGCGGGTCAGTTGTAAATAAGATGAAGATGGATCTTCTTACCAGATGATCATTGTTTGAAAGCATGAGCAAAACTGTGTCGATAAAGTCGACCGCAGACATGACACTGAGAACACGGTTGAGCGATAACCGTGCACTTGTAGCGATATCTTCGATCTTCGCCTCGGAGCTACCACCGGAAATGTTCTTGGTAGAGAGTGCAATGAGAATAGAAACAACGTCACTAAGGTTGCTGCTGTCTTGTGGCGGCGGTTGAGCATCATCCATGACACCGGTGTTGTTTTGAGATTTCGAAGAAGTGGAAGCAGGAAACGTCTTCGCAGCGAATCCGACAAAGGTGATGATGGCTTGAGCACGGCGTCTGAACACTACTGCTGGTGAAACTGAGTGTTCTTCCAGTCTGATATGAGGCAGGTGAGTATCGTATTTGATTGGACAATTTTTATGGTGTAATATCAGGTTACGTACGACGAGTCATCCAGGAGAGTTTTTTCTGCATCACTAGGCGATATCGCCCACCCTAATAACCGTTCACTTTCGCGAAGCATTTCTGCCAATACCTGTTTCTTTCAGTTGGTGGCTGTACACGAGCAAACTCGCGAGATACTACTCACCAAAACCTGAAGCCACGGTTCGAAGTGATGCACGAGGGCTGTTGGTAACGCCAACGCACTCTGCGCATCGGTGTCCTTTTCTTTCCCTTTCCCTTTGTTCTTAGCCCCGAGAAGGTATTGCTGGCTTCGCACGATCTTGTTTGCTGACTTTTCGATTAAGAAGAGGCAGACCGGAGCAAGGAAGTCCTTCGGCCCCAGAACGGTTACGAGGTGGGAGAAAAAGCTACCATGATAGCATTTAGCAAAAGTCGTTGCAAATTATGGTCAGACTACTACTCACTTTGTTCTACGATGTCTTGGGATATGATTCGCAGCATCCGTGAACACCCTCAAAAAGTCCCTGGCTCCAATGTACAAGTCTAAACCGCCAGAAGGATGGGACTCTTTCAGCGAAGAGACCATCACGGGAACAATGCTGTCGACAGTCTGGAAGAATGTTCACTGAGAGTGAATACGGCTGGTTTACCGGATCTGCACTCACTTTTTGAACAATTCCCCATCCGTACCCATCATCTCTACTCAACATACTCATTCCGCCTCCTATTTCGATCCCTGCTTTTGAACCTCCCCCAGCCATAGCAGCAGCACCCACACCCATGAATGTAAAGACTGGCATAACATTCCGCAACACACTCTCCGGTGCTAGCCTGGCCAGCCCCGCAATAAGCAGAAGGGCCTGATGGAGAGTTTGTGGGTTGACTGAGACGCGAATAATTTCTACCAGCACATCTAGCCGGATTGGGGTTGGCGAAAGATTCGGGGGATCCCGCACACCGGCGGCGACACCGTCAATACTTGCCATGATGTTTTGGCATATAAATTCGACGGATGAAGCACTATTGATGGAGGCTCCTGAAGCTTGGAACCGTACAATCTGAGATAAACTTTCCAGTAAGTGGGTGATGAGATCAAAAGAGTGAGGTAGAGTTTCGAGGTCGGATTTTGTAGTTGAGTTTGCAACGGATGTAACGGATAGTGACGCTAGCACTTCGGCGAGGATTGCTAAACGTTGGAATGGACCAGTTCGTTCTTCAGTTGGCAGCTCGACAGCGCTGAAGATGACTGAGTTTGATGAAAACTTGACTGGAAAAGCGCAGACGTACAGGTCAGTTTGAGAGGGTTCCACCCTGGCTTTCTTTAATTTCGGCCCTGAGGTCAACTCGTCTCCTTCAACAATCTCTCCCAAAGCCTTGGAGTATTTATCTAGCACGGTGATGATGATATATGCTTGTTCATTTATTGAAGAACCGAGTAGCCTTCCAAGTAACGATTTGACGGAGACATTCTACGCTATATTCAGAACAACAGGTCGGATACGAAGGATCGCAGACATACCTCGTCGTCCATTTGTCCTTTGCTATCGGCAGCCACAGCGGCTTCAATCACAACATATACGAGTTCTACCCGTTGATCTTTTCGTAAACCAGTGGATTTGGAATTCCATATCTTCGTCGTACATTCGAAAAGTACAAGGCGTAAAGCCGCGAGAGTATCTGTAGCATTGGAAGCAAATAGACAACATTAGCAAACTAATGGGAAGGAACCTTGATAGTGAGTATACCATCGCCCCCGAATGACTTCGCTAACATTCCGCACAACAGAGTCCAAGGTTTGTTCCCTTTGTACTCAGCGTCGTCCAGGTCAAATATGCCTGGATGCCCAAAAACTATTTTGGTGGCCAGCTTTGCGGCATTAGTCACCGGTGAACTTTTCCAGCCTTTCCTTCCTTCCTTTGTTTTATCAGATATTCCATTTTGGTCGGTAGCCACGACGGCGTATAGGAAAGGGAGGAGAAGTAATGCCGCTGTTATTTCCGGCAGCGCTTTTCTTTTGGTCCGCGGAACACTTTTTGCCGTGCTCAAAGAACGTTGTTGAGCCGCGACGAAGCAAGGCGTCATTACTCGTAGCAAATCAATTTGAGGCTTCGGAAGTATGTCGAGAGCATTGACATGGGAAAGGAGGTAGCATAGAATGTGTGTGCGGTATTTAATTGATTCTTTTTCTTGATTGTCATCCCTGGAACATCCGAGAACATCGTCAAGGAGGAAAGAAGCGAAATCGGCTGAAACTCACGTAGAGGCAAACTGCTCTGCATGCCAAGCTCCGATATAATCCCCATCAGCCAAAAAATGGTCTTTGATTCCAGAAAGAGTGGACACGTAAGCAGCGAGGTCATCCGGAGAAAGGTATTGCAACTCCGCTTCAGCTCTCTTATTACCTATATTTTGGGGATTTGAACTCTACAAAAAAAATTACAAGAGAATAACACACCGTAGACTCTGTCAAAAGCATACACCACATCGAATTTCTTCCTCTTGTTGTTTCCATCGACACTCAACACCGTCAATGTGCTCAAGCACTCTACCGCCGCTTTTCGGACTTCCTGCACTGAAGACGACAGAGCTATAACGACCATTGGAACCAGAATTTGAAAATCTACTACAGCCTTTCCAGCTGATGGTGTGATGGTATGAGCTTGAAGGAATGCCGCGAGATGATACAGCGCGAAGCTCCCCAGCGTCGATATATCCTCATCTTCTGTGTCCGATTTGCAACAAAATTGTAGCCAGATGCTGGAAAGGAAGACGCCTACCTCTCCACCCAAGTTGGCAAATAGTGTGCGAATTACATGTATTCTTGCTTGGGGGGAGCCACTCATTGTGGTATTTGCGAAGAGATATAATTGTTGCAGCAGAGAAGCATAAGGATCAGGTTTGGATTCTGGATGAACCCAATTGACAGCTCCCATTTCTGTCCCAGACGGTTGAAGGGCAGCAATATCAGATAGAATAGCGACATAAAGAAGACTTTCAGTAGTGCGACTGTTCGGCTTGTTCACCACCTGAGCAGCAAGTTTCGTGGTCAAAGTATCTTCGAGCTCATCTTCTTCCATCTCCGGTAATTGTTGAAAGTGCTTTTGGCGAGAGAAGGCATCAACAATCCGCGTCGCAAAATGGATGGTAGCGTCAGAACTTTTGAGAAGTTCGCGAATGATCAAGAGGGCGAGCACTCTAACGTGAGAGTTCGGATCGGTTAGCTTGCTAATCACTTCCATACAGTCGATGTCCTTGTTTTGTGAAGATTGTATATTGCCTGGAAAACGAAAGGCCATTAATGACTATCAATAAAAATCCCGGTGTACGCACTAGCGATCCGTCCTGTCAAAATTGCATTCAGCGTTTGTAACCGTTCGGCCTCCCCTCCTTCAGCCACAGACGATATAGCTTCCGCACATCCGGCAATCCACGCGTGACTGTTCTTGGCTTCTCCGAGTATATCCCAAACAGCATCAGCAGTCTTTCCTCTTGGTTTTGAGTAGAGAAGGTAAGGAAATATAAGGCGATGGAAGACATCATTACTCCAATTGCTGTCCCAGTCCGGATTGGCCGATGCCAGCTTGTTGACAATGAACGTCAAATGAGCTCTAACAACGGGGCGTTTGGGAGGTTTGGTGGCATCAGACGCAGGAGACCCCGGATGAGGAGGAGCAGGGAATAGAACACCGGAGACTAATTCAAGGTATTGAGTAGCATTATCCTTCGTAGATATGACGACATCGAAGAAGCTCCTTCCCCCATTGCTGTGGTCGTACAAAGCTTCAATTACACCAACGTCGGAATCAATTACTCGAGCTGAAAGCGCCTCATATATCGATTTCAGATCGACACCGGCATCCGCGGTTTGGAAGAGACCCAACAAGGATCTAACCCCACTCAAGCGAACACTAGTGTCTGCATTCGAAGACGCCAATAACGCATCACGGAGTTTCGAGGGCGATTTTGAGGTGACACTTCCGAGGGATAGTGACGAGACGAGCTCATCGATCTTAGTTAGGTCAATTTCTTCAATATCATCGGCTCCTTGAAGATTGTCCCGTGCGTATTTCAAGATTTCAGGGTATCTTTGATGTAGTATGGATAGCAAGGAGTGTACGCTGGCGGAAATAAAGGAGGACCGACAAGAGGAGCGAAGGAGCAGGGAAGTAACATGCCGCATGAATGATGTTGGAGGAGGCAATGCAGAAACGAGGATGGTTTCGAGTGTGAGGAGGGCTCCGGAAGCTTGCTCGGTGTCCGTTGAGTTCAATCTGTAACATACAAGTCAACTTACAAGACCGGTGCAGTAGATCCAGCTTACCTTTCAACTAAGATTGCTGAAAACGGTGCAATAACTTTCTCAGCGCCATCCCAGGATCCAAGGGCAGTCACAATCTCCTGAAGGAATTCACTAGAGTTCAAGATGAGCGTAAATATATTACCAAGGGATCGACATGACTTACGGAACGGCGAACATTCTATCGAGCATGTCAGCCGATACATCAGAGTCTAGAAGCACATTCTGAGTGCCGCAAAACGCAACCAGGGTCTTCACTAACTGTTGCGCGCTGATGCCAGTCCCTGGTGCTGCAGCGTTGACCATAGAGGAAATAATGACCTTTAAGGCAGGAGGAGTAAGTGAGCAGGGAGCTTGTGATGAAATGGTGGCAAGAAGGATATATGAGGTGAGCTATGTGATGATATGAATTTTCATTGTCGCAAGATGATATTTCGAAGAACTGACTATCGTGTCCCGTTCTACATTATCGTATCTTTCACCCTTTCCGCTTTTTGAATTTGCCTTCGGTTTGAACTTCGGGATTGCAGATAACGGTTCAATAATCGCAGCGAATACCAAGGCAGACGTGCCTTCCGACATACCCTTGGCTCCGTGAGACCCATGTGCGAGGATAAAATCGTGCATCGTTGCAGCCCAAAACGCGACCAACGTTCGGAAAAACTTGCCTCCTGAGAACAAACCATCCTTGTGTCCTTTTAGTGCTTCTCCTAGAAGCCGTACTACCAGTCTCGCGATATCTCCGTTGCGAAGCATAGCCCGTACTAGAGCTTTCCTTGGGAGGACCAGATCAGCCTGTGATGTGGGCTTTTGAGCCTGCTTTTGGTGCGGAACGAGAAACTTGAACATCGGTTCTTTGTCAAGGTGAAGAATAGTAAGCATCTTTCCCCAGTTCTGTGTTTCGTGGTACGGCAGAAACAAGGCGACAAGAGCTCGGACGTTGAATTCATTGACACGAAATCGGCGTACAAGCCATTCCAGCACCTTTGATGCAGCACCTTCCAGCAAATACGCGCCCAATTCCTGCAAGCAACCTTCCAATGCCATGTCCAGCTCCCGAACAGCCTCGGCTGCAAGTAACGTCCGATCCACATTCCTTGCATGATAAGAAAATAAGTTTTCTTCATATATACTCAGTCTCGGATTCAATGTCGCCAAGGCTTCGAATCCGCTGCGTCCAAGGGCGAATATAGAATCAAGGTCGTATTCTGAGGCATCTCGTCCATTGGCGAAAAGATAGGATTCAACGGAAGCGTGTTTCCCACGAGTGCGACTACGATCTAGAAGAATCTGAGCATTCTGCGAGGCCTGTGAGGCGAGTTGCGATGCTAAAGCAGTCGGCATCCCTCACTGAGGATTTTGGGTGGTGGCAAAAAGGAACAAAATTTTTGTTACATACGGCAGGCAGATAGGGCGCTTACTCTCACGTCGCGTCCTGTCCTGCTATCTACTACAACTGTCTTGAATCAGTGCGGCTATTCATTCTGGGTACTGAGGTTGACGTCGAAGCTAAAGCTCGAAGCCTCAAGCGGTTTCGTAAATCTTGATTTAATCTCTCTGTCGTTGCTGTTCAGGCGCTCAAACTGTATCTATGTCTTGGGTCTGGGGAACTTCCACTCCGCCACCTGTCTCCTCTGCTGTTTTTTCCGTCTCTGGTTCTATCGTCATATCTGCACCTCCAGAGAAAGTATGGCAAACTCTCCTGGACTTTGACTCTTACAAGCAATGGTAGGCCAAGTGGCACCTTATCTTCTTCGCTCACTTTTTCTTCTCAGGAACCCATTCGTTCGTTCCCAAATAATCCTGAACAATCCCAATTCGGCACCTCTCTCCGTCGGACATCACATCAAACTGTACCCTGTACATCTTCCTCCAACACTAGATGACGCCAACGTCGGACTACTGCAAACGAGCTCCGTCCTCGCCGAGGTCACGGTCCTGGACCATAATAACCATCGTGTTGCATGGAGAATAGCAGGTATGCTCCCAAGATGGATGCTAGATGCTGAACGGTGGCAGATGGTTACTGTCGAAGAAAGTGGAGGAGCAGGAGTCGATGTAAAATGCAAGTATGAGTCCTATGAAGTGTTCAAGGGGATCCTCGCATATGTTGTACGGTGGTATGTTGGGAAGGAACTTACGATGGGAGTCAATGCGATGGCAGAGGGACTTAAACGTAGAGCTGAACAAAATTAGGTGTGGACAACATTATAAGTACATGAACTATTCGCGAGGCTCATTAGTTCATAGCTTTGGTAATCGGATAGCTACGAATTTAATTTCTACACGGTATACCCACTCCTCAGTAGAGTTGCTGTCCAAATATTGCGCGACGTGTTCTAGAAGAATAAACAAGTCATTTTCGGCCTCCACTCTGATTTTCAGCAGCTCTCATTAACGAAGCTCTTTGGTCTTGCTCTTCTTCTCCAACTAGATACTGAATTCTTCGTTCGGGTGAGCTTACAGCTTCCAGAAGAATGAAAGACAGAGCAAATAACGATCTCATTGGCCTGTAAGCTACTGGCCAGAATTATGAGGACTGAAGATAAATTCATAGTACGAGCAAAATTACAGAAAAAGGGCAAACATTCATTAACGAACTGTATGCAAATCGAGGATCGCACACGAGGTTTCTTTTCCTACTCTGGCGAATCAACTGCTAACTGCTAGCCTAGCACCTTCGCCTACGCAATCTCAGCAACACTCGTCGTCTCATTTACGAATGAATTCATCATGTCCTATGGTGGTTGATGCCCAGACATTGTTCGGAGTGGTGCTGCCGGTCAGCAGCCACTGGGTGATTATAGTCTCGGAACCGCCTTTGTTAAAGTATTGACCGCTCCAAGTTGTGGTAGAATGTGCATTGAGGTACTTGTTCTTCCACGTCACAACCCAGCCAACGGAAACGCCTCTGCCCGCGGGTGGGAGCGTATCAAATCGGCCGGTGAGGTTGTAGAAACTCAAAGCGTTACCGACAGCGGAATTGTATTGCCCGCTGAGACCGCCTTCCAGGTCTGCGATCAGTGTAACGGTCGAGCCAAGCTCGTTGATCCAGGTTCCGGAGAGTTCACCAACAATGTGCCCCAATGTCGCTGTAGGAGCTACAGTTTCCAAGTTCATGGAAAGCTGGTTTCCGACTTGTGGCAATTCAGATGCCGTAGGAGCTACAGTTTTCAACGTTGTAAGTACCCAAGAAAAGATAAAACGACTAGGTACTAACCACCGGAGACACAGGAGAGGCCAAGAACAAGAAGGGTAACAAGGGAACGAGTCATTGCTTAAGCTCTGAACCCGCGCGGAATGAGTAATCTTTTCAATCGGATGTATCGAACAAGCTTTGGCCGGAGACTTACGATTTACTTGTGAGATAAACGTTAAGTTCTGGGTGCTTCCTGGGTACTTACTTTTGAGTGAAGTATGGGTCCTTTATTCAGGGTATGTTAGATTGAGTCGTGAATCCGAGTAGAACAGTCTGAAAACCTTTTTGGCACTTTAGCATTTAGGCCCGTACTTGCCTTCATCCGACAGCTATGAACATAGGAAGGAAGGAAGGAAGCATGTTATATGAATAAACTGATGGCTGACAGCTTCAACTAGAGCAACGGTTGACACCTGCGCTGATCAAGTCCATCATCCACGGAACGATTCGACAATGTACAAAGCGAGACAGACAACAGTTTCGCTCTCCTGCCATGCTACCTTGGACCGTAGAGAGTGGGCCAGGGGAAAATATATCACTCGAACGCTGGGTGTTTACCTTAGCCAAAGTTTCCAAGTCTGACCCGCCTTACAGACGACGATGCGGTGGTTGCGAGCGAAACCTGAGCGAAACCGTAACGAAATGGAAAACATGGTGGCACAGCCACATCCGTTTTTGGCATTGTCATTCTTTGCCTTAAGGAATTCCATGTAGCCTGGCAACGAAAGGGAGAGCGAGATTCGAGTTATAAAGGCGTCGGACTGCATAAAGGATATTCGATGAAGATAGTATTGGGTTTCACCCTTCTGTATAAGGTGAGTGATTCTAAGTCCAGAAGGAAATTGATTGCCAGAGTAAGAAGAGGGCAGCCGAAAAGGCAGACTATGCAAGATTCCTTTCTATTTTCAACAGCTTCTTGAATGTGGCCATGGTCCAACAAGAGTTGGAAAGAAAAGGAAAGGTCACCGATGCGGTCACATAAGGCCTGAAAATGAATGATAAGATCTAAGACCTCAGGTAAGGACTCAGATCCAGAATCAAACTTACTTCAGTGAGTCAAGACAAGTAGCGAGACCACGAATGTCTGTTCGAAATGGGTGCGTATATTGTAACTGTTCTCAATCATAATTGCCACAGCCATTACCCAAAGAGTACACGAATATTATAACTGGCGATGAAAGGCTGTGATTGCGGGACAATTAATTGACCGCCGTGGTGCAGGCACCGAGACTGGTTACCTCTGGTCGTCTTTGAGGTGTCTGCATCGTCGCCGTCGACTCGAGGTAATGGATACCATCCCCTCCAGGGTATCTTAGCCGCTTGTCAATCTCGATCTACCATCTACCTAGGCTATTGTGTGGTAGGGCGAGATTGACAAGCGACTGAGATTCCTGTGAAAAGGAGTATTCACGAGTCGACAGTCGGAGCTCTGCTAAAACAATGATTCCATGAACCTAGGCAATTCGTGGTTTCGCGTTGAAGCACTGACTCCACCCGGGGGAGCTGATCAGACCTATGCAAGCTCTCGTCCCAGTAGCTCTGGGACTTCCGGTTCATGCTAGCTTACGCTTCACCCTGGCGCACGGTGAAACGTAGGCTCCGGTTCGATGAGGTGGAACCGGGGTGCATACACATGTGGTATTTCATTTTATAGATTTGATCCGCGATAAAATAGACAGAGTTGGCAGAGGGGGGCTTATCTGAGGACACGATGAAAGGCCGAGCGCTTATTCATTCTCGCTTCGCCTTTCATCGTTGCAAGAGCATATCGTCGCATTTCTTTGTCATCCACCCACCCTTCCCATACATTTAGCGCAGTGTACTATACCTGAAGCTCCGGTCTTGCTCCCTTGTTTGTGGTGACTTGCCCACCTATACAGGACCAAGTCCCCAGCCCACCTGTCGGATGGAGGCAAGTACGTGCCTAAATGCTAAGTGCCAAAAAGGTTTTCAGACTGTTCTACTCGGATTCACGAGTTAATTTAACATACCTTGTATAAAGGGCCCCTACTTCACGCCAAAGTAAGTACCCAGGAGGCACCTAACACTCAACTCACAAGTAACCTGTAAGTCTCCGGCTAAAACTTTTCGATATATACGATTGAAAAGATTACTCATTCCGTGCGGGTTTAAATCGTTAGAGCTTAAGCAATGACTCGTTCCCTTGTTACCCTTCTTCTTCTCGGCCTCTCCTGTGTCTCCGGTGGTGAGTGCTTAACTGTCTTTATAATTTCTTGGGTACTCACAACGTTGAAAACTGTAGCTCCTACGGCATCTACATCGCCACAAATTGGAAACCAGCTTTACATGAAGTCTAAACTCGACCGTGACGCTGATCGCAGACCAGGAAGGCTGTCTCAGTGGGCAATACAATTCCACTGTCTAGGACGCTTTGAGTTTCTACAACCTCACCGGCCGATTTGATACACTCCCGCCCGCGGGCAAAGGCGTTCCTGTTAGCTGGGCTGTGATGCGGATTCTACCACAACTTGGAGTGGTCAATACTTCAACAATGGCAGTTTCGAAACAATTCTCACCCAGTAGCTGCTGACCCGCAGCTCTACTCGGGGCGATGCCAGGTTAGCAGTTAGCAGTTGATTTGCCAGAGTAGGAAAACAAACCCCGTGCGCGATCCTGGATTTGCATACAGTGCCTCGATGAATATTTGTCCTTTGCGTGTAACTGCGTGTAAGTTTGTTCGTACTATGTTTCATAGCTTTCTATCTTTAGTCCTCGTGTCTCTGGCCGGTAGTTTTCAGGCCAACAAGATCGTTATTTGCCATTCTTCCGGAAGCCGTAAGCTCATACGAAATAAGAACTCAGTATCTAGTTGGAGAAGAAAAACAAGACCAAAGAGCTTCGTTAATGAACGCTGCTGAAAATCATGGTGGATCCCGAGGAACTCGCGATTTATTCTGCACCAGCCAAAGCTATGAACTAATAAGCCCCGCGAATAGTTCATGTATTTATAATGTTGTCCACACCTAATTTTGTGCAGCTCTTCGTTTGAGCCCCTCTGCCATCGCTTTGACCCCCCATCGTAAGTTCCTTCCCAAAATTCCCCATGCAACACGATAGTTATTGTAGTCCAAGACCGTGACCTCGGCGAAGACGGATCCCGTGTGCAGCAGTCCGACGTTGCCGTCATCTAATGTTGGAGGAAAATGTACAGGGGACAGGTTGATGCGATGTCCGACGGAGAGAGGCGCCGAATTGGGATTGTTCAGGATTATCTGTGAACAAGCGAATGGATCCTGTGGAGAAAAAGTGCGTGATATAATAATTTGTGACTGCGCCTACCATTGCTTGTAGGGGGCAAAGTCCAAGAGGGTTTGCCATACTCTCTCTGGAGGCGGATATAACCATAGAACCGGAAGCGGAAAAAACAGCAGAGGAGATAGGTGGCGGAGTGGAAGCTCCCCAGACCCAAGAGTCAAGACAATGTGAGCGCTCCTGTCAACATGGTGCGTTAGGCGCTCAGAAACAAAAAAGAAGGGAAGGCGCTTGTTTCAATCATTCAACTTCGTACATGGCAACTCCCTCAAGTTCTAGCAATTCTTCCTTAGTAGACCCACGTCTTCGTACTACATTTAATCTTGTCAAATGGGATAAACTCGCTTCACTGGCGTGTACACTTTCTCAACTTCCTCCAGGCAGTTGCCATTGGGGAGAGCAACTCTCAGGAGGATACAATCTCGTCCGTTTCCTCCATCTTCACGACAATCAAGAGTCCATTATCGTCGCTCGTGTACCTCTTCGATCCGAGGACGCCATGAGCGAGGAACACAGCTCTGCGATCTCGAAACGGATTGAGAGTGAAGTGGTGACAATGAAGTACGTTGATACTCGCACCGCTATCCCCATTCCGCATGTGCTTCATTATAATGCTCATGCGAAGGAAGACGTAGGCTCTCCTTATATACTTATGTCCAAAGTCGATGGCGTCCCACTCAGCTCGGTATGGGACGATATGGACGACGATAGACGTCTTATAGTCCTCCGGCAGGTTATTGACATTCTGCTCGAGCTATGGTCGCATAGATTCGACAAAAAAGGCGCCTTATTTGATGAAACTGATGGTAGCTTGTGCATCCGTTCCAGTTCACTATTTGTCAGCCCAGATAACAATGGAACCCGACACCGTCTTCAGACCACATCTTACCTTCATGCTGCCGATTTTTGGTTAGCTTATGCTAACGCTCAGCTTTATGACATAGATGAATCGGATTTTGGCTCTGATATCAAGCCTTTCACCCACTCTCAAGCATGGTTCATGCGTTCTCTCATCCCTGCACTATTTGATCCTTCCATTGATGTCCACGGTTTTCCTCTCTCTCCCGGAGACTTTCACTCACAAAACATCATGATTGCTGATGCCAATTCATCTCATCCCCGAATTACATCCATCATCGACTGGGAGTTTTCAGGCCCGGACTTCGTATCATCTTTCGCGCAATATCCGCTTTTCATTGTAGATCACCCTCATTGGAAAGATGACAATCCTTTGCGTGAAAGGAATATTCGCGATCAGGCCACATTTGACCGGCTCATCCGCGAAGCGGAGCGTAGCCGCAACCCAACCAATGACAACGTGAAGCTTTCGCGCCTCATCTCTGACAGCTACGGCATCTATCTCTTTCAACAAGCAATGTACTACCCAGGGATGTACTCTTCTATGTATCCTCTCCTTTTTGCCCATGTATTTGGTGATGATGATGATGATGATAATTTCTCCACTGATTATTATTGGGCACTGATGGAGAATGGGATTTTAAACAAGGACAAGCAGCGGTTTGATCGAGAGAATGGAGTGTGGATCGAGGCACGCGAAATTTTGGGGGAGGAAGCTTTTAGACCCCATCTGACGAGGACAGAGTTTATAGATCTTATTTTGAAGTTTGAGGATAGATTTGACAATGGGGGAAGTGTGTCTCAATGGCTTGCATCTTTGAAACAAAATGTGATGTAGAAAGGTATACTTGGGTACAAGGTAATTAGCTGAGCCTGCAGCCTCCATTGTAGGAAGCTGACATCCACGAGGTTGATTCGTGTAATCTGCTTCCTTCCTTCCTTCCTATGTGCCAGACCCTTGAAACTTGATTAAACAATTGGAATAGATTGATTTTTATACATCTATCGCCTAGTAGCCACTGCTACAGGCTTGTCTAGTACCGGGTTTTACCCTTCTATTTGGGGATCGTCGAGTTGGTAATACTAAGTGCGGAAGGAAAAGGATTGACGGAACGAGGAGGAGTGCAATCAAACAGGCAGACTCATGATCAAGGATATGTATCACCTTTCGAGAGCTCTCAAGGTTCCTTTCCGTTTTAACCCTGTCCTGCGTTCTCGCTTTTGTTCTTCATTGTGGTCAGGGTCTCGCGAGAGTACCAAGAACAGCGAGGACTTATCCTTTATCTTTAGAAGAATCGGGTTATGTTTTAAAATGAATACCCCGGGCGACTCGCAATTTGAGACATAGTTCTTACAATGGTGAGTCAACACAACTAGTGAGACAGAGTTTGCGCCTTACTTTGTTTACAATCATAATTGACATTACCAGTAAGAAAAGAGTACATGGATATTATAACTGGCGATGAAGGCTACGCTTGCGGACAATTAATAGAACGCCGAGGTGCAGGGTCCGAGACTGGTTAACTCCTGGTCGTTTAGGTCTTCCTGCATCGTCGCCGTCGACTCGAGGGAATGAATACTGTCTTCTCCAGGTGTCTTGGCCACTTGTCAATCTTTGATCTACCATCTACCTAGGCAATTGTGTGGTGGGTCGAGATTGACAAGCTACTGAGATTCCTGTGAAAAGGAGTATTCATGAGTCGACAGGAGCTCTGCTAAAACAATGATTCCACGAACCTAGGCAATTCGTGGTTTCGCGTTGAAGCACTGACTCCACCCGGGGGAACTGATCTGACCAGTACAAGTTCTCGCTCCAGTAGCTCTGGAGCATCCGGTTCATGCCAGCTTACGCTTCACACTAGCGCACGGTGAAGCGCAGGCTCCGGTTCGGTGAGGTGGAACCGGCGTGCATACACATGTGGTATTTTTTTTGTCCACTTGAGTACTAGTCTCGCGGGTCAAAATTATTCACGAGAGGGAAGAAGGGTTCATTCCTTAGCAGAGTGAAGATCAACAGTTAACCAATTCCAGACCCTTCAATATTTTATATCTTACATAACTTCCATCATGCAAAGCGTCCTGCCACGGCTTTCACACGGGTCTAGTATAATCGTGATCAGCCCGTCTGTATCTTGCTCTTTTCTTCCAAGTATCTCATCATGCCTAATTCTGCTATCTATTCATTCAACGCCTTTAAGGCCATTCAAGAACATTATAATCAGAATGCTCCAAGACTAACTGCCGACCAATCCCTAGCGCATCATGAAAATAACATCAAGAAAACAACTGCATCGCCCTTCCTCGCGTTCTCTGGAGGGAACAGGATCAAGGACGTCTGTCGGAAAATTTTGAGCAAAGGACGCGAGCATTTGTCGGAAGCATCTGATATCGATGTATGTACATCATTATCGCCTATATATCCGGCCACCCTTTCAGATGCGCCCTATTTTCAGATACGTAGCTACAGAGGCGTCCGGCTCCAGACTGGTTCTTGACAGACTATTTCCGACAGGATGCGCTGACTAGCTGGTATCGTGGTTCGGCTGCCCCAAATGTTCTCTAAATGAAGGTGAGCTGGATAATCTGTCATGAACGGCACGTCATCAAACAGTCTGAGTTAAGTCCACAACCCTCTAGTCAAGGGTATCCTCGCTTATGTCCTGCTGCATAGAAGGAAGTGCAAAAAGTACCAGGTTGGTTAATCGCCACTCATAGCGTGACTCCTGGCACACGACAGGCAAAGTGTCTCGATTGATATATGAGCAAAAAAGAGACAGAGATGATGCATTGATGCCAGTGGTGGTGGAGGGTGTCGAGAACTATGTGTACGAGTATGTATATATACTATATCTATGAATATATGATAGCGCGTCGGAGGTAGGAACACGTGGGCGTGCGTCCAGCGGAAGGAAGGATTGGCGGAGCGGGGAGGAGGCAGACTCCTTACCAAGAATATTTATCACTTTTCAAGATTTCTTTCTACTTCCACCAGTTTTCGCCCTTTCCACTAATTAAATCTCACATATTGATCCCAATGCATTCTCAGTGCCTAAGGGCCTGCTCTTCAATATGGCCAGGATTTAGTGAGAGTTGTAAATGAGGAGTGAAAACGTGCCCACTGTATAGTGGCGAACATCAGGGAAGGAAGGGATATAAAATTTGAATCCAAGATGGGCTCGTTCATGAAAGAACTGGGTCAATAATGCAGTGTGCCTGAAAACTTATGAATGCTAAGACCTCAGTGAGTCAAGACAAATAGCGAGACCACGAATGTCTGCGTCGAATTGGGCGCGTATATTGTAACTGTCCTCAATCATAATTGCCACAGCCATTACCCAAAGAGTACATGAATATTATAACTGGCGATGAAAGGCTGTGATTGCGGGACAATTAATTGACCGCCGTGGTGCAGGCACCGAGACTGGTTACCTCTGGTCGTCTTTGAGGTGTCTGCATCGTCGCCGTCGACTCGAGGTAATGGATACCATCCCCTCCAGGGTATCTTAGCCACTTGTCAATCTCGATCTACCATCTACCTAGGCTATTGTGTGGTAGGGCGAGATTGACAAGCGACTGAGATTCCTGTGAAAAGGAGTATTCACGAGTCGACAGTCGGAGCTCTGCTAAAACAATGATTCCATGAACCTAGGCAATTCGTGGTTTCGCGTTGAAGCACTGACTCCACCCGGGGGAGCTGATCAGACCTATGCAAGCTCTCGTCCCAGTAGCTCTGGGACTTCCGGTTCATGCTAGCTTACGCTTCACCCTGGCGCACGGTGAAACGTAGGCTCCGGTTCGATGAGGTGGAACCGGCATGCATACACATGTGGTATTTCCTTTTGCATATTTGACTAATTTAATATTCACGAGAGGGAACCAAAGCTACTTGACAAAAGTTCGTCTCTCAACTGAGGTTCTACCAGTGGAAGTCAACAATCAAGAATTGTTAGCAAACCTTGAAGTAAAAACATACTCTTAGAAAGGGCAAGTCTCCCAAGGTCAGAATCTTTACCCTTTGATACTTCCAACTTGAAGCAAAGGCATGCGCATATAATTGGGTTTTACTGCCCAAACCGGCGATAGCTTTGATTCTTTCACACGGATCGAGTATAAGAAGAAGCGTGCGTGAATCAACCGTCCTAATCCGTTCTTGATCTTGTTCTTCTCTCATCCAACTATCTCAGTCATGCGTGATTCTGCCATCTATTCATACAACCCTTTCAAGGCCCTTCAAAATTGCTATATCCTGAACGTTTCAAACCTAACCGCCGCACAATCACTGGCGCACCATGAAATTAGCATTAGGAAAACAATTGCGTCGACCTTCCTCACGTTCTCTGGAGAAACCCGCATTAAGGATGTTTGTCGGAACACTTTGCGCAAAGAACGCGAGCATCTGTCGGAAGCCGACATCGATGTATGTATATTCGTCATTCTCACCTATTCGGCAACCCTTTCGGATGCGCCCTATTTTAGATAGCTACGAATGCATTTGGCTCCAGACTAGTCCTCAACAAAATTTTGCCGACTGGATGCGCTGATCAGCTCACGGCGTGGTTCGGCAGCCCCGAATGTTCACTAATTGAAGGCGAGTTGGAGTCATTGGCACGACGTGTCATGAGTGGCACGGCAAGGGTTTTCAAACAGTGAGATCCCTGTCGTCATTGGTATTCTAAATTCTCGCCTATATTCATGGTGCCCAGGGAGCGGAAGAAAGCGCAAAGAGTTCCAGGTTGGTTGTCCCCACTTAGTGGGCCCTCCACGCGACTTAACTTTCACAGGATCTGGACTCCCTATGGTAATCGCTGGTCCAAAAGACGTCCCGAAATGTACAGACAGAACATCCAGTAGCAGCGGACTAAACGAGGTATCAATTTTCTCACTCGAGTACGCGGACCTTTACTCAGGACTTATCAGAAAGGAAAGCGGCCCTCATCGGGAGATTCGGTTGAAGGCGCAGCAGCGGTGAAGAAAGCAACGGGACTGAAAGGTATCTTTGGCGCTAGTGAGTTCTCTCTGTTCATATTGTCGTCCGGGACTTCATTCCATACACAGGTGAAGCTAAAGGGAATCGGAAGCCGCTCGCTGAACTGCAGAAGGACAAGGTTCATCGTCTTATCTCTCAAGTTCACTATCTTACTGAGCGTCGACCGATAGAATCAGAGTAATGCACCACAGCCGCCTGTTTTCGTTGCCCCACAATCAAATCGTTCTTCCGGCCATCCTCAAGCTCGACCTCTTTCTCGATCTGCACCCAATTCGCACCGTCATGCCATCTACATCGATAACGATGTCTCTGCGAATATTCTTGCTCCACCTCGCCCCGATAACATCACAACTAACGAGGCCGCCCCGAAAAACGTTTCTGGGTCAGACACCGCTCCATCTTCAGTCGCTGCCCAAATGCTTCAACCTAACGCTGTGAACAATGTCGTTGCCCCGCCGCATCCTGGAAGGGTCACTGTACCATCTTCTCTGCGTGCTCCGAACCAAGCTTCTGCTTCTGGCACTCTCAATGTTGAAGAAAAGAAGGGAGAGGCTCAAGTTTCCATGCCAGTCTCTGAGTTTTCCACTACTCTCAAACCTGTCAATGATTCAAAGCCGATTCGTCCCGCGCAAGATAGGTTGTCTCCAAAACTGGCCGACGTCACGACTCTTTGCTCTTCTACTTCTGAGAATGTTATCGCCAAATCGAACCAAGAATCTTCGCCGCAGTCAACGCCGTTTGTTACCGCTTCTTCTTCTGACCTCAACACTGTTAGCGAAGGCAAATCTACTACTATAGTCATCGATGCCGCTTCAGGCGACTCTTCTGTTTCTGAATCTGAGCAAGACAACGCAACCCAGGACTCGTCGACTGCGGAGTCTTCTACAAGCGCGTTCACATTTTCTGACCCCTCGACTATGGCGCGCAACATCTCTTCGTCGAACAACGTTCAACCTCTAGTCTTTAATATCACTTACAATCATACCCATCATCACCACCATGTTCATAACCACTATCACGCGGCCTGAATTCTAGGATCCAGATTTTCCTCATGCGAAATACAATTTTACATCCGACCAATATTAGGCGGAATGACATTTTTACCCTCTTTGTGGGCCGTTTTCCGGTCTACATTCTAGCCCTCGGATTTTCTTGATTATGGAGCAGCAAGCTATAGATGCGTTGTTCGACATGTACTACACTTATACACTTTATCGATTTATTGACCACAGAATCCTAAAACTCAGCTTACTCCTCTACCTAAGTATCATTCGTATTCGCCACTATTGTGGACCTCTGTCTCCTCCAACCATCAACATTTGCCGGGTTCTAAATCCCGAGTGTAGGACTGGTGAGTTTGAGGTAGTGTCAGGATCATTAGAAGGACGGAGGAGAATTTGCGAAAATATGAAACATAGTACATAGATAGATATCTGATCAAGTCGGAATACATAGCCCGGGGAGGAGGGTGCAATGCAGAGAGGAATAAATGGCAGTACAAACTTGAATGCACGATGTGATTGAGGGGCTATGAACGCTGGTAGGGATAGGTAGGGATAGGTCTCAGCATCAAAGAAACAAAATGTGGCAAGAGTGAGTACTATGAGTAGCCACTCGAGCGTTTGAACGGTAGTCCTTTTTTGTCGGCTCCGGCCCTTCGAAAACGCAGAAGGACAAAAATGCAGTATCAAGGAGGTTTAAGTAGCAGGCAATTTGTTCTTGTAAGAGTTGAAATGGTAATTCGCCAAAGCAATTCTCAAGCGGAGTTCGAGGAGTATTTCGTTGACGGTTTGAGTTCATCTTGATGTAGTCGAAGGAAGAAATGCGAGAGAGAGTGATCGCGAAAGTGCCATGTATGGATTCAGAAATTAAAAACGAAGAGTTGAGACTGCGCTTTGACAACCTGTTTAAAGGTTACAGTTCACCTCTACAGCTTTAAAATACGATTAACCTTTTTTTTGGCAATGAGACCAGACCCGGAATATTTTCCCAGCAAGAGCGAGCTAAAATTAGAAGAGCACAGTCAAGTCGTCCTATAGCGTCCTATTCCTATATAGCGTCCTATTCCTAGTTGGGTGGAGGCAAGCACTGCTAGCAGGGAGTTTGAGATAGTAATCAGTCAGCTTGGAGTCATTGCGGGATACGGAACGCTGTCGGATGAGTACCCTCTGGCTAAACACTGGCTAAACGTCTTGGTCAGAAACAGAGAATCAAGCAATGAGTTTGTCAGAGTCAATTCAGTTATAAGATGGCTGACTCATCGGAATCGTCGGCAGAAATACAACGTGTATCGCGTAACCGCGCTTCCGCAGAACAAACCCGCAGACCCCGCAGTCATGGCAGACATTTATAAAGGACCTTGCTTTATTATCTCTGGTCGCTATAGTCCCCCATTTCATTGGAGTTATATAAATATAACCAGTCAAAGCCATCATAACACAAAGAACCCTTTCCGATCCAGCCAAATCCAGAATGCTCGCTTTGTCTCCTGCCCGTGACTTATTCGCTTTATCTTCCTCCACTACAAAGACGCCTTTTTCATTGGACCATCATCATTCTTCCGCTCTCCCCTCCTTCCCTTCATATCGTCAGCCTCCCTTTGTTGAAACGCCATCCCAGCGTCGTGCTCGCGTCGCGTTTTCGCGTAAAGAGGACAACCGACAGGGTGAAGGAAAGATAGTCGAAGAAAGGGTGGAAAGTTGGGTTCGAGAGCAGGTCCAACAGAGTACTTTCATGGTTACCGCAGCTGCTAGAATGTCGTCCGAGAATGACAAAGCAGGCAAGGGTCGTATGAGAATCCTTAATCGTCGACAAGGAGGCGCTCCTACTCTCAAGCCTGTGCCCGACGAAGTAGTGCTTCGTCGCATGCTCAAAGACTCATCTAATCTCCTTTCCTCTATTACGGAGGAAGAAGATGAAGAGCCATATATCCTTTACTCGACTCCCTTACCGCGATATTCCACATATCCCACTCCAGCTCCGTACTATAACAGCAGTCCACCGTCTCCGACTAGATCATCCCCGATTCGATCGTCTCCTCGCAGTCCTGCTACCAGCCCTGCTACCAGCCCAACCAAACCATCGCACCAGCGCCGGTTCTCTGACTTGCAAGCCATACCAGAAGGCTTAGAGGAGTAGACCCGATCTGGACCTTTATTTCTCGGTCGTCGAGATTTCCAACAACACCATGCATCCCAGTCTCATTATACTGTCGGTGCAATCCAAGCCGGACACGCTTTCTTGTTGCAGAATCGCTCATGATGAGTGTTTAAACGTCTATAACATAAACGTCCTTGTGCATTGAATAGCATTGCCTGCTATGCCAACTCTGCATCTTTCTTTGCGTCCTACCCTTCGCAGTTAGATGATGCTTCCTTTATGGCCACGTGAAGACGGCTCTTCGTTGCTATTTAGCCTCCCTAGCTTTTTTATTGAAATTATTCACTTTGATTGCTCGTGGCTTCGAAATTCCCAATATCATGGTTACTTTACATAGACTTCTCGCTCCATTGTCCATGTCGCTCACATTGAATGCACAATTGTACTCAACTCGAATATAACGAATTGTCCTTGTCCATCATATCCGGTTCACTACCCTCCATCTGAGTATTCTCTGTTCTCCAAAATTCGAATTTATCCAGTCCCAATTCTCCAAGTAAAGCGCCTGACATCGCAATGAAAACCACCGCACCGGCCAAAAGTCCAACACAAATTAGGAACGAGACTCTGTATGTTGGGCCATATACGGCTATATACACGGATGGAAGAAAGGAAACATCCAAATCGAGTCAACGGTCTTCGTCCAAGAGTCACGAAAATTTGAATGCTCACATAAAAACACTTGTGGTCCAAGAATGCCAGAAAACTGCGCGACAGCATTCGTTATACCGATCGCGATTCCAGCTGCGGTAGTCCCATGAGCTGCTTTGACTCGGTTGGGCCATAAAATCGGGTACACAGAGCCAGCTGTTGCTGTTGAGACGAGTAGAGCGAGATACCGGACAACGACGACCTATATGTAGAACGAGGAAAAATGCGTGAACAAAGAGTCAATAATCAAGTTCCCCCTGATCACGAAAGCAATGATATAGGTTGAAAATACTTACGTCGACTGTTAGAAGTAGAACGTAACAGATGATGTTCACAATTTCCACTACAACGCATGCAAACCCAGAGGTAGTACCGTTAGCGTTAGTGTCAGAAAGGATTGGAAAGTACTCACGTCCCATAGCAACCCAGTACGGATTCCATTTTCTCATTTGAACCAACCACCCTAGTACGTTCAACAGAACAAACGTAGCAAGCGAAGGTGGCATGGAAAGTACGTTGCTCAGTGCCGTTGTGGTGAAGCCTGCCCAGAGTATCGAGTAAGAAAACACTCCGTATTGGAACAGAACAGGACAGCATAGAGAATTTTGAAAATAAACCGCAAACCGTACCAAGATCGTATATAACCGTGGGCAAGACATAGGACAAACCAAATCCTCCAATCGCATGACAAAACCACGTCGCAGAAAAAGTCCAAAACGTCGGATCCGCTAATAATCGAAGAACTTGGTCTTTATCCCACGTCTTAGCCATCTTTGAAGGGGCGCCATTTGAGAGTCTTTGAATGATCACATCCCGTTCGCGATGGTGTAGAAATTTCGCTGTCTGGGGGAAGTCCGGAAGGATGAAGAACGTGGTGATGCCCATTAGGATTGCTGGAATGCCCTCTACAACACAAATAGCATCAAAAGGGGCGAGTAAGTTTCGAGGGAATTTCAAAAGAATTTTTCAGTTAGTTAGGTGCTTACCGATGATAAAAAGCCACCTCCAGCCAGGTAGTACCCCATTGGCAAAAGATACCGCGAACGCGAGGAATCCTCCGACGAAGCCGCTGACTTGACCAAACGAATAGAATACAGCTACTCGCAATGCAAGTTCCTCTGGTTTGAACCAAAATGCGAGATAGTATATAACGCCAGGATAGTATCCTGCTTCGGCAGCACCGAGCACTTAGTACGATTGAGTGTGATGGATGGATGAATAGATTGGACAAGTTGAGTTGATCAGTATGCATATTCCCTGGACTGAAAAGAGAAGAACACTCACAAACCCTAGTCGATATCAAGCCAGCATAGTTCTGCACAGCGGCGATGCAACAGACGATGATCCCCCAGGTAACCATGATTCGTCCAATCCAAAAGCTTGGCCTAAGGATAGTAAAACCTCGTTAGAGCGTCCAGCTAACGACACCAATCAACGGTGACATCTCGAAAGAAGTCCTGAATCTCAATAAAGCAAGACTGGGGACTCACGTCGTGCTTTTGATAAACATAGTAGAGATCGGCTCTAAAAATCCATACGGATAATAGAAACACGCAATGGCCCAAGCCCAATTCTGCGCCGTCAACTTGAGCTGAGTTTTGATATCGTCACCCTGTTCTTCATTCAGGATGGCGGCGTTGGATATATTATTCACGTCGATACGCATGACAAGGTAAGTTATACAGAGCCAAGGTAGAATTCGTTTATCTATACGGCGTTATGTAGTCAATTATAGAGTATAGTTCTGAGGGTAAGTGTACGACGTACCTATCTTTCGATGAATTTTACGCAGCTCCTCTTGGGATACTACTATTACTTCATCTTCCAGAGCCTGCGGCTGTTCCGATTTCGGTGAGATGCCGAGGTCTGACTTGCTGTTTCCAACGACGTCGCCACTTATTCGTTCGAAACTAGAGCGTTTCTCCATCGTAGAAGATGTGGGAGGTGCAGTAGATAGTGATCCTTGCGACATGACAAGCTTGGAAGAAGTCGTCTAACCTTCTTCCGAATATCCCAAGGCATCTATCCCTCTTGATATAAAGATAAGGCAGTATTAGGAAAGTCGTCTGACGAAGCATCCATATCGTCTCATATTGTCAACGAAGCACGATTTTTCGAATATCAAAACCGTCAGAGTCAAGACATGAAACCGAGGGTGTATTGGTTGGAGTGTCGGCGGCCTATGGCGCGTAACAACGCGCTGAGAACAAAGATAACCAGGAGATCCACCCCAGCTTGATCAAGGGGAGGAAATCAAAAGTTTAACTTATAAGCGCCCACGGCCGGGCCGTTACAAGTTCGGTTCTGGGCACCCTGAGCGCTTGCGCTTATGGGTTATAACTACCTTTCGAGTTCGCACTGCGTCAAGCTTTCCTTCCACAGTTTCGCTGACTGCTCTGACTTACATAGTGGTCTAATCCCTGCCCACCTACGAACCAAGTGGATTTCGAAAAATCATTCTTATCTAAATTGCATCCCGAGCAAACCATCTTGCGTTGTCCTGACGTGATTAGGTCTCATAGGTATAGTTCCCATGAACATGGCTTCTATGTCCTCATACTTGCAGAGATGGTGTGAATCTTTCCCCATAACTATCCGCAGTTCCGTGTCTAATATCGAAACTTGGGAGCTTTAGGGGTCACAAGCTCTCTGCTACTACAAATACTCTTCGCAATAGAATGGATTTTATACGTACGATTTTGGGTCCAAGGCTCTCGTTCCTTCCCGAACTTCCGTGGAATTACCTCCAATTATGCCCGCTCTCGTCAACAGTAATCCACCGCCGCCCTTGGTATCATGGTCTGAGCACCCGGTGACGACTGAACCTCTTGACTGGGCGCCTCTAGTGATCATCGATCTAGCCAAGTTCGACCAACCCGGTGGAAAGCAAGAGCTCGCGAATGAGCTCAAAGATGCTGTCAAGCTTTGGGGCTTCTGGACGGTTATTAACACTGGCATATCTCAAGAACAACTCGATCGACAACTCGATATTGGTAACACGTTTTTCAAGCAACCGTTAGCGGAGAAGAAGAAAGTTGCTTGTAATTTTTCTGAGGGAAAGCAAGTCTTCCTTTTGGGTGTTTCGCTCGTATTCCAAATTTGCTTATGTTTTGACCCCTTCATGAAGTTACTTTGGATACCGGGAGCCCTATCGACTCGTTGGCAAATCTGATGTCAAGGAAAATATGGAAATGGTACTCAGTATCTGCCTTCTCTCGTTTTCAGTTCCAAACTTAACAATGTCACTAGTTGAATCTCCCGAAATACACCCCCCATTACGAGTCTTATCCACGCCACGATTTTATTCAGGCCTACAAGAATGAAATACAACCCTTCCATCGGCTTGTATGGGACAATGTTATTCGCAAATTGTTCATCTTGTTTGCCATCATCCTCGAGCTTCCGGAGGATTATTTTGTTCAGAGACATGATTATGACAAGCCTTCTGAAGATCACCTCCGTTATGTATGTGAATGTTTCCTTTCTTCGTGAAATAGTGCCAAGTTTGAATTCGGAACAGATGATTTACCACCCTAGGCCCGCTGAAGATGATGCGAAGATTGGAGGCCAATGGAGTGCCGGGCATACTGGTCTGTGAGATCCTTTCTTCGTCTATCACGAGTTCTCATAACTAGTTTACTTGTATCTAACAGACTTTGGTAAGGTCACGGTATCTCGTATTATCGGAAACCGTTACAGTACCCTAACCAATTACCACCATTTCAGGTTCCATGACACTTTTATTCTCTCAATCCGTAGCAGCGTATGTTGCTTCTTTCGCTTTCCATGCCGCTCGTCGCCTTAATCCGTGGTATTACTGACAGACTCCAAATACGAACCCCGAACAACGAATGGAAATGGGTCAAACACATCCCAGGTGGTATAACCTGCAACGCAGCCGATACTTTATCGTTCCTTACCAAGGTATCTCACACTGGAAGTCAACTATGTCAATATCGTCCTTGCTCATATCAATTAATTCGACAGGGATACATTAAAAGCACGGTCCACCGCGTAATGCGCCCACCACCTGACCAAGCGAATCTCGAAAGGTTGGGTCTCTTCTACTTCGTGCGCCCAGGCGACGACGTTCCAATGGTCCCTGCCCCGAGCCCTGTTCTTATTCGTGAAGGCTATCTTTCTGAAGACGAGGCAAAACTTGCTTCGGAAGGACAAATTTCAGATGCCGTGAAAGGTTTTGGTGTGTATTCAATGAAGGATACACATACATTCATATGCTAAATCTAAAATATGACTCACATTCTGTTTATAGAATATGTTCGTGCACGGGTCAAGAACGTCCATACTCGCAACACTCGACATGTGCATGACGGTCGTGGCATGAAAGAGGTTTTCCGTCTCAAGAACCTTGAAGTTCCGGATTTTTATGTATAAAAATAAGATATATGCGATGTTATTACATGGGCAAGTCCTGAGTCTGTGCATATACTTACGGTGTGATACATACGAGTTTGCTGTAACTGATGTACATTTCGTTCATGTAGTATGTAGTCGGATTTCATTTCTCCAACAGGGAAATTTGGGACTCCGAGTCGGAGATGGATACTAAGTGATCATCCTCAATCATCGCCTGAATCGTCTAGGTCAATCTCGTCGGCATTGCATGCTCTAAATCATACTCACAAAAGCGATAATGTCAAATCACCATGCACCCGGGCCTTTATCTCGACAGCCACGTCCAGGTTCAAGTCGAGCTGCAATTTCAAAGGCTTATCGCCCCCTCCCCCTCCATCCTCATCGTCGCCGCCTTTCTGAGGTGGTTGTAGAGGTTGTTGCTGTTGAAGAGGAGGAGCTTGTTTTCTAGACTGTCCATCATTTCCCACACCTGAACGCTGAAGAGCGCGTTTGTTGTTATCAGTTTCATTTATTCCCAGTAGCCCATCCCCCCGATTAGGACGTTTCCGGTCTCCACGCTGGCGAGGACAGAAGATTGTCGTTGTTGGCGAATGGGGTGGGGTGAAAAAGACATATTGCTTTAATTCATAACCCCCGGAAGATGGGGTAAAGGATAGGTAAGCTTGGGCTTGTGTCAGAGATCCTATGTAGTGCCCAACTGCAGCTCAGTGCTCCAAGGATGAGATCATTGGTTAGCTATAGATTCATATGGGCGGGTCAACAACATCCCTCTAATTACTTACTACTCACAGGAGAAGCACACTCTGACGTCATAAACTCGATCCTATCTTCGAGCCACCTCAGAATAAAAATGAAAGTTTACCCCACCTGTGATCAACTTTTTTTAGGTGAGGACAATGAGGCCAAAGCGGTAAATATCAAGCCTCTTGTGGGAAACCCAAGTACGTAATACTAGTTTTTTTTTGCCCCAAGGGCTGGGCGCAAGTAATTTAGCTGCACCCACTACGTTCTGAACTCGGAGTAATTTAAAATGACCGAGTTTGTATGCATGTGCCATGTGCATGAACACCCAGTCCTCACGCAATGCGAAATCAACTTGTTTCATTGGCAGAAATTGTCGAGAAATGGGTTCCACATAACTTTGGGTTCCACAAAACTGAGATGAGGGAATGGTATGTTCATCCAAAAAAGACATACCATTATACACGTCGTCGCACAAGGAAAGGATACTGAGTAGATTAACGGAATTATATGCATCTATATATGATAGCTATGGCCGCTGTAAGGTAGACGACGTCCACATAAATCAAAAAAAATACATACAACCTAAGCCCTAGATCAAACCTATATGATATACTTACAAGATACAACGATGGTAGAGATGAAGATACATTCGTGATCAAAGTTCATGTAACATATAATGAGTCCTAGAGTTGTAGTGACTCATCGTCTGAAGAAAAATGTCGGTTCCATAGCGCACAATATCAAAGTTACCACTTACAAAAGCGACAATGTCAGATCACCATGCACGCGCGCTTTTATTTCAACCGCTACATCCAAGTTCAAATCTAGCCGCAATCTCAAAGGCTTATCGCCTGAGCCCCCTCCGTCCTCATCTTCGCCAGTTTTCTTGGGTGGTGGCTGAGGTTGTTGTTGAGGAGGCTGCTGTCTAGGCTGCCCATCATTTCCTCCTGGACGCTGGATAGCGCCTTTGTCAGCTTCATCTATTCCCGGCAGCCCATTTCCTCTATTGGGTCGTTTTCGCTCTCCACGTTGTCCGAGTCGTGGGCCAGAACTAGTGCTACGGGACCGAGAACGGGAGTGGACTGAACTCTGACGCTGTCGTTGTTGCTGTCGAGCAGGATTGGGTGAGGAAGACATTGCTAAATTTGGATTTCCCGTAGAATGAGGGAAGGATGGGAATTTTTTAGTTCGTGGCACAGGTCCTATGTATGTTTGTGTTGCTCCAAGGATGAGATCATCGAAACGACGTCATGAAAGCACGTAACTAATTACAGAGACTCATTTCCTGGTAGCAAGTAATTCTGGGCATTTAACTATATAGGGAGTAGGGCATGCCGTAGTAAAATTCAAAGAAGAGTTGCCTGTGGTGGTTGAATTTCTTTTCAAGCAAGGGCAAAGCGGTACATATCAAACCTTATTTGGCTAAGTCTTACTTGCTTGATCCAGTGAATGTCGGACCATGAGCATGATAGAATTCGAGTATATTATTTTCAGCAATATTTGATATCCAATAATGCACATAGCTGAATGATTGTTGATGGGTCGCCAAGAGACAACGCACACACGATATGTGCCCAACGAACGAGGACCTCTGAGATCCAAGTTCTACGTTTGATTGAATCGTTGTCAAGAACGAACCCTTACGAAAGCGTATCCCATGCGCCGAGAGATTTCATACTATCATTTCAAAAACTTTCGAGTATACTTGTCATATGTGTGTTCATGCTTTCTTCTTCCCCGTTCTAACCTTCGGAAACTGAACTGGAGCGGTGAGCACAGCGAACTTGGTGTCAGCGAGCGTGTCTGAAAGTCCCCGATTGGCACGTTCGCGCTCGGAAAGGGTCTTCAATTTACAGCCTAAACTGCGATAGGCGGCTTGAACGCTAGGATAATAAAAAGGTGGATCGTTCGTTAAGGTCACTTTGAGATCCGGGAAACAAAAAGTGTGCATACTTGGTGACAGACAAACTGAGGTCATCAGCTAAAGTCTTTGGATTGGATACAAAGTCATCCACTCTGAGACAGAGAGCTAGAAGGTAGGCCATAAATTTTGTGGACATTGATGAGGTGAGGATGTGACTAGAAGCATAAAGAGTGCATAAGCATTATCAGGCGGTCAGAGTAACGACGAGGTTCCTACACCGAAGATCCTCTGGTTGTCTCCGTGAATCTAGAGAGAAGCCCATCCACAACAACGGTAGGGACATTGTTCATCTTTTCAATTATCGAATCTTTGTCTAGACCCTTTGGGTGACTGATAATTCGACGGAACAGAAACATTATAGAGACATAGAGTAACATTTTTCTGCCGGAGCTTTAGTTTGAGCGTGAAGCATCTATCTGAAACGGCTTACAGTTTGCGTTTGCGAGCCTTACGCTTTTCTTCTTCTTGACCCACGCGTTTAAGATGATCGTTGACCCACTTGCAATGTTTCCAGAACAGCATACCAACGTGATCATTGTGCTTGAGATTCTGTTCAATGGGTAAGATGTTGAGTGCCTTCATTTCAGCGTCCGGGATGATGTCGTTCAAGGGATATATGTCTCCAGGCTCGGTAGCCGTAGCAGAGAAAGGCGGCACGAGACGGGAAGAGTCAGCCAAGTCCTTTGCTTCTTCTACGCACGAAGCTAAACATGGGCGGATCAATCAAGCATTCCGATGTACATACCTTTTGTCAATAGTCCTTCAGCCTTTATGTCAATACCGTCCACTACATGTTGCATCACGCCTTGCATAGCGCTGACATCGACGCGATTTCGTTCCTGGGCACGAATTGCGGCTTTTGCTTTCTTCGTGCCGAAAGTTTCTCCGAGAGCAGTCCTAGCTTCTCTATACGCCAATGTAGACGGAGCATCGGCTGGTACTATGGATTTGAGGGCTTTGACTGTTCGTGTGAGTATATAGGGTGTCTTTGGGGAAGGAAGAATCTTGATCGTGGAAGTTCGAGGGTCACGGACAGCCAAGAGATAACTTGGGGGGATAAATTTCAATAAGAATGAGACGAGGTAAGAAAGCAAACTAAGGCGCACCTGCATCCAGAATCAGCAGCTCGTTTGCTTTCTTCTTCGTTGGAGATGAATTCGACGGCTGAAGCCTCCCCTACAACCAAAGTATGTTCGTACTTTCCGCCATCATCATCCTTATCTTTTTTCGCTTTCTTTCGACCGTAACACTTGAAAGGTGTGTCTTTTGGAGCTTGGAGAGCTGGAAAACTGACTGTTGGCTCATGAGTTCTGTAGTTGAACTGAGAAATCAGAGAAAAATTTTTACGTGCCCAATAAAGGACCTGATGCTGTTGTTCCAGTAGATGAGGAGGGATCTAATTCAAATGAAAGGCTTTCGTGAGATGGATCATCGCGTTTTCTTTTCTTCGAGGACGGCGCAGGATTTGAGGGCATCTAAAAATGGCCTGTAGTGGTGGTGGTAGTCCAGGTCGAAATTGAGATTGAAACATTTTTCTTGTTCAATCTCTTTTCCCCTGACGCTCATGAACTCAAGCAGTATACTCTCTCCTTAACCGTATTCCTTCCATCTCTTCAGTAGCTTGAACTGAAACCGATGTGGGCTTTTTTCTTCTAATCTCTCAAAAGTCTAAATAACGGCCTTTTGCTTGTCAATCACAACAAATGTCTCTCTCCGACCACGATTCACCGAAACTGGAGGGCTCTCCTGCCACTGCAAATTCTCCTACTCCTCATTCTGCAGAAAGGTCGACGTCGTCGGCCCCTAGTGCGTCTTCATCTAAAACGTCTACTCCTCCACCAGTGGCTCCTACAAATTCGAGAAAGCAGAGTGCAGCGGGTGTTGCCATCCAGTTTATAGGACATCTCCCTGTTGCTCGGGAGGATGCCTTAAAAACGTTCACCGAGATTCCTAACAACTGCTACCAGTATAAAACTCTGGGCCGTGTTAGAGAGCTCGAAGAGAGTATGACTTGTGACTGTACATTTGAACCAGGTGAGCTGCGAGGCAGAGAAGTGTCGACTAAGGGTCTTGCTTGACCTTTCGAGTAGAGTACGATAACCCAGAACTTGCCTGTGGGGCTAGTTCTGATTGCATAAATCGACTAACACAAATTGAGTGTCTTGCTGGATACTGTAGGTGTGGAGAACATTGTTTGAACCAGCGGTTCGTACCAAACGTCGCCTCTCGTTCGTAAACTTGTTCATTAGCCTTCAAACCAGGTTTCAAAAGAAGAACTATGCACCCATCGAGATCGTCTTGACGGATAAGAAGGGATTTGGGCTTAGGGCAGAAGATGACATCCTCAAGTACGTCGCAAAAGCCCTCACTCGAAACGTCCTTACTTATTCGCGATGTTCATGGCCCTTCATCTCTCAAATTGACCTACCTGCTCATTTTCAACATATTTCCGACGTTAAAGGGACTCATTTATCTACGAATACGTCGGAGATGTTGTCAATAACGTTTCATTCAAGAAGCGCATGCGAGATTATGCCACTGAAGGCATTAAACACTTTTATTTTATGATGTTGCAGAAAGACGAGGTGTGTCTGCTTTTTTTCATCGTAAATATCCGGCTCAACTTTTTTTTTCTAGTTCATCGACGCAACGAAGTCCGGAGGAATTGGTCGTTTCGCCAATCATAGCTGTAAACCTAACTGCTACGTGGCAAAATGGACGGTAGACCAGCATGTTCGTATGGGCATATTTGCGAAGAGGAATATCCGAAAGGACGAAGAGCTCACATTCAACTATAACGTCGATCGTTATGGGTGAGTGGTGTATTTTTTTTGATATACTTAGATATCCTATTCACGCGGGGGTTTGCAGTCATCAAGCACAAGTCTGTTACTGTGGTGAACCAAATTGCGTCGGCTTCATCGGTGGAAAAACCCAGACTGAGACGGATATATCGACTATGGATGAGTTGTATCTCGACGGTACGAAGTAATGCTTCGCGATCTACAGTTAGGCTAATTTGCATCTCTATAGCACTCGGTATTACGGACGATGACGAGCTTCAGGAGTACAAGGGAACCAAGAAGAAGAAGGGAAAGAAGATTGACGATCCTGACTTTATGCCAACCATGAAGCCTGTCACCGAGAAAGAAGTTCCCAAGGTCGTACAAGCAATACGGCAGACTCAGAGCAAAAAGATGCTGTTCAAACTTTTGTCGCGCCTGAAGGTTCTGTTTTCCTCAAGCGTTCTCTTCTATGCTGCCCATCTCATCTATGTATAGATTACACAGGAACAGTCAGCTTTACGCCAGGTGATGCGGCTGCGTGGGTACAGTCTTATGAAAAATATTCTAGAAGATTACATGAAGGATACGGACATTCTTGGATTAGTGAGTCTCACACATTGTACTAGTTGCATCAGAAAATATTTCTGACCTTGGCCCATCAGGCTATGGAGTGCATGTTTTCATGGCCTCTCATTGCTAGGAACAAAGTCGAAGATTCGCAGGTGTCAGTTCCGGTGAGGCATTGCATGGGCTCTGAGAACGAAAGTGTTAAAACATGGGCGGAGAAGGTCTGTAATAATTTACTCTGCTACATCTCATGTATTAATTGGGCGTGTATTTAGCTCATTTCACATTGGGAGTCTCTGGAGCTGAGTTACCGAATACCACGCTTACCGAAACAAAACATCGAATTGTCTATAAAGCCAGTGGAAGAAGAAGAAAAACCTCCAATAATTCCACTACCATTGCAGCCGCCTAATCAACCCCGCAACCACCGTTCTTCTTCAACTTGGGACGATGGTCAATGGCGTGCACCCAAGCGACCACGTATGGCGCCTGTAATTATCGTTAAGGCTGAAGACCCTCCGCCTGTTGTTCAGGGCCCCTCCATTAGCGAGATTCGTGCAATTCAAAACGCAGAGTTGGAAGCCATTATCGCAGCAGCCAAGGCGGAAAAAGCAGAGGCCGAATCCAAAGCTGAGGCTGAGGCAAAAGCGGAGGAAGAAAGACGGCAGAGGAAGGAGAGGGCAAAGGCGGAAGGTAGTAGTAGTAATGGGAAAAAGCGGCATCGCGATCGGGAAAAGGCAAAGAAAGAGAGGCGGTCAGAAAAGGACGCCAATAAGGAAGTGCTCAAGGAAAAGAGGCTGATGAAGCTCATCAGTCCTATAGTCGTGAAGTCTATGTCCAAGCATGCATCCGCTCTTGGACACGACCGGTTCAAACGACATGCTAAGGAGGTACGGTGGATTAATAATTCACTTTAGATGATCTATTCATTGATTGAACTGTCTCATTTTAGTTGACACAAAAGGTCGCTGAACGCGAAAAGAAATCTTCCGCGTACCAACAGAACAAACTGGACAACCTCTCCGATGACAAGGTCGCAAAGATCAAAAAGTATGCCAAGGAGTACATTGATAAGTTACTACATAGAATGGACAAGGAGCAAGGTCACAGAAAACCTTCTTCGTCTGCCTCGGCCTCTGTATCGGCTGCATCGACTACACCCTCAGGGCTTGTTGGATCGCCATCTTCAGCAATAGGAACACCCACCTCCACAACTCTCCCAGTTGATCTAGCCGCGGTTGCTCTCGATGACGCCATGGACATGGACACAGATTCTGAATTGGATGAAGGTGAAGGTGATTATGATCAAGAGGATGATAATGTTGACATGGCTGGTGATGAGGATGGATTTCGCATAGAAGGGCAACTTCAAAATGGGTTGTACTCAGAAGGAGTTCGAAATGATCCCAGCATCGGGAGTGTAGAAATGGAGGACATGCAAGCAATGCGTCCAAATGGACAACAGTCGCTGGAGCCGTCGATGGTATCATGAGGCCCTCCGATGTACAAGTTCGACCCGAAAACTTTCAATGTTTCATTATGTAGTGGGCTGTATAATTTATGTTGAGGACTAAGCGGCAGACTGGCGGCAGATGAGGATGTTGAGACTTGGGCCTATTTGATCACGTGTAACGCTCAACCCGGTCCAGCCATCACTGGCGCCAGACTCATGTTCAGTGTCCAACGTCAACTCGCGCAAGCATGAATAGTCTGCAGGCTATCACTGGGACACACTCTACCACTCATTCCATAGCAAGCACTCCTCTCAACCGCCCGCCACTTAGTGCTCAAGAAAGTCGAGAAAAACGACTTGCACATCAACAGTCCCGCTTCAGGGATCGCGGCGGGTAATTTGGTTTTACTGCATTCGGGCTCGACTCTCACCCTGATTGTTTAGTGTATTCGTCCCTCAACAAAGGACAGCTCTTCTTGACATTCTCCTTGGCAAAACTACTTTAAAGCAGGTCACTGCTCGACGACGGTCAAGATCGCGCAGTACATCGCACTCCCCTGTTCGAAGAAAGAGTATCAAAGGCGCTCTGGGTGACAATGGCGAACCTGCATATTTACCGAGGGTGAAAAAAGGTCGCAAGTCGGTGATAGAGGTGGCTCATAACGATGAGGGGCCAGTTGCTGGTATGACCATCTCACTCTTGATTTCATATGAGGTAACTCGTTAAGAGCAGGTCCCTCAAGACCTAAGAAAGCAATATCTCATAAATTAAGGGAGAAAGCTGATACAGGTAGGTCCTTCTACTGTACATCCTGCAGTCCCATGCATGATTTCTCACAAGTTCGCAGTTAAAAGCAAAAGGTCACTCCCAGAGAAATCTATACCCAAACTAAGTGCTGGCCCGGACGAGCTGATCGTCGATTCGCCAAATGTTCTATTGAATGCTCGTGACTCTAGAAAGACTATTGCTTCTCTTGACGAGAAGACCCATGAGATCCCGAAACCTCGCCGAACATCATCCAGGAAGACAAATGCACCTGCCAATACGAGGAAAGGGAAGGAGATAGCGACGCAGGACGCAGAAGAAGAGACGGAACCTGACGGCACAGGAAAGAAGAATACTAGGAAAGGCAAATCCAAGGCAGCTGGTTCGTACAATCGTTCTTCAGCTTCGGTGCAAGGCTTATTGGGCTTTGTGTCAGTCACGAAACCGAAGGACAAGAAGGCACCGCAAACTAGATCGAAAGCACCTCAGGCTACCGCTCGTAAATCAGCTCCCAACCTCACCCTACCAAGCGAAAATGAACAGGACTCTAATGAGGGCGATAAAACATCTGATTATCCCTCGTCTCCCCTTGCTCACAGAGCGAAGAGGCGTGCTGCTACCAAGATCAAGAACTACACCGAAGATGATACGGAACACGAAGTCGAAGATGCTCGCCATCAGAAGAAAGCCTCACAAGCGGAAACGAAGTCTGCGGTCTCCAAACATTCCACAAAAATCGCTCAGCAGCGGCAAAAGCATGCTGATCTTCAGGAGGTGGTCGTGGAAGACACAATCAAGCAGAACACCAGGCCTGCGCTCACACCTGTGCCTGAGGAATCTGAACCAGAATCTGAAGCTGAACGTGAAGGCATTGTAGCCCGTCGTGCTCAAGATCTTGCCCGTGCCATCTCCAAAACAGTAGAGGATTTCGCTCCTGTTTCTAGAGACCAAGTTCACACTGACAAGGTCCTCGAGAAGGGGTTGGTCGTGGCGAAAGGGAGGCAGAGAAAAAAGAATGCGGTTGTCCTAGAAGAGAAAGGGAAGGATTTTGTGGTCAAGAGTACTCTGGTCAATGATGAGATGGAAGCTGCGAGCAAGCAGGACCAAAAGAATCTCGACAGCACCAAGGTGAAAGGGAAAAGAGGTGCGACAGACGAGAAGAATAATATCACTGGGTCGTCGAAATCCACGGAAAGCCCCAAAGCTGCTAGAGGTGGGAAGGGTCGAGGTCGGACAAAGACCAAAGCTCCCGACAGTCTGAAGGAGAATGTGATTGTCTCTTCTCTTATCGAAGAATCTGAGGCCACAGTTTTGCCATCCCCGCCGCGTCCACTCAAACGTACAAGACCAATTGTCGAACCGGAAGATGTTGAGAGTATTGTGTCGTCGCGAACGAGAAAGAAGGTAAGGACCATAGAAAAGCCGACTGCCGTCACAAATCCACCTTCGACGTCGAGATCGCGGAAGGGCAAGCCAACTGTTCCTCAAGAAGACGAAGCAGTACCGTATGGGATAGAGAGAAACGATAAGAGTAGTGCTGATGCTTCACAAAACAAACGCAAGCGAGCTGTTCTTACGGAGGCTAAAGATCATGAAGAAGCTAGTGAACATGAACCCGACAAGAAGAAGAGCAAGTCGAGGAAGACTGCTCAGGAAAAAGACCCACCTCCTGAACTAAATTCTTCGACAAAACCACGGTGAGCAATTTTGCATATATCGTTTCTCCACGTTCTTCTCCGTCTCAATGCCATTCCCGTTTCAAGACTAAAAACTGCTTCTAGGAAGCAGAAAGAGAACCCAGCCACCGCTGCACCATCGAAATCTGCAGACACTTCCAAACCTTCTGTCCCTCCTGCGAAGAAAACCGCAAAGCCTCAGTCTAGGAAGCCCACGTCGACTTCGAAGAGAGGACCCCCACAGAGTGTTCTCGATCTTATCAAGAAGTCAGCTGCTGTGAATAGTATTCACGTCGTTGACGATGAGCCGGATGAGCTTAACCTTCTCTCATGATCCCAGCACGAACCTTTCACTTCATTAAATCATACTCCCCTGTGCCACACAAGCTACGAACTATCCTTATTTCTTGACATTCCAATCTGTAGGAGTCCACAGCTCATTGTATACACATTTTGTTGATTGACGTGCCATATCTTATGAATCATGGCACAAAGAATACATCACATTGTATCAAGATGCAGGCCCTGAGAAGAACGAAAAACGAAGTACTCTGCGCAGCTGAATCAAGTGCCGCATCAGAGGGATGATAGATCGTTGCCCTGCATATAACACAAATGAAATGGGTGGGCAAAAGCCTGCAACAATGAGAGGAAGCATTGAATGGGGTATGTGCGTTGGGCCTCTCACAGCATTAACATCTCTATTTCTGTTTACTAAACGGTTAAGACATAATTTTAACCAAGCCGATTTGGTTAACTACGAACTTCGCCTTTATTGGACCCGACAACATGCTTTAAATCTTGAAGTGGAACGTTGCTCTCTAGATACTATTTCCATATCCACCACGTCTGATCCTTCCAAGCTCTTCTGAGCGTCGATGGTCCATCCGTAACGCGCCCACTCCTTTTTCTCATCAGGCGACAATCTTTCTCCTTGGTTGATTAACCATTCGCGCTTAAGATCACCGTCTACCGCGAGCCTAACCACCCTGACTCGATCAGATAAAGCACCTTTGGTGCACAGTTGATCAAGACGAACAGATAGGTGATGGACGCTGTCCTCTACAACTTCAGCAGGTACCGTATGAAGTTGGTCACTGTGCTGATCTGTGAATGTCCCGGCGCTCAAGACGTTCATCATCAGAATATCTATGCTCCAAACACGACTGGTATTCGTGTTAATTCTGTATAGACCCAACGGTCCATTTACTAGGAAGCGGGCCAGCATGATGAACAGGTTCCGAGGGACAGTCGTGAGTCCTCCGCTACCAAGCCACTTGTAAGGAAGCTCCGATTGTAGTATCAACGAAACGTCTAGATTCCTACACTTCGATGTAACACCTGTTGACGAAGAGTTTGCGAATTCTTGGCATCCATGCGGGGCCATTGGATCCGTGCACAGTGGGTGCACAATCCAAGTCGGCCATATTCGCTCGTCACCCAAGTATACCTCGGAGTCTTCATAATGTAGCCCAATAAGAGCAATCTCGAGCTCAAAGGACATGCCACCACGTCTGTTTATACACTCCAAAAGTTCGGTATGTATTTGGCGACAGGTGTACAGAATACCAAAACAGGAGCCCCGACCGACTGGAATCTGCCAGTGCCACTCAGGGATTGGCCAATTATAAGTATAAGTCCTAGGTGTCCAGTAGTTATCCAGGGTGGATAGCACGAGATGCCCGGGAATAGACGGTGAATGTGTTCCAGAAGGCGCGGAGAGCAAGGATTCATAGATCTGATCGCGTATTTCGCGTGCTAGAGACAGAAGAGATGGACTTGAAGAAGGAGAAGAGACATCGCTCATGGTTGAAAAAACTAAAGATTGCACTTCCCCTCGTTCCTCAAACAACTTGAATGATTGCCTCCCGCGTCCTCACTTGTGATATTAGGAGGTGCACGTGTCCCTTTACGGGTGCTCAGAGTCACTTACTATTATTAGCCTTAGTAGTAGTAAGTACTTCACAATGTCCAAAAATCAGAATGGGTTGCGATGTGGTGGGATTCTTGATCTCGCCGGTGCCCACCGACGAAGGTACATCAAAGATCCTACGCTACGAAATTCACCCATGGAGACCTCTTGCCGCGGAACATCTTGGTAGTTAAAGGCAATGCGATTCTGGGAGCATGCAGGATGGAAGACAGAGCATTGGAAGGTAACAAAGTCCCGGTACGGGTCTGGGTTCATACATGATGGAAAGTGATTGAGGATTTGCGAGGGATCTTGTAAGGAATAGCACTTTGCGTCTCGCCTGCATATCACCCTACCTATGGATACAAGGATGCCTATATTATATTCGTGGTGTATACTTAAATTCAGAACGAGTAGGGTATAGACTGTATAATGGAGAATCAAGAAGGAGTTCCTAGAGGTTGCCTGTTTGGCATATCAGGAGTCAGAACTACAGCCTTACGCCGACAAAACCCCCAGTTCTAGTGTTACACGCGAAGATGCGCTTTAAATTCACATTTACACCACTTCAACATGTTTATGCATCTGTCCAAGTTGTCTTCGTCTGACTCTGCTCGTTTTCCGTTGGCGTCTTTATTAACCGAATGCCACTCCACACAGTGCTCGTAGACTTGAGAACAGTCGGATAGGTGCGCCAAAACATCCATGCACGGAAAAGATCCTACAGATGAGGAAGGTTATACCAATTCGCGGCGTGGTGCTAAGCAGGGACACAGACCTGTTGAAGTCCAAATATGAACACGAAGGACACTGGTGCTGTAACACCGCAGATCAGCAAGTCAAGAACGACTCTTATATATTCAATCGTTGACCCACGTAGTGATTCCAAGATGTTCACCACCGAGGAATTGACCTGCATGGTGAGATTAAGAATGCTGACACTGCCCAAAAAGCGATGGTCGACACTTGTATATGCAATCGAGTAAAGACCTGTTAGGACGCACATTACGCTAACTATCCCGAAAACGGTGAACAATCCAAGCCGAATCATTGTGACTAAGTCATTTCGACTGTTCTTTGAAATTTTGTACCAATTACGATAACTATAATGCCATAACACGACCTGCGCAGAGGCAGTAGGAATCATGAGTATTGCGGAGTAGATGGAACCTATCCTGCCGCTATGAAAAAAAGACAAATCAGAAGTGATTCTCTTGAAAATTGCAACGAACGGCAACGAACGGGATTGGGTTGGTAAATCCGCAGAACATGCCCGAATCTGTCAGAGCAACTTGCTGAGGATGTTGGCCAGCATACTGTAATGTCAAATCCATGAATGATGGTGCCGCTCAAATCAAGTTCATTTCAAACTGACCCCAAGAGATGCGAGAAATTCAATCAGAGGCACTACGTATGGCATTACAATCAGCTGTGATTGTGTCAATGAAGGCCTGTTTGTTGGAGGTGCACAAGACACACCAGAGTATCGCGTTGCTGGGGAGACATGCCTGTCAAATTTCCAGAGTTTAAACGAAGATTGAGCCACAGCTGGATGATCACGAGAGATTATTCGATTCAAGGCAAGAACTGGGTGCGAATTAGTGAACTTTGCGTACCTGAAGAGAAAGTGCTAGCATCGTTCCTGCTACTCTTGGAGGATATCAGTGAGGGTAGAAAGCGACGTATTAAAACACGCACAAAGATGAGACAGCGTCCACTGCAGCAGCTTGGAATAGACAGACACTAGGGTGTGGACTTGTCTTATAAAGCTGTCCAGTGGTAAGCCTATGGCGAAGAAATTCATTAGCGTGCTTTGAAGGGAAAAGACGGCAAGAGGACACATACAGGAAGGCAAAGACGAAGCATGCTATGATCCAACTGATATTGAGGTTAATCCAGGTAGACTGGCGATTAATATTGGGGGAAAAGACGACGGTTATGATGATGATAAAACAGCATATCCAAGCAAAGGTATGCATTGCAACGAATGCGGTGATGAAGGCCGTGAACGACTCGCGTTCAGCAGGAGCTACACGGACTCGATAAGAAAACACTATGCTGGGCAAGAGAAACGGACACTCACAGTTAGACATTAATTTTTTTATTTTACTGCAGTCTAATAGGGTTGGGTGGTTACTTACGATGTCAGTGGGATTGTGAAGAATGATAAAGAATCTCAGACTGGGAATACTCAAACGGGATACGCCGGGTATGTATGGGACATAGTTCAATTGCAAAGGGATCGGAATGGGCGGTGCTGATTATTTATTGACATCACTGTCACTAGGGTTCAGACAGCAAATCGAATATAAGTCATCCTGGTCATTGTCGATCGAAGCAAATCAGGCAACGCGAAACGTGGATTCGGTACCGGATTGTCCGAAGATAGGATATAGTGGTGCAAAACGTGTATGCCCAGTACAATCTAATTTTTCAATTTCGCTATGAAGATGGGACGTACCACTGATCATCTGACTGCCACTACTAGCATTGATTGTAGCAAATACGCATTCATCTGACCATTTTGAAATCACCGCTACCCGACCTCATCAGATATCGAGAGGTTGCATTCCGGTTGCAAGAACGACCTCCTTGTTTCCTGAAATATAGAGATGTTCTGGAAATTTAAAAATGCATTTTGTTATTACTATCCAATTATACGACACCAGAAGCAGCCGGTTTAATGGCTTCTTCGTCTCTACCTGCGATATCTTGTGAGTAGCTTTCTGTTTGAGACAGGGCTCAACACTAACCGTTGTAGAACTTTTCCAAAAACGTCTTCTGCTGGGGACCCTCTATTGGCTTTAACAGAATGCCCATAACTTGGTCCGGAAGTTTCCAAGCATTCATCGTTTCCTGATACTCTTGTCTGCTCTTAAGCAGTAACACATTGATAGCGCGGAGATCAGTAACATGGCGGTTCGCTTCGAAGCGCTGCCTTAACAGATGGCGTATGTATTGAGGCGAGTAGTTCAATGAATATACAGCAATCATCTCTGGGGCCTTCCCAAATGTTAGTATAGGATTTCAGAGACTCTTCTGCCTACTCACTGCACGATACCACTCCCGGTACAGTTGAATTGCTCGTTTCCTGGCCTCGGCATGAGTTTCGGAAATTACAGCAGGACGCGCTAGACGAGCAGGTATAGTGAAAGTATTCATAGCGATGCGTTGACAATGAGGTTATCACTACCGAGTAGAACGATGGAAAACGTTTCTCACGGGTTACGGGGAGCTCGGGCCGACAAGCTGTAGCCTCAGATAAACTGACGGAATCGTCTCTCGTTCCTACACTCATCTTTCCGTCGTTAAGTTCTCTCATAAACATCGAGCAATGGTCCGTGGAACAGGTCTGCACTACTACCTTTGCAATCGATGAACCTTCTTTATTCACGATTTTCGCGATCTCTCGTCATCCGTATTTCAAAGGCAAGTTCAAGACGAAGCGTGGCGGTGGACGTCAGTTCAGGTAGGTTACAGCTCGAAGGTACCTTTAACTTCAACTCATAGCAGCTAGTAAAAATATGGTTCTTGATGAAAACGGCACTGCCGTATCGACAGACAAGAGATGGTGAACTTTGCGCTCAATCACTTTAGATTATCTCTCAAGGATTCTAGGCGCAAGGACGCTGATGGTTCAGGATCTGACGAGGAAGAAGAAGAAGAAGAGTCTGAAGAAGAATCTGAAGAGGAGGAGGAGGAAGCGGAAGAGGCTGATAAATCTGAGCTTTCTCGTGCTGAACGTAAAGAGCTCAAAAAGAAACAAGCTGCAGAAAAGATGAAGCAGAAGCAAAAACAAGCTGGCGGTGGAGGTGATGATGACTCGGATGATGACTCTGACCTCATTAATCCGAATCACGTCAAGAGCAAGATGAATATTTCGGATCTTAGTGCTCCACGAGAACTCAGTCGGAAAGAGCGAGAGGCGAAAGAGAAGAAGGAAGCCCAGGACAAATATTGGAAGGTGCGAGCTTCATGTACTCTACAATGCATATTTTAGTTGAATTCTTATTCTCTTTCTTATCGAAGTTACATGTCGCAGGAAAGACTGACCAGGCGAAAGCTGACCTTTCACGTCTAGCCAAAATCCGGGCAGATCGTGAGGCTGCTGCCGAAAAGAGGAAAGCAGAAGCAGAAGGTTACTTTGATATGTTGTCTTGTATGCCCAGTATCACTGATTTATCACTCTCTCTAGCCAAGAAATCTGAACTCGAAGCCAAACAGAAAGCTTCCAGGTAGGAATTGGGTCCACGAAACGGAGTACCCAATAGCACCAGACTATGAACCTATCTGATTGTAGCTGTATGTAACCTCAAGGAACAAATCTACCTCTGTATATCATATTCGTGGCAGTCTTTCATGGTTCGGCTGTTCCAATCATAGTCACACACTTTGAAAGTACTTGAGTGGATCTTTTTTCCATCCGTATTTCAATGCTTCCTAGGAAACGAGCCACTGCCTGATCTGACTGTCGCCACTGCATTACTCTCTTGACTGGTTGAGTCAATCAAGAATTTGAACGGGGCGCTCAGAATAGGGTATCACGGGTAAAAAACTGAAGTGAACCAACCAGGAATTCAGGCAAGTGTCTTCTTTGAAACCGATGTTGATTAACCCAGGCCGAATTCAACGAGACCTCCGCCATTCGACCGTCGACCTTCGATCTGCTCAAAGGAACATGCGCGCGCAGACGAGCTTCATGAGTATAAAGCTATTCCTTTTTCTCAAACTTTTCCTCAGCCGGTCTCACTCTTCCTCGATTTATTCTAGGTGCTGGACATCTACATAATTGTTTGAAACTTTCGTGCACTGTTCTTCACGAGCCTTATCTCTCTTATTAATCAACACAACATGGTTTACACTCCCTCACCCGCTACTGCTGCTTTCGCCCTCTTAACCCTTGGGGCCCTCAGCACCGTCAATGCCGCTGCTATTCCCGCGTTCCGAGGTTTATCTGGGTATGCCATTTTCTTCGGTACACATGTCTCAACGACCCGCTCATTGGTACAATCACCTCTTCTTCGTAGCACACCAGCAGTGTCGACAGGTGCCCCCCTTACACCAGGAATTGGTCTCGCACATTCCTCCTCGCATATGAACGCTTCTGAGAGTGAACATCGTCATGGGTACGCCACTCACCCCACTTCTACACGCCGGGTGGCTAACCGAATATTAATATTCTTCCCTCAGCACAACAGCAGCACCCACAACACCTGTTGCCCCCGCACCAGACTCTTTCCCCGTTCAAACACCCTCCGAGATTAACACTCCCCAGAGCGGAGACCATCACAAACATGTGGGTGTGCCGGAGGGCAAGCACGCGCACGGAAAGGGAAAGGGAAAGAATCTTGAATCTGCGTCGAGCACAATGAAGAAAGGTTCTCATAGAGCGAAATCTAGCACATCTGACCCTACCTCCAACGTGGACCCTGCGGCTGGGAATACTGCATCCCAGTCATCCAGCGACTTGACTGGAAGTCCTGGGTCGGCGAAAGGGCTGGATGGGATGAAGCAGCGCCGGAGCTTCAAATCCGTCATGAGCGATATCGATACTGGTGTCAAGGATGTTGGCAATGATGTCGGGGGTCTCGTGTCCTCCTTCCTCAAGAGAGAAGAATTCGAAGAGGTTTAGCAATATCGAGATCTCGCCATAATAATATATGTAGAGTATCGGGTGCACATACTATGTCTTTTTTGCTTTCATGAGTCCTCTCGATATCGAGTAGATATATGATCGGCCGTTGTGGTATGTACTACTGTATCAATTCTGTACTAAGTTGTACGCCGAAAGATAATATTCCTGAGATTCAAAAGTCCGTTCATCGTTATCAATTGTTATGCTCCAGCGGACAAAGGACGTCCCACAGTGTGCGGAAACTTCAAGCTCCTAAATCACTGTAAATGTTGATGGTATATTCACTGCGCTGTCGCTGCAGTCTACATAGGCTTAAGGCGATCCCCTCTTCGAGATTGACGTTTGAGCTGTAGAGCTTAGTCACCAGGCTAGCTGGTACCCTCCGATTTGACCGTCAAAACCGTTCTTCGACGATCCCTTGACGACCCCTTGGCTCCTTCCGACAGCCTCCAACATGTTAGCATAGTGGAGGGTTATATCCTGGTTATATCACCGAGCGCTCTTCGTTCCTTGTCAGGGTATCACGGCTGACTCGTCGAAGTGCCAATGGAAATGGCACGTACAATGTCATGTATCATTTGAATGCTTTCAAGGCCGTATTCGACGAGACCCCCGCGACCCAACGATGATCCGCTCAAGGGACGCTGGCGTTGCGGGTATCCTAGTCTGCTTCACGAGGAGCTATAAAACCCCTCCCTGCTCCGGAACGATTCCTCAGCTGGTCTCATCTGTTTTTTGCTTCATCGCTGGGTGCTGGTCATCAAGAGACTTCTGCACACTTGTTCAAAATAACCACACTTCCTCCTTCAAATCGTCGCAAACCTGAATTCGGCATCATCCATTGACATGATTCCCACTTCGTCACTTGCTACTTCAGCTCTTGCGCTTCTGTCACTCGGAGCCCTGGGTACCGTCCATGCCGCCGTCATCTCAATTCCTCGGAATTCCTCTGCCATGTATGCCGCTCACTTCGTCAGTATATATCATGTGACTAACCATATAGTCGTTCATAGGGCATTAGCAACCCCTACACCGATCCGCCTTGCACCAGGCATTGGTATCACTCACACTCCCTTGTCTAGGGACACTTCCGAGAGTGGAGGTCATCACAAACATTCGGGCGTGCAGGAGGGCAAGGGTTCCGAGGCGCGCAGAAAAGGAAAGAATCATGAGTTGAAAAGGATGAGGAAAGACTTCCACCAAGCGAATTCGAGCAGCCCTGAAACCCCCGCTGCTAATGGGAATGCAACACACCAGCAGACTCATGTCATTGATAAGTCAAATGTCCCTGACTTGAGGACACCCCAATCTACCAACGGTCTTGAGGCGGATGGGGCGGGGAAAGAACGTGACAAGCGTGGCTTTGGTCTTATCAAAGACGGGCTTAAATTCGGAGAGAAACTCGGTGAAGACGTTCTTGGTGGTGGGAACAACGGGTCTTTGTTCAGGAGAGAAGAATATGACCAGGTTCCGCAACGCAGATAGATATTGGGGAAGGAGGGGATGAGCAACTAGGGTGCCGCATTTTCTCTTGTTATTGAATATCTGCGCTTTTTTGAGTCCTTTGCAGACGAAAATTTGTTAGACAGAATGTTCTTTTCAAAAGAAAAATTTCCCTACGTCCTGAAAAAATTTATACACTGCACTAGCGAAAGAGAAAAATACGAACAAACGTAACAAACACACAGTCATGGTTGAATAGGGTTGAATCGGGAAAAGTCGAGATCTGATTTGTTGCCCGCGTCGCGACAAATTACTTACATGTATAACTTACGATGACCATATTCTAGCTATTACAATGTTTTACAACATAATTACATGCCCTTCGAAGCCAGGCGAAGACCTTCTTGAACAGACACAGCCTGTAAACGGATATACGAACGATCAACGAGGGATAGCGGGACACGTGCTTGTTACACACCTCTTCAACCCATGGTAAGCGAAAAAATTCACTTCGACGTAGCTCTTCTTGGCGAAGAGTCAGCCCTTCTGAAGCACCAGCGCCCAGCACACTTTCCAAGTCTCTGGATTGCGATTCAAGCCATGTTTGAATAAATTTAGCTGGATCGTCGGCGAAAGACTGAAGGAATGTTCGTTTGAGGTGGGAGTTATGTAAAGACTGAGCGAGTAGAGCGATCTTTGCACGGGTCAGAGTAATCATCCTGTGACTTAAATACAATGTCATACCTCTTCGTCCATCTTTGCCAATGTGACAGAGGTTTCTTTGTTGGTGTGCAACATAACCCCCATCCTATTTTTCAAAGCCGCGTCCTCCATTTTGATTTCTACATCCCATGCTGTAGGGCGTTCTGGTTCAACGACAGGTAGAGAAGGGTCAAACGAGTAATGCAGAAGGATAGGATCAGGTGGTGAGAGGAGTCTTTTCACATATTCCGGCAGCTTTTGAAATGGTATCGTTTCGACACCGAATATCTGAAAAGTAAGCAGATTGAAAATATGGTTATGGCAGAAGATGGATCCATAGGTACCGCTCTGAGTCTTTCGTCGGAACGAACGAGTCGCCTGTCAGCCTTGTCTTGAAGACCTTGGATTTTGATATAATTCCACAAGGCCTGTACGACGCCTAGAAGGCTTTCCTCCTTGATTCCGAGTACGCTACCTGGGATTAGTTTGAGGACTATGATCAAGCTCGGAAGGAATAGATGAACGAACTCAGATCCGGATTGAGGCGATACTGTTCAGGATAATGGTCGAGATACATGACTATGCGGATATGAGTAGGTACATCGCCCGTGCGTCGTACGGTAAAACCATCTAAAGGAGGATTGTGGTGTCCAGTGGCTCGTGGCCACTTTGTGACAAATAACGTTCAGGTTCGAGAATTGGTGAGATTATGGTGAACTCGCCTCAACAATATTGTTTTCCGGATAGACATTCGTGTCGCGATCGAATTCCACCATCATTCTCTTTATGAACGTTGAAAATTTTCGCGGAGGACCTTTATCCTTGCCTCTTTGAGGAAGCTGCGTTAACATAGAGTCTTAGTATGGACCTGTAAAAACGTCAGAATGATGCGTGCCTCCAATAGCCTTCCTTCAATCTTGAGCTGCCAAGCTGGAATGTTCTCGCCCGTCTCTGAGTGCGTCAGATTGTCACTCTCTGTACCGGCCTGCCATGATTGTCCAGATACTGTGTGACTAACAAATATCCTCAAAGTTCGCGTAGTCTGTGTACACGTCGGTGAATCACCCAGCCCTGCTATACGAAGAAACATGAAACTCACACTAGGATTACGCGATAAGGTGTCCTGAATCTCCATCCTTTTCCTCGTTATTGTCCAGTCGAGCTTCCGCTCCATTTCGAGCAGGCTCTGGTACATTTGAGAATCTTCTGCGAAATCCGGATTTTGAAGAATGACATTGGGAAGCGATTTGTCGGTGAGTTTTCTCCTCCTGTATGGGCCTAAGTAAAATAGAGCAAACAATGAAGCAGGAAGTCATACTTGGCAGCTTTGTGGTCCATTGTTGTTGCTTAAATCGAGAAAGCAGGTCTTTCGAGGCACAGCCACCATCAGCCGTCCTTGCACGTGATCCCGAAGCTTCAGCCTCCGGTCCGAAAGTGGATCTCAGGATGTCCTTGCCAAATGAACTGTACTGGGTCATTTTGACCAGAGTCTTCGCAGACTCTGTTCATAGAGTATGCTTTCCAAAGTCCTATGAACTGGATTTGACCTGGGAGCTCAATGCTCTATCAACCTTCTTTCGTGTATCCCGTGGCTTTCAAGATATTACTGCCGATATTTGCCAGAAGATGTACGGCTCTCCTGACAGAGGCAAAAAGTCAGTAATCCTGTACCCAATTTGCGCAGATCAAATTACCTAGCTTAATCATTCTCAGCGCAGTGCAGTCGGCGAATACAAGATTGAACTTCTTGCGACACTCCTCAAGACGGGACATAGTCATCATTTTTGATGAAGAGAGATTTAAAACCCCATTCTTACAATCATATCTGCTGCTTTTGTCCATTGTGCAAATGCGAAAGATCATGAAGGTCCCTTCAACACCCACACTGTTCCGATACATGCACACAACTATTTCTCGCAGCGTTGACACACTGCAGCGAATCATTATGCTATCCAAACCTCCAGAGTTGTATCTCAATCTTGCTGCATCAAGCCATATGCAAGCAGACCTTATCTACATCTGTAAGTGCGCCAACTTGGTTAGGCACTGGTTTGGAATTGATCTCGGGTATCCATGGTCATTATCAGCCTCAGAACTCGTCAATGAAGTCGATGATCTACAGGAGAACCTTACAGCCCTCCAGGAATTCACGCCGGATCACGATGAAGCGGATACGTATATGGTATGAACTCTGAGTCTTAAACTTCAGTGAGTCTACTCATGCGTTCCGCAGGCTAGAATACGCTTGAAACTGTATTCAGTTGATGATTTTGTGCGGAAATATGAAGTGGTTGCGGCCCTAGCCTCGCACCTCACTGGTCCGGAAGTCAAGGTTTACGAGGTACACGATCCCTATGTATGTGTATTGACCTTCTGGTCCTTGACTTACTTGTTTTCATTAGCTCCCTGGGGTATTGAGTGCGATGAAACGTATCAGAGCAACAATATCTCCGTGCGAACGGGACATTCAGGACACACTGGAGATATTTGAGGAATTTACAGATGGTTGGACTATGCAGGAACTATCTGATGAACTACCGATTGTATGAGACCCTTTGGGCGCTACTTAATTACCTCTGAAGGAGCAAATACCGCAGCTGGACAAATTCTTAATGGAATTATCTGTTGCAATAATTCGAAGTTGTACACAGCTATACAGAGCTATACACTGCTATACACGCATGGTCAACCATTCTGACCTGCGGGGAAGAGGCTTTTTGTGCCTGATGTGCGTATTTAGACAGTGCCCTTCGAATTGGACGAGGTCAAACTTTCACTACGACCATCATGCAACCAATTCTTCTCCTCAATGTCTTTTTGTTTGCGTTCTCTTTTCTGGAGGCCAGCGCCGCACCAGAAAACAAGGATACACTCGAGCGTCGCGAGATGATCATCCGCGCTTGCCCTGCTGCTTGTGCAGTCAATTGCCCAGATTGCTGTGTCAATATCAACTGCCCAGACTTGTGTTGTGTGAGTGATCAATCGTTCGTGCTCGCCAGTGGTAGCTGGCGACTGGAGTGCCTGAATTGAGGCTGATCACTGTCTTATTACCTCTCTCGATAGTGAGCGTAGACAAAGCAGGGGAAGTTGGGCCAGGATATCCACATCATTTGCCAGCGTCAGAAGTCCATTAGAGCCGCGCTTTTAAATGCGGCGGAGCTGTGTACCTCGTCCTTCTCGTATTGAACTTTTCTATATTTAGTGTCGAAGTCACAGAGATTGTTCCATTCTCAGCCTGTTCTGTCGTTAAATTCCTTTTCAAAGATCGCATGTTAGGCCTTGTGATACATGGGTACGCCGCGCATCGCGTACTAACGACAAATGTGGCTGGGAACAGCTGGGAACCTTTCACCAATATCAAGAACTGACGGTCCGCTATCTCCCGCAAAAACAATTCTCTGGATTTTATTTCCTCTTTCTTTAATCTTCTACTGATAAGTTTCAAGGGTCATTTGACCGAAATGAGCCCCACACTACTGGAATATGTCGATGTGCCAGTATATACATATGTAAAGGTGGAAAGTTGCATTGTCCTCGTTTACGTTCTCACCCCGGGTCCAGCAGATTGCAGCTTTTGCAGACGATTAACTGTTCTCTCAACGATGTGGATTCTGCCTGTGCGAGGGAAGGCTATGGTTTGGGCTATCACTGGTGAGCTCTTATTGCTAATTTTCTTCGTGCAAGTCGACGACATTGAATGGTTGTAGCCTGTTGTTGTCAGGGTTTTCTCCTTCTCGGGTACGATCAAGGTGAGTTCCTCTATTCAGTGTGACACGAGCAATTTGAACTGCTCGTGTAGGCGTCATGTCTGGTATCGTACGTCTGGTTCTTGCATTTGTCGCTATCACTCATGTACTGCTGCAGATCGGTGCCCAGAACCAGTTTGGGCATGACTTTGGAAATCCTGATGCGACGACTCAAGGACTGATAGTAAGGATGCACTTACTAAGTCAAATTCTAATTGATCCCTACAATATTCGAATAGGTTGCTATATACGTACGTATGCACCTTATAGCACCTTATCGTCTGGCCTACTGTTTCACCTGTAGGATATCGGATGTGCTATCGGAAGTCTCATCGTCTTCTTTTGGGGCGAGCGTATTGGCAGGAAACGGATGATAATGATGGGAGCTGCAACAATGATTATCGGTACTGCGATCCTCACCAGCTCGACAACCAGGGCTCAACTATACGTCGGTCGTGTCATTACTGGGATAGTGAGTGCCCGGGGTTCCAGACGATCCTCGATTTCGCTAATCTATCGCTTCAGGGAAATGGTTTTAATTCATCTTCTATTCCTGTATACCAATCGGAAACTTGTGGTGGTGCTATTCGTGGTGCCCTAGTTTGCTTAAACTCTACAATAACTATCGTTGGCTTGGTTATAGTGAATAGAATCTCCTCTTCAGAAAATATTTTGACACTGACACTAGATACAGGCGTACTGGTTGGATTATGGCTTGAGCTTTGTCGCTGGTGAGCACGAGTTTGCCAAAACGCGCCTAGGTATCAATTTTTTTTGTCGATGTAGGACCTGTGCAATGGCGATTACCTATCGGGTTTCAAGCTGTTTTTGCCTTGTGCCTTCTTTTGCAGGTAACAGTACTGCCTGATTCTCCACGTTGGCTACTCGCACACGGATACGACGAAGAGGCCTCGAAGGTCATAGCCTTACTCGAAGATCATGATTCTGCCGATCATCCAGATGTAATACAAGCGAGGAAAGAGATAGAGTTGTCGTTAGCGCAAGAGAGTGAAGGAGGTGCGCACTCTGTATCGCTACTCGTAAGTTTCAATTTATATTCACGACACTATCTCGTGTGTAGGGCCGTTTCGCTATAGTGAGCTTTTGCACGGTGGCCCGATCGGGAATTTTCGAAGGATATGTCTTTGCATTGCGGTAAATGTGATGCAACAATTCACTGGGTACGCTTCTTAGAACCCTCGTCTTGAATTCGAAGATCATTCATGAACTTGATTCCTTTTTCAAGGTCAAATATGATCAAGTAAGTCTTGTATAGCTAACGTAGCCTCGGTCAATTACGAACCATCATTCAAAGCTACCTTGCTCCTGTTGTCTATCAGAACACCATGGGTCTTTCTCGAGATCTTTCGCTTATTTTAGGAGGGTGTACATCCATCACTTACATGTTCGCGTCCTTCATTCCTCTATGGGTCAGTGATACACCATAATTTATTTTTGCTGATGAATTGTTCACCGTTCCTCCAGACTGTAGATCGTTTCGGTCGCCGTCCATTATTGATGATATCAGCGTCTGGACTTTCACTGTGCTTCATCTTGGCAGCAATCCTGCTTTCGATAGGTACCAGACCAGCAGCGTTTGCTGCCACTGCCATGGTGTTTATCTTCCAGATATTCTTGGGTATCGGATTTTTACCAATTGTTTGTTGATTTCTTGGATTTGGGAAAATTGATCGCTCACTATATTCTAGCCCTGGCTTTATCCTGCGGAAGTGAGGCTTAATCGGGTATCCTTTTGCATACTTTACTTAAAAATTTTAGATAAGTACTACACGTATCAGGGCCCGAGGGTCTGCTATTTCTAGCTTCTTCAACTGGATGTAAGCGTTTTTCTGTTGTCCATTCTGATGTTGATTTGAGCTTCCTCGCAGGTGTGTTTTCGCCGTCGTTCAAATGACCCCTCCGGCCATAGCCAATATTGACTGGCGAGTATTCATTATCTTTGCTGTATTCAACGCTTGTTGGGTTCCGATAGTTTACTTTGTAAGTTGAAACTCCATATAACGGCTTTGCACATAAATGACTTCAGCATTACCTCTCCTAGTTCTTCCCGGAAACTCGTGGTTTGGAGCTGGAAGAAATTGACCACATCTTTGAGAAAGGTGGTATCACTGGGGGAGTATGGGGTAGCAAAGGGGGGCGTACTACGACGGATATGCATTATCCTGCAGTGACGCCGGTCGAACCCAAAGATGATTTGAAGGCGGAGGAAGTGAAATTGGAACATGCGTAATATTTAGAACGTGAAAGGCAGTACATTCAAGAGTGCATAGGTTACTTGTTACCTCCACTCGAAAGTGTCAAAATTCTGCTTTTGGGAGACTAGATAGATCCCCCTTGCAATGTATTTGAAGTTTTTTTAGACACGTTAAACGACTGCGATACCGGGCCGAAAATTCCGGGGACGTGCCCAAAATTTTTTGGAACAGGGCCCTTTCCTTCCTTCCTCCTTCCCGTTCAGACCGCTCAGACTTCATTTTCAAAATGCTTTCTTTTGGTGCTCGCTCTGCTTCTCTTTTGCGCTCCTCACTGTTTCGACCCCAAAATGCTCTGAGAATACCAGCAAGCTCATCCTTTTTCGCGTTACGGACACTGTCCACGTCGCTTGTGAACTATGGGCCGTCATCCCGGTTCGTCTACCTTGGCAACCTGCCGTGGTCCCTGGAGATTGAGGACATAAAAGAAAAGGCAGAAAAGTTTGGAACTCTTGCGTCCATAGATATGCGTATGTTTTTCTTCTCTTTCTTTTCATATTTCTCTTAATTAATTATATTCCAGCTGACGAAAATGGCCGTCCAGCCGGTTTTTCCAATATCGAGTTTGAGAATGCGGAGGACGCTGAAAGCTTTTATAGAGCTGCAGCTGACTCTTCGCTCTCTTTTGGAGGTAGAAAAGCTCGAATTGAACTTTTCGATAAGCCTCAGAAGGAGGTTGTGAGGGCTTGGCCACAGAGGGGCCCTTCGCCGCCTTCGCATACAATATTCATTGGGCATATTCCACATGACATCGCGGACGCAGACCTACGTGAATTGTTCACTCCCTATGGTAATATTGCCCGAATAAGCTTAGGTGCGGACTGTCACTCGTGTTGTCCCTCCTACATTATTCATTTATACCCTTTGACAGGCCGGGACTCTTCTGGTGCTAGACGTGGGTTTGCACATGTAGAGTTCGAGACCACTGAGGAAGCATCCGCCGCCCTGAATGCTCTGAAAAATCAACATGATACTATCCTTGGCCAAGAGGTACACTTGGACTTTGCCCCGTCGAAGCCCAAAAGTGTACACCCTCCTAGTAACAGGCTGTACTTCGCTCAATACGACGGTACTTTGCAGGAAATGCAAGATGCTCTCCGCAAACACTCAGGGGTATTAGATGTTGTCATGCGTACGTCCAGAACTGTTCTTGCCATTGTTTCAATGATCTCATCACCCGGCGCTCACAGTAAAGAATCGGAATGGTATCGTTCAATTCAAAAGCGTCGAAGAAGCCACGGCCGCGAAGCAGGCTCTCGACAAAACCAAGACTTCTAATGGCCATCTCATTAACATCTTCTATTCCAGTCCTCGACCTAAACCCAATGAGAACCGCTTCGGCAATAGGCGACGGTCGAACTCCTATGGAAACGACTGGTAGACAAAACTTTTGCGGGTTTTATTGAGGTGGAGGAGGGTTATCTATATACATATGTTACTACTCAGAAGTAATGGCTACGGTCGAATCTCGGTATTGTATCTACGATACCAGCGCAGGCAAATGCACACCTCTCAATCATAGTCGACGCCGTTCGCCCTCTTCTGCCTAGCACCTGTAAATTTGACCATAAAAGTCGGAGGGAACTTCTATATGGTATACATTTCCTTAATTAAGTACAGGAACCACACCATTCTCCAAGAACTTTCATCGTTTGAATATTTATATTGCAGTCAATCAGGACAAGGCACATCTCAGGGGAAAGCGACGGCGGCAACAGTGTAGCTCTGATTTAGACTCCCAATGTGTGTAGGGTTCAATGCTTCCTCCCCCTTTCAGCAGCCACGATGAACAGCCAGCAGAGCGGCACCGATGTTGATCATGATCATCCGTATGGTTTGAACCTCACCAACGATGGCTTTCACTCTCATCTTGGTATTGATGCCGGCAAGAAGCTCATCTGGAAATTGCCATATTTCCCTCCTTTAAGCTCTGATGACGAGTTTGAGATTCACGACCTGGAGCTGGTGCAAGATAACGAGAAGAAAGTGTGTTGGATCCGTTGTATCACATTCCCCCAATGTCTCCATTGTACTCACATTTTTTGATTTACTAGAGAATGGACATTCTTGTCCGTCCCCGGATGCACTCTCTCGCTAGACCAACGTACAAGATTGAAAAACAGACGCATAGCCATTTTCTAGGCAAGAAAACTTTTGATATCCTAATCTCCAGGCTTGATAGTTGGGACTCGATTCACTGCAGACCGATACAGTCACAATCATCTAAAGTAGGCAAAGTATACATCGTTCTCTTTCAAGCAAAAGACCAGAGTCCGCGTCACATCAGCCTTACACCCACAAAAAGTATGGTTCTTCATCGCACAGCTCGCGGTGGAGATATTTGTCTTACTCCCCACTGCGGCTCATACGATCCCCAGCGGAGTCGTGCCCCACAGCCGAGACTTAGTTCGGGATATCATTACCTTCCCCTGCACATTACCAATTTTGAACATCCTCCGTCAATGCCTGTATCAAAATCAATCCCCGCCGCACTCACCAAGCCGTATTCTGGAGGCGGGTATCTCCTATTTGATGCTCATAGTCGAGGCCGCTCAGATCTCCTGAGTACGTTATATTGCACTGGCTACGAGCGCCGATGCGTCCCTCGTACAGGCGATGTCGTTTTGGCCGAATTGAGATTATCCCGACCTGCGACTGACGACGAAGTGAATTCACCATCCTGGAGTCGTTTATTCCGGGAACGCCATGTATCGCTTTTCATCTCCAAACGCGGTATCGACGCTGTATTCACAGGTCTGCATGTCAATATGTTCGTCCCAAACTCGGTCGAGAGTAACAGGTATTCGTTGACATTTGGCCATGCTCAAGAAATTATCATCTCCCTTTTTGCGACCTCGTTGCTGGCAATTGAACATGAGGGAATCGAAAGCAAGAAATGGGCTTGGTTGCTGAAGAGGCGGATGTTGGAGTCGGACTCCGAGTTGGCCAGTAGCAGGGACACAATGCACAGTTCAACGCGAGGTCCTGAACATGCTCCAATACCATCTACGCTGAATCGCGTGTGTGAGAGGGAATTCCAGGATACGGACTCTATCTCGTTTACCGACGTCGACCATCGGCATAGAGCCAAAACCCCTGACTTCGACAAGTGGAAGGTTGTCACCTATCAAACACCCATAGGCGAGGCTGTCTCGCGAGACCCCTATATCAATGACGGTCACTACGCTGAGCCAACAGACTTATTGCCTGCGAGAAACACTGAATTTCAGGAGGTGAGGCGAACGAAGAATGGGTCCCTGCGTCACGGTACGAAGACTGTTGGTTCCCACTACCCAGGGCAACAATCGTCGTCGAATGTTCCGGAAACACCTCATAGCCGCACGCTTAAACGAACAGAGCCTATGGAGGTATTGGTGGCATCTACGGATGTAATTCAACCCCCCGAGCCGCCCAGAATCTGGCCTAAGGAGGGCCCAAAGGTCACCGGAAAACCAAAGCCTGGGGTGGAAGGGGGAATTTATTGGTAACTCATTCTTCTAACGACTTTTCATTCTGTTGTTTTGTCATTGTATTGTCCGCTTTGAACATAATGTGTTGTTTGTTATTTATCGTTCCCCGCACGTATCACTGTTCACATTCATATAAGTATTATTTGTACAACTGCAATCCACATACCATTTGATTCCTGCCTCTTATTATATACCATGCTTCAAGACTGAGCATCTGCTTCAAAATGGATTCCCAGTAAATCAACTCATTGATTGAGTTCTGTGATAAAAGATCCTCAAACTAGATGCGTTGAAGTGGTAAATGTGTTATGTTGATGATTTCGGTCATGATCAAGTCATATAGTCATGCTAGTATTACAGGGTAAAGTAATGTGCCAGCGTACCCATCTGTCAAACAACCCATCGATGAAAGAGTGCATAGTCGCTCTAAGCAGAGACCGCCTGCGGTTTAACCGTCGATATACATGTGAAAAACAGTATCTTAATCTCCGAGACTTGCCAAATAACTCTAGAAAACCAAGATGATAAGCGTATAGAATGGAATGGACATAGGCTAGCGCTTGGAAAAACATTCGACAGGGCACTCACCCCTCTCTCTTCTAAGAAATCCAGATAAGTCAATGCCACAGCGACCCAAAAGCTTGGATCGACGCCGAGCACCTCTGCTTCAAGCTTGTCGAGCTGAAGTATCCCGTTCACTGACCCTACTGTAAACGTAGATGTGAGGTCTGTAAATGTCAAAACCGGAAGTGCTTTGATACACGTCGGTATAGAGAGGGTTGAATCAGATGATCGCGAAGGTGAAGTGGATAATGCTATCGACGTCTTTTGCGGAGGGGATGATGTAGGAAGTACTGAAGTGGTTTCAGCATAAGGCGGCGGGGACTGTACGACAACTCTGGCAAGTGAAAACGAATACCCGCTCGAGATGTCCTTCTCATAGAATCTGAATGCCTTCACCGCCCGCGAGAATAAGCTTTCACGCGCTGTTGACAGGGATGATGTAGATGTGGATGGTTCGGTCGCCGGAGCAAGAATGAATTCGGTTGTTGAGGATGGTGTTGGAGGCTTGGGTATAGGATCTGGCTTTGACTCCAGTAGCGCAGAAGATGACGCTGAAGCTGCTACAGATAGCGACGTAGGTGCTACATCTGGTGTCGGCGGACGCAGCGCCACTGTCGGTATTGGCGGTGGAGTTGGTGGGTATGAATGATGAACGGAAGAAGTACTGACATTTGGTACTGGCTGAATAGGCGGTCGGTATTCGAGCGTTTGTGCTGTGTTCAATAAATTGGTGCGCGACTTGAACGACAAAGCCCCGTCAGAGTGCAATGGGTTCTTGGATGGCAGAGGAACGAGAGGAATAAAGACGCCAGGTGGAAATGTGGGTGAGCGGATTCGAATATACCAGCCTTTCTGGCTCGGTCGATGAATTATCCAGCAAACTGTGTTTGTTGGATTGTGCTAATAATATACATTGTTATTGCAGTGATCCACGTTTCTGTACTAACGTACGTACGATGAGATGTTCAATAATTTCATCGTCCCCGAGGAATCTCTCCTTGAACCAAATAACCTGCTCCGAAGTTTCTTCTAGAACATTGATACGGGCATCTTGTAGAACGTCTGTGCTACAAGACTTCATAAGTTCAAGCAGCAGTTGAGTTACTGTGAACACACCTCTGCACTTTGTACCGGTTGAATTTAGGCTCAGCAATAGTTGTGGTCATTGAAGAGGAAAAAGTGATTGCAATGTAATTATTCGAATTTGATCCCGAACCACCATCATCTCTCGGTCCCAATGCTTCAAGAATTGTCGCATATGGACCGTATCACGCAACTTCAAGATGAAATTCAGCAGGTAATATATCATTCTTCGAGTTCGAATATCTTCTGATATTCATATTTGTTGAAACCAGCTCCTCATGATAATGTCCACGAGCATCGCCTACTTAACCAACCGCACCAACTTCATTCAAGTCTCTCCAGAAATTCCAATCACAAAGCAAAGAAACCCGGATAAGTACGATACCCCGGATGTATTTGAAGGTGTGTAGTTGTTCACCATTTTACCAACACCATTTTACCAAAAACTTACTCTAACGATAATGTATCTCATTTCGTAGCCAACAAGAAAGAACTCGTCACAGACCTTATCCGTAAAGCAAAACAAGTAGAGTATCTCATCAATTCTTTACCTGAGCCAGAGCCGGAAGAGATCCAGGTGTGTTTTTGTTCGTGATGCGTACCGAACTCGTGAAATCTCCATCGTACATCGTAACAGTATATATTCATACAAAACTCTTGGTACAGGCTCAAAGACTCCAGCAACTAGAAGATGAGATGCAGTTGGCCAACACAGAGTATATTCAAGCCGTCAATCGACTAAGTGAGTTCTACTAAGTCTTCGTTGAACAATGGAACAGTCTTCATCTTTGTAATTCCATAGAAGCCCTTCATGAACAAGTAACCGAACTTCTCCGTTCGATGCTGACAGAGGTCAATGCGGGGCTGGTAGATGATACAAATGATTCGATTGACGCGGGAAAAGAGGGTAATATAATGGTGAACAGTAGAGACTGGGACGTTTCGATGGCCTTATGATACCCACGAAAATGTGGACCGTGCCTTCTACCCCTTGGCTCCGTCACGCTTACCCCGAACCTCACGTCGTGCCCCTCCTCCAGTTCAAAACCACCAATTACCAGTTTTGCTTTTCAACATTGGACTTGGTGCCGCAAGTGCTAAACGAATCAGTGATGACAGTTATTGTAGGTAGGCGAAATCTATTATTCGAGCATATATGGGGGAAAACCGTTTCGCAATGATGAAAGGGAGGAAAATTGAACTGTTAGTCCTTACTTCGGTGAGCTCGCTTTTTCGCGTGTCGAACAAACCTACACGCTAACTATCCGTTCGGTCACTCTCATATGTACATACGAAGAACAGACTTTCGAAACATCGATTTTTCCTCACACTCATGGATGAGACAGCCTCATAAGCTCCCCTACCTGGAGTCTGATGCTTCCGGGAAAAGAATGTCAATGTATGATCCAATGTGTGGGGATTCCTGCGTATAATACGATACCGATGAGTATTTGCCAATATTTCGGATTCGGTAAACAGAATAAAAGAAATTTTCAATTTCGTCGGGTTCTCCTCCATTAATGTGCGCTCTCTCTACCTTACTTGTGAAAATCTTCTGCATCTTTGCATATCTTCATCGGTTCTAGCGTGTCTTGATCGAACTACCGGCTGACGATTGATACATCCACGCTGATAACCTGTCGCACTTGATGTTCACGTAGACGTTCAGGAAATTCGTATTCAACCACCGAGAAAGGATCATCTTGGTGATAATCCCATCTTACTCCGCAAGAGCGAAGAACGGATCGTACTCCTCAAACACAAAAGAAGTTGGTAACCAAGTATGATTGTCATTGCCTTGCTTCGACAAGTGGTAGAATGGAGATTTCATTCTTGACAACATAGATAGTCGAGCAATGGGAGCAGCTAAAGTAGTCCAATGAGCTGATCCGCGGACTGTGACAGTGCATTGAATAGCGTAAAACTGGCCAAAGGAAAGATTGCACAACCAAGATTAGAAAAATAGCTATGATTCGTCATATCCCTTCCTCTCTTTTGAGGCATTTGTAATGCTAAGATTCAGCGTATTGAGAGACGGAAGTCGAACGTGGTGCAGGTGAATCAAACGAGGTCCGAGAAATTTATTATGAGTTCTTCCTAGATATGATAGTCCAACTTTGGGCAGTTGTTGAATGTGATCGATGCATCGTTGCCCAAATGCTTTCGTGTGACCCAAGGCGCATCCAAGGTAACCGCTTACTGTGGACCTAACGTCTCTAGATGGGTCGAAGCTTGAGAAGGTCGACAAGGTCGTTAATTGAAGACGAAGATAAATATTTGAGGAGCGATGAAGGAACGGAGCCATACAACCTTGAACTATCATAATTCCGCTACGGGCTTGAAGTGCGCGATGGTATGATCGTCTTTTCCAGTGAAGAATATCATCCCAACGGGGAGAGATCCACTAGAGATCCACTACGTTGTATCCATTCTTTTGCCATGGCTCATCCCTATTGGCTATTAGGTATCAAAGCAGGTATCAGAGGCATCCCTTAATAGTGCAGAAATGGCATCATGATGTCGTGGAAATCGGGAGGAATTCTACCTTGGTTCAAAAAAGTAGGAAATTTTCGAGAGGATGCTCGATCGTAGCTTGTTAACATTCACGAGAGCGATTCAATTTCGAGAAGCTCCAACAGTAGCTGTATGTGCTGTTCCGGAAGGACCTCCATCTGCAAAACCTGGATATTCGGCTAAGGTCTGAGAGCAGATCCCAGCAGATCCCAGTGCTGAAAGCACTGAAAGCAATATGCTCTGAGTGCTTTCACTGCTGGGAAGTGCTCCCAACTGCTTTCGGACCCTTAGCCGAAAATACAGGTTTTGCAGATGAGTCGAAGGCTAGCCGAAGTTTTTGAATTTTTGCATCGATGAAGTCTGTCCAGTTTTTGAACTGATATATCTGCGTTCTCTTTTGTAAGAATGGGATATCAGGCCCGCAAGAATCCCTACGCCGTCTTTGAGCTAGCACTGGAGCTCACTAGAGGAGACTAGAGGGTGGCGGCGGATCGTGTGCCTTATGGAAGCATTTACGACAGGTCAAAGCAGATGTTAACAACCTAAATTTGGAATCAATGATTATATGAAATGGCGCAATACTCTGCGTGAACTGGCAACGCTACCGACTAAAGTTTTAAGCTTCAAGTCTCAATTGGCACCCACTATGCCTGAAAACGAGTGATTGTGTCATGCTCCGCTATTATCTGTGCAATACTGATAGAATTTACACGCAAAGATGTCGAAAATCAGTGGTCCAAGAGCAAGAGCTGCCCCCCCCCCTCCCCCTAGCGGCCATGTTGATAATGTATCGCCGTGTAGCGCAATACGAAAGTCAGCGAGCCAAGGCAAAGAACAATCTCTGACGCCTCCGCACAGGTTTTTAAATAACGCTATGTGGAACTCATTGGGTTAGTAACAAATTGCACACTTATTGGCAGCCTATCGGTCGATGTGGCACCTATCCTCTGGCCTGCTATCACAGTGATAATTAATCTTTCTTCCCCCTCTTATCTTGAAGGAACTCAACATACCTTGCTTTTGCTATCACAATCATTGTTTCACCTCAGGCTAAGTTCTTCCTCCGGTTAACAAAAAGGTACTCAATATTCCTTGCTCAGTTCGCTATCACAATAATTGTATAACCTTTTTTCCTCCTGTTATCACAATGATAATCAACCTCTGTTCCGCTCGCAATCATAGCGGGAAGCAATCTTTCTTCTGCTTCCCGAAATTATGCCCATACAGGGACATTGATGTGAATCATACGATTTCCATTTGTGCAACTCGTTGGTGCCTCCCCCCTTCCGCCGGTCTTTCTTATGCAAGGATCCTTCTTCTCCTCTGCTGTACTCATCCCATTGGGCCAAAAAAAATAGCCATGTTAGCCTCAAATTGTAGGTAAGGTGATATGTACATTGAGATTGACCTTGTTTTGTTCGAGTATTGTTTGGAACAGTGAATAACAAGGATAGGATAGGATAGGATATGAATTATACTGGCGAGGTCCGATTCCCGAACAACCAGTTTACCATGTACTGTACAATATTACATGATGTTGTACAATAATGGAACACACATATCTAATACAGGGGGGCGATTATGATCATCCATGTCCTGGTTATTGAGGGGAAAAGCGGAAAAAAACCCCTCCCATGGTATCATGAATTACACGGTCTTCCCTGCCTCAATATGCATGCAGTGCGTCACTCCAGCCGATATATTTCAACTGCATAGAATACTTCCAACACCTCATGCACATACTTTGCCAGCAACCCCACAACCCTCTTATCTGCCAGTAACTCCCTAAAGAGCTCCCATCCATCCCCATAGTGCCTTGCAAAATGGGGTATCTCCTGTATTACCCTTTGCATAAAGGCTTTCCTCAGCTGTATGACCTTGCAGCTGTTGCTGCATTCAAACAAAACATGTGCCCCATCTTCCACTTTTTCCCTACACATTCTACACAGTCTTTTATCATGCTGCACCATTGGTTTGTTCCTCTCTGCCCACCTTAATCTCTCCACTGCTAATTTGTGGTTGCTTGTTACCATATCAATCAAGGATCTTCTATGTTCACCTATTGGAATCCTCAAGTAGTGTCTAAAAGCCATGGTCTTTATAACCATTTTTTTTGTCTTCTTGTCATACTCTCTTCTATCTCTCAGCACATCCCTTGTCTTGTTTGATGTGTCCACCTTTTCTTGAATGTCTTTCTCCATTGATTTCTTTACCCTCTCCATTACCCCATCAATGTGTTGCACAGTCAAGTCCTTGAATCTTGGTATATTCCATACCACCCTGTGAGGTAGCCTGTCTAACACTTGTACCATTTCCATAAAGACTGAGTTTTTCCCCTGCTCTGCTAGTTCATATGCTTGTCTGCATGCCTTCCATGCTAAGTGGTCTCTCTTCAACTGCACCAAGTACTTCAGATTCTTCAGGAACAGAATAATTCTTCGATATCGAATTGGCCATAGGCCTGTTTCAGAGAATAATAGTGCCACCATTGATTTATCGTTCAGTCCCAACATCCTCCTAATGAAGTAATGCTGTACACTCTCTAATTGCTTTCTTCTTACATCATAAATGTCCACTATCACTTCTGCTCCATTTTTCAAATAGGGATCAACCCTGCCCATGTACAGCAACCATAAGTCCCATATTGGAATATTTTTCCCCACAAACACTTTTGCATGTAGTACTGCTCCTGCAGTCTTTTTTGCTTTCTCAGCACTCTCCTTGTACTGCTGCTGATACATGTCAACTCCTGTTGTCTGGTGCCAGATTCCCATGTACTTCATCTCTTTCTTCTTTTTCAACCTTTTGCCATACAGAGTAAATGGCAAGCCCTCTGTCTCCTCCTTTCCATACACTGCATAAACACACTTTGGAACTGACGCAATAAATCCAGTCTGTGCAGAATATTCTCCAAATTGGTTGAGTTTGGATTGGAAGCTTGTAGGGCACATTGTAGTCATCAATACATCATCTGCCTGTTCTGTATGGTTGACCACTTTGTCATATAATACCACATCCCCTGGGTGCTCACTAAGTCTGAAGTCTGCAATTGCTAGATTGAATAGCATAGGTGTTCCTGGGTCCCCAGTCCAAGCTCCAATATTTGAAGTAAATGCCTCTGAGAAGGAATCTGCCACCTGAACCACATTTCCCAACTTTTGGTACATCAGCCGCAGCCAATCAATCAGTGGTCCCCTGATGCCCATTTTATTCAGCTTCATCCACATCATTGGTCTATTTGTTAGTGGGAAGGCATGCGTCCAATCCATGTATGCAACATATAATGGCTTTCCTATTGCCTTAGCTGTGTCAACCATGGTCTTGAGAATAAATGGATTATTTGTAGTTCGATAACCTGGCCGAAACCCATTCTGGGTTGATGGCAGTAAATCCTGGTGCTCTGCATATTCCCTCAACCTTCTGTCAATAATTAATGTGAGCATTTTCAGAAAGCAACACTCTAGCACCACCAGTCTATAGCTTGAAGGGTCATCTGCCTCCTTCCCCCGTTTCAGTATGCCCACTACCAATGCAACTAGCCATGCCGATGGAGCAGTCCTGTTCTCTATACAGTGGTTCAACAACTTCACACAATTCTCATTTGGGATCTTCATAATCAGTTTATAATCCACCTGGTCCACACCTACAGAGCTGTCTAGGTTCTTCATTGCAATATGTGCCTTTGCTTCCTCAATCTCCTCCTCCTGTATTGCACGGCTAAAGAATTTCTGCTCAGTTGTATCCACATTTTTTTCTGGTATCATTGCTTCCCATTGCTTCCACAGTGCCAGATACTTTGCATCTAAATTTGGTGGGATAATGACTGGGCTCTGCATGCGTGACCGGAATTCCCTAAGCAACTGTTCCATGGTCACTTCCATTTCCTTTGCTTTGCCATCCATCCAGTTGATATATAAGGACCAGAACTGTGCAATAGTTTTGCAGTTTTGTAACTTCTTTAGGTTATCCTCCTGAATTTTTGCAACTTTTGACCTTCCTCTGTGTGATACTTCACCCTGTCTCACATCTTCAACCCCTGCTTTTCTCTCCCCCCCTACATCTTTGGGTAGAGCACTTGAGACCTTGTCCCCTTCTAGTGGTACTAGGCAGGAGGTGTTACACTTCCATGGTACCTCTTTGAGTGGCCTATAATTGCCTGGCAAATCCATTGTAGCACCCTTCTTGGCTAAATTATCTGCCTCATCATTATTCTGGTTTCCACTGTGGCCTTTGACCCATACAAATCTGGTTGAAGCTGCTCTCTCTTTAAGTAGAAGTGTGATGTCCTTGAGTATATCGCCATTTGGTATATTCCACCCCGTGGCCAAGTGGCGGCCAGCCCAGTAGCAGCATTGCCTAATAATATACTCTGAGTCTGTGTATATTATCAGTGGCCTCTTTGGATCCATTTCAAATAGGACTAAGTACACTGAATATGACTCTGCCCTATTATTTGTTTGTCTTCCAGGTCCTGGTACTCGCACACTTTGATTCCTCCTTGAGTTCAGGCCATAACATATTCCAGCACCAGCTTGTGCAGAATCAGTTCCCCCACCCAGACATGACCCATCTGTATATACTGTGACTGGATCGTTGGCATAGTAGAAATCCCCATAGTATTGTTTCAATGCCTCTTCTTCCGATAGAGCACTTGCCAGAATTTTGTTATAAAGTATATCTGTAGGTTCATGTAGAGGCTGTATTTTGAATGTCATTTTCCCCTGCCCCTTCACTGCACTGGCCTTGGGTGTGAGTGACAACTCCACTGCCATTGAGAGCATAGAATGATCTGACCACCTATCTTCCTCCTGCTTTGGATTACCATGTACTCTCATATGCTTTACTGCATTCACCATGTCATTTGACACTACACAGTAGTCAACCACAGCCTTCCCATTGTGCTGATGTGATGTGTAGGCACCCGGTTTGTTGACCTCCAGCGCAGTCCCATTTATCACTGACATATGTTCCTGAGAACATACCTGCATGAAAGCCCGACCCCGTGCATTCTCTATGGCATCACTTGATACTCTTGGTCTGTGTGTATATATCGGAATGTTAGACCCAATCCGACCATTCAAGTCCATCATCACTATCACAGGTTTATTTGACAACCGACACAGCCTGATAATAGTCCAGAGGTTCTCCTCTGGGGCAATTTCCGAAAAGTGAGTATACTTTGAAGACGCTGGCAGTACATATGCCACAATAAGCCATGTTGTGCCCAAATCCAGTACCAGAATGTCTGGCACAGATAGGCTTGATTTCTTGACCTGGATGTTATTCCGTACAAATGCGCACACTCCTCCATGCTGATGCTCCCATGGCTCAGCTGCCTTCCTTGACTGAGCAAAGAATTGATACCCTTGAAGCTTTGCCATAGCATCTTCCTCCTCAGGACATAGATGTGTTTCCTGCAAACCAATAACATCATACTCCCCTATAAGCATCTTAAAATCTGGGCTGAGCATCTTTACAATAAGGTCTCCATGAACATTCCAAGAGGCGAAGTTTACCTCAGTATATATTTTGAAACTATCTACCCCCGCTTCTGTTTGTTCAGATTCAACCTCATTGACCTGCGAGAGACCCCCAGCCCCCTCTAAAAATCCTCCCCTATACCCCGGAGCTTCAATCCTTCCCGCTCACTCAGCGAGTTTTTATAACCTGCGCTCCATTCCTTGGTAAATGCGTCCCTCTCGTTATATGACCGGAATGTCATGACCAAGACCCCGAACCGGTACTCATCTCTCCTTACATCCCCAGGAATGACACTTCTTGGAACAGATTTTGCAATGAGCGCAATCTGATCACCCACGCCGGCCGTAGCATACTGCCCTCGAAACACCCCGATGGCCAACTTCAAGTCCTGCTTGTCCTTAGCTGGGGCGGTTGGTGCAAATGCCGGTGGTTGTGCGAGACGTGGTGGTGGTGCCCCATACCCTTGATCATGCTGATAGCTTCCACGAGTGTGAGAATCATTCCGTCGATAGTCCTTCTGACCACTCCCTCGGTTATCATTGCTCCATTCACTACCCCTGCCGCCCATATCATGCACTGACTCCGCGCCGTTACCACGCGGGAACTTCCCACTACGGCCTTCATACACCATTTCATCCTCCCCCAGCCTCTTTCTCTGTGCCCCATAACCCATAACTTCTCTCGCCCTTTCCGACATCCTCTCCACCTGTGCCTCCTCTTCCTGCCTCTTTTCTTGTGCCACCCTTTCAACCCTGCGCTCAAGGTCTCTGTTCTTGCCCTCCAGCTCTCGATTCTGCCTCTCCAGGACTTCAATTCTCGCCACCAAATCCTTTACAACATCCTCCACCTTTGCTGTGTACGCCTCCGCTTTTTTCTTCTGCTCGTTACACTTACTCTCCATTTCCTGCCTCAGTCGCCCCTGCATCTCTCCTTCGTAACTGCAGTCACTCGCTGGATCTCGACCTTCAACTCCGCACGCACTGCTCTGCCCTCATCCCTTCCCTCCTTGCTGACAACCTTCACATCATTCTTCACAATCCCTCGCAAGGCCCTCATCTCCCCGTGTATCCCGCCGCATGTCTCAGCGATGTCCTCCTTTACTCCCTTTAGTGCCACTGCCAGCCTTCCGTCAATCTCGCTCCCAGTCGGCATCTTCAATGCCACCTTTTCGACGTTCTGCACCCTGCTCTTGAGCAGCACCAGCTCCGGTCGCAGAACAAACTCCCCCACTTTTTCGCTACCAGCCCGGCCTTTTTCCGCTCTAGCCACTCGCTCCTCTAGCTTGCTGAGATCTTGACGCAGAGTTGATGTCTCGTCCCGGAACGCATTCCGCATCTCCATCTGCCATCCCCCAACCGCGATAGTGGTTTTCTTAAGTTTGCTCGCCACCTGGACAACCTTCGAGACTGAGCTCATATCCAAATCAATACCATACTCCTTCTCCACACGCGCTTCCATCGTCGCATTACCTAGTGGATCCACAGTAGCCTCCGGCGCCTCCGACATAGGAGAGAGAAGCAGTGATGTTGCTAAAGGTTCGTCCCCGGACTCATCGTGGTCTATTGTTGCTGCTGACATTGTTGAGGGAAGCGTCCTGGCTGCCGGAGAGGCGGTCGATCCACGCGTCCGCGGTTTTTGCTTCACGTCCGATGTGCCCTTCTCCCCCCCCACTTCCGACTTTCGCGCTGTTCTCGCCTTCGCCTTTGGCGCTGCCTGCGCCCCAGCCTTTTTCTTTGTCTTTTTCGGCGACTCCACCACAGTCCCAGCAGTGTCCGCGGACCCATTGAAGCTCTCGCCAACCCTTCTGCCGCCTTCAACACTCGAGCTTGTGTCTTCTTCGTGACCACCGTCCTTCACCAAGCCTTCTCCCACTGTCTTCGCCTCGGGTGTAGCTCTCCTATCATCGGTCTCCTCGCTTCCCGCAGGGCCTTGCTTGTCTTCTGAGCCTCGGTCCTCACCAACAGTCCACTCCGTCTGCAAAGCCCCATTCGCAGGGCCGTCAAAGCCTTCGGTCGACAGTGCTCCCTGTTCTTTATTTGTCAATGCGGAGAGGCCTCGCTTGTCCGTCTCTGGTGGCGACGACATGCTTGCTTTTGTGATAGAACTTTCGTTTGCACTTTTTTCGCTCGGTACGTGATAAGGTTTCTTCGATTTTGCTCTACGTTACCCACTATCGAGGTCTTTTTTTCTCCCCAGCGTTCAGCTGTTTAGCGTGGGAAAAAGCAAGATGATGGTGGTCGAAGAAAAAGAAAGTAAGAGGAGGCAAGAGGTGCCAGGAAGGTGCCATGTTCAGAAAAAATTATTTCACTGACACATTATTATCTGGAGTTGGTGCATTTGACAGGAATTTGCACAGCGACAAAAATAGTGATTCCCGCTTCGACTAACGAGTCATCTATAATTCCTCTTATCAAGCAACTGAACTTGACATTAGATGCAAGATGCTTACTGTATGACTGGACAGGTGCTCGGAATGTGGGTCAATACGGGCATGAGAGATGAACCAACTCAACCAGAAAACCAAGTCGCCATTCCACCCACTGTGGGGGAGCACACCGTATTTAAGGATGCGAATTGCAGCCTATTCCTGTATCTAACACCTCTTTGCCTTCTGTTTCTGCTGGCCAGACACATCTTGATACTCCAAAATCGTTCGAACATTGCTTCACGCCGCGACGCTTCCTATATCATGATATTTTTCAAAACTCAAACCATCGTCATCGTCGCTCAAGTTGTTGGTTTCCTTCTTGTTTCGACCTCGGCTTTGCCACACGTTGCTCGTGCTATTGACGGGGTGAGTCTCAGAAAATATTTTGTAATATTATTCAGGAGCACTCAACTGCGGCAAATACATATAGCAAGATTGGATTCTTGAGAGCTACACTGAGCTCGTCCCAAGCAGACACAATGAGGTGCAAGATGCTTTCAGTAAGTAATTTCCTCGAGCTAGAACTCGGAATGTAAATATCCCATACCTCTTTTCCCCCTTCCAGAGAATAAGTTAGAGGGCATCCGTCTCGGCTCTTTCATAGCGGCATCAGAGAGAGGACTCAACAGCGAAGGCGTCTACGATGTGCGAGGAAAGATCGCGGGTAAGGACGCTGTTGTCCAAGTTATGAAGAATACCGGCACCGAAGCTTTGGGAGAAGTCCTTGCACTGAAAGACCGAGGCGAGCTGCTCTATTCTGGATACATAGTGATCAGTGGGAGATATGAGCCTGTCATCGTCATGGTGAAGGTACCTGGAAAGGTGTTGAGCGACACGCGTGAATACCAGAGAGCATCGGACGAAGGAAGGGAGAAGTTGAAGAAACAAGCAATCAAGTTGATGTGCAAGGCTGTAGCGGATATCGCTGTACAATCGCATCTCTTGCACTAGTACGTCAAAATTATTCTGCTCAAGAAAAGCTTCTGACAAATTGTCCCGGTTTCAGCGAAAACAATATCGATAATACACTTGTCACTGTATCTCATGGCAAAGTTATTTCAGCAAAAGTTTGTGATTATGGCGCCTCTGTGACTTTCAAGGTGTCGGGTTCTGTGACTAGGAAGGAAGTTGTGAGTTTGCATAATTATTTATCTTTACCTGTTGATGACAGATGACCCCATAGTACGATTGGTGCAAGGCCCGTTGGACCCCTGATACTTGGATTGTTGTGTCTGATGAGATGCCTTTCTGATGTTTCGAGCTGTGTATGTATATAAACTATTATTTATTCTCGTTTCGTTTGTTAGAAATTGTGTCATACCAAGTATCTAGGCTGGTCCGTCGTCTGAATAGTGATTGAAGGGCAATCGTTGAAGCTTGAACGCCGGGAGATACGACGCGCTAGTATCATCTCGACGTGAGATAAATTGTTCATATATTCAAGAGTGAGGCTCTCTAGTCCTTGGATAGTTTTCAATTTTGTCAGTGCTGGCTGTTGTCGCTAGTAAAGAGAAAACACGACGTCATGCCTAACATAGTACCGAAAATGAATGTGATCTCGTGATCTGTGAAATTAGAAGCGATGGGATTCTTCAGGATTGTTCACTATCCAGTATTCTTCGCTTCGCTCGCAGTCGCTCTGCTACCGCCGGGGGGGTTCCCTGCTTCCGGTGCTTGCGAGTATGATTTCTTTTTGTTTCACCTTGAGCTTGAATCCTAATGAACTCAAAGGACGTGTTCAAGCCAAATGTCATCTCCATTTAGCCTCATCGACATCATTCACTGAGTACCGCGTACTCGCAAGACTTCAGCTTGTGTGATCCTTCCGGCAAACCATTTCAATGTTTCTCGATATTTATAGAAGCTTTCCCGATTAGAATGCCGGACGCACACGGCCAGGGTATCCGATCCTTATTGAAAAGGTTGAATTTGGAGATATTGAATGAGGAAGGAAGACTCCACGCCACATCTATAGAAAGTATATCTGGAACCCGGACAACCCCCAATCGCTATCTCCAACCTCCATCATGGCATCCGAAGCGTTGTCGCAGCTGTGGTACAACGCGACGCACAACCTCGTACCGAAACGGGAGAGGACCGAGAAGCAGAAACCGCTCCTAGTTTCCTTATCGGAATTGAATTTGAGGCAATGGGCCGAGTTCTGGACTGGGTGAGTGAATGGCTCGAGGTCACGACCATAGATTCTGTCGTTCTAATATACTATGCAGCTGGCTTGCCTGGTCATGCGATGCAATTGACTTCTTCTCCGTCTCGTTGAGTGTAACAAATCTCGCGACGCAGTTTGGCAGAGACACCACCGATATTGTGAGTCGGTTGTCGATATTTGGCGATCATATCCTCAGATTCTTTTGCAGACCCAAGCAATCACACTCACACTTCTCTTCCGCTCCGTTGGCGCAGTTCTCTTCGGGATTATCTCTGACCGATATGGACGCAAGTACCCGCTCATTCTCAATCTTCTCGTAGTCTCCGTGCTTGAACTTGGTGCTGGTTTCGTACAAACCTACGCCCAGTTCCTTGCTGTGAGGTCACTGTTCGGTATTGGAATGGGTGGAATCTGGGGTCTAGCTGCCTCAACTGCTCTGGAGAACCTTCCGGTCGAGACGCGTGGATTAGCCAGTGGAGTGCTACAACAAGGATACGCAGTAGGCTACCTTATTGCTGCGGTCATCAATCTCACACTAGTCCCCGAACAATCTCATTCTTGGCGCGCGTTGTTCTGGTGTGCGGCTGGCATTAGTGCATTTGCTGCATGCATTCGTCTGTGTCTTCCTGAGAGTAAAATTTTCCTACAAGCTAGAGAAGATGCCAAACACCGAGAAGAGGAAAGGCTAGGGCATAAGAACAGTGGTGTGAAGAAGACTCAGATATTTTTCAGAGAGACGGGGAAGATGCTCAAACACCATTGGATGCTTTGTATATACGCAGTGTTATTGATGACCGGTATGTTCCTCGAGCACATCTTTGCCGTCGTCCGTTTGTTGTTGAATTCACTTTTCATGTCATTTACAACTCTTTCTATAGGCTTCAACTTCCTATCACACGGATCTCAGGTGATTGTCATAAATCCTCATGCTTTCTTCATCCCATTCCCTGCCCCTGCTTCTCCTCCTATAACTAGTTCCATATTTGTGAAGCTTTATACCACGACCTTAAACCCCGGTTACGTTCTTCTCTTCCGCTCCTTTCCCTCTTTTTTCCTTTCCCTTAATCACATTGGCACCGCTTAATTATCTTGTGAAGTCATCTCTCGTTTCGGGCTTAGAGAGATATAGGGTTGTGATTTTTTGAACTACTTGCTCACAGTTCGCACGATGTTTTTCTAGGACCTCTTCCCGACCTACATTCAAACTTCCAAAGGCTTTTCCGCACACGATGCGACAGTAATGACTATCATTGGAAATTGTGTACGGCTTCCCACAATAACACTGTTAATCCTTGCTAAACCTTCCACGATATTTATACAGGGTGCAATAGCAGGAGGTGCCATTGCCGGATGGGGTTCCCAATACCTCGGTAGGCGACTCACGATCATTGTCTTCGTCTTGATCACCGCCGCCTTCATACCTCTATGGATCCTGCCGAGTAGTTTCGGGGGACTCGCTGCGGGTGCATTCTGCATACAATTCGGTGTGCAAGGTGCTTGGGGTGTCGTGAGTACCGTTTTCTCGCTGAGGGAATCGAAAGTTTGAAGGAAATGATGGCTTCTATTTCTCCTTGCATTTTGATCAGTGACATGTCTTTTAATCTTACCTTGAATAGGTGCCTATCCAACTTGCTGAAATGTCGCCTCCGGCTTTCCGAGCAACATTCCCCGGTGTGGCGTACCAAGTTGGGAACATGGTGTCCAGTGCGAGTGCGCAAATCGAGTCGAGTACGTATTGGACCTGTTCATTTCAGCCCTTAGTACTTCCTCGGTATGGATATATGGTCTGACCTATTTTTAGCTGGTGGAGAACATCTCAAGACTACGATCTCTGTCCCCGTTAGTTCTACAAATCCGACAGGCGAGAAGGTCGTACCGGATTACGCCACAGTTCAAGGTCAATTTTTATTTGTCTGGATTACTGCCTTCGTTTGACTGTCTTTATTACCGAATTTCATATAGGCATACTCATCGGCTGTGTCGCCGCATTCCTCCTTATTGTTACTCTCTTCGGTCCAGAAAAGCATGGGTATGAATTTGAGAAACACCGGGCCGCGTTCGAGGAGGGCGGAGGTGACGACGAAGCCATGATGGATGATAATGTGCTGGAAGGAAGGAGGAGAACTGATGGAGACCGGGCGGGTGCTGAAGAGCGCCTTAGTGCAGATGGAGCTAGCAGTGATGAAAAAGGGAGGGAAGAGATGGTTGAGAAGGTGTGAAGGTTGTTGTATTGTATACAATATGGCGGCGGCCCAGTTTTGGTGAGCGAGGGAGTTATTGACATGTACTTGTAAAGATATTTCTGACGACCGAGAGCACATTTTCAATGATAATGGAAAGTTACGACTTGCTCCTGTATCACGATATCCTCTTGTTGCAAGGATTTTGCCTTCAACTGAAAGAATTTATGGATTGCCAGGACGTCTATCCGTCAAAATTCATTGGACCAATTCGGAAGGTTACAATTTGAACGTAGGCCTATTTTGACGCCTCAAGATTGGCTGGAACCCTCGAATGCTCCGTGTGCACCGTGCTCAACGGGAGCGGAGCTATGCGAACTCGACGAACCATACAGAGCAAAATACAAAATCAATTATTATATAGTAGTACAGTATCGGTAAGAATTGAACTTGAAACGGAATACAGCCTTCGGAACATGTACACTACGTATGTGGGGGCGTCAATAATACTATCGTCGAATCAAGCCGACGAAGTAGTATTCGGAACGTTTGCAACGACCTGATTAATCTTGAATGCCCTTCGAGGGTCGAAAAATCCACGAATACCGGGAAGAGTGGCAGGCTTGTGAATCGTAGGGTCGTTCTTGACACTGTTTTGGTAGCTTTAGCAAGGGAGGATGGGGAGGACAACGGTTAAGTGCTTACGAGATATTGATCGAGGAGGTAAGCCTCCTCTCCACAGGAGCGTCGCGAATAACGATTCCTTCAGCGATGATTGCTGTGTAGAATATCCCTGCTTCACCGATGAACTAAGGTAGAATTTGTTGAGTACATCGAAGACACGCGAGAGAGTCTGAGCTCAGAAAGGGTGTGAAAGGCATGGGGACTCACGTTAGACGTCACATTGTCATCTTTTCCTGGAACCGTAGCAATTCCATTGAATTGCACACTAGCACCTGCTTCATCGAAAGCTTCACCCTTCAGCCGAGATTTGTACTCGTCGCGTGTAACGGAGACACCATTGAATATGATTTCCAAATGGGATTCATCTTTGGTTACGAACGCATCGAACGCTTCGTTGAAGCTTTCCTGAGTGGTAGCCTGGGTAATAGCCTGAATGTGCGATTCGGCCCAGGGTCCGAGTTGGGGAAGTACGATGGCCATATTCACAAATTTAGAGTAGGGTGGTGGTCGTGGAACGAGGAAGATGCGTCGCCTAGTGCAAGGATCCTGGCCTTTTATAAGCATGGACTGAAGCCTGGGCAGTGCGTACAAGTGCCGAGGAATAGTCATGATAGTCCTTCGATTCCGGCCTATTGCTTCATGCTACCAATTTATTGGTGTATTATGGCGTTTGTGAAGTATCCGGAGTGACGATGTACAGCCAGCTTATACGTGAACATGTCAGCGCTGAAGAGGCGATGCCAATTAGCATCCCATACACCAAAAAGCCACTAACGCTGTTTATCTGTTCGAGATATTTGGATTTGCAACTACTTTCTAGCCGGGGTGACTCTTTTCGGACCTCCATTAGGCTGGGCCACTCTGGTACAAATGCAAGCGTAGTTCCCGGAACATGGAATGAAGTGACTATGTTCTGTATATGCAGAAGGTGAAAGTGTGAGCGAATACCCAGCTTGAATGACATGCCCGCAACCATCGGGGAGACCTCCATAGCCATTGGTAAGCGACCACTCGGTCTTGAACCTATTCATTGATCAATTCTGAGGACATCATCCGGATCGAGGGTACCTGCGTCGTAATATGTTGAGACGGCTTCTCCAACGAGTTCTTCTTTAACAAATGCGACCGAGATGGGTCTGGGAAACTGCACAACTTCCAAAGGCCGTACTGGATTTGAATTTTGATTGGCTGCCAGCAGTCTTGATGTTGATAGATCTAGAGAGAGCAAGTCAGATTCATCTATATATATGATGGAGTGTGGATAATGTACATCGACAGGAGTTGCACCTAGCTGCAGCCAGGGTGATCTCGAGGAGTCCTTGGAGGGAGAATTTTTGGGTAGTATAAGGTAAAACAACCCGACCAGCAGGCTTCTGCCGCGCGAGAACTAACTATGAATCTTGAAGCTTGATTATACTCTGAAGTTTGTGAGCAAGGTGCAGCAGTCTAGTGCAGGTCTCCTCCCTTCTCCTCCATGACTCCTCCGAACACCTCGACAGGAGGGTACAATATTGTAGCTGATCGACGGGGATACTGTTGTACAGGAGTCACGCAAAAGAATCTTCAGACTTCAATGGCAATAATGGACGGTCGATGGACGGATGGATGTAAGTAGATGCCACATGATGCGGCGAAGTTCATCCGAGTCCCGACCCGATTGAACTTCGGCGTCTTTGAAATTGAACCTTTTTATTCCTAACCATCATGAACGTCCGAGCGCTTTACAGAATCTTTCAAAATTACTTTTCACTGCCTCCGTGCACCTTGCATGGATTTGCGTTATTTGCGCCCTAAGCCCTTGCCCTTGGGCGTTCGTCGCAGGGCTAAAGTTTGAAGGAACTATATTCCTGATTTTATCGCTACGCGGTGGTTACCAGCCCCATGTAGTCTGAGGAAAATCAATGTAAGGCAAACTTTCGATATTACCATTACTCAACATCGACGACCCGTGTTTTGATTTCGGAGCGTCTACGGAGTACCTCGGTGAACGAGCATGGATCCTGGATACATCGCACTGACGTTCCCAAGAGACGCGAGGGCACCGTGTCCGGGGTTGAACATCTTAGCGAACCAGGGGTATATGGGAGTATAGTTAGTATAATATACTCCAACCCAATCCTTCTTTATTTCTTTATTTATTTCTTTCTTTTTTTCCTTCGTCCTGTCCCAAACCCTTACTTTTTCTCCTTCCCCTCCCTTACTCCTTCTCCTTCCCCACACAGCCCTTGTTCAGGTCGAGATATCGGGGTGATCACACATCCATCACACCAGTTACAGTACAGCAATAATGCGGGTGTACAATATCTCCTTGCCATTAGCGCTTCTTACTAACTACATAAGCGTTCCGGGGTTTCTGATATACGCACAGCTACGGGTGTGCCGGAAAAGCATCCGAGTGCGTCCCTCGGTCACGTACACCCTCACACTGTCGTCCGTATGTTCGTTCGGTCCGGGTTTGTACGAAAATCACACACCGCGCGTCGTTGGTGGTGCATCCGAATCATCCGAGTCAGTGTCCGGATAAGGGGATGGTGAGCGAATTGGTATCCAAGACGAAGTCCTTCGGTGAGTGATAGAGCCGGTGGGGGATCAAGCTCTCCGAGTCCGTCCCTCGGTCACGTACACACTCACACTGTCGTCCGTATGTTCGTTCATTCCGGGATTGAAAATCACACACCGCGCGTCGTTGGTGCATCCGAACCATCCGAGTCAGTGTCAGTGTCCTGACAAAGGGATGGTGAACAAAGTGGTGTTACGGTCGGAGTTGGTATTGGTATCCAAGACCAAGTCGTTCGTTGAGTGATAGTGCCGGTGGGGGATCAAGCTCAAGTTCAAGTCCAAGGTTAACGCTTTCGGACATCGCTAGGTTACGGGTATCCAGGGAATCGGAATTATCTGCGGTGCAGAAATTGAGTGGGGGTGCATGAGCAGGTTGCGTTGGGAGAGACGTGCGTTGACGAGGGTTGCTTTTTGTGCAGCAAGGAAGGAACGGGTTCTGAGCAGGAGGAGGAGGATAAGTCATCAACGTCTTCATCTCCATCGACTACATCGTCTTCACCTTCACTTTCACTTTCACTTTCACTTTCAGCCTCGTCGTTATCGACTAAATCACCTTCTCTATCATTATCATCACCATCCCACCCATCCATCCCTCTCTCCTACTTCCCGCAATGGTGTTCGGCGAAGAACGCCTCCCTGATGGATGTACGTGGTCAGAGGGGACGATTGGGGTGCTTCATCGATGCGAAGAAGGTGGCGGGGGATGTAGAGCAGGAGATGGAAGTAGCGACAGTGATGAGGAAGTAGCGATAATGATGAAGAGGTAGCGATGACGGTGAGAAATTAGTGTAGCGAGTCCGCGACAACGGTGAGGAAGTAGCGATAACGATGAGGAAGGTGGTTTAACGTGGTTGGAGTATGTCTGAGTATGTTGAGTGCATTTGGAATGTAGTATGTAGATGGATTGTGGATTTGAGCAATCTGTTGTTGTTGTTGTTGTATTTCTAGTTATGTATCGAGGGTGTTGTATTCGTAGTAAGTATACCAGTCTGGCAGATAATAATATATCTTGAACATTATCAATTAAATTGTAACACGAAGAAAAGGCCAACCCACTAAGCGCACATACTCTCCCACAACCACCACCCACAACCACCACCACCCTCTCTTCCTCTCTCCTCCCCCACCTCCACGCCCAACTAACCCTCTTCCACGCCCAACTCGCCCTTTTCCCCCCGCCCTCACTGCCTTCGCTTCCAAACACCGGTCCGCCATCCTTCACCCCCCCTCCTTCCGGCACAAATTCACCCAACTGTCGAGCATTGGCGTCCGCCGTCGACCCCTTTGCCGGCCCGCGTGGTGGGGAGAGGTGTTGTTGTCGTTATCGTAATCGTTAGGATGGATGGGGGATTAGGAATAGATCGAGAATACAAATTAGGGGTACAGATCGTCTAACGTGGGTGTTTCCCGAGGTTGGGGATTTGTGTAGACTCCTAACCAAGCTACGCGCCATTTCTCCTTCTTCCCCTTCAAATTTGCTTATTAAAAGCATGTGTTTACCATCATCTATATATATCTCAAACATGCGCACCACATTCTCACATACATAGATGGCTGACAGCAGTCAGACAGGTGGAATGCTCATTGAAAACACATGTAAACCATCTGGCCCAACATATAAATGTAGTCCATTCCCACTTCAGTCCAATTGATATATCCCCCCATCAGCACAACTTAAAAATGTCTCAAGCTAATTCCACAAACCAGGATAATAGGGAACAAAATGTTCCTCAATCCCAGGGTAAAACTAGGAGGGACATCAAGAAACCAGAGGTTGACCAATCCATGTTGGGGATTAACTCTTATCACTCTCCAAATACAGGTAAGATACTTGTGATACTTAGGGAGATAAACTCACCAACTGAAATTTGAACAGGAGGGAGGTCATTTGATTATATGGAGAAATATGCTGATGAACCTTTTGGTGAGGAGTTGAAGGACAACTCCCGTGTGTTCAAGGTTTATCTAGATGAGGCTGAGATTTTTGATGATGATATGATCAGAGGATTCAGAGAAACAATTGATTCTTTGCTAGTATTTGTAAGCATTGCCGTACGCACTGTTTGAGCTAACTTAACATTTCAACAGGCAGCACTTTTCTCTGGTGTTGTAACATCCTTTGTGATTGCAACTATATCTGCCCTTCAACCTGATTATTCCCAAATCACTGCAGTCCTGTTGGTAGAGCAGGTTCAAATCCTCAGAGCTGCAGGAAATGCCACTGCAATCAATGCCATTCCTAAATCCACTGTGGATCTGCAAAATGTTTCAGTGGCTACTGAGGATCTTTGGATTAATGGTTTATTCCTTGCAAGCTTGTCACTAGCCTTGGCCACTGCACTCTTGTCAGTCCTTGTCAAACAGTGGCTTCAAGCTTATAGCTCCATATTAGCTGGATGTGCAAAACAAAAAGCCTTGATCCGTCAATTCAGATATGCTGGATTTGAAAAATGGAAGGTCCCAGAAATTGTTGGGATTCTTCCCCTCATCCTGCATACATCTTTAGCTCTATTCCTCATAGGATTGTCATTGTACATTTCAGAGCTCCACAGTTCACTCTCCTGGATTGTGGTCACTGTGACAATTCTTGCATTTGCATTCTATTTGGGAAGTTTCCTGATGCCTCAAGTATGGCTTGAGTGTCCATACAGGATACCACTGCTTTTTGTGCCAGCAGAATATATAATCTACCCCTCTAAGGTTCTATTATGGCTATTCAAGTGGATCATAGCCAAGTTTCAAGATATTATTCCAGCTTGGAAAGGAAAAAAGCCTTCCTCTGATCACATTTCAAATTCCAAGAAGAAAAATGGCTTTCCATCACTCTTACAAGCTTCATTGAGAAGCACTGAACGTGATTATTTGGGGAATAATGAGACAAAGGAGCCAATAGTGGCAGACATTCTTGTTTGGCTTCTTTCCCTGGAGTCAAATCAATCCATTCAAAAAGTGCTTGCCCAGCCCATTGGGGCATTTCTAATGGATAAGTATTGGGAATTTTTATATCCTCAACTTCAAAATTATGCAGATAGAGCTGCCAAAGCAATGTGGGCTACATTATCAAAGTTCCATGAATCTGATTTCAAAAAGTTGAACTTCCAAGTTTCATTGATTTTTGAGGCCTTTTCAACAACACCTTATTGGGACCATTTTAAAAAGGGCACAGTGGATTATTGGGACCATTTTGTGTCCAAAAATGAATCAAAAATCATTTCAAAATATTTTGAATACTCCAATCTATATACTGATTGGAAAATTAATCTTGAGAGATTTGGGATAGACAAAGAGTGGAAAAACAATGCACTGTTGAAGGCAGTGTTGAACAATGACTTGGAAACAACCAAAGTTCTTGTAAAGAACAAGGCAGATGTCAATGCACAGGGAGGTCAATTTGGTAATGCACTGTATGCAGCAGCATATCAGGAAAATCTGGATATAGTCAAGTTTCTTGTAGGGAACAAGGCAGATGTCAGTGCACAAGGAGGGATTTTTGGTAATGCACTGCAGGCAGCAGTATATCGGGGAAATCTGGAGATTGCCAAGTTTCTTTTAGAGAACAAGGCAGATGTCAATGCACAGGGAGGGTTATATGGTAATGCACTACAGACAGCAGCATATCAGGGAAATCTGGAGATTGCCAAGTTTCTTGTAGAAAACAAGGCAGATGTCAATGCACAGAGAGGTCGATTTGGTAATGCACTGCAGGCAGCAGCACGTCAGGGAAATCTGGATATAATCAAGTTTCTTGTAGAGAACAAGGCAGATGTCAATGCACAGGGAGGTCGATTTGGAAATCCACTGCAGGCAGCAGCATATCAGGGAAATCTGGAGGTTGCCAAGCTTCTTGTAGAGAATGAGGCAGATGTCAATGCACAGGGAACATTTGGTAGTGCACTGGACGCTGCAGCAATTCATGGAAATCTGGATATAGTCAAGTTCCTTGTAGAGGAAAAAAATGTGGATGTCAATGCACCACAAGGGATACATGAAACATCACTGCAGGCAGCAGCATGTTATGGTCATCTACATATTGTGAAATATCTAGCTGGACATAGTGCTATTGTTATGACCCAGGAACTTTTTGCAACTGCATTGCAAGCAGCAGAAATAGGGGAACATGAAGATGTTGTCAAATTCTTGAGATCCATGCAACCTAATCTTCAAAAATGATGGACTCAGGGACAACGGCACAGGTTTGATAAGGTCCAACTCCAAACAAGATCAAAACCCTGGATGGACTCATCAATCAGAATATAGTACTCATTGTCCTTACGATGTATGTTCCATGCTCTTTCCCTCCTATCTCTATAAATTCTCTACACCAAATTTTCCATCTTCTCATCTTTGTTATACATACTCACCTTTTCAACCACAAAATCCTATCTCTACAAATTCTCTGCATCAAATTTTCCATTTACTCATCTTTCTTGTGCATACTCACCTTTCCAAACACAATCCATAATCATATCTGTTTGTAAGCATCAGGTTTATCTCAGTTAATACTATCGGAACAACTGAGGGAGCTCGTGTGTTTCTGTGGTGTGTGATATAGTAAGTACTGTATAGTTTAGTGTAAGCACGGCGTATACGTGTACGGTGTACTTGGTGTAGTCAGAGGTCAAAGCTGTTCTATGTTCCCTGTACGTACGGAGTTGTTCCAACACTGTTTGTCCAAAACTTTTTTTTGATCATCGTGTTTACCTATTTGTGACACAAATACCCGAATCTTTCCTACAACTGTTCTGTTCACGGTGCAAAAACCATTTGCAGACAATATAGTCGACTATGCACAAACTCTCTCAATGAATGTTTTACCTGAATCATCCTGCATCTCTGTGTCAAATGTCTCACAGAGCAGTCAAACATCAGATCAGAAAGAGGAGGGAGGGGAACGAGGAAACCAGGGAGGAAGGAGGGAAGAGGGAAGAGAGAGCGGAATCGGGGGTTTGCTGAGTTCGAGTTGCTGTGCATAAATATAGATTGTGGGTAGGTACTAAGATAAGATGTAAATACCGGGATGAGTTGCAGGTACCGAGCTGAGATGAGACAGAGGAGACGAGAGAGGTGAACTGTGCCTCTGTAGGTGTCTAAGGTTCCAGGTACCGAGATGAGTCAAGTCAGGAGTCGACTTAAGTTAAGTGAGAAACAAAACGTGACGCAAAAGGGGGTTTTTAGAAAGGGGTAAAAGGAATATAAAGACGGTGTTAAAGCAAGGAGTAATATCACACCTTACATTCGAAGGACGAACTTGAAGCACAAAGCATAAATGATTTCTACTATTTCAGCTATTTGTTCATCATCAAAGAATAGTCTTCGTACAACTGCTACACGTCGCTTATCCGCACCACCAAGGAGGACTCAAAGTTCGAAGTCAAAGTCGACTTTGAATTTGGGCTTGCTGAATATTGAGGATGCGTGTTTCGATGTGGGAGCGTCTGCGAGTACCACCGCGGAGAACGACAACCATGAATACATAGCACCCACACTCCCGAGAGACTCACGCGCACCTTGTCCGGGGTTGAATACGTTGGCGAACCATGGATATATGTGAGTTAAACGTTGAATCGGTCTTCTCCAAAATCCTCATTTCTTTGTACACAGCCCTCGTTCTGGTCGACAGATCGAGTTTATACCACTAGTATGTGCGATAATGCAGGTGTACAATATATCGTTGCCGCTAGCGCTTCTTTTGAGCATTCCGGGGTTTTTGATATACGCGCAGTGGCAGATGTGTTGGGTATCCGAGTCCGAGTCCAGCCTGAGGATTCCATCACTGCCATCAATCTCATACACTCTGACACTGTCCTCCCTATCGTCGTTTGGGCCGGGATTGAAAATCGCACATCGGGCGTCGTTGGTGCATCCGAATTATCCGAGTCAGTGTCCTGATCAGGGTATGGTGGAGGAGGTGTTGAAGTCGAAGACGGAGAGTGGAAGGGCAGGGGAAGAGGGATTCAGTTTGGAGGACCTTGCGAGATTACGTGTATCAAGGGAAAGGGTATCTGAATTGGACTTGGAATCGGAGAGGTGTAGGTTGGATAGGGTACACGAGCAGGTTGCGCTGGGAGAGAGTGCGTTGACGTGGTTGCTTTTCGCCCAGCAAGCGCCAATGTCAGAGTCGTCAGCAATGTCATCGTCGTCTTCGCTCTTGTTATCATCATCACTACCCTCCATCCCTCTTTCTTACTTCTCGCAATGGTTCGGCGAAGAACGTATCCCGGATGGATGGACTCGACCAGCGAACACGATTGGGTTGCTTGATGCGAGGAAAGTGGCTGGTGTTGTACAGCAGAAGATGAATCGACAACGATGAAGAATTTTCCCCCATTACGGTGACTTCTCCTTCTCTGCCAAGCACGCTGTATGTATATGCCTGAGGTCGTTTGTATTTCAATCAAACAAGCATAGTTTCTAGAGTAATCATATATTCATACATAAACGAATCTGACCTACAATGTATTCGACTTCGTTGACTAACATGCACAACATTTTCGCATCGTTGAGATTGGGATTATACACTGCGCCGTCTGACCGAGGAAGGAGCACGACGTTTCACGTCGGAACCACCACTGGTATATGGCGCGCGCTGAGTGAGAGTGATTTCATCCGTTTCAATGTTGAATGTCGCAACGACGTTGTGCAAAAACGTGTCTCCCCTATGCACAAACACAAGAATACCAGTAAATCGGTTTCAACAAGACAACTTGAATGTCTAAGACACTCACAAAATGAACACATTCCCTTCCGCACCCGTAGACGGACCTCCATCAAAAGTTCCACTAGCACATAATTCGTTCCCGTCGTTGTCTTGAATACCCAGAGGGAACAAGTTATCAGCGGGGTCGACGGTGAACGTCACCCCGCCGATGGTGACAGTGAATTCTGGGACGGTAGCAGTGCAGACGACGGTGTAGACACCGAAATCATCGTCTTTGACGGCTGGAGGGTCGAAGGCTGCGGCGAATGCGTCTGCTACGTCGGTAGCTGGGGTTTTAAAAGAAGTATATTCAACATGAATGGAGAAGAATATCCAATTAGGTGGCGGAAGGGTTAACTCACGAACGTAGTCCAGCGTTGTTCCAGAATCCAAAATGATGTCTGCTCAAGAAACACATGAGATAATTTTGAATCAAGGATTGTTATGGAGTTTTCAGGACGCACTATTAGTGGTACCGAAAATCTCATGATTCCCGGTGAACGACATCAACTCGACGTCGACGCTATAATAGAAATAAGTTACACCTGTGCTTCCATTTTTGGGCGTGAATGTCGCTGCGTCGTAGCCTTGAATGGGAACAGTAACAGCGGTGCTGGGGATCACGTCGACTGGGGCGATACCGCCGAAGGAGATGAACCCGAGGTTTTGATCCAAGTCGGAGCTGTTTTCAGCGGCGAAAGAGCCACGGTCGAGGGCGACAGAGAGGACTAGAAGAAGAAGAAAAGAAGAGGAGGACGTAAAGGTTGTTGATTTGTCAAGATCAGTTCCAAGTCAAACGCTTTCATAAGAAAACACTTACATGGATGAGATACCAAACCCTGCTGCACCGCCGAATAAAAGAACGGATTATACGGAATCTGCGTATCATCGTCGTCCGGATTAGTCCCATTGAACACAAACGTCAAATTCGGCGACGCGAAACCAATCAAGCCGGAATTAAACCCATCTCCGTCCCACGCAGCTTTATTCACCACCCCAATCTCTTGTTGCTTCACCGCCAAACCACCTACAGTGACCGTTTCGAACCCTACTGTGCCGGAGAGGAACTCCCCATCGGCGTATCCGATGTTGAAATTGGTTCCTGGGTCGACGGTGAAAGTGGTGGAAGCACTGGAGTTGAATCCTGCGGAACCAAAAGCACATTGGGATTGAGAAACGGGCTTGTTGTCGAGGTTGAAACAGGCATATCCGACTTGAGGGGCCCAGGTATCGGAACTGTGAGAATTCATTCATATATATGAGAACTGGCGCAAGGAGTAGTAAATAAGATAGATAGATATACGTGCCTCCCCGTATCCACTATAAGCAAAAACTCTTGCTCTCCAAACATCACATTCGTCAGATACTCCTCGTCGAAATCGGACCCAGCGAGGACTGTGGTGAAGTTACTCCCGGCTTGAGCTGCCTGACTCTCCTTTAGAGCACGCATGAGTGATTTCTTTGCTTTGCTACGTGGTGCCGACGCGGTGATCGGTACGGAGAAATCAGCAGCGGGAAGTGGAGAGGAGGGTGTTCGAGGAGCGATGCTAGAGACATGCCGTGTTATGGTGGTGGTAGATGTTGCTCGGGAGACGGAGGATAGAGCTAGAACAGCAGCGAAGCTGTAGAGGATGCGAGACAACGGCATGGGGGAGGATTCAGATAGGGTGTTGGAAACATCTGGCTGGGGGCCTTCCTTTATCGTACTTGGTAATGCGCAACGAAGCTTCTGCGGCCCGCCTACGTGACATGGTGTATGAGTTCCTAGAGACCATACGGTAGATTAGAAATTATTCCGCACCCTCTATAAACAGTCTTTCAAACTACTCACCTGTGCTTTACTCGTTATTTCGAAACTGGAATCAATCAAAGCACATGCTGACTCCCCATTCAAAAAACCTGGCATATGCATGCGATCCAAGAGGGGTAGATAGAAGACAGTTTTATTTATGGATTTGAAGCAGATGGAGGTGGGAAAACTAGGGAAGATAAACGGATCCGGACATGGCTCTTGGTAAGTCGCCATAATGCCATTGCTTTTGTCTCCCCTGGGGATGCTTTTGTTGGAAGACTGCTGTACTGGAAAGTAAATCAGCCAGCAATCAATAGGAACTTGAAACTTTTGAATGCAATTGGGCACAACGTGTCTCGACTGATCTCCTAGCCTCTTTCGCAGCCACAGCTAGATCCAATTGGGGTTGAATCCGTGACTCTGCGGCTTTAAAATTGACTTCAGAGAAATCTGCGGCGTCTCGAAAGAAAACCCAGACGGCCCCTCTTAACTTCAGCAGCCAGTTGTTTTTGAGATGAGAGAAGACGCGTCCCGAGCTAGGATCATATAAAGTATAGGTTTGCTCGCTGGTATACCGCGTCACCCAAATAACCTTGCTCAAGGGAGAGGAAAGCAGTTGAAAGTCATCCAAAGTACTCAACGTTCAACGAAGTCATGTATTGAGTGCTAAGCGCTCGCGACACGGTCAGGAAGTTACAGTCACTCACAGGCGTCTGATGGGTGGCCGACTTTCGACTTTCCCAAAATTTGCCCAATTACTTAACTTTCGCTAAGACTGTGTTTGAAAACCTGACACTGATAAAGGAAATCTAAAAAATGCACAGGATATACGAGGTTCAAGATGGAAAGGAGCGGGAATGTGGCAAAATGTTACTACCCCGCGGCATGGAAAAATGAAGACTACTTATAGTAAGAAGCGCTACAACAAGTCATCGAAGTCATCCGACGTAAAGTAATCAGTCCCAAGGAAGTCGAGGACTGTTATATAGGTGGTACCCATATCCGTCTGCTTAAACACCGTCTCCAACGCATTGAGCCACTCCGTCCTCCACCTCCCTCCTCGCCACATACTCATCGGCTCCCAAAACGCGGGATACCACCCGAACGTGTCCCAGTCCAAGACAGACAAGATGTGACCATCTGCAGATACCATAATGTTGGAGACGTTAAGGTCGCCGTGAGAAAGAACGACCTTGTCCTCGGACAGCACTTCTTTGGAGAGTGCGTCACGCAGGAAATCACATTGAGGATGGTCTCCTAATCTTTGGACCCAGTACCTATGAAAATCGGCCATGTTGTTGTATTCGTCGGTAGGCAAAGGAACCTTGAAGCGGTAGTGCCTTGCTAGCGCGAAAAACACGTTAGAGAAGGGTCCCTTTAGCCAGGATCCCATGATGCAGCGATGAGCACCTAGGTTTTCGAGCTGATACATATATTCCTTGAGCGTATTTGCAATTTCTACAAGTTGCGTCGTCGACATGTTCTTGCAGTGTAAGCTAAGAGTGGTGCCGCCGATGGTCTCCATGACGAGATACCATTTATCTTCTCTCTGGAAGACAAGGAGGACGGAGGGGACAGGAATTGTGGTATTGGCTCGGACGAACTGCAGCGCTTCGGCTTCTCGACGAAGAGAGGCGAACCTGCACTTGACAAAGCGTCCGTCACCTAAATCAACGCACATCTGTAAAGGGGTGGTTTTGGCTTGTTCGAATTGCTCGAAAACCTCTTCGATGGCTGCCGCAGATGGTGCAAATGGATCGGTGGCTGCTGGCTGCATCAGACGGTGCAAGAAGCGAGGCTTGACTATAATATTGGATGCATTATATACATACAGATCTCTCCCTTAGTGCGAGAAATGTAATTTACCATGATAGGTTCAGCGGTTGGGCTTTGGAAGAGAAAAGTGAACAAATCGAAAGATAGAGTTCATTCCGAGGTAGCACGTGCCTTCGCTCCAACTCAGCTCTCAGTCTGTTCCAGGCTCCAGCCCAATACGCATGTAAATAATCCATCAATAAGAAAGACGGGGCGGTTCACGAGTAAATCCACTACGACGAAGAGGAAGAGCCTGAACCCCCATTTTCAGTGTTCTGGTGCGTCACATTAGACCTTAATGGAATTGGCTCAAATCGTCTCTTGAATCTCTTTTCAGAGTTGGCAAGATGGATATTCTTCCCAATTTCGGCCGCGATGTGGGTTTGTATCGTCCCGTCGACATTGACCACATCTTCCCGGATCTCCCGGGCCTGCTCGACATCCTCCTCATCACTACGTTGACTCCCGGCAGTCTCAATCGAACCCATGCGCACATGCAGATATGCTGGCAAGTGGGCACTCGCGGAGATCACTCGATTATTTATAGACGTTTGCAAGTTGTGAAAGAGATCGACTCCAATCACCTCACCAATTGGGGCCCAATAACCAAGAACATGGGCATCGCGACGGTAAGCGCGAGCGAGATTTCCGTCATTACCACCATGACGCTGCAGAATCGCCAAAATCTAGAGCAAATTGCTGCCAACACACCCGTGTATGTGCCTGATGGCTAGTTTCTTCATCCAAGCGTTTCACTTCTACATGTGAATGATGACTCCTCGCGACCCGTACTCACACTTAGTACACCGGTAAACATTACATGTCAATTTGAATTCTCGTCTCACTGCCCATTCTATGCCCAGCAAAGATGGTCGGAATTTTCTGCAGCAATCACTCAACAAGCCTGTGACCGAATTTGAATGTCCGTTGCGGACGGGAACGGCCAGGCCAACAACACAACTGTAACAGATCGTGCCTTGCGTACAGAAACATGTCGTTCACTTCACTGGTGCTTTTTTCCGGGAATATCTTAACTGCGATACCTATCGTCAAAATATTCGCAAGACGTTTCGATGTCCAAAATTCAGTCATCGAATGTTACTTTGGAAACTGCTGCAGAGAGACCAAAGGACGAACATGTAAGTTAATTGAATCTCCAATCTTCTGAGGATCGGAAACCGGCACGTCCTGTTTTTATTCCCGTCTTGCTTAGCCTTTCCCTTTCTAGTTCTTGAATATCTGATGTCCTTGTACCTCGAAGCTTCGGACATTCCTGAAACTAATACAGGAACAGCATACTTTGGCGGTAAACCCCGTCATCCTCGTATGCTGGTCCCAAGTATACATCTCCTGTGGTTTATAAAAGGGCATCGTCAGTCCCCAAGTACTCCAAGCCCGGTGCAATCAACTCTATCAGCTGGACTGATAGTACTCACTCTCTTTCCGTATCAGGACCAACCACACTCCAAATATCCCTCAGACATGCGTCCCTCAGTCCTCCTTGTTCTGGTACTTGCCGCCGTTTCGACCGCCGCGCCTTTAGGAGAGGTGAACAAGCGAGATGGGGGTCTGGTTAGGAGGGTCAGATTTCCAAAAATTGGCACTCCAAAAACTCCACCACCACCCCCTCCCCCGCGAGTACAGGCCCCCCCGCCACCTCCACCACCTCCACAGACACCGGTAAAGCCTCCTCGACCGCCACAGGAAAAGATCTCTCCAACGAAGGAGACACCAGTACCGACCACGTCTCCTGCTTCGAAGACATCAACCCACGAACCGACATCGAAAACAACAAAGTCAGAGCCTGCGTCGCTGAAAAGTCCCGAACCTAGTTCATCCAAGGAATCGGAGACCCCTGCGAAACCGACTAGTCATTCTGGGACCGCATCGGGAACAACATCACACACATCCACTTCGTCTGAGAAGCCAAAAGTCACAACTTCCGTAAAGCCCACAGGCAGTGAGTCTGAGTCGGAGCACACGCCTACTACCACCAAGGCCAGTGAAAAGGTATGCCGATAATTTCATATTGGAAAAAACTTGATGTACAATTATCCTGATTTTTTCTATCTTGATTTTCAGACTGGAACTCCTACCACGAATACTGAGTCTACCATTACCCCCGCTCCCGACTCTGGCTCAAGTACTGATCCGGATTCGCTACCTGTTACTACTGATAAACACCATCATGTGTTGACGGCTGTGAAGGAGATTCTTACTGAGTTTATCGATGGCCAGTGGCAGACCATTGATACATATGCGTACCCGACCGCCACGGATGGGGCTTCCAACCCGGAGGAGACCGGGTCACCTGACGGATCCGAAGAGGGGTCTCCAAATGAGGGAGTTCCTCCGGATGCTTCGAGTCAAGGGATGCCTCCAGATAGTTCGAGCTTAGACAATCCTAGTGCAGGGGACGGCACTCCAGATGGCACCTCGGACCAACCCAGTACCAACGACAATAATTCAATCGGAAATGAGAACAGTTCCAACAGCACCCTAAGTGGTGCAATCAGCCCGGGAGACAACCTTGACACCGATGAATCCAGGGGCCAGTTAGGCGCACGTTCTCTTGCTACGCAGAAAGCAAGCCACCGTAGAGGAATGCTGCGACGCTCAAGTGCGGCACTGATGGCTGAAGAGGGAAATGAAGTTTGATGAACTGGTACGATGTAGAAATTGTGTAGTTGATATAGACAGAGGCAGACTCACGTCGTGTGCTAACACTGTTCCTGCCATTCCACGGTAGCTTGTCTATGTCCAAGTCATTTACAAATCTCTTTGTCATGTGTGCACAGTTTTCTTCTTCGTAAGGCGTCACCGACAGCCTGCCGACGGTCCACGCTGAAGAGGCTATGAAGGGCTAAGACTGGCTAAGACCGAGGCTAAGCCTCGCTAAGCCTGGTGTTGATCAGAAGCAATAGCCGACATCTCATTCATATATATACGTTCAGTATTTTAGTTCATTTTCCAAGTATCCCTCGACTTCGTATAACGCTGGTCCGGTACGTGGCTCTTTGTCTCTTTTCAATCGCTCCTTCCTTACTCACTATTGTCTTCAGTTATTCCAAAATTCGTGCCCGAGTCGATTGATATTAACTATCCCGCTGGTTGTCCATTTTCAACTCGTTACCATGCTCCTTCAAATTTCACCGTCTCGGTTACTTTCTGTATATGGTCTGCTTGTCACCACGCTCCTCGCTATCCCCGTAGTTGCAGTCCCCCTGATAGCTCCTGCTCCAGATATTGAACGACGAGGTAAGCAATACTGAAAAAAAAAGAGATTTGGCCTTCTCCGTTCACCTGTTGTTGTGAATCAAACTGATCATTCAACGTGGCATGTATATAGACCGCACTGCAACCAGGTTACGTACACGGTGGCGGCTTAAGGTTGGAAATCTTCTATATGCGGTTTAAGCACATCTGGCCATACTTCCGGATTTGGTCTCCTATCAAATTTTACCATCCAGATATCATAATTAGCATTATCGAATAGTTTTAGGAGTTTCATCTAATTTCATTCCAAGTTTTTGGCTGGATAGCCCCCGGATCAACACCTGTGTCTGTCTTGTGTCCATCGTTCATTGGGTTTACTGCTGTCCATACTTCCCAGACGTTGCTGTGGCCATTGGACTTCACATCAGTTGCAAATCTCAGCCTCTCTCTTCATAATAGTATGGTTCATCGCAATCCTTTCGAAAATCCTCAATGTATGTCTTCGAAGTCTTTAATTTACTTATGTAACTCAGTATGCTATACAGTCTGGCAAGCGGGAACTGGATCAAATCGAAGAAAATGGACCTGTCTTGTTTGTGAAGATAATCTTTGGAGGGATTCCAGCGCTGTTCACCGACATGAAATGCGACAGTCTCATCAGCAGGCAGTGAGATATCAAAATAGCCATCCTGAATACATCCAACCCAATCCATTGGCACCAAATCCAGCAACTTCGAGTCGAGTTTCTCCACCTTTACAAGAGCTCCTTGTAGAATTGTCAGAGATCCCGTATGAAAACTCTTCAGTAGACCAAGGAGCACAAGAATTCCTTGACCTCAACAATATGAGAGACTACAACTCTCCAAGACCTTCTGACCCCGCTATATCTTTTCCAATCTCCTTTGATAACACCGAAAATACTCAACTACAGGCTTCTGATGAGCAGCGTGGCATGGCACGTCTTGCTGAGGAATTGCATGCCTGGCTCTTGGAAGATAGTGAATCTGAAGATTCTGAACCAGAGGAACAAGAGCGAGATGAAGTTTATCTCGATGGTGATTTTGTGTTATATTTTAGCTATTTTTCACTCTAATATTCATTCCCAGTGCCTGATGGACTGGAAGAGGTGCTTAACTTCGGAAAACAGAGATCTCGTCGTCGACAGCAATCTGAAAACCCTGCTTGGTTTCCTTGGCCCGATAAAGAGGTTTGTCTCATTGAACTTTCTCATTGCCTGCATATTGTACTCAAGTATATTAGACATGCATTCTTGATATACTTCGGCATCTCCCTCGCTCTCTTTTCTCAGATGCACAGATGGATGTAATTCTCTGGGGCATTGCATCATTCGGAGTTAGCAGTGCTCCTTCCACTGATGCTGCTAAAAGTATCAGCGAATATTTACAAACGCTATGTGGAATTCAGACTGAACGACAGAAAGGTCCACTTGGGCATGTTTACTATATTAACCAGCTTGCTGGCCTTATTCGGCAGGTAGGTGTACCAGTTGTGGATTGTGATTACTGCTATATTTTTCATGTTTTCAGGAGATGGGAAACCCGAAGATTCGACCCCACATTCGACACTACCCAGAAGAAAGCGGGCAACATGTTGAACATGCATGGCAAGCAGAAGCTTGGAAGACCCTTGACTCTGATCTTGCTTCGCCCATGGTCCGCGTCGGTGACCAGGATTTCTACGTGCATGAACTCACCAAATTAAATGACGGCACATTGGTTATGCCATTTCGTTGGTTTACCCGCAGTCGAGGGCTTCCTGGAGGGCCAGAGCAAGAGTTTTTTGGTTTAGCTTGGAGTGTTGAGGTTTACCCAACTTCAGATGGAGGAGGTTATGTAGTGCATCGACATCAAACCATTCAGTTTCCTGCTTCCCAACTTTTGAGCTCCTTCCCATATTTGGTTGAAACTCATGATCTAGATGGAATCCCTAATCCTTGCAACATATTAGGTACATTCATAACCTCCAACTTTTCTGACATTTACCTGACAAAAATGTACCTTTATGGTCTTCAGGAGTCTACATGTCGAGTCATGATCACGAAATTCAGCCATGGTCATTCACTTCAGCAGAACACAACTTTGCAAACCGTTGGAGAGTCCTGGCTAAAGGCCATGAAGTTCTGAACTTCTCCATGTGGCTTTATTGCGACGACACATCAGGCAACGTCTCTAAGAAATGGAATAAACACAATTCTTTCCTTTTCACTGCAGCCGGCCTGCCTCAAGAATATGGCCATCAAGAGAGTAATGTTCATTTTCTTTGCACCTCCAACCTTGCACCCCCATTGGAGATGTTAGATGGAATTACTACACAGTTGGAGTATGACTTGTTAAAGTTTTTTTGTGCTTTGAACGCTGATTTGTACCGCAGGCAGGGCCAGTCTGAGGGAATATGGGTATGGGATATTCAACGCAAAGCAATGGTGTTAATAATACCTGCGGTGTTAGCAATGCTGGGTGATAATCCTATGCAAAGCGAGTTTGCATGTCATGTAGGCCTTGCTGGAAAGTATTTTTGTCGTTGTTGCTTCGTGAAGGGACGGGATGCTGAGGATGAAGTACTAGTCCCTGCCCAAGGATCCCTGCGTGATGATGTATCTATTCAATCAGATGCCTCAGATGTGGGAGAAGAAGGGGGAAAGAAACATGGACGGCGGAAAGAAACTATTCAGGAGCTTGTTACTCGAGCGAAGCGATTTGTTGGGGTACACGTCCTCCCTCTACCTTCTCTATACAAAGGAACATAATAAACTCATTTTAACGCTTTCAGATTAGTGAAACTCGGCAGCCCAAGAAAACCATCGAAACCCTTCGCAATATATTCATAACATCGCAGAAATACAATGGAAAAACTCAGGCGAAAAAAATTGTTACTCAGACGGGGGTAAAAGACACGTTTCTAGAAAGCTTCAATCAACGCATTGTTGCATTTACTTCCAAACTACCAACCAACTCTTCCGCAGATCAGAAGCAGAAACTTGTGGACAATTTTGTAGCTGAGAATATACCATCTGAGCCGAACATCTTTAGCCCAATATGGAGGATTAAAGGTGTGTTATGTGCCTGTTGAATCTATGTGCACATCTTCTTTACTCGAGGACCTTAGGGCTGGACCCACATCGAGATACACCAGTGGAGATATTGCATGTCATACTCCTTGGGTTCGTGAAATATTATTGGCGAGATGCCATTTCACGACTTAGCGACCCTCAGAAGGAGGTTTTAATTCATCGACTATCTTCGATGGATGTCTCGTCCACAGGTCTTTCACCCTTAGCAGGAGAAACGCTGGTCAAATATGCGAAATCTCTCACTGGCCGTGATTTCCGTGCTATTGCCCAAGTAGCTCCATTTGTTCTTTATGACCTAGTTCCTAAAGAGTGCTTCGAGGCATGGCTTGCTCTCAGCGCGCTCATCCCCCTTGTTTGGCAGCCAGTGATTCATCACTTAGACTCATATCTAGTACGTTTTTACCCCTCTACAGCTCGTTGTTGGATTATTAAGTTAGATATTCAGGCCACCCTTGAGCTTGCAATTGACCGATTTCTTCATTGCACAGCCAACTGGACGCCTCGGTGGTTTAACAAACCAAAATTTCACATCATCAAACACCTGCCCATGCATATCCGCCGTTTTGGCCCAGCAATTCTCTATGCAACGGAGGGTTTCGAGTCCTTCAATGCTGTTATCCGTGACCACAGCGTACATAGCAACCACCAAGCCCCTTCCCGAGATATAGGACGTGGCTTTGCACATTGTAGCCGTATTCGACATCTTCTTCATGGAGGGTTGTTCTTTAGCCCTTCCTCCGAGGGTGCTACTACACCACTCACTCAGTCTGCTTTCAGCGACAATGCCGACCATTGGGTTTCCGCAGGTCCTTTGCCCCTAAAGCTTGCAAGAACTGGTTTGGGAAATTTACAAAGTCCTGTTGCACGAGCTTATGGACTGGAGCATCCAGAAGGGGAAAAAATGCAGCCTGGTATGTCTGATTCAGTCCATCGAAGTTGTCTATCTGATATGCATGGACTCTCAGGACGTTGCATCTATAGTAAAGCAGCAAAATTTAACCAGCCTGCTTCCGAGGTCCTCACATTGACAAAACTTCCCAACGCTGTCAGCAGTGCTGATACCCAACAATTCCACCTATATGAGCAAGCAGTCTCTGCTTCACTTGAACGCTACCAAGTTGGACACCATGTAGTTGTTGGAGCTTCCGAAGTCTCTCCTGAACAACTTTGCATTGGAAAGGTGTACGAAATTCTACAGATGTCATCTGGGACTGCAGCTGCGGTTTTACTGCAGCTTTGTGAGCTAGGACCTGTGGATGAAGCCTATAAGCTTCAACGCATCAAACCAGGGGAATGGACTTTGGTTCAAGCAGAGGTTTGACTGCGCCCTCTCACTCACATATCAAGCTGATGTCAACTTTTTTTTTCAGAAAATTCTATGCCCAGTCAACGCCCAGCATCGTTGTAAAGCAAATGGCTGTGATCTCTCCGATTCTCGTCTCGTACGTGAAGAGCGAGAGACCACTCAGAAAAGACTACCTCGTACTCATCACTACAACCATGATGACCTCCTACTCAACACAAATCAGATGCGAAGCGGTGTCTATATTCAAAAATTTCGTCCAGTTATTCAACCTCTTGACAGAGATAAAGCCATTCAAGAGGGTGCCGAGCGAGAACTTCGGTCACACATTCGAAACAAAAACAGAGGAACAGCTGGCATTGGTCCTCAGACACATGCTCGAGTTCACAGCCCACTGGTCCCTCAAGAGAGCTTCTCGCGTGATCAAGACTTGCCCTCGACTTCTCAGAACGGCGCTTTACAGCTTTTGCATTCACCTGGTCCTCAAGTAAATGAGAACCCTGTTCTCCAACGCTTTCTCCATGAACAACTTGTGCCAGTAACTCGTCGCCAAGCCAGCTGTACAAAATGTGGACGTCCTGGGCATAATAGCCGGACTTGCGGAAGAGGAGGTACGCAGCACCGTTAGGTACGAGGTCAAATACTATTTTATTACTACAACGTATGAACGGACTTGTCAAGTTCTCACTATTCGGAGTTGGTCAAGATCCGGGCCGGGTTGGAACGAATGTGGCGCACGCGTCAGTCACGAGTTCTCTCACACTTCGTTGACTCTCCTGCTGATTCTTTCTTGTTCCTTTCGTGTCTGTGTTCTGTAGGTAAGTCGTTTTTGTGCCTCGCTTCCTCGCCCTGCTGCCTATCGCTCCCTTTTCTGCGCAACGGGCAGAACCACAAAAGCTTACGAAGCCGCACACAACGAGTTCACACCTGGACGCGTTGAGAGACGCGCTCGCTTTTGTGGTCCTCTGCTGCGCCGCCAGCCGATTGTGGCATCGATAAGGCCGGTCGTTCGCGGCTCCTTCAGCGAACAGCGGGATCTACAGCAGTTGCCGGCAGCAGTCTGACCCCCCTCCTCCCTTTAGGCTCCCATGTTTCTCCAACTCACAAACGCGTTCCAAAACGGCGTGGACGCTGTGTTTTCTCGCGTCGACGGAGTAGACTTGATGAAGAGGGCCTGTGAGAGAGGCGAATGGGCCAAGGACAATGAAGTGGACCTCTCTGAGATGGAGGAAGATGTAGATGACGGAGATGAAGAAGACAAGTCGAACGGCCCCATATCTTCTATTCCGCCCTCCTTTTCGCCTGCAATTCCACGCGCTACCGGTCCTCTCGCATTCGATGCATCGCTCACGCCAACCGATTCCCCTACACCATCCCCCTCAGCACCTCCTACCACCTACAGCCCTCCACAACGTAGCGGTGCTGCTGGATCAAATCAAAACCCTCCTGTCTCTTCTACTAGCTGGGCGCCGAGTGATGACGCGCCGGCACCACATCGCCCGCGACTGGACAACAAAGCGGATCCTTTCATGGGAGAGGCCTCCGTTCAGCTATCGGGGGGCTTCCGCATCGCATCAGCTCCGCTTCAATCAACACCTGCTCCCTGCTTCTCAGCTGGCTCAGCTCCCTCAGCACTTCTCAGAACTTCCCGAAAACATTCCTTGGAAGATTCCGAGCTGACGTCCGGAGAAATCGACTGTTTCTTGCAGGGGAAGAAGCAAAAACTGCAGGACCCCCGAAATCGGCGCCGTTGTGCCAAACGAGCACTAAAGCGCATGAAATCTGGCGTTCCCCAAGGCCGACAGTTAGCTCATAACCGATACGTATTGCCTAGTCAAGGGGTTACCAGTAGTTTGTGCAGCGAGCACCTCCCAGTTGCTTCGGGGGGTTATATCGGAGTCGATGCAAATTGGTATGGCGCTAAGGTTCGTAGAGAACTTGAAATGATGAAGGAGAAGGGGTTTCAGTTGGTTGAATGGCAAAAAGGGTAAACAGGTCCTGCGTTTCCATTAATTCATCGAATTGACCAGTTTGTATTCCAGAAAAAGCATCCCTCTTACAGATAGCAAGCAGAGAATCTTGGTTTGTATGCTTGATGGCCCAGACGACCCAGGCTACAAAAAGGCGGTCAGTGAAATGACCGAAAGCATCCTCCAGGCCGGTGAAGCCGCCAATTGGACAAGGAGTGAGAGGAGGCACCGACGTGGTGATTTTCCTGCTTTAGCTCGTGGGATCTCATACGGCAAGGGCCAACGCGAGCCCATGCGCCTGGTTGGTGAGCGCCAGGTGATGATGGACAGCCTGCTGAATCAAGAATGCTTTCGGCGAGTTGCAGGCTTTCAAAGCAGTAAGTTCCCTTCAACTTCATGAATTATTCCTGTAGCTTGTGAATGACCTATCTACAAGGTGCTTTCGCGACGTGGTACCCAAAGAATCATGCGGAGCATTTGCGTTTGAATGCTGAACTACACGAAAAGCTACCCCATCTGAAGCGTAACTTTGAGAACAGCGTGTACTTGGGCATGACTGTCAACTTTGGGCCTTCAACTTGGACCCACATACACACTGATTCGAAAAACGATGTACGAATTCCTTGCGCAATAACCACCGGAGGGAGATTCAACCACAAGGCAGGAGGACATCTTATCCTCTGGGACTTCAAACTAATTCTAGAGTTCCCACCTGGTGCTACGATCTTGCTGCCGTCTGCTTTAATACGCCACTCTAATCTGCCAGTAGCAGCTGGCGAGACCCGCATATCAGTCACACAATACTCTGCTGGGGGTGTCCGTCGATGGTTGGAGTACGGCGGAAGGACCGAGGATGAATTCCGGCAGCAGGACCCCGAAGGCTTTGCAAGGGCATGGGCTAAACGTCGAGAGAACTACAAGGAGGGCATGGACCTTTTTTGTACCTTAGAACAACTCAAGTCGCGTACTGTTTGAATGAATACGACCTCTGTATTGAATGGCTGCATAAACTACATATCTAGCAATTTTTGTGCGACCGTTTCCCGGAATAATTTATCTCGAGCAACATGAAAGTCCTGGATGTTTGATTCTAGGTCTTTCTTCAAAGACGGCGGCAACTTCAACCCCATGTGAGGCTTCAGAAGCATAAGAGCCTCATCTTTAGCAGCCACAGGGTCATGCTCGTTGAGCAAAATGCGTGCCGCTTTTCCACGAGCCAGCTTCTCTTGAGCCAATTGAATCTTCAACGCCTCAACTCTTTTCACTTGTTTCGACGATTCCTTCTCCAGGTCTTCAATCCGATTGAGCTGCTTCAAGTGCTGCTCTCTGTGGCGAATGTCGGCCTCAAGGTATGATTCAAAGAGCTGAAGTCGCAGCTCATTGACCATGTACGAGTGCTTCTTGTTGTGGATAACTGACTGGGTATGGAGTTTCCGGTTCTCAGCAATTTCATCCTCGATTTTGAGGAGGTACCCCTGAGTATTTCGCAGAGACGACAGAATGTTGGCTTTGGATTCATTTTCCTGCACATTGATTGAGAGCCTGATGCTGCGAATGAACCTGTCGAGTGCATAGATCTGTGATTTCTGCTTGCCCACAACAGATTGTTGGCTAAGTTGACTGGCGGATCCATCTGGATCATCGGTTTGCATCTCTACACCCTGGTGAGCGTCTGCATTGGACCGTTCAGTCATGAACTGCATCTTACCTGCCACTAATTTGTTTTTGTTTGAATCGCTCCAGAAAATGAGAGCTGTGCCGTCCATGTTGCATGCTGCAGAAAGAGACGCCAAGTACTTTGGTGAGGCTATAGAATCAATGTCTCCTGATGGGCTGTATGAGTTGATAAGAGAGACAGTCAAGTTTTATTAACCAAAATCGTACAAGCCTGCCAGTGTCAGTACTTCGTCGAAGGTCCCTGGTATGAAGGCGCTATCCGCTTCCCTTGTGACATCTGGAGATTCCTCAGTTGGAGTAATGTCCATATTGGAATCGGCGTGGTTTTTGTTGGCCAAGATAGGCGCTTCACGACAGGTCAAAAAGGGGGCAGCGGGGCTTGAGTCAGTTAATGCTGCACGTGTTCTGACTGGAGCTTTTTTTTTTCTCAAAACCCGCCCTTCCCCTCTTCTGCCATGAGCTTTCATTTCTCACCGACAACTGGAGGTCTCGGAACAATCACTACAGCTACTACCCCGAGACTTGCTTCTCAACCAATCTCACAACGTGTCGAAAACCACCCACCAGGGGTGACGGGAATCGCACCAAGGCCTTCAAGAGAACTCTCAACGACACCACTCAGACCATGGACTCCTTCAATTGGAGCTCCAATTGAAAGACAAGGCGGCAATACTGGCAGCTTTACGGCCCATAGCACATTTTCCCAAGTGCAAGATTTGCCTGCTCCTGGCCGAGGACAAATTTTCTCTGGTATGGAATACATATACATCATAGGTCGTCCATATGAACTGCTTACTGCCCCAGATGAACACAATGAACGCGCTCAGAGTTTGTCAAACACGTTATCTTTTTTTACGAACACTGGCTCTAGACGCTCAAGCATGGGTAGATTTACTTGGCTATATCAAGATGTTGTTAATATTCTCCTTATTCCAGGTTCAATTCCAGATGACGTAGATGGCCTTAATCAGCCAGATATCCACTCCCCTTTACCGGCTTTGAACAGGAGCAATACTCCTGTATTTGCAAACCGCATGCGAGCTAACCCCAGGCCAGAGCATGAAACAACAGCGTTGATGACATGGGTTGACGAAATCAGACCGCAATTCACACTCGAACCCCGCCAAGTTCGTGAACTCAAGGGCATGGTTATGGTGTGTCAATAGAACAACATTTCAAATCCGTCTGATATTTCTGTTTAGGTTGCTCCTTCGGTGGAAACAGAGCCGTTGAAACTTCATCTACTTACTCACGCTGCAATCTGCCGCTTAGAAAATAAAAGCAATGCAAATTCAGACACTGCATCTGTCAAGGAAGTTGTTGACAGTGCCATGAAGCAGCTCTCGAAGCACATAGAAATCCCCAGCACCTCTAAAGTATGTTATCTGCTTATGTATTAACGTCTCTGAATCTATATCTTGTCAGGAAATTATACGTACCCTAGGCCGTGATGAGTGTGCAAACCCTGCGCGATCCTCTTATGGTGACGTCGGCAAGGCTGTTTGGGTGAGTTATGCCTGGGATATTTTCGCAACGTTGTTAATTTTCTGCTAGGCGAGGTGCAAGGCCGAGGCAGATGTCCATGATTTCAGCGTGTTCCTTTCAAAGACTACGCATGAAACGGCGTTCAAGAAAGTTGCAGAGGCAACAGGAAAAAAAATGCTGCAGCAATTTCGGGATGATGTACGTCGGGTTCCCATTTCCATGTATCCTTTTCTCCATGCTCCCCAGATTCTGGCTACCATTGTTGTTGACGAGAGCGGACGGAAAGAGCCATTGAATTTAGAAAAGGCAACACACATCCTCTGCAAGAAATACGTCAAGGGAGGAGGCGGCGGAACATTGCATCAGTTTCGTTTTGCTATGATTGTGAGTTTGTAAGTTCTACATTGCTTGGCTTCCACTGACTATTGTTTTTTGAACTGGAAGCGTCGTTTCATGCGTGAATCTGAATGTGAAGAGGAGGGTCCAGTTTTAAAGAGGCGCAAAATTGGAAATGGAGGGCGACAGACGCAGGACGAAGCGTTCTGGGGCCGGTTCGACAAATACCTCAAGGAGAAGATGGATGAATTTGGGATGAATATGAAGGACGACAAATGGAAGGAGTGAGTGAGCCTCGACTATATTTGTGCAGTCTCCTGAAGGGGTAAATCTAGATATCTAACGGAGACAGTGCAAGCTGACTGGCAAAGGTTCGGTGAACCCAACAACAGCCTTCTTCCTGCGCTTCCGCTCGTTTTCAACAGCAACGGTTTCACTGCGGTCCGTGTTCCTCTCCAGGACATACATGATACAAGCAACAGCGGTGGAAGTGGAATTGCTCAGACTGCCGGAGAAACACTCATTGGGCAACAATCAGACTATGACCATTTCTAGCCACCTCGTCGTAATTTGTTGTGTAGTTTCTATTGAATAAAAAGAATTATTCGAACAATTTTAACGGGACTGAAATGGGGAATTTCGGATTTTCACGGAGGCTTTCTGGGAAGAAGGAATTATATGGAATGCAATTCCTTGTTCAGACCAATTGCATTTATGTATGGTATTCTACATATGGAAGGATATCGAACTGAGATGGACTCCAGTGCATATCTGGCAATTTACACTGAGACCACCACTCAACCTTTTTGGATTAGGATCGTATTCAAGCTCAGCTCGAGACCGTCATCCCAGAGATCATCTTTAGATGGTCTACTTCCCTGACTGTGTATTGTGCTGGCAGCCAAATCCATGGGCCAAGATAACTCGCGCTACGTTCCAATCAATCAACAAACGGCGCTCAACGCAAAACTATGGTTCACCCTTTTTCTTGGTCCGAACAGAGGCTATGAGGTTGTACACAACTCCAATCCTTTAAAAATCACACAAAATATCGCGAGCCCGCGGTTGCACTCGGGCAGAATCGATAGGACTCGCTTGTTACAGTTGAGGCCAAATTCCGAAGCACTTGAGGGAATCCTCAGCGATGAGGATCTTCGTCGAGAGATAGTTTGGAGAACTATAGGAGATGCTCAGAACCTCATAGAAGCTATCAAAAAGATGAACCCCGAGTCCACAGTGCTCGAGATTACGGATGATTTGAGCCATATTGCTGCTAGCTTCGAATATCTCACGTTGGTCAAGAACAATTATGTTAACCCAGTCTTGAAGGCGGAGGATCTGACGCAATGGAAAGAAATACTTCAGAAGATGAGGGCTTTGAGGTCTGAGGAGAAGTCATCTTGATGGTGTTCTTTTTTTTTTTGATTACTCGCCTGTACTGCGAAACGCGTTACATAAATGTATTCTTCTGAAACAAATACTCAATCTAGGTTCATACTCATTGCCTCCCTGTCATCTGAGCTCAATTGCGCCCACTCAAGTGTGTGGCGGTAGACATAGGTTGAATCGAGGTTGGTTGGGGAGATGGAGTGCCGGTAGGCAGAGATAAGTAGGACAGGGCAGAACCCTATTCTGATTGAGTATCCAACGAACGTCCCGTATCCATTTTCCTGTCAATGGTTTCCTGCCAAAAGTCCTCTTTCCTCGTTTTCCATGAGCACAATCCTTTTTGTTTTTTGATCAAATATTACCCACAAATCCCTTGTATTCCAGTAAATTGAAAAACCAGAGGTGAGTCGAGAAAAACGTTGAGCAGATGGCCGAGGTGCGCAAGGCAAATGTTGTTCAATTTCCAGTCCGGATCCAAAGAATTTAGAAAGGGCCTCGTTCAGAGACATTTTGTTTATGAATTTGGAGCAGATGGAGGTGGGAAAGCCAGGGAGGATAAACAGATACACATAGCTCTTTGTCAGTCGCTATATTAACTTTTACCCCCTAGCAATGCACAGCCTAAGTATCTGGACTCCAAGGATCGAATGGCTGAAGGGGGCGCGAATTGCTTACCAGGAAGGATCGTTGATGCCGTGTGAGAGAAAGTGCATGTGTGTTGTGGTATGGTATGGTACTCCATGATCTTTTTGAACTCTTCATTAACCGCAAGTAAGTAAGATTAGTACTAAGGTGCGGGGAGCTGCAGCAACTACCTAGGCTGCCCCTAGACTCTCACTCGGCTCCGTTCGTCATTCTCGGTCATGATTGTATGTCCGTGTGGGGTGATGTAGCTGTAGGTCATGGGGATGTTGTGATATGGTGTTGTAGTGTAATTATACGTGTCCGGCCTTGCAGGCCTCAATCAAAGAGATAGATAGATAGAGAGAAAGAAAGAAGAAGAAACAGGAAAAAAAGGAACGGGTACTCCATGATCCAAGGCACAGTACTACCGGCAGCGGTAGCAGTATGTTCAACAATGTTGCGAAAGATTCTTGATGCATGACAGTCCATGAGAAGGCGAAAATTTCGACAGCCTACAGTTTCAGTGAGTCGAGTCTTCGTAGGCAGGCGTAGCCCCGGACATATTGTGAACCTAGATTTTCAAACTTGAAACTGGGCTCAAGATATGGCTTTCTATCTTCTATATTTGCAACGTTCTCGAACTCTTGACGCTCCTCGTCAAAGTTCGTCGAAGTTGCGATCCAAGAGTCGACTGCTAAGCGCTAAAGCGCTTAGTGTGGTTACGGTCACCAGTCAATCCGATTGAACCACAACAGTTCGATGAATTTCCTCAGATTTCCTCTCAGTATCCTTTCTAGTGTATAATAGCAACAACAGTGGTCATATAGTCGCATCGATGTAAACGCTTTGACGCTAAACGGCCAGCTGACCTCGGGATCGCTCGGTGAGCGTCCTAAGTTTTTACCTTTTTCTTCTAAAAAGTTAAAAGTTATTAGCCCTTGCGCTAGCCGTCATTGGAGCTTCTCCCTCCTAAACATCAGTCACTGCCGTAGTTATCGGATTGGACTGAAGGCAGGCATTGAAGCTTCGAAGTCTGAGGCAAATACTGAAATGCTAAGACCGTTCTAGTTGAGACTGGCTACGTATTCGGATTATTCGGATCCACAGTAATGCATGTGCACCCTATATAAAGGACCACTATTTCGTTCGAGAGTTCAGAGCAAACGTCCGAGCCAAAATCTCACTCAACTCACAAACAAACGGTAGGTCTCCTTCCCCCGATTTTCTCTTCAATTATTCACAATCATTCGACTATGCTCAGTCTCAAGCAATGACTCGTTCCTTTGTCACCCTTCTTGTTCTCGGTCTCTCCTCTTGCATCTCCGGTGGTGAGTGTTCACGTACTCACGATATTGGGAATGTCATGGATAACTGTAATAGCTCCTACGACATTGACATCGAGGCAAAGTAGTAGCCCACTCTCCGGAAACTGGACCAATGAACTTGGGTCGACTATGATTCTAATTGCAGACCAGAACGGTGGTCTCAGTGGGCAATATAACTCGGCAGTTGGGAATGCGACAAATTTCTATAACCTCACCGGGCGGTTTGATACGCTCCCGCCTTCTGATGCAGGTATTTCTGTTGGCTGGGTGGTGGATTGGAAGAATGACCTCCTCAATGCTCATGCTGTTACAACCTGGAGTGGCCAATACTTCGACAACGATAACGTTGAAACAATTCTCACCCAGTGGCTCTTGACCACTAGTTCTAGTCAGGCTGATGTCTGGGAGTCAACTCTTGTAGGACATGATGAATTCACTCGTGCTGAGATTGAGTAGGCACGTTGATCATTGATTGTGTCACCAGAGCACTTACTCTAAAGAAATAATTGACCGAACCTTTTCCAGATTCGTTCAATATTGTATAATACTGTTTGTTCCCCTGTTTGGTAATTTTACTTGTACTATCGCTATTCCATTTTTGAGTCTTATATGGTGACCGATGATCTCAGGAGCCTCTCCCCCTTCTCCTCCCCCAGAGTTACGATCTTCGATGAAATTTGAAAAAGACAATCACAAGTCAAACAGCTATGGCGTCAATCTTGTCAATTTCCGAACTTGAACACAATTTTATAGAAGCAACTTAACAAAACCATATACATTGTTGAAGGTCAGCATGTCAGCTCCTATTGATTTCCCATGCACATCAGTCCTGGCCATCAGACTAGGCCCCGCTTTTAAGTTAATCAAAATCACGAATTACTGTCGTAGGCCCGTAGCCTCCCGTAGCTCTATCGGACTAAACCAAAGGCAGGCACTGAGCTTCATGCTGAATTCTACACCGCTCTAGCTCAGGTTGACTACATATTCGGATCCACGACTGGATCTACGTCCTACCATATATAAAGTGCCCCTGGGGATATGCCCAAGCAAAATTGCACTGAATTCACAAGCAAACGGGTAAGTCTCCTTCTAACTCCTTCCAAGAACTCCCTGATTTTTTCAAGTCCATCCATTCATGGTCATTCTGTCCAGTCAGGTTCAGTCTTAAGCAATGGCTCGGTTCTTTGTTGCTGTTCTTCTTCTCGGCCTCTCTTCCTGCATCTCCGGTGGTGCGTGTGTGATTCTCTTTATCATGATGTTTGCCAATTTTCTTACTCAATGATATATATCCGAACCCATAGCTCCTGGCACTACAGCATCGACATCACCACAGAGTCAAATCAGAAGTCAACTCTCTGGAAACTGGATCAACGAACTTAGCTCGACCATGACCGTAATTGCAGACCAAAATGGTGGTCTCAGTGGGCAATATAACTCAGCTGTTAGGAACACTATGGATTTTTATAACCTCACTGGGCGGTTTACCGTTTGATATGCTCCCGCCTTCTGACGCAGGTATATCTGTTGGCTGGGTGGTTACATATAACAACGAGCAATGCAATGCTCATAGTACCGCAACTTGGAGCGGTCAATACTTCAACAACATCAGTGGTGAAATGATTCAGGCCCCCAGAATCTTTTGCAGCGGACGGTATAATTTCGCGTTCCGCCGGTGCGTTCTGCGTTCCGACGGATTTGCGTTCAAGTTCGTTGTGTTCATTTAAGTGCGTTCACGTTCAATATAGCTGCGTTCATGAGGAATATTTATCATATTTACTAAACTATTCCCAAATATTTAATCTATTTTTCTGGAGAGTACATCCATATTATTACAGTCAAATTTGAGCCCAAAAAACATGATCTTGAGATGAATTCTCCACCAAATCATTCAAAAATTAGTGCAGCATAGAGTGATAGAGGGATTCAAGTGTACCTCATAGTGCTTCCCATAGGTAAGATTGTAAGATTGCTAGTTAGCACAGTCTTAAACACTTCTCTCTTGTTCCACTTCTTATTTTCCAACTAATGTCCAGAGGCCATTAACGTCGAAGCTACCCCTTACGTCGAACTACGTACTGCTTCTCTGTTACAACCACCATCACTCGAGGATGTTCACCTCTAACCCCCATTTCCCGGGACCTCCCTCCCAGGAGCTTACATGTTCGAGACCCACCTCAACTACGACCTATTCGATCTTACGTTGACGTCCTAGCGAGTACAACTCCTACTACGCAATGCTCTTACGCCTACTAGGTTCCCGTTACTTCTACCTCCCCTCCCTGGACTTTATAGGAACCCCTTCAAGGGTCATATCTCTCCATCCCAGCCACTACTAGGTCATTCCTATCCTCGGTCGCGGTTCCCGTAGCTCCCTTCGAGCTCCAGCCTGCTCCTAGCACGCTACAACGTAAACTCACTATACCAAAACCTACCCTAAGACCAATTCTGACCCAGGTCTTACAGTCTCCTCCTTCCCTCATAGCTGATCTACCACATACATCATCCCCATAGGTGCTCATAATAGTATATTTCTCACCCTGTTGTCTCCTTTGGATTCATCCTTTGATGAGTACAATGTCTGGGTATCGTGTGGAGGGTACAAAGTTGTTCACCTATATAAATGTGGATGACACTTCTCCCCATCACTTGCATTAGGTCATCCAGTCCTCAGTTGCAGCTCCTATAGCTTCCTTCAAGCTCCAGCCTGCTCTACCTCCATGCAATGGATAAGCAGGATCAAGGAAGACATGCAGTAATTTGTGATTAAATGCAGGATGCAGTATCTGGTGTAGATTTTGAGACTTGATCTCTCCTTGTTGAGGTATACTCTGTACAAGTACGTGTAAGGAAGAGTTAGCAAGTAAACAGTGTTATTACATGATACTGTACAGTAGGTATATAGAGTACATGGGACAGCATCAACTCCCTCAGTTGTTCCAATACCAACTGAGGTGAGCCTGTCTACGACTGCTATTTACAAACACCATACTGACTTAAGTAGTTTAACTTACACTGACACCTCTGAAGGCTGTTAATAATTGAGAATGATAAGCCTTCTATTTTTCCTTGATTATGCTGTTAAGGAAGGTACTCTATACATTCAAAGAACTTGGACATTTCCCTTTCTGTAGACAGTGTTATGAGTAGGTACTATACAGTTGTAGTTAGATCATGCCAGCAGTGTCTTCAAGTCCCTCAGTTTCTTTACAGCCAACTGAGGTGAGCTAGATATAATAAAACTCACTGTAAGCTCACAGTACTAACATAGCATAGACCCCCACTTAGAAGGTACCTACAACAGGGTTGCTTTACAGCCAACTGAGACTCTCACTTAACTTAACATATGCAGATGCACACCAATCCATGGTGGTGATGCTGTACTCTATTACAGGACTCATAAATCATGCATAAAAATAGATAATAAAGCCACTTAGAGGAACAGAATATAACATTTTGAAGACTAGTATCTGACACTAATAGTGCAATGACAGAGCTAAAAATATCAGAACAGTAAGCTTTATCAATAAGATGCAACCAGTTCCTCTCAGAGTGTAATCACACTGAGGACCTGGTCAACAAACATTAATGCAGTCATTGATATTCAAATATATAACTGAAGACTCAAAAATTGCAATCCAATCTTGAGTGGAGCTGGAACGCATCCGGAACGCACCTGAACGCATGGAACGCAAGTGAACGCCAAGATTAAAAATGAACGCATATAAGGTGAACGCACCTGAACGCATATGGATGCAATATCAATTTATCAAATTTGCATTCATAAATTGATTGCGTTCCAAGTTTACATAAATATTGTTAAATTTCAATGTTTTGACTCAAATGTAACTATTGTTCCACTATTTATTCCATATTGTACAGTCTATGCATACATTAAGTATAGTACAATTGAACACTCAAAATCATATTATTGTACATAATGTAATAATTATATGAACGCTTATGAATGCACGAAATGCGAACGTGAACGCAGAACGCACCGACGGAACGCAAAATTCCACCTACCACTTTTGCAGAACCCTGCCCGGCCTGATGCCCTAATTGACGCTATTTCGGACCAGGACTGTCACGTGAAATCAATTTTTTTCTCCAAAATTTCCTTTAAAATTCAAATGTTGATGTTCTTTTTTCAGTACTCAAAAAAATTTTTGCTCGGTGCTGGTGCGCCGACTCCTGCCGACTCAAATGATGCTATAAATGGACAAGGACTAAGGATTTTGACTGAAAATGACATTATTTTAGGACCAGGAAATCACCAAAATCAGGTCCAAAATGACGCTATTTCGGGTGGGGTTCTGCAGGAGATTCTGAGGGCCTAACGATTCTCACCCAGTGGCTGCTGACTACTAGTTCTACTCAGGCTGATGTATGGGAGTCAATGCTTGTGGGACATGATGAATTTACTTGTGCTGAGATCAGTGTGTAATTGCAAAGATGCAAATTTATTCAGTCTCCAGAGCACATATTACTTCCCTCTTGAATAACAACTTGATCACTCCGATCCATTCAATTCTTTATAGTACTACTGTGATGAATGTTTGTTCCCATGTTCTGTGATTTATGCATTGCTATCTCATTTCTAAGTCCCTTCAGAATCACTACTACTTGTTGAAAGCACACATTCGATTTAGGTAAATTTGAGGGGATTGTCATGCCCTGTCAGTAAACTCCCTTTCTAAACCTCCCAGAATTGCTTCATGAGCACGTCAGCTCTTCCCACTCCTATTAAAGAACCTCCCACGGAGCACTAGCCAACCTCCTGACCAATACCAACCCCCGACTGAAGCAGCAGTATCGAGACGGCCTCACATATACTGTCAAACGGTCCCCTATCCATTTAGCCTCATGGACTTTGCACTTTGCATCATCCCCATTAGATGCTCATTTCCTATAATGTCTCCTTACCTATTCATCTCACCTATATAAGTACCCTCGTAGCATAAACATCCCTAGCTTGGTATATTTTGAACACACACCCTTTACATAGGTCCAGTCCCTGTTCCTTTGTGCCTGCTACCTATACGGATTTTCCCTTTATATTCAGTTTCTTTATCTCAATCTCTTGTCTTGACAATTGCCTATGCGATCCAATAAACACTTTTACTTCATGTCTAAGCAACCCAAGTGAGTCTTCAAACTCCCTCGACCAATACTAAAGCTCCCCAAATGTCCATTGTTTCAGTGAGCCAACCTCCCCCAAACCTCCTTGAGCTCCCTAATTGCTCCATGAGCTCTGGGACCTTGATCTAGGTAATGTCAAAGCTTTCCATTATGTCCAACTATGTGCCGCTTCTCTGTTACCACCTCCACTGCTACCCCTGCTTCCCGGGACCCCCTTCCTGAGCTTACATTCCATTGGGAGCTCTCACATGTGAAGCTTGCATCATCTACTGGTTATAACATTCTAACTATTACAATCCGTAACACACCATCCTCCTACGTTTCTGTAAGACCTGGGTCAGAATTTAGGGTTGGTATAAAGGATTTATGTTGTAGCATGCTAGGAGCAAGCTGGAGCTCAAAGGGAGCTACGGTAACTGCGACCGAGGATGGGAATGACCTAGTGATGGTTTGGGTCGAGAGAAGTAACCCTTGAAAAGGTTCCTAGGAGGCCCTGGGAGGTCCCTAGGACATTGACTAGTGGGCTAAGGACAACTGGGAGCTAGAGAATGTCAGAGTGTAGCGTAATATGGGTTGTAGTAGCTAGGAGTGTAGCATAGTACAGGTTGTAGTAGCTAGGAGCATCAAAGTAAGATCATTATAGATCGTAGTTGAAGTGGCTTTCAAATGTGAGAGATCCCAATGGATTGTAGGCCTGGTGACATGCCTAAATTTTGGCTAGACGTCTATGCTGTGAATTGTGACATTTTCACGTATAGATTTGTATCAAGAGGACTGTAATTGAGACCCAGATTGACAGTCAAAGTCAATACTGAATCAGTCTAATAGTTGAAGGGACCCTATACCCACACTACCACAAGTTGGTTAGTTTTCCCATCCCTGATTCTACCTTCGGATAAAAGTCTACCTGTTTGTCAAGCAGGATTATACCAGACCTGGACTACATCCGAAGGATGACTATTCACGTATGACATACCAAGGGTATTCTTATTGGACCTTACACTGGCAGGAATTTGGAAGAACTTACTCAAGTGACCATGAACCAAGGATTGACTCAAAATGACTTTCTAGAACTCAGGAATTGTCAAATACACCTTCTAGAACGAGATCATGCATTAATCTAAAAGACTGCAATTTAAGTCTAATAGACCAATCAGGTTGCATGGTTGAGCAAAATGACTAGAAAAATGATTGAAATACTGCGAGGCTCCGAAGACATATCAAATGAATGTCAAAGAGTCCTGACATAGAAAATTATAAAGAATACAATTAAATGAATACTATGCATAACTCCCTTGATAGAGTATAGGCACAATGGGTGTCTATTGAAAGAGAGCTGATTTGCCTCCGGACGAGGTGACAAACGATCGAAGGAAGTGTTGAGCAACAATGACAGCTGAACACCATTCGAGTCATTCTCCAAAGCAATTAAATTAAATGAATATTGAAGTACCTACCTATGTTTGGGGGTACACTAGAATCTTGGAACCATTTTGGACCAAATAAGGACATGTAGATTCAAATTAAATGACATCTGACCTATTGTAGAAGTTTTCTTGTGGTTCCGAACGTTTATTTTATTAAATTAATTGTACTGTGCAACTCTATATCCTGTATGTATAAAAGCGATCCAATGTATCTGGAATACAAGTGATTTTGGGACGACGTTGCAGTGCTAATCCGTAAAAAGGAAAGACCCACTCCTG